AAACATGATCAGCCCATGATGAACTCATAGTTGCAAATTGCAATTTCCCAGAACGAACAATTGATTTCGGTTTTCGATTTGGAGTAGATTCACAAAGCCCTGAAACAAGTTCATTTTCCACAAGTAAGATTTAGCTGTGCATGTAGAAATGAAGAAGAGGTCAACAAATGGAACAAATGCGAATCGATTGGAGAGAAACTTTCTCTAGAAGAATCGGAAAAACCTCAGCTAATCGAAGGAGAGAATAATCAAACAATAGAAGGTCGTCACAAACACAACCACGACGAACTAACACGAAGCTGAGTAAAATCATTTCACGAAATCAACAAATGCACAAATCACTAAACCCTAGAAGCAAAATGAAATCGAACAGGAAATCGTTGCGTAGACGGAACAAAACCATGCATAGAGAGATAGAGCACGACCTTAAGAAACTCGAAAGCAAATCTAGATCAAGGATCAATGGTGTACGGAAAAAATCCAGGATATAAACCCTAATTTCTCTTCTTCTCGCGATCGCACACGAAGCAACGAAACAAGGTTTTCTGGGAAATGAGCAAAAGAGGAAGATGAAGAGATATTTGTATTTCGATGAACTTTATTTTTTTTCCAGCTTTCTCGTTTTTTTCAGATTGTTTGCTGTTTTCTAATAACGAACAGCGTGCCGTATCGGCTATACCGAAGTGAACTGTGTGCCGTTAGTAATTTTCATAGCGCGTGATCTAAACGACGCGCACGGATTGGATAGAGACGAATATTTATTGTCGTCTGGACAAAAGTAATTACTGACAAATTTAGGAATTAATTGCCAGAACAGTATTACCAACTTATTTTGAACAATTTTTAATTTATAGTTCTATACGAGTCTATCATTTTATAATTTTCATTGAAAAGAGTATGTGCTATCATTTTCATTTTTTTTGCAAATGATATAAGATTTGAAAAGAAAGAGTAATCTTTATTTCTTTGATATTTATGACACAGTATGTATAGTACATGATGGGTTTGTATATGTGTATATTTTTTATTTTGGTCAGGAATATATGTGTATAAAAAAAATAATTGTAGTCTGCAGCCTTTCGTGTCCTTTTGAAAATAAAAATACGCCGTATTGGTTCGTCCGAAATTTTTTTCATCCTTTTTTTTTTCGTCTGAGAAACAATCGATCCCACTCTTCGATTCAGTTTCTGGGGTTTTTCACAATTTCTAGGTCGTAAACTGGGGTTCGAGAAAATTTCCGGTTTTGAAAAAAAGAAAAAATTGGGCTTAATCTAGGGCTCTGTGAGATAATTAGGGTTCATCAATGCTAGTGGGTTTTAGGGTCAATTAAATGGCGGATCCGCTAGGGATCCGCTTTATCATTTCTGCTCTCCCGCTCAATAGTCAGCTTAAAGTCTCAGCCTTTGGGCATCGTTAGTATTGAATTGCTTCGAGAATCACAGTTAGTTACCGAAAAAGCAATGCTTAGCGTCATTCGAGTGCATCTACCGTCGGAGATTCCTATTGTTGGCTGCGAACTTACGCCTTACGTGCTTCTCCGACGGCCGGATAAGACCGCCACCACCGATGATGTCCCGGAGTCAGCCCCGCTCGAAGGTCACTTCTTAAAGTATAGATGGTAAGTTCCTTCACTCTCTCCTCTTTACTTGCTTTTGCTCGATTTTTAGAAAGTTGATTCATTTCATTAGAAAATGAGATTTATAAGTCTTCTCTCTGTTTTTAGAGTCTGTATTTGAGATGCATCCTCTGTATATCTATTTGCAGGTATCGTGTACAGAGCGATAAGAAAGTTGCGATTTGCAGTGTGCATCCATCTGAGACGGCCACATTGCAGTGCCTGGGGTGTCTAAAGTCAAAGGTTCCTGTCACCAAAAGCTACCACTGCACAACCAAGTGCTTCTCAGACGCGTGGCAGCATCACCGTGTGTTGCACGAGCGTGCAGCCAGTGCCGCTGCAGAAGGAAATGATGAAGAAGAGTTGCTCCGTTTGAATAGTTCAGGCTCTGGATCTGGCGTCTTAAGCACCAGTGGTAGTTTAACGAATGGATCATCATCGGTTTATACCCAAAAGACCGGCGCTGGAGGGGAAACACTTGTTGAGGTTGGACGATCTAAGACATACACACCAATGGCTGACGACGTTGGCCATGTTTTGAAGTTTGAGTGTGTAGTGGTCAATGCAGAGACGAAACAGAATGTGGGCCATTCTTGTACCATACTGACTTCCCGTGTGATTCCAGCTCCGTCACCTTCTCCTCGTAGGATGATCCCTGTTGTTGGTGGAGCTGAAGGTATTGGGCACCTGGATTCTAATGGCCGACCTTTGTCTATGGGATCATTCACTGTGCTGTCCTATAATATATTGGCTGATACGTATGCTAGTAGCGACATATACAGTTATTGCCCCACATGGGCTCTTTCGTGGACATACCGTAGACAGAATTTGTTGAGGGAAATTGTGAAGTACCATGCGGATATAGTTTGTCTACAGGAGGTATGTTATATGTTCTGCAGAAGTCTTGGAAAACAATGCTATTGCTTTTGGTTTGATTATGAACATGTACAGTCGTCCAATGTTTTCCCATTTTTTATCTTCCAGGTGCAGAATGATCATTTTGAGGAGTTTTTTTCTCCTGAGCTGGATAAGCATGGATACCAAGCTCTTTTCAAAAGGAAAACAAATGAGGTTGGTTTGGTCGTATCCCTTTGATCACTTGTAGCCTTTTTCTGGACTTATGTCGCAAAATTGTGCTGACGAGAACATACTGATTCACGTGATGGTCCTAGGTTTTCGTCGGTAATACAAACACAATTGATGGATGTGCTACGTTTTTCAGAAGAGATAGGTTTTCTCATGTTAAAAAATACGAGGTAGGTCTTCGTTCTCCACTCTATTACCAGTAACTATTTAGGGCCTTTTGCTAAATCATCTAGCTGGTCATCCAGGTTGAGTTCAATAAGGCTGCCCAATCTTTGACTGAGGCTCTTATTCCTGTCGCCCAGAAGAAAATTGCTTTGAACCGGTTGGTTAAGGTATTCAAAGATGCTTTACTGTGTGATCCTTGTTTCCACACATTCTCCTTTTCAAAATTACCCTGTAAAACTGATGTAGATTCTTTCTTTTTAGGACAATGTTGCGCTAATTGTTGTCCTGGAAGCGAAATTCGGTAACCAGGCTACTGACATTCCTGGGAAGCGCCAATTACTTTGTGTGGTGAGTTGTCAAAATGAATTCTGTTTTTCCTAAGAGATGGTTCTAGAGATGAATGTTCCTTTTCCACTTTCTCTGCACTTCCTTAAAGGTCTCGTGGTGATCATTTTCTTTCCGCTTTTATTTATTTGATGAATGCAGGCTAACACTCATGTAAGCGTTTCTCATGACCTGAAGGATGTAAAGCTCTGGCAGGTTGATCTTTACTTCTCATTGTAATAAAACTTGCCGATTTAAGATTCTAACGTCACTACTCATCCATATCTGATTCTTGCTCGATATAGGTTCACACTTTGTTGAAGGGACTGGAGAAAATAGCTGCCAGTGCGGATATTCCAATGCTTGTGTGTGGTGATTTCAATACAGTACCAGCGAGGTCTGTCTGGTTTTCCTTTTCCTTTTGTTCACATTGCAGAAATGTCAAAATCTATATCAGATTATGATTCCGGTCTTCTCTAGTCGTATTAACTTATAGTTCCTTCCAAAAAAATTCCAGTTCTCCTCATTCACTTCTTGCTATGGGGAAGCTTGATCCAATGGACCCAGATCTGATGGTTGATCCTTTTGGAATCTTACGTCCTCACACCAAGCTAACTCACCAACTGCCATTGGTATTATCCTTCTCAAAGACTAATAAAAACAGATGCAAAGAATCATGAAAGACAATGCTTACTCATCTTACCTTGTGGGCAATGCAGGTCAGTGCTTACTCATCGTTTGCAAGAAGGGGAGGCAGCCTTATTACCGAGCAGCAGAGGAGAAAACTGGATCCTGCATCAAATGAGCCGTTGTTTACCAACTGTACCAGGGACTTTATAGGCACACTTGATTACATATTTTACACAGGTTTGCTTAGGCACCCAATGCCTGCAACTTTGCAACTCATATTTCTTTTGTTTTTCATCTTGTAAACATTTTGGTTTTCTTCGGTTTCAGCGGATACGCTAACAGTGGAATCGCTATTGGAATTGTTGGATGAAGAAAGCTTGAGGAAGGACACGGCTCTTCCATCTCCAGAGTGGTCTTCTGATCACATTGCACTTATGGCTGAATTCCGCTGCGTGCCCAAGACCAGACGCTGATACTGAAAACTCACAGAGGAAACATATATTATATGGAGATACCACAGCTGTATTCGATTCTTAAAGACTGGTCCCAGTGGAGATTGTTAAGCTACATGTGGTGGATCGCGTGTCAATGGCATCCCAGGGTTTTTTGGCCTTCGTTCTACTTTATATCAAAGTTTTATTTTCCTTTTCACCTCACCGTAAGAAGTATGATCACTTTATGGTATGATGTTTTTCTTTCTTTTTATAGTTGATTCTTCTTCGCCGGTAGATTTTTTTCTTTCCTGGCTTGTCACTGTAACAATGTAAACTTTTAGATTCTTCAAGAAAATAGTGGCTTGAGTTTACAGTCACTTCACTTGAGAATAAAATCTCTCTGTCGAGTAGCTCATTTTTAAATGGCTCTAAGCCTTTCCAGACACAAATCATGTAGTTACACTCTTTCCCTGTGGATATCTTGCATAGATTGTGAAAATGAAAGGTGAACAGCTTTGATTTATTGAGACATTTGAGACATGAGACGTGTCAACTAGTAGTCACTATTTAAACATTTTTAATCAAGTTTCTTGCAGGATTAGAACTTTGATTATCCAACTTATGAGTGAAACATATGTTGTGTACAAGAAGCAAGTCTGTGCATAGGTTATAAAAAGCCATATTGAGTTCTTACTTAGTTGCATAAACTGATGGCTAGATTCATGGGTTACAATCAAAATCGACAGATGTTGGCTTTATGCATAACAGTTGCAGTAATGCTTTTTGGTGTGAGATCAGAACTGAATCAGGACATAAAAGGATGTCAGGAATCCATATCTGATCTCTACTCTTGTCTTGCTTTCGTCACCAACAAAACTAAAGCTCCAGACTCAACATGTTGCAGCACACTCAAGGAAAAAATAGACAAAGGGCAGACCAAGAGATGTCTCTGTGTACTTGTCAAAGACAGGGATGATCCTGGGCTAGGGTACAAAGTTGATGCCAATCGTGCAATGGGCCTCCCTTCCGCTTGTCATGTACCTGCAAATATCTCGCAATGCCCAGGTGAGAAATAGCTAAATATCTTTTTCTGAAACTGTAGAAAAAGATGATTTGACAGCAAGGTCACAAACATCTTTCTCATCATTTCATTTTTTATGCAAGAAGAGCTTCTACATTTGCCACCAGATTCACCAGACGCTCAGATTTTCAAGCAGTTTACTGGATCCTCTCAGAATGGTAGGCCTGGAGCTGGAGGTGCTAATCTTACTCTCTACTTTTTATAAATCTACTCGTGAGAACAAAAGAAATAATAACTAACGAACAAAATATTACAGCAGTCTCCAAAAGTTCAAGCGTCAAAGGAAGAGATATGGGACAATTCGGTTTAGTGATGGCTGGAGCTCTGTCAGTGTTGTACTTAGTGTCATACTTAGTTATGTAAGTTGATATATACAACCAAAACCGAGTCAAATCTAGCATAATAAGTGGATGTACATGTACCATGGCTTGTTAATAAAAACATATTGATTTCTCTTAGCATCTGATAAAGATATTATGTGACTGTATTTAACTGAGGAGAAAGCTCATATGGAGCCACTTGCCTTAAGTTTTTTTTTTTGGGCTCAACTTCAAACTTAACATTAACCTCAAAAGTCGATTACATCACATATATTCATCCCCAATACAAAGGACCATTCTGGCTCTAACGAGTACAGCATTGGAGCATAATTTGTAAAAGAAATAGCCTCCCTCTCTTGGCTTGAGAGTCAAGGGCTAGATATATCTTGTTGAGAGTCCTGGAGTTATGAGCAAATTAGCTGTGTACTTTGAAGCATGTCACACGAGGGAACATCTGAAGCAACTCTTCACGGCTTCGTCTCTGCATAATTAATCATGCCATTCACATTAGGTACAGAAAAAAAAGAAACTGGATATTAAAGAAAATAGAAGAAAAAAGAAAATTGAAAGTCTGCATATGACACACCTTAATACCGATGCAGCCATTGACATCAAGGGTGGTGAGTGTAGCAGAGCAGGTCTGCGAGAGAGCCTCCAGACATCTATCAGTCACCCCAACTATTCCAAATAAGCTGCAATTTGTTTTTGTTTTCACTGAATGGTGTCAGAAAAAAGAACCATAAAGAAAATGAAGATCAAAGTTATAGAATTGGATTTAATAGTACCTGAGAAATTCGAGGGATGTACAACTATTAGCAAGGGTAATCACACCTGCATCTGTGATACGCACACACCTGCCATGTTTAAGAAGCATTTGCATTAAAGCTTTTGGAATGAAGACGCAGCTTTATGCTCATTATCTTTCTTGTAAGTGGAGACTTAGCTTACCATGTCAAGTTGAGAGACTCTAGCTTGTTGCACTTAGCTATATGAGCAAGCCCCTCATCAGATATATTCTGAAAACCAAAGTTGCGCTCTTTGTCACAGATTATATCGAAGACAAGAAAATCATAACTAATGTATATACTTTGCGCTCTTAGTCCAACTAATACCTGAGCTCCACATAGATCTAAGAACCTTAGATCAGCTAAAAGTGATATCTTCTTGTAGGCTTTGTCTGTGAATCTGCAAAAATTGCAAGATCAGTTCCAGAACTTAGAACAGCTAGATTTCAATATAGCCAGAGAAAACTGGAATATGCTTCTTATATACCCTGAAAGAGCATAGAGGTTTAAGGTCTGGAGAGCACAACACTTCTGTAGCACTTGAAGTAATCCATCATCTGTGACCTTAACACACCTGGCGACATCATAAACAACAAGACCAAACACCAGAAGTATTCAGATAACAACGTTGCCTTACAAATCACACTTCCATCTTAATAAACAATCTAGTACTGAAAAATGACATCTCCATCACCATTAGATAACCACAGGGTTAAGCAACATTTTACTTACCTAGTGATATTCAGTGACTCTATGCCTTGATAACTTTCAGCTACTAGCTGCATACCTTTGTCGGTTAGGCCCTGCAGCAATTAGTGCACATCCAATTCAAATCCTTCATCCAATACAAAGAACATAGAAGCAAGAGAGGTATCCATGTGTATAAAACATGGTCATAATTACAGCTACTCATCAGAATTAATACTCCAAGAATACAGATTAAGATACCTTGCAGCCACTTATGTTCAAATCAATGATATATCTGCAATTCTTCACTAGATGTCTAATGCAATCATCAGTCACCCTGTGAAACAACCATATAATTAGGCTCGTCTGATGAGGTAAAATCAAGAAGAGTGACAAAATCGAGTCAGACATAATATTACCTCACGTTCCAGTAGATAGAGATAATTTTCAACTTGGGGCATATGCTAGTTATAGCTTCGATTCCGCTGTCCGATATCTTTTGGCACACATTCAGATTCAAGCATTCTAAGCTTAAAAGAGCATCGTGACACTGAAATGTTTACACAGCACCCAAAACAATACTGTGAGAAATTCAAACGGCTGGAAACGAGTATACAGAGAAGATCAAGTCAAATGTAATTACCCGGCTTTTCACAAGTTTAAGATGACTGTCCTCAATACCCTGGGCAAATTCAAGATTGATATGCTTCACTTGACGATATCTTGGCTGCAAAATTCAACGCACAGAAACAGTCGGCTCAAACATTCCCAACACTCGCAACAAAATATACAATCAAGTATCAAAGTTTCAGTTTTTAACTAACCAAGGACAGAGCAGCTAAGAGCCTATCCCCTGCATTGGTCATCTCGCGCAAATCAATGTTCTGAAAGAGAGCAAACAACACTTGTATCAGATTCCTGTTGAGAAATTGAAAACTTGGAAAGACCTGAGAAAGTAGTCAAACTTTGTTTACCAGCCAGATGGAAGGGTAAGCGACGAGAGTGCGATAGAGCCAATTGCTAACGAGAAGGAGAGAAACTAGATCTCTCTGAGGCAATCTCGTGCTCACTATCCTCATCACACTTGTTACTATCTCTCTTCTCCATGTCTCTTCTTCCTCCTCTGTCACTTTCTTCGCTTCCATGATTATCAAAGCTTTTCGAGTTTTTTCCACCAATCAGCCTCAGGACAAGACTCTAGATGCACGAAATAGCAAAGCTTGCACCTTTAAACGAGCCAAAATCTTCCCGAGTCGCGAGTCGAGTCTCCACGAGTCGCAGCTTTTTTGTTTTCTGCAAAATTGATTTACCGAGCCAGTTAAAAGGCTTACCTTTACTGTAGCATGTGGGCCTAAGTTAGAACTTGGAAGTCGAAAAATCTCGCTTTTAGATTCACTCAGGAATTTCGTCGAGCACCTTGTCTGCTATACTCTTCTTCTACTCGCATTTTCACTATCTTCCCAGTGAGAGAACACTAAACCCTAAACCCATTTTGCACTTTCAGTTTCTCATCATCCACTTTCAGATCGTGAAGACTGCAAGTGTTATTTACAAGATGTTCGTAAAGTCCCAAAGCTTACTCTTTTCAGTGAGCAGGCTGTTTCATCAGCATCAACAACAATGGCGAGGAATGGGTGGGATGGCGAAAGTGAGATTAAAATGGGTGAAGAACAAGAACCTGGATCACATCATTGACACCGAGACCGATCTCAAAGCAGCTTGCATTCTCAAGGACGCCATCAAACGATCTCCCACCGGTTTCCTCACCGCCAAATCCGTCGCCGACTGGCAAAAACTCCTCGGACTCACCGTCCCTGTTCTCCGCTTCCTCCGCAGGTATCAATCAAATCAGCTTTCTTCCTTTCGAATTGGATTGATAGAGAAAACTCGTTGAGAATGCTAACGAAAATCAAACCCAATTTTACAGGTATCCGACTCTGTTTCACGAGTTTCCACATGCTCGTTACGCAAGCTTGCCCTGTTTCAAGCTAACGGACACTGCACTGATGCTCGACTCGCAGGAACAGATCATTCACCAAAGCCACGAGGCCGATACAGTGGAGAGGCTCTGTAGAGTTCTGATGATGATGAGAACGAGAACCATCTCTCTCAGATCACTCCACTCTCTCAAATTCGATCTCGGTTTACCAGACAACTACGAGAGAACACTAGTCACCAAGTACCCTGATCATTTCTCCTTCGTCAAGGCCGCTAATGGAGACCCTTGCCTAAAGCTCGTGACTTGGCGTGACGAGTTCGCATTCTCATCGCTGCAGAAGCGTAACGAGAGAGAGAACAATGTTGTCGTCGTCACCGGGGAGGAAGATTCTCGTTACCGGGAGTTCAAAAGAGGACAATCGGCATTGACGTACCCTATGAGCTTCCCTAGAGGATACGGAGCACAGAAGAAGGTCAAGGCGTGGATGGACGAGTTTCAAAACCTTCCTTACATATCTCCATACGACGACGCGAGTAACATTGACCCTGAAAGCGACCTCATGGAGAAGCGAGCTGTGGGGGTTTTGCACGAGCTCTTGAGCTTGACGATCCACAAGAAGACAAAGAGGAACTACTTGAGAAGCATGAGAGCTGAGCTCAACATTCCGCATAAGTTCACTCGTCTCTTCACGAGGTATCCTGGGATCTTCTACCTCTCGTTGAAGTGTAAGACGACGACTGTGATCCTCAAAGAAGGGTATCGTCGAGGAAAGCTAGTGGATCCACATCCTCTGACTCGTCTTAGAGACAAGTTCTATCATGTGATGAGAACAGGGTTTCTTTACCGGGGTAGAGGGTTGGGCATGGTTTCGAAAGAGGAGCTTTTGCTTGATAAGCCAGACGATGATGGTCCTGAGGATGAAGATGACTCTGAAGAAGAAGAGATTGTGGAGGGAAGTGAACTTGATGAAGATTCAGAAGATGATTAGCAATACTTGTTCAATACAAATGTCACATTTAATATTATCTCATCCCTGTTATAATTCACACACAGCAACAATTTTACTTTCAGTAATGGAGTTGAGTTTGATATCTGTAAGCATAAACTTCTCGAAGGATATGTATTTCTTATGAGTATTGAAAACAACCTCAAAGGGGATAAGCCATTACAATAGTGAATAACATTGCATTTCCTAACAAATCAGATTCGGCACAATTCAATCTCATATTAACCAAACTATGAAGAGTTTTTTTTTTTTTTTTTTTACGCTAAGATCTAAACCACTAGAAAACACCAGAAAACGTTGGTTGGTCATCTTCCATCCCAGACGTTGTGAATCCTGCAGAACATATACACAGTTTTTGAGTCAAAAACATTTCTATAGTTTCAGAAACTCAAGAGTAGAGAAGAGAACCAAACCTTTCAATAGTCGTTGCAATAGTCTTCAGCTTTCTTCAAAATTGCAACCGCTGCCTCAACTTGCTTCTCCGAAAATCGCCTACATGCATTTGATCAAAGATTAGAAAAACAAATTAAAGTCCATTGTGTCTCTACAAACAGAGCTCATTGGAGAACTCACATGTAACCGCCGGAGAAGATGATGATATTTCTTTAACAGCCATAGAATTTTCCCAAAAATGTGCATTGCTTTAGCAATGGTAGAAGTATGATCCGACTCCTTCGCAATCTTACTTCTGATTCGAGACCTATATTTCGCTGTCAAGTTCTGATACAATAGACCCCATCTCCTGACCCCTTGCTCGTTATCCACAAACTCAAATATGTAAACTTCCAAAGGACCTTCTTTTCTTACCGACGGGTTCTTCAAGTGATCGTTGAGGGAGCTGAGGAACATTGTGCTGTAAAGAAAGGTCGCGTCTACATCACCAGCATCGTTTCCCGAGCTAGGCCAACCAGTCTCCGATATGATGATGGGGAGAGTGCCGTGACCCATCGCCCCCAAGGACATAACGAGAGCATCATACATGACGTGGAATAAGCTTCGGTACCTAACTCGAGTTGATGGATCTGTTGTAACACTCAAGGCAGAATCATCGAAGAGGGCAAATCCAATGGTGCTAGAGCAAGTTGACTTATAGATATAGGGATAGAGATTGATGAGGAAAGGCGAATTTGTTTTCTCCAGAAATCGAAGAATCGGCCTGAGAATCACTTCGCCGTTGGGTTGTTGAAACCTGGCTGAGGAAGGAGGGAAAGCGTTGGGGATGATGCTGGAGAAGGAGAAGGTAGTGGAGACCGAAATCTTGTAGATCCTGATCTCTTTTAGAGATCGGCGAAGATTTTGCATTGCTCGGAGTAGGAACGGCGAAACGTCGGGCGAGTCTGAAAGTGCGTCGTTTCCGACGGAGATGATTGAGATCTTGGTGTAAAGGTAGAACGGAAGAACATGTGAATGGACCCAGTGAGTTGCCACAGAACGATTCAGAGCGAACACTGGAACAAGCGGATTTGGAACGCAGAGAAAGAGAGAGACGTTTCTGTAGGCGAAGGCGCGAATCATCGCCGGAGTGGAGTCGAGAAGCCTCACCGCCGGAATTCTCATGGAAACAACCTTCTCGGCGATTATTTCAGGCGAAAAACGGAGCTGTGTAAGTGACTCCTATCGTCGTGGCGGAGGTGGTCGTCGGAGAGATCGCGACGGCGGTTAACGAGACAAAGGAGGAGTAGGCAAAACGCGATGGAGTCCATTTTCTTCAGTTGCTTACTTTCTTGGAAAGAGAGAGAGAAAAGGAGAATTGCTCTGCAGCAAAGAGACGAAAGCTTGAAGACGACGAAGTGCGAGAGAATGAGCGGGACGAATCAGTTAGAGACGTTAGTGATTCTGTGTGCTCCGGTCTATATTCTGTACAGTAGACTACCGACGTTGATGTGACAACACGTGTCCTTTAGGAGCATGTGCAACGCGGCAGTGATTTGGCCATTCGGTTCGATGGTGATTCAAAGGACTTCTCTCTCTCTCTCTCTCTGTCTCACTATATACATCATACATGTAGCTTTTTCTTCTACTCTCTCTCTCTCTCACTCACACACACCATCCTTTTTTAAGTATTTCTGCTGGAAAAGCTATTCCTTGCCGTTGAAACGAAAATGGTGGAAGATGAGCGCTTGTCGATGAAAAGGAAAGATATTGACCGAGTGAACGACGAATTCTCATATTTTTCCCTCAATTCTCCGGCCAGAAAGATTCGTCGCCTGGTAATTTCATCTTCTCTCCTTTCCGATTTTAGAAATCCCTAAGTTTCGTTTATCTTAAGATTCTGTTTGCGATTGCATCAGGATGTGGATTTGCCACTGATTATGGAGGAGGATATGGCGATGCAAGAGACGGAGGCGGAAGAAATTGAGCCCGCACGATAAACGAAGAAAGAGCAATTGTTCTATTCAAGCCTCCCATTATCACCAGCCTTCTTCTTCTGGACAACTATTTGTTGACAGAGACTTGATTTCTGATTTCAAGAGTAAGTTTCTTAATCGATTGTCATCTTTGGGAGTGATTTTCTGATTGCACCGGTGCTTAGAAAGTAGGAACAAGAATGTGGTTGAAGTGAATAAGCTATAATGTTTTGTGCAAAGGCTTGTAGAAGAAACTATATTATGAAGATGTGATGATATCTCATTTCATAAGTTGTTTCTACTTTTGCACGATCAATTGTTATTCACTTGTGAAAGGTTAAAGCAGCTTTATGTATATAGTATACACTAATCTGGAGTTATATCATAAACAGATATATTTGTGGTAGGGATTCACATGATATGAGGTCATATTGTTATAAACAATATGAGAATTTTGATGTTTCATGTAGTTTCTCTGCCTACAGGAAGGTGTCAAATTTTGTTATGCTTCGTTTAGTTTGTTAAAGCCTCTGTTTGCATCTTGCTTGTGATATATATTCTACGATAAATTTTTCTGAAAAATTGGTTGTGATTGCAATTTGCAGAGAGTGTTGGCGGAGGAGACAAATATCTGTTTGTAAAAAAGAGGTTAACAAGTTGAAGGAGTATGTACATAATGCTGAGACGGCCAAGATTGAGGCTTTGTTAGAGCTTGAGGAAGCCAAGAAAACAGTTGAGCATCTCAATCACGAGCTGGTAATTAAGCAGGACATGAGAATTGGTGACAAAAGTTTGGATTTCAATGTTAGAACTGGGACTTCGGAGCTAGGCCTTGCTAAGGAATTGCTTCAAAGAGTAGCCGAAGAAGAGAGTGAATCGGGAATTAGGCAGAATATGAGAAATGCTGAGAAGGGTTTATATTTGAGTAGTAATGTGAGAGTTGTGACTAAAAAGTCTTAGGGAGTTTTAATCTCAAAACTCTCTAATTAACGCAGGGGATTTCTGCTTTCTTTATTGACGATAAAAAATACTTTCAAAAGGAAAGTCTCAGATTTTTTATTGATACAAAGACTTTAGGAGACATCAATGGAAACAAGAACATTAAAGGATAGATTACAAGAACACGCTCACATACAAAGACAGAAAACAAAAAAAACTGAAATCAGTTTGGCATTTAAGTTGAATTTAGACTAGAAAGGACAGAGGAGAGGATTTATGGATACAAAACAAGCAACTATTATTCAGAGAATTAGTTTAATTTTAACGTATGCATATTTAAATAATATTTATTTGTTGCCCGGTCGAAACAGATGACGAAGATGAAATTATAAAAGTTAAAAAGAAAAAAAAAATAGGATATAAGGTCCCTCTAAGTCTAAGTGGATAATTATCTTGAATTCCAAAAGCGTTTTCCTTTCGGATTAAAGAAATACTGTCAGCAACTCACCTTTTGTTAACCGGGGGAAGAGCTTGAAGCATTAACTCCAAATTTAGACTAATAAAGAGAAATTATTGAATTTTAAATTCAGGAATCGTGTTTGTTGACACACCAGGAGTGGCAGCAGAAATTTTTGATGAAAGCGGATTTGATTTGAATATAAGTGGTTGTAACTTGTAAGTTCCCTTTTCCCTTTGGAAAACTGAGCAAAATGATGCTTAATTACCACATGACCTTTTATATATGCCCTATTTTTTTGAGCATAACTGGTGTGTTTCATAGCCTGATTATGCAACTCTGACTACGTACATTCAATTTGATTGATTATATCAGGTAAGATATCGGCTCATATCACTAACCAATTTTTATTTTTATAAAAAAAAATTCATTTGCTATCTGTTGTCATCATCTATATTCTTGATAATATCATCCTATTCCTAATGCTAAAAGGAAATACTTTACAACAAGGAAATACTTTAGAGTTGGTAATTATCTTCATAAAAATTTAGAACTGTATATCCTAATCCTGACAGAGATTAAGATGATTTTTTTTCATATATATTGACCCCCAAAACCTACATATACATACTTATTCATAATATCCCGTTAATTAACCGAAAGCGATTAAAATAGAAACTATGGACGGCGGCCTCCTCCTCTCTCCTTCGCCGGAACCCCAACATCCAACTACCGATCCGGCTTTAGAAAACAGAAAGCTTAAGGCAAAGAAGAAAGAGATACTGAACAACGACGAAGCCTCTACCTCTAGTTCTTCATATTCTACCTCTAAACCCAATTCTACTCGAAGGGTTTCGCGATTTTCTCATAGACTTCGAAAACCTACCGTGCGGTTAGGTATGACTCGTCGAAGCGTTGTGGAACGACAAGCCGAAGCCTTAGCTCTAGGCATGTCAACTGCGACTTTTGCCAGTATGGTACGATCAATTCCCTAACTATATCTCGCTCTCTATCTATCTGTTGTTTCACATTCGTTATACTGTGGTTGCCCGTGCTTGATATTTAGGGTTTCAAGTTTGCTTCTTTAGAAGTTTGACCTAAGTGCATGTTTTAGTTAGGTTCTATTTAATTCTAAACAGGACTTAGGACAGGATCTTCTGTTCAAATTTTAATAGGAGGCAAAGGGATGAATCTGAATTTCTTGTTTAAGGATCTACAACAAATTAGCAATACATGAGTCTATTATAGCGCAGTTAAATTGTCATTGACTTGCATTGCTAAAAAGTGCTTTTCTTTTTTGGTTTTCTTGTTCTTTAGGTTTTTGAGAAAAAGAGTGCCACAGGTCAGAATACAAATGTTGCTGATCTTGCACTGGTAAGTACTAAGATTTTTAAATGATTTAATTCTTGATTTCTTTTCCATCTCTGTTTTTATTTTTGGTAGTGACAACACAAATTTCTCTGATTATGCTCTGCAGATTTATGCTTCTGCTGTCAAAGAATCTTTAGCCAATGTAAGCCAAAAGTCGCTCCAGTTTTTTTCTCTCGCATTCTTCAGTTTACAGATTTATTATTAATTATAATGATGTGATTACAGGTTTATGGTCACAAGCTTGGTTCCTTTGCAGAGAGATCATTTAACAGTACTCTAAGGATACTTAAAGTGATTAATGGTTCTGAATTTCCGCATCAGTTAGACAGTATCCATAAATCCAAGCTACAGATGGGTGTTTCGAGAGCTGCAATCAGAGCGGAGCGATTCAAAATCGAATTAGAAGACAAAATAAAAGCTTGTTTGGCCACAATATGCATTGGTTGGCTCATCTTAAGTGTCATCAAACACTCTTGTTTGGACGTCACAAGGTGCTTATGTCGCCTCACAACAAAGGATCATGGAAAGTGGTACCCAAATATGCAAGTCTTTCGAGGAACCAAGTTATTCTTGGTTGCCTCAGAAAGAAGTTTCACCAAACGAAGAGTTATTCATCTTTATATGCCGGCATCAGATTTGGGTGCAGATGTATATCCCTGTCGCAATGATCCTTTTCGTCACGTATTTGATAATCCGTCGTTCATCAGCTACAAAGCAGAGAATGTCGGCAACTTCTTACCTACTTTTCTTCGGTATCGTTTGCGGTTTATCAGGTAAGCTCTGCGTGGACACATTGGGCGGTAACGGCAAACTATGGCTCTTTATTTGGGCAATGCTTTGCCTTTTGCAATACGCTACAGTTCGGTTCATAAGATGGGCGCAAACCAAACACTATGGTTCTGTACTGGGCACGTCGGTATCTTCTTTGGATTGATTCAGCTTATGATGTTTCACGCCTCTTTCTAATTTTGTTTGTTTTTTTTTGTTTTTGGTCTTTAAACATATGGTGATTATGGTTTTTATATATAGATTATTTTTTTCTTCTTAGTGCCCTCTTCATATTAAAGATTAACATGTAATTAAAAAAAGAATCGGTGAATCCATGGACAAGAAGAATATAGGCAAAGCCACTTTGTAATGCAAATCCATATCGCCCACAAGATAAGTTTGATCTCTGTAAGCATAAAGTTCTCAAAGCATATATTATAATGAGAGATTGTATTTCACCAAGAAAGATTGTCAACAACAAAGGAAAGTAAAACAAATTGGATTTCAAACTAACAAATGAATTTGTTAGAAGAGAAACCAAGAACAAGATCAAAATCGGAAGAACAAAAAACACTAATGTCTATCTTTTAGGAAAAATCCTAAAAATAGCCTGAGAACAAAGAACAGAGATACTCACCTAATAGCAAGATTAGTTATATCCATCTCTTGAATGAGAGATCTCAAAGGTGGGCAAATACATGTGCTCTCTTTGGAAGAAATAGAACAGTCAGGTTAAAAGGACAAAAAATTTCGGAGCCTAATTGGCTAATCCCAAGCGCTGGTCACTCCTGCACCATACCCACCACTTGGAGCACCACCATAGCCTCCTCCTCCGCCACCACCGCCATAGCCTCCCCCGCCACCACCGCCACAACCTCCGCCACCACCTCCATAGCCTCCTCCGCCACCGCCACCACCGCCATAGCCACCTTCCCTTCTGAAGTCACGGCCACCAAACCGACCACCAGACCGTTTTTTACCACCACCAAAAGAAGCACGTGAAGCGTATCGCGTGAGCCACTCAGGCACCTCTTGGTTGGCTTCTTGCATTAGCTCAGCGAGCGGTCTAGCCAGTGATGCATTGTTATCGTTGAAGAAGGCGGTTGCTACTCCAGATTTGCCTGCACGCCCTGTTCGTCCGATTCTGTGAACATAGTCGTCGATGTCGTTTGGTAGATCAAAGTTCACTACATGAGCCACGTGTGGAATGTCAAGACCACGTGCTGCCACGTCTGTTGCAACCAATATGGGTGTCCTCCCACTTTTGAAAGACCTCAGCGCCACTTCTCGTTCCTGTGAATGCATAACAACACAAAGAAGTTAATCAGATTTAGTCAACAGAGAACACAATTCTTGATTATGAACTGGAAAGAGTAAATTTTCATCCAGGCTGTTTGTTTGATCAACGAACCTGTTGTGTTCTATCGCCGTGAATGGAGGTTGCAGGAAACTCATTCATGCACAACCAATTCTCCAAAGAGTCAGCTCCTCTCTTCGTCTCCACAAAAACCAATGTCAATGATTGCTGTGTATGAAAAGAGAAGAAAAGCCAGCATTAGTCAGAGAGAGTGATAAACTATGATCCATGAGAGAGAATAATAAATCTTGGATAAGTAAACAACAGACGGTAACTATTGCATTACCTTGTCTTGGGTGTCTCTCTGTGCATGAAGCAGGTCCATGAGATGGCTTCTCTTGTCAGTGTCAAGGACATACTCAATCCTTTGGGTGATTAAATCAGTGCTTGAACCAACCCTTCCCACAGCCAAAAATATATAGTTTGACAGAAAATCAGCTGCGAGTCTCTGTACAAGAAACAAGTATGCGGGTATTAATAGAAAGTAGAAACGCTAAGAGCCATAAAAGTCTTGTGCTGAGTATTATACAGCTATTCTCACATACGAACTCTAACAGTCCTAAGTCATTTGACCTCTTTGCCTGTCTAAAACCAAACCATCCTGACTTGCAGATATAGCTCTCCATACCATGCTACTTCACTAGATTATAATCTAAGAGCAAGATAAGGAAACAGGGGAAGTTAAAACCAACCTGGATCTCCCTAGGAAATGTAGCACTGAACAACATTGTCTGTCTCACCCCACGAGGAGGCATGTCCATCTGTTCAACAATCTTTCTAATTTGTGGTTCAAAACCCATGTCCAGCATCCTGTCCGCCTCATCAAGAGCTAAAAATTTAATCATCTGCATTGAGACTCTAGCTCTCTCTAGCAAATCATTTAACCGGCCAGGAGTTGCCACAAGGATATCAACTCCCCTCTCGAGTTCCTTGAGCTGCACAAACAATAAAAGATGAGAACAATAAATCAATGCTTGAAAACTCATTGACTAACACCTCCAACGAAAACTAACTCACAATGCTTCTGCATTCTATCTAATGACAAATTAGGCGAAATGGCTATGTTAACTATCAGAGAAAAAAGAGTTTGCAAGGTATGAACTATGAATTGCTGACTTCAAAATCAAAACAAATTTCAACACAGGAGACTGGCATTAGGAAGGAAAGATCAGTACGTGTAAGCTACTACTCACATAAAGCAGATAACAGTGATATAAACATGTAGCAACAACAAAGACAAAATCTGAACACCAATAGAAAGCTATTTGTGTACGATAATTACCTGCTGGCCAATAGGTGTTCCTCCATAAGCAACAACCACTTTCACACCAGTTTGGTACGAGAACTTTTTGGCTTCATCATGTATCTGCCAAGAAACCACAGAATGAGAAATATGTATATCAAATTACAAATAATTAGTCGGAAGAAACTTTACTCTAGTCTATGAGGGAATGAGTAGATTCTCGATGTTACCTGGCATGCCAACTCCCTTGTTGGTGAGAGGATGACAGCAAGAGGGTAAACAGTCCGTGAGCCACGGGGTCTCTCATTTAAATGCTGATCTCTCATGATTCCACTAATTATTGGAAAGCAAAAAGCAGCCGTCTTCCCAGACCCTGTCTGAGCACAGGCCATCAAATCCCTCTGTCCAAGCAGTATCGGAATCGCATGACGCTGCACGGGTGTTGGCTTCACGTACTTGCACCTCCGGATGTTCAGATTCAACGCATCCCCAAGATCAATGTCTGCAAATGTGTTGACAGGAGGAGGCACGTCTCCCCCACTGGTCTCAATTGGAATATCTTCATAGGCATCGAAATTAATCCCTGTGTTCTCCTGCTCGGTAAAGACGGGCTCTAGATCAACATCAGCTCCAAAGGGATTCACTTCACGTTCCTTACGGTCCCACCCTCCACTCCTGTTGTTCCAGCCACCACCACCACCTCCTCCTCCTCCTCCACTGTAACCATATCCGGGACGCCCAGCATCAGTCCTGTAGCCACCACCACCAGCACCACCGCCAGGAGCCCATCGAGAGCCAGCCGGTTGAGCACCATACCCTGGACGGTTATTTTCTGGCAAAGGAGCGACGGGTTCTGATGGCCTGTTGCGTAGATGTGGGGGAACGTAAGCAGGTTTTGACTTGGAACCGGCCTTCTCTGAATCAGCCGCATCTGCCCATGATGCACTCATGATTGAAATTCGTGACGTCCTAACTCTAGAAAAACTTGCAATCAACCAACGAAATGATAAACAAAACGATCGCAGCTGCTTCGATTACTTGTTATCGGCGAAGATAAGGAACCTGGTAAATTCCAAATAGGGTCTAGTTAGCAGAGAAACGAAATCCTATAAATCAAATAGCAACGAGGCTTTATTCCAGCTCCATCAGCTGGAAACCCCAGAATCTCAACCAAATCTATATCAGAAGAGAAACAAATCCGACCTTATGATAAGAATCTAATGTGTAGCAAGCAAATTACAACCGAAAAACTCAGGTTTTAGACCTCAAACGATAGAAACCAAAAGCATGGAGCATCTAACCCTAGCTAAAGCTCGAAATCGAGAGATACATTCGCGGAAATACAGAGGAGAGGGTATAGAGATGGAACCTCAAAAATCGGTAGAGAGAATCGAATCGAAGAAATAAATTCAACGGTAGTCGTTCACCCAACGTAAAAGCTCGGGGAGAGAAAAACCCTAAATTTCTTTGGTTTGCTTTAGGATCGGACACAACGCGAGGAAATAGAGATGTTAACTCTTTTAAGAGATGAGCTTAATTTAAAAAAAAAAAAAAAAAAAAAAAAATCATATTAAGCAATATCTAAATTTTGAATTGTGAGCAAATATAATTGTTGGCAAGAATGCTTTTTTAGTAAATGTTCTTTTTAAGAATGATATTCAAAAAAAAAAAGAATGTAATTTGAATAAATATTTTTCCATTTGAATGTGTGTGTCTGTGTGTAATGTGTTATTCTTGCCCCTATACATGCTAACTTTATTTGTCTCGTTTAAATCCATGTTAAGAAGTTCTGTTTAAAAATGGATTCTAGAAGAAGAATAAAACAGACTTGCGACCTCCAATTTTCTTAAGATTTAACAATATTCGAGATGGGAAACAAGTGACAGAAACAACTGGTCGTATTGGCCAAACATCTACAAGTTGTGACCCATTTGGTACTGGGCCAAAGTTTGTATCTCAAGAAATTGGACGAGCATACTACAACTCTTGACAACTGGGTCACATTGTCAGAAAACTTGTATACAAGACTATAATGTCAAGTTTTATCTTCCTTATTCCTGTAATCGTGTTAACTCAATGCAGATTCATCACTCTTAATTGAATCAAAATTGACACTTTTATAATTAGCATCAATAAAAGGACATCGACGCTATGATGTCGACTGTAAAATGTGCTGAATATGGTTACCAAAATCAGCTTCCACTACTTTCTTTAATCATTTGCCTAAACTTATGCATAGACCGGTCTCATCTGAACCAATTTTCTTTCTTGTCTTCTCGAAGAGTTAGAAACTACAAATGTGATTGATCATAAAAGATAAAACATGTTTCCACACTCTTTTCATGTGGAAAAAATGAAAAAATATTTATGTAACTTTCCAATAACTACAACTAGTAGTATTCACTATTTGAGCATTTAATAAGTTTCTTGCAAAATTAGAACCTTGATTATCCTAACTTAAGTGGTGTCTCTTTCAAATTTAGATCTCAAAGGCTGGAGGGTATAACAGTAAAATCAGTATACGGCTCCAAAGCTACAAACCCACTCGCCACTTACCTCACGCGCCCCCTCATTTCGATTTCCTCTCACTCTGCACACGAAGCGAGAGAGAGAGAGAGAGAGAGAAAAAAGCGAAGAATACGCAGAATCCATCCAATTTAGGGTTAGGGCTGCCCCTAATCTGGAAACCTTGCCCTGCTTTCTGATCTGTTTTCCGGATCCGACTAGAGCAAAGAGGACGACGACCCAGTAGCGAAAAGATGGGCGCGAATTCGCTTCCGACGGATGCAACCCTCGATCTCGATGAGCAGATCTCTCAGCTCATGCAGTGCAAGCCCCTCTCCGAGCAACAGGTGCCTGCGATTGTGTTAGATTACAGCTTTCCTTATCCTTTTTCATCGTTTCAATTAGATCCATATTTTAGTTTTTGAGGTGAACTTGAACACTATCGATGATTTGATCTCAGATTTTGTTTCAAATGAAAAAGTGTGTTTTTTTTTTGTTCTTTTCGGTCAGTATGCGATTATCCGATTTGATTTGTCGAAAAGTTATTCTGGAATAGGCAGAGGTCGATGTATGTGTGTATATACTCACGGTTGTTTCATTTTCACGTCAGTTTTATGGGTTGAAAAAAAACTGGATTTTATTCTATCATTTCATAAAAATTGTGGCTGTATTGGTTTCTGAATAGGTCTGCATTTTGATATCCATCTGAATTGGTGATTAACAAAATCGAATCTCATCAGTTAGATGCATAACTGGATTTTCAATTGGGTAGAAAAGATAAATAAAGTTAAAATTGATCTTTTGACTCACAAAAAAAGATAAATACTTGGCGTTAAAATTGGTCATTTTGACATTTTCATGCTATGTTTTTGATACCGGATATTACTGTTAGTCCTGTGTCTTTATAGGAAGTATAGGAGGTGAAAGATGAACTTATCATGTGCAGTGTTGTTTTATTATCATTAGGTTAGAGCATTATGCGAGAAAGCTAAGGAGATCTTGATGGACGAAAGCAACGTCCAGGTTAGTTCTTGGTCTTACTTCTCTTGGTGATCATAATTCCCATGTGGTAGATTGTGTAACCAGCCTGAATTCCTTTTGTTTGGATTAACTGGAGTTGATTTTTATATTTTTCCTGCATGCAGCCTGTCAAAAGCCCAGTGACAATCTGTGGTGATATTCATGGACAGTTCCATGATCTTGCAGAGCTTTTCCGTATAGGAGGGAAGGTAACATCTATAACACTTACTGAGATGCACAATGGACATAAAGATGCACGTTTTGTGTTTTATTCTGTTCCATCTTTTCTAGTAATTACATAAAAGAAAGTCTAGAGGGTTTTCACTGAAGAAGCAGATTATTTGGATCCTTTTTTACAGTGGTTATTCTTGAAAGTAGTGCTTAAGTTTCGTTTCTGGTTCAACTTTTGTTCTCTGATGAATGTTCATCTTACGCTTTTTGCAGTGCCCTGATACCAACTATCTATTTATGGGAGACTATGTCGACCGTGGATATTATTCTGTCGAAACTGTTACGGTACCAAGCTTATACCATCTGCAGACTTCTTTTTTTTGTTCAATAATAATTTTCTGATTTTTAAGTAGAAAGACATCTTTGTCTTGTTATATTGTTAAATCGTTTCTATAACGGAGGATAGTTCTCTCCGAGAAGTTTATGTATGTTTGTTAGATTTGCAATGCTGATACTCTTCCTTTCTTTCTAATGCCATTTGTAGCTGTTAGTTGGCTTGAAAGTACGGTATCCTCAGCGAATCACTATTCTTAGAGGAAACCATGAAAGTCGTCAGGTAAATTAACCTTTTTACTCATTTATACATTTACAAGTCAGTTACGGTTTCCTAAATTTTGTTTGCTGTACTTTCCTCTCCTCCAACTTCTTGCCTGACTCAATACACTTTCGCTGTGGCAGATTACTCAAGTTTATGGATTTTATGATGAATGCCTGCGAAAGTGAGTCTCCAAAATCCTTATAATTCTTCAAATCTTAGTTGTTGTTAATCACATTGAATTTGATAAGACATCGAATTTCCTTCTACACCTTTAGAAAATCCTTCGCGATTTTGTTTGCAATTTTCTTAACAAAGCTTCCTTGTACTTGCAGGTATGGCAATGCGAACGTGTGGAAGATATTTACTGACCTCTTTGACTACTTCCCACTGACAGCCTTGGTTAGTACCTTTCTCTCCAGTTTTATGAAGTTGGGACTCACAAAAGTTTAACTGTCATTGAACTGTGGGTCTTCTTAGAGTTTTAGTTCCAACGAATTACGACGCTAACGAATCTCATGTCGTATCTCCTGTTCGCAGGTGGAATCCGAAATATTCTGCCTTCACGGTGGATTGTCACCGTCTATCGAGACCCTTGACAACATTAGGAACTTTGACCGCGTTCAAGAAGTTCCACATGAAGGGCCTATGTGTGACTTATTATGGTCTGATCCTGATGACAGATGCGGCTGGGGAATCTCTCCTCGTGGTGCTGGTTATACATTTGGTCAGGTATTGAATTATTGAAGCCTCAGTCTCAAAACCTGTCCTGAATCTCCTTTTCCTTTGCTCTAAATGAGTGTATAATTGACTCTCTCTCTCTCTCTCATGTTTGTTTCCACAGGACATTTCTGAACAATTCAACCACACTAATAACTTAAAACTGATCGCCCGAGCGCATCAGCTGGTTATGGATGGATACAACTGGGCACACGTAACACAATCAAACTCATATTCCTTACATAGATTGGCCGAACCTGGAAAACTTTGCTAACTATGTTTAATCACATTCCCATTAACAGGAGCAAAAGGTGGTTACTATTTTCAGTGCACCAAACTATTGCTATCGCTGTGGAAACATGGCCTCCATTCTTGAGGTCGATGACTGCAGGAACCACAACTTCATTCAGGTCTTTCGCAAACTAATGTCCAGAAATCTTCAATGAAACCTCTGGTAAAGAAAAATGCAAAACTAACAAGGTCTAAATTTGTGAAACAGTTTGAACCAGCCCCGAGGAGAGGAGAACCAGATGTGACCCGAAGGACACCCGACTACTTCCTTTAAACACAAGTCACCTCCTCGCAGCTGCAAAGTCTGTTTGTTGGTTTTTGGAGAGATCTCTTGCTTATTCCTTTTGGTTCAGCCGCATTATGTTACAGTCTGCTTCTCTTTAAGGTCGATCAATTTAGCCCTTTCCCTTGGAATAGTGTAATATAGGCAACTGAGGTCGTCAACGAATGTTAAAAACCCCATGAATATTTGTGTTTGGTTGAACTTATTCAGCTCCCTTCTGCCTCAGACTCTGTTTCTTGTGGGATATGATATTATTTTGATTCAATTTCACGTAATTCTTCCCTTCAGTTTCTGTTTTCAAACCTGATGAAATTGAAGTTTCTTAAGGCATCAACGTGATAAACAGTGGCCTGTAAGATTATATATATACCAAACAGACAATGAATCTGTAACTACAAGTTAATGTAAGAGAATAACGAAGGAACAAGATCAACAACAGACCAGGCAAGGCCTGCATATTGCAAGAACCTTATACCGGTGTCAACATCAAATGAGTCCTGTTTCAAGAAGTCGCACAGTTTCTGCAAATACCCAACCGAGTTCTTAATTTCGTCTGTCTTCTTCCCATTTGCATATCCGTTGTCGAGCTTGAGCTTTGGAATGTACGTGGTGGATCTTATTGGGATCCCAAGTGCGTTGGATACTGTTGGCAAGATCCATTTTGCGAGGGACTTACTGCAGAATTTCACCAAGAGTATCGTTGGTATCCCCACCATGACTCTCCCAAGGTACGCTGAAACCGGAAGCTCCGGTGAGAAGATTCTTGGAGCTGCTTCATGGTGGAATTGGCTGTACGTTTGCTGAACTCCAGCCACCTAAAGACAAGTAAAAAGATCGGTTAAGGGCCATTGTCTGAACAACAAACCATCAACAGTATTTGCACCATATCAACATTTCTTGATATTGCTTACAATTCCTAGCGCAACACCGTTGAAGGCGGTGTGATACTCGTAGCTTGGAGTTTCGTGCTCGGGAGTCGGATAAGCAAAGAGCAACAAGAAACTCAGAGCAGTCCAGAAGGAGCTAACTGCACAATAATCAGTAGAGTCATGCAAATTGCAAGTAGAAGAAGCAATTGCGAAACTAGGAGCAATTATGCTTACCGTTCTGTTTCGAGGTGATGAAATCATCGATTTTTTCGTTGACGGTAAGCCAAAGACCTAGAATCAAGACTCCTATGGCAAGACCAGCGATGATATCGACCACACTGTGCATACCCAAGTAAATCCTTCCTAGGAAGAAAAACAAAAACGTTAACTGAAGAATCAAATACACATATAAAGGAATGTGCATTTCTATGGTAAGAGTTTGATCTTACCAAAGGCAATGAGGGCTACCAACAGACAAGCAAAGGCAAATCCATAGTACTGGATAGACGCATTTTCATGTTCAAAAGAGGAGAACACATAGTGAAATAGATACCTGAAACAACAACCATTGAAGGGACAAAGTGTTAAAACCTCTAATACTCACACCAACATCTGCTTTACGCAAGAGCAGCGTAATGTTCACAACAAGGGATACAGATTAACACTAATTGCTTCACATACATCCAATAACAATTAACAACTATCAGTAAGCATCAGTTGATCTATCTTCAACAGTTCAACTATGGGATTCTATAGCATTCCAGTTACAGCAGTAAAAGAGTTTGCAGAAGAACATACCCAGATAAACAAACAGTGTTTAAAGTATGTGAAGAAGGCAAGCCATATTCCATTGCATTGTCTTCCTCATCTTTTGTTGCAGTAATCCTTCTAACCGGTGGGCAGCTCGGACGAGGAGCTGATACCACATCCTACATATAGAAGACGGTTTTAAAACCAAAGGCTCCTTGTTTTCAAAAACTTGTAAACGAAGAGAATGTGTAATATACCTTGATGCAGTTCCCTAAGTAATCACAGAATGCTATCAATAGAGTCATCTGCCTAGCCAATCTACCATGTCCACTCTGCAGATTACACTCATGGATTAGTAAACTACTTCAAAATGACAATCATATCCGTATGTATCCAAGACTAAAGTTTCCAACTTAAATGGTGAAGAAGAAGTTTGGAAAGTTACCCAGAAGAGCAAAGGCAAGAAAGCAGTGTAAAAGGGCACTGAGACAACGCATGATAGCCCTGAGAAGAAAGCATCCAACAGTCTGTTCTGATGTTTCTGCAAACAACAATTTCCACATGAGAACTTTTATTCATCTCCAAATCAAAGTCAAAATGAAAAATTCATTTCTGTTTTGTTTTCAAAGCTGTTTTTGATTATTTTGGGGTAATTAGGCACCTGGATATTGAGAATGAGAGGAACACCACCGACGACTTGACGAGCGACCCATGGTTGTAGGAGAGATCTAAATTTATGGGTCAATTTGAGATATGAAGAAACACAGATCCATGTCACAATACTCACGAGGACCAATCCTTGCCATGTCCCTGAGCCTTCCATCGTGACTTTCTAGATTCTTCTTCTTCTTCTTCTGCCACCGTTTTTTTCCCTCCCTCTTTCCCCGTTTCGAGAGAGAGAGAGAGAGAGAGAGAGAGAGAAAATGGAGTTTGATAATTTGAAAGGGATTTGAATTTCTGGGTTTTTGAAAGTAAAAAATCTAAGAAACAGAAGAAGACGACAATTATCCAATATATGCTCGTGGGATGTCTCTCGGGGCCGTACAGTGAGGAGCTCCAATGGATGTTCGCTGGCAGAGAGAGTAGAAAAATCAAATATAGGAAGAATTTGATTTTGATTCTCTATGAAGAAAGTTAATAGGAAATTTTCACAGCCACCAGTTTTGAGCCACCACTTTCTCAAAGTGAAGGTCTACGTGTTAGGTTGAGTCAACGCAGATTTAGTCAAATTCTTTGAATTGTTTTACTTTCTAATACTGAGAGTGATTGCCATGTTAACATTTCATTAATATTTGAGCTACAGAAACAACTTTTTTTTGTTTGTTTTTCATTGATCGTAAAATACTGTATAGAGACATAATAAAACAGAAAATGAAACGGAGAATTGTAATACGTAGTGTGCACTACATGTAAGAAAATGGTCATTTTGAACATTGCTTCTTACTTTTTCTAAAGCAACGCCATGAGTGCTTAAGTTACAAACTTGTTTCATAAGCTAAGCTCATCTCGTGTGATCTGCATTCTCATGTTCCCATATCACATTTAACATTTTGGGTTTGACTAGTTCTGATTTTCTGAAGAATAAATCGTCTCCTCCATAAAAATAAACAGATCTACACTAACGCCATTTCTCCTCCATAAATTCATAGCAGAAAAAGAGCAAACAATTGAACAAGGCAAAAAGACCAAAATATGTCGCATAAATGGGACAGCATTATTGGTTTCACCAAAAATCTCTTACGACAAACAGAAAATCCAAAACAGAGCAAAAAAAAAAGTAGAACCCAACCGTTTCTCGTTCTTGACGAAACAGACTCACAACAAAGTCTTATGATTTTTCTCTCCTCTGGCTTTTACCTAAATGATCAAAGTAATATTTAAGTACGAACACCTCGGTTAAGACTTACCATTCGGGTCGTACCATCCATCTGCATTCCTCCTCTGTTCCCAGTTCCACCACCTCTTCCTCCATATCCACCTGCCCCTCGGTTCTGACCAGACCACTCTCTTGTCTGACCACCATACCCAGATGATCTGTTACCACCGTAACCTCTTCCACCGCCATTGTAACCTTGTCTTCCTTGGTTGTACGACATGTTGTCTTGCCATTTCCCACCACCAGCTCCTCCTGCATACTCCTGATTGTTGTCTCTTCTTCTCGAGCTCAGATCCAGACCGCCGCCACCGGTCCTCGCCTCCATTGCTCTTTCGTTGCTCTCTGCAAGCACAGCAAGTTTCTCTGTTAACTGGAAAGCCAAGGTTTGCAGCCTGTTGTGCTGGACATCGTGGAAGACGATGCAACGTGTAGGTTGGTCCCAGTTTGCATGGAGTTCTTCACTGATCATCATCTTGCTCACGATGCTGTGGACTTGGTTCTCAGCGATATCAAACATCTTGGCCAGCTCAACTAGACTTAGGGACTCGTAAGAGGCCGAGTATGTGAAGAGGTAAGTCCTCAAAGCCTCTTCTTTGATCCTAGCCTTCACCATATCAAGGATGGTTTCACGATTCTTGAGCAGTTTCCAGACATCAAGAGAGTTCAAAACTTCAAAAGCCTTTTGGAAGTCTCCTTTGGTGAGAGCTCGAGTTGCTGCCATGACATGGTCACGGACGTTCTCAGGCGGAGCAGTGAATGCTTGCCTCTCGCTGACTTCGAGCAGCCGACGGAAGTTCTTGCTAATCACCTTGCGTCGGGTATCATGAGAATTGGCTGCCATGTTAGGGACCTCTAGAAGCATAGCACATATGAGATGGACAGCTTCAAGAAGCTCAAGGTTTATGTGCATGTGATATGGCATCTGTCGTCTCCTCTCCAATCTTTCCTGGTAGGACCAATAAGATGTAAATAAAAAAGAGCCTTAGGCTACATCCAATGTCTCAAGATGGAAACAAGTACTAAGAACCTGAGATGCAACAGAAAGTACTATGTAATATGAACAAAAATATGTACCTGCTCGGGAGTTTTCTCGTGATATCGACTTTGCGAGACACCTTGAGCAAGCAACTCACGCACCCTTTGACCAGAATACAGCTCAGAGAGGCAGCTGTGAGCCTCGGTAATCATTCCAACCCGGAACGCGCAGAGACCGAGCTGTGCCATGGATCTGTTAAAGAGGATCTGGGTTGAGATGTCCATGTGCTGAATATTGTCCTGCAGATGACTCATCAGCAACAAATCCCTAGCAGTCACAAACTGGTCCACTAATGCATGATGGTAGATATCACATAGCATCGCACGGGCTTTAGTCCGCTCATCTCCATATTTGTAAATAAGGGAGACCAGAACATCCATCATAGCTCGGCTACTCTCTGGGAAGGTAGGCTTACGAGGAACAACCTCTGGAACAACGATGAACGAAGGAGGAGGTACATTTTCCTGTTTGGGCTCCTCACTATCTTCTTCTTCTTCTTCTACCACCAGCTCAGCCAGTTTTCTCATGGCATCGTAAACTTCCTGAGGCTTGTAGTAAACTAACTCAACTCGTCTTAAGCCCACCCTTGCAGCAGCTTTGAAGTCACCAGATCGCTCAAAGTAGTCCTGGATGTTTTGAGCAAGAGCTAAGAACATCGGCTCATCTCTCAGTCTCTCCACATACTCACGTGTATGAGGATCTATGCTCTGCAAACTCTTGAAAAACTCAGTGTCTATCCTCTCCACGAATGCAACAAGGTTTCCCCAGACCCTAATTTTGCCATCATAATCTTCTGGTTTTGAAGTTTCATTCTCATCAGGCTCAACCGTGTCGTCAACAACGAGGTTATCATACTTGACCAGGATGTCCAGTATCGTAAGCATGTTACTCACACACTTCTTCCACACATTGATAGGCATGTGCCCGCTGAGACCAGGATTCACATCAAACTGTGAAGAAATAACACTGAACAAGATTTGAAGTTTCTGTGCTGGAGTTTTGGCAATCCTTGTCAGGTGTGTAAGCTGATCAACCAGTTCAAACCGCGCAGTTCCCTTCCTGCCACGGGCAGCCACAACTTCTTTGAATTTCTGATTGACCCACTCCCATGTGATCTCTTTAGGATCCTTATTATACAGCTTCTCCATAAGCTTATCTTTCTTGCTTAGCATCTTCTCCCAAGAGGTATCACCTTTAGTGTCATCTTCCGAGTCTTCAGACTCAGCCTCCACACCAACATCTCCCTCAGACTCATCCTCCTCTTCTTCATCTTCCACATCTTCATCCTCTGATTCCTTCACTTCCTCGGTCTCTGGATTCTCCCTGTATTTAGCAATCTCTTCTTCATACAGCTTATTGTTCTTCTTCAACCTCTGTCTCATTGCATTCAAGGCCTTGGAGTTACTGGGGCTCATCCTTCTCCTAGCTTCCTTGTTGGCCATAGTTTCATTGAGGAAATCCTCCAGCATCACAAGGGTTTTGATGTACAACACCGGAGCCTTCACAGCCTCCGTAATCCTCATAACTTTCTCCAGCTGCTTGTTGATCTTATCAAAATTCTCCTGAAGACTAACCCAATCATTGATCTTCATGGCATTCTTCATCTGCTCGGCGGTATTCACCATCTCTTCAAAACGCTTGTCCTTGGCTGGCTGAACAACACGTTTACGGAGATCCTCGTCATCACTATCACTTGCACCGGGAAGGTAACGCGAGGCACCACCGGCATTGGCATCTTGAACATCTTCCAAATCTTCCTCGACGTCAGTCTCGTATTCACTGTCACTTCCGGTCTGGTGAACAAGGAACAATGAGAAAGCAAAGTAAGTATACAAAAACGAAGCAAGCAAGTCCGCAATAAAGAAGTAATCGAAAAGGTATACAAGGTTCGAGGGAAAACCTGAGCAAAAAACTTCGACATCTTTCCCCAGCAGAAAACTTATCAATAATCAAACGTTTATAGCTGCTCCAAACCTGAAAAATTCCAAAGGGGTCTAAGATAGTAGAGAAAGGCAACCTCAGAAATCAATCGAATCCCAGAATCTCAAATCAAATCTATATATCAAGCAACTCATACGAATTCAGAAAGAGAAACAAATCCGGAGCAAATTACAATCGAACCACGCAAAGAGAACGATGAAATTAAAGCGATGAACATTCGCATTCAGGAAGATAGTGTGCGATTAAAACATATAGATGTATCCCAATGTTGATCATCAACAACAATTGAATCCGATAGATCTCTAAAAACCAAAATTTCATTCACAGATGATTTCGATGAAATCTCGTATGTTTCAGCTGAAATTGTGATATTGCTTGATAAGAGAAGAGAAGAGTAGAAGGCAAAAGCACAGAACAGGCAAATTCGCGAGAGAGAGTACCTGAATATCGCTAAACTTTGGAGAAGCGAAGAGAAAGAAGAAGGGTGAAATGAAGATGAAAATGAGTATGTAGATCGGTAGAGACAATCGAACAAATAAACGGCGCCGTTCACACAACGTAAAAGCTCAAGCAAGAGAAAAACCCTAAATTCCTTTGTTTGCTTTTGGATCGGACACTTGGTGTTTATTTCGCACCCTGGTCCCTCACAGTCTTTTTTTTTTTCATAACTTATATAAATTTTCCAAATGGTGGTATACACCAGCCAAACTACAAAAGAGGTGAAGAAACACCCAAAACACACAAAAGATAAACACATCTTCAAGAACAAAGCCAAAGCCAAAGTCCAGGGAAAACCGGTAAATCCCCGGAAACAGAGTCCAGGAAAAGGAGACAAGTACAACATAGGGAAATAAACATATCAAGATAAGAGCTAAAATCTTCTTAAAACCCAAAACTAAACTTTCAAACAATAAAAGCAATTAGTCTTAAAAACCTTTAGCATAGCCGGAGCAGTCAGTCACTCAGAGTCTTTACCTGGAAATGGAGAGGTATACTTTTGATATGAAAAAGTCTTTAGAGGTCTTAATTGGCCTTATATATCTTTTCTGACCATAAATTGACTTCCCACAAAATTTAAGGTTAGAATGAAGTTAACATATTGTTCTATTCCCTTGTACAAGCCTCTACGCTGCAGTAAAATGCTAATTGTACCGTGAATACGGGTAATCTCTGTCCACTATTATTCATTTTATAACTAATTTTTAAGTACGACATATTATATAGTTGTACTTGTAATAGAGAATAAATGTTACCAAGATCAATTATCACAGATTTTGGCTCACATAACATAAAAACCTGGTTGCAGCCGCGGAGACAGTGGAAATGCAACATAGGTACTTTACTGTGTTGTGTATTTACATTTGAATTTTCTTTTTGCTTTTGGCTATTATGAGTTGTTAATATACCAGCTAAGCTTGCTATAAGTGACAAGATTAAGTATTTATCTTGTTGCTCTGCCTCTTTGTCTTGGTTAGCTCATGCACTTGCCCGAAGGCATTAACAATTCCATCCTCCTTCCACTTACACACTAAGCATCGACTCTTATTCAAAATTGGTCAGTACTGGAGACCTTCGAATTAGCAAAAGCTTTTAGCTTTTATCTTTTATTTTTGTTTCCATTTTACATGGATTGATTCATGGTGAAATGTGCATGTGCATAAACGGCAGTGCACACATTCGCTGCAACTAAAACATAATGGGGGATTGGTAAATTGATGCCGCTATCCATCTCCATCTTTTTGAACGAAGATGAAGGCTATCTTGTGCAAATTTGGAGCTGAGGGCACTTTGTTGAACCCATATACCTTTAGATCGAAGATATCTGAGTTCTTTAGCCGCAAGCATGTTTTCTTCTCTGCTATCATCTCTTTGCCGAAAGGAAATGGTGAGCCACAAATAATTTAGAGTCTCAATAATTTACGAATGGTTTAGTTATTCCACACTACTACACGCGAAATCTAAAAAGAAAATGTTTTAATTTTTATTTTAAATATATTTTTGGTCAACATTTTAATCTATTTTAATAAAGATCACAAATTTAATGGGACATCGACTTTCTATGTATGGTGATTCAGTAGCACAAAAATATGAAAAACACAACAACTGATTTTCTGCTTTTCCAATTGTGCAGACTACATCAACAAAATTTACAGTAATGGAAATGCGACTAGAGGAACAAGGAGCACACACATAAAAGAAGACCATTCTTCACATTGTGTAACAAAAAAATTAAAAAGGATTCAAGTCGATCACTTCATCAGTCATCATCATCACATGAGCATTGGCTTCATATATATACACAGAGAGAGAGAGAGAGAGAGAGAGAGTCCTAAAGCTTCTCAAGTTCTTCTTGAGGCAAAGGACTTCTCCCAAGACTTGATCCTCGTGTTCTAACCGGTGCAAAAGGAGATGGGTTATAAGCGCTAGCTCTTGGAGATAGTTGAGCTTGTTCAAGAACCCTAAACTGAAGCTCTGATGGGTAATCTCTCATGCAACTGATTCTAGGCCCTGCACCTGTACTCCATCTTGAATGTAGCCTCTCAGCTAACTGGTATGATTTGATACCTTTGTGTGAGTCTATACGTTTCATTATCTTCTCCTTGGGGACAGGCTTCTCGTACTCTTCAATGTCTTCATCGAATAGATTCGACTTCGGGTATGTGAACTCTTCCTCAGCTATGAATGTCTCTTCTGCTGTCTCATACCCTTCTTCTGATGGTGTTTCAGGCTCTTCTTCCTCATCTTCATCATATTCCTCAATCGTGTCGAAGTCGTTGTGGGGAATCTTCGTTCTTGCAAGTTTTGAATGGAAACTTGTAAATGTTTGTAGCTCTGCATGATTAGCGTGTGGGCTTAGACCGGTCTGAGCGTCCACAAAGTCACAATGTTCGTCTTCGATCTCTTTGATTCTTGAAGGCATTCTCTTGACTTTATGATGATGATGATGATGATGAGCTTCTCCATCTTCTTCATCTGGACTCTTCTGCACATCATGAAAAAAAAAATCTCTGTAAGCGCGTGAATCATATAGCGGAAAGTAAACACAAACCAGATTCATAACTATGGAATGTAGATGACTTAAAGCTCAGACCGGAGAGGATTTACCTTTACATCTGTGAGGTCTACATGGTTCTCCTTAAGAAATGACATGAACGCCAGAAAATTCTCTTCTGTTGGAAGATAATGTCCACTGTGAGGCCAAACTGCCTGAAAAGATCATCCAAAGAACTCAAAACTTAACACACAGAGTTTTAGCAGAATAAACGAGGAACAGCACAAGGAATATTCTTTTAGTTTTCACCTTAAGAACACCATCGTCGACCACAATTCTTCCAGCTGATAAAGTAGCTCCTCCGGCCAGAAAACTCGAATGTTGAAAGTTCCCCTTTCTCTTCATTCCAGCATACAATATCTTAGAGACGCTTAGGACAAAGATCCACTTTGCATCCGGAGGCCCTTCTTTTGTGTCAAAAAGTATCCCACTATGCTTATACTTTAGTTTCCCATCCTCAATTATCACTTCATATGCCTCCCTTTCCGTCTGTTCGCAGGAAGGAATCAATTATTACCAAAAGATATCTAACTAACAAGCATGTCAATAACATCGAAAAAGTAATTATTTCCAAAACAATTGTCTACCAAGTTTTGCTGAAGACAATATCTCAAGTTCATCAGAATTAGTCTACTAAGCACAGTTATTAGAGGGTAAAACTCACCGGACCAAGATACTTGATGCTTTGTTGGTAAAGTTTTGACCTTGGACATCTTTCGTGGTTCAATTCTTTTCCTTGTCCTATGTCAAGCCTACAAGTCCAAAGTTGGATGTCAGCTCATAAAACGTATGTAATCCTGAATCTTGATACTGTCCAAAGTTTGATTGTGTAATAGCAAACGTACCAGTAAAAAAAAGGTTGTTTACTGTCACAGTGGAGCCACGCATGATAATAGAATTGCAGATTGTGGCCATAGCGATGTCGAGGATCAATCTGTTAAGCTAGAAAACTAAGATCACATTGCTTTACAGATAACTCACAACCAAAGAAAAAGGACAAACTGTACAAGAATATTCTTACCGCCTCAAGCCAATGCTGCAAAGCCAACTTCCGAGCTTTCTCGTCCTTTGACAAGCCTTTACCCACCTAAGGGAATAAACATTTGTCAAATCGTTAATGAAAGACTGGAAGCAAGGGAAAACAAAATGGGTGTATTGTTACCTTAGCAGCTCTTGTTCTTGCTCTAGACCAGCGTGAAACTGCAGTCTCTTGCTTCTCAATTTCAAAAAACGATATAGAGCTTCTTTTAAGTTCGGCAAAGTCAAGTACCTTCCACCTGAAAAATTCCAGTTAGTTACTAAACAGACAAACTTATTCTCTCTATTTATACAGTGCCTATTACGAACCATCTTTGCTCAACGACTACAGCACAATCAGCTAGCCTTCTTCTGGTTCGAAAGCTTCTATAAACCTTCTGCAACTTTAACGCAGCTTGGTATCTTCCGTCACCTAATAACGCTAAAAAATCTTTGACATGATCGTTTTCAGTATAAGGGTTTTCAGTAGGAGGTTTCCATCTTGGGATTTTGTATCTGTCATCTTCTTTCAAAAAGGTTAAAGGTTTTACAGAAAACTTGATCTCCACATCTCCTGGAGAAACTCTAGGTTGCTGTGTCTCTTTGAAGCTAAGGGATCTGTTCGTCTTTCTAGTCTCGGGTGATTCAGCGATGGTTGAATCAGATTCATTGTCATTAAAGCTGATTGATCGAAGAAGGGTCTTCATTTCTGCACAGCCAAGACAAACGCATATCAGAGCTAATGCCTTCAAATTTCAGTCACCAGAAAAATGTATTCCAAAAACAAAACGAAGTTGTGATGAATACAAACCCATTTTCACTCGAAGCCAGATTCAAGCATTTCCTTGCTACGTCCCTGAAAATGTCAGATAGTTAAATAACCACCATTGGGACATTACGTCGAACACAGTACGATCACCAAATTAAACACACATAAAACACTAATATTTTCCAAAACATTCACCATCTTCTTTCTAAATTTCTATGCTTCGCCTATCTAATCAGCAAAACTAACAAATTTATGCACTAATCGTGTAAACAGTGAGCCAAAAGTACGAGATTATCTCTGTATTTCAGGAGAAAGGGTCATACCTCGAATGAATGCGAGTCAAACAGAACACAAGAGACGGAATGAGAAAGAAGGATACTTTAATGGAAGAAAACAACAGAGCCAAAAAGGATTTAGGAAAAGCGAAAATGAGGAACGAAAACTCTTGAATGGGGTTGGTGTCTAGGATTAGATGGAAACGTGAGAGAGAACGATAATGGCGGCCATTTCTGATCAAGAGATTCTCATGAAATCTCAATCTATCGATTCGAATGTGTTCCATTGGCGGGGAGAAAATAGAATCCTCTGTTTTTCCCTTTCTAGCTCCTAAACATAGAGAGCGCTTTCAGAAGCTTTCATTGGCTCCTCTGTTTTTTGTTTCCTATTTTTGGCTGATACAGCATGATAAACAAAACGACACAGTTTCAGTCCTCGTCCGTTATATTTGACGGCGTTAACCAGAGCAGAAGAGAAAAACCTAATCCCTAAACCAGACGTTAAGTCTTCTCATTTTCCGAGAGGAATCTGACTTTTTATCCCGGAACTCCGACGCCGAAACCAATGGAAGGAGAAGATGAGCTCCGGAGAGTAAACGGAGATGTAGAGGATGACGATCCGCTAGTGTTGAGCTCTCAAGCTTTGGCAGCGCTCCAGGAATTTCTAGCTGACCAGAACAAGACTGTCGCGAGCGGCACGCCGGCGGCGTCTTCCGTCGACGGAGGAGATGATTCCGATAAAGTGGAGCTTGTTACGGAGGATTGGAGACTCAGCCAGTTCTGGTACGAGCCTGAAACCGCAGAGACTGTAGCTGAGGAAGTTGTCACTCTCTCTAGTAGATTCTCAGGCGGTCGAATCGCCTGCATCGCTTGCCCTACTCTCTACGTTTATCTCAAGGTAACAATTGATCAGTTTATCAAACAAGTATCGAATCCGTTTTGCTGAATGTGGATGCTTTTGTTGTTGCTGCTGCTAAATTTCTGTGTTTCCGGGTTTTGATTTGTGATGATGATGAGTCAGAAAAGGGATCCGAGTCTCCATGTGCAATTGCTGGAGTACGATATGAGGTTTGAGAGATATGGAGATGAATTTACGTTTTATGATTACAACGAACCTGAAGATCTGCCATTGCAGCTCAGACATTGCTTCCATATAATCGTTGCAGATCCTCCCTATTTGGTAAAAGTTCTCAACTATTCTGTTTCATTTTTCAAAGTTCTTAGTTTGTGACTTTTATGAGGCTAATGTTCGATGGAAATTGCCCTAAAGATGGATACTTTGTGGCTCTCTGCCTTATAATTGTCTTTGAGTAACTTATAGTCACCAGATTAGTGATGTTGATTTGGTTATGCTTGGCAGAGTAAGGAATGTCTGGAAAGAGTTGGTCAAACAATTTCGTTCCTCGCAAGTCCAGTAGATTCTTTGTTGCTTCTTCTCACAGGTACATGAATGACTTCTCTTTTCTCAAGTCCATTTCGTATGATTTAATGTTTTATTAACTGGGAGAAGATAACACATCTTGCAGGAGAGGTGCAGAGAGATCGGGCGGCTGAGCTATTGGGTGTTCGTCCTTGTGTGTTTAAGCCTCATCACACTAGCAAACTCGGGAACGAGTTTCGGCTGTTTATAAGTTATGATCCAGGCACCAGATTAGGGGGCTTGGAAGAAGACACCTAGTTGTGATAAGTTGCTTTTCTCAAGTCTTAGTAAACCAGTGGGATTCTTGTAACCCTCTGATCACAAAAAACATAGCAAGTAATCTTCTTTTCCTGTCTTTCTTGATATGTTGATTTCTGATGATCTCAGGTTTCCTATATATCAAGTATGCCATACTCTTGTGCGTGAGAACAATCATGTCTCATTCCTCAACTGTTCGATCGTTTTCTGTTATGTATGTTGTTGCAACCGTGGGATTTTAAGTCTGGTTGATATCATCAGTCTAATTGTTTTGGTGAAAGATGTGTTTGATGAAATATCAAATTTTGGTTTTTTGATATTTATTGCATTACCAAAGATATAATCAACACAATAAAATTTCTTGTGCCTCTCAAGGTGATGACGCATAAACTTTTTGAAACTTCCTGAAGGTGACACATCATTTAAAACAAATAGCCAATAAAAACATTTTAAATAATATCAGTCAGCATTTTAAACATTTTAAACATTTTAGTACACGTCAGCGGTCCAATCTCAAAATCGACTTCAGCAATTTCTTCTTCCTCCATGTAATCCAATCTCGAAATCGACTTCTTTCTCAAACCCATCTAAGTTTCTACTTCCTTCGTGTTATCATCTCTCTCAGTCGCATTTTCGTTTCTGATTTCTACCTAAAGTTTGGTTGGAATATATCATCTTTGTTACCTCAAAATATGGTTCGAATATGTAATCTTCTTTCCCAAATGCGGATCAAATTGCTCTTCTTCTACTGATTTTTTCTCAATGATTCTCCATATCTAGACTTCAATCTATACGGATTTAGGTTATTTCCTTGGTTCTCGAGTGATTCCTCCACGTTTTTCGGCAAATGATTTTTTATTGGTTATGAAATTTAAGATGTTTTGAACTCATCTCTTACTACTCTTACCCACTTTCGCTTTTAATCGGGGTTTTAGAAAAACTTAGTATTTTAGTATGATGTCTTATTCTGTTTTTGAGTTTGGTCAATCTGAAAGAAGATAAAGTGGAGAAGATGGCAGCGGACGAGAATCGTCGGATCAAATGGATCAGACCAAGAAATATGTGACGGTGGGTGAGTTGGTGAAGATACATATGCGAATTTCTCGATTCAAGGATTTAAATGGTCGCTTCTGGTCAAACACTTTGTTTATGGGTGTTTACTGCGTTGGTATATGCGAAGTGCTAATCTCATATCTCATATTTGCATTTATATCTTATATTTGCATTTAGCGAGTAAATGGAATTTGAATATATATTTCTGTTTTGATCTGATTTTAAAGGATATAATTTAATGCTTAGAGCTCAATTGCTTCCCGTTTTCAAAGGCAACAACATTTGAGGAAGAAGAAAATGAAAGAGAGGATAACATTAAAAAAAAAGCTATGAAATAGGAGTTGCCTGGATAACATTAACATCAGCTTAAGCCTTTTCTGGAGAATGCTGAGAAAAAAAGGGGGGAGATCTCTGTATCCGTAAGCTATGAAGGAGTTTCACTATATGCTAGAGAATGCTGAGAAAAATGGTTCTTCAAGCTTTAACTTTTAATGGCTTGTCAAGTTAGATTTTGCGTATATAGATTTTTCTTTATAGCGTTTAGGAAATGCATATTGTGGCACAATGTGCTTATTCTGTTATTCATAGCTTATTTTGTTTAGCAAATTGAATTACTTTATAAAATTAAAATTATATTACATGTAGAAATAATATTAATATAAATCATGTGGGTATATACTAATTAGCTCTTGCTCTATTGTTATTGTTTTGTGTAAAATTACTTTCGGGTAATCAAAAAAATTTGGGTAATCAAAAAGTTCTCGAATAATCAAAAGTTTAGATTTATGTATCATACAAAATTGACGTATAGAGGCTAATTTGATTTTTTTAAATGGTGTAAACTATTTTCAAAATCAAATACAAAACTAAAAATACAAGGCTCTATGTTTTCTAAATTGTTTATGGCTTTATGTAGCATAGAAAATTAGTGGATATAAAGAAAAATTGTAAAATATCAAAATATAATAATATAATTTATAACACAATAAAAAAAACAGAAGTCTCCCACGGCAAAGCGGGATATCCTACCTAGTGTTTGTAACAAAGCCAAGTGACTTACAAATAGATCACTCCAAGTAGTAGTAGTACTCAAAAGCCACATGAAAAAATCTACCGTAAATTGAATTTTATAAATTGCGTAAAGTGGTCGCATTTTCAAGTTTTCTCTCGACTCGAACCTTTTTGTCATTTCGTTCTTTAAAAAAAAGAGAAATTGAAAAAAAAAAAAAAAAAAACTGGTTCGATTCGGTTCGCCAACCTCAACCGGACCAAAATTAGAAACCGGCGAAGAAGTTGAGATCTCGAGACGAGTCTTCCGGTGGGAGAGAAACGAGAGAAACGAGAGAAGTAAAGGTTCTTCTTCCATGGTCATCGAAATTCAAATACAAGCAATCAGCAGCAGAGAAGAGGACTAACCAATTCTATCAACTTTAGGAATGAGGCCGAACATTGTTACCGAGGTGAGATCTGTTCAATTTCCCCTTCTGCTCAACTATTTTCCTTTTGATCTTAATCAGAAATTGCTGAGATTTTCGCTTTGGTTGATTATCGACAAACTGCTAGTGAAACGAGCTACGAACCGATAGCTAAAATCTGTGAAATTCGTTGTTCGCTCGGTAGAATTAGCTAGTCTGTAGTTAGATTCGGCATAGCTTCAGTTTTGCGGCCGATCGTTTGTTTGTAGGAACATTCTCCTCTTTTGATCCGTGAAGCTGTATCGTTTCAGTAGTTCTTCGAATTCTGGGTATTCTAATAGAACTTCACCAGTTTTGAGTATGAAATCTCCACCAATTCTACTATAGTACTATGACTCTGGATCAGCTCCTTCTAAGATATCTGAAGTCAATTAAAATGTCAAGTATATAGATTTCTGTTCTGGAATCAGAGATTGACACAAGTTCTAGTTTTAAAACTGGTGAAAATTCTTGTGAAGAGTCGTTTGTGATTTGCTGTGGATTCTGATTTTCTTATAGGCTGGTGTGCAAACTAGAGTTGGACAATGGTGGAACGCAATACCATTCCTCACGTCATCAGTGGTTGTAGTTTGTGGGCTCATTTACCTGATATGCCTCTTAATTGGATATGACTCCTTCTACGAAGTATGCTTCTTACCCTCGGCAATTATATCCCGGTTCCAAGGTATCTTCTCGTACTATCGAGGCTTGCATTTCATGTAGAAGGGATTTTTTGAGATGCTTGATCACTCACTCTTTTTGGTTTTATCTGCTGTGCAGTTTATAGGTTTTATACAGCCATTGTTTTCCATGGATCGTTGCTTCATGTTCTGTTCAACATGATGGCGTTGGTTCCTATGGGCTCAGAGCTGGAGAGGATCATGGGATCTGTGCGTTTGCTTTACTTGACAATTTTGCTGGCGACAACCAATGCCGTACTGCATCTTCTCATAGCATCCTTGGCAGGATATAATCCCTTCTACCAATATGATCATCTCATGAATGAATGCGCTATTGGATTCTCAGGAATTTTGTTTTCTATGATTGTCATAGAGACAAGTCTCAGTGGAGTCACCTCTAGGAGGTTAGACACTTTTTTCTATGGCATTTTGACAATCCGTTGTGTTCGTGAGGCATCTCATAGGTCTTGATTTTCTGCTTTCTTTCTCTGGTGCAGTGTGTTTGGTCTCTTCAACGTGCCGGCTAATCTGTAAGCCCATTGTCTTGCTTGACGGTATGCATATCTTGTTGCACATGTAATGTGAAATCTGTATCCGTTTGCAGATATCCATGGATCTTATTGCTAGCCTTCCAGCTTCTCATGACAAATGTTTCACTGCTGGGGCACCTATGTGGCATCCTCTCTGGATTTTCATGTGTGATTTGTTACCTCCTGTTTCATTGCCTTTTGCTGTCTAAACATGCAGTTTCTATGGCAGCTAACTTGTGATTCGCTTTGGATTTCAGATTCTTATGGCCTTTTCAATTTCTTGATGCCAAGCTCTTCATTTTTCTCCTCCATTGAGTCAGCCTCCTGGATGGTAAGTTCTTCAGAAGATCTGACTTGATCACTTCCTAGTTTTGCTGTAGTTTGATATGAGGCTGTGAGTGGTACAGTAGACATACTTCTCTCTGAATTAACCCTCGCTCATCTAGTTTCGATGTCATTTTCCAGTCTAGCTGCATAAGGCGACCCAAATTCATTATGTGCACTGGTGGGAATCCTTCCAGCTACATGCCCACTTATAATGGACAAAACACGACATCCAAGTGAGAATCCCTTACTACACACAAAAACCTGCTTGCCAAGAGAACATCCTAATAATGATATTATTCTTTGAACAGTGGTTTCTCTACAGGAAATGCTTGGAGATCATTGTCTTCATGGTTGCCACAGAGGGAAGCATCTAATCAGGTACATTCATACTAAATATCGTCAATCACTATTCTTTGCCTTTGTGGATGCATTTCACATCTAAGATCTTTAACCTAACACTTTTACAATGCAGTCTTCTGAGGACAGTAGATTTCCGGGAAGAGGTAGAACTCTTACCACTGCCCGTGATCCAACCGCTCCAGCTGGAGAAACAGATCCAAACCTCCACGCTAGACTGCTGGAAGATAGCAGCAGTCCAGACCGCTTTTCTGATGCGACTGTGATCAGCGTCACAGAGCCAAGCCCCGCCGCAAGGTATTTGATTTCTACAAACTTATCAGCTTCTTATTCACCAATCCTTCAACCTCAGCCGCATTTTACAACCTTTTGCAGACCGGTGCCAATAGCAAACGCAGCAGTTCTGCCTCAATCTCATGTTAGTTATTCGCCTCAGAGCCTAGACCTTCAAAGGTATCTCGAATCTTTTTTTTTCTCATGAGACTGTTCGATGCAGGGTCGTGTTGCTGCTTCCGAAGAACAAATCCAGAAACTCGTTGCAATGGGCTTCGAAAGGGTACGTTTCATGTTTTATACCAACGGCAACCGTAACAAGTAGTGATAGATATATGTTCTTGACGTCTCTTGGTTTTTGCTTCAGACGCAAGTGGAGGTTGCGCTTGCTGCTGCCGATGACGATCTAAACGTAGCTGTGGAGATCTTAATGAGCCAACAGTAGGTATAAACTTGTCTCACAACAAGTAATACGTTGGCTTGTATTGTAACGTTTGTCTCACGTTCCATCTTTCGACTTGCATTTAGAAACTGTATAGCGTCTGTTTTCTCTAAAGGATGTTCTTTGACCAGACAATCAAACCGGTTTTTCCGGCTTAGAATCTATACAAACCAAAGGTTGGGTTGAGTTTCGTTACTTATTTTCAGAAAACTTCAAAAGAAAACCAAATTAGTTCGGTTAACTATTTGTCTCGAGTCATGTGATTGCAATTACAAAGAACACAAATTCACATTTTTATTTTTGTTCATACAAACATAATGAAATACAAAGTACACATCACATTCCAAACAACAAGTAGTCATCACATAGTTTCCTCACTTGATCTTCTGTTTCCTTAGCGCTTACTGCTGCTTACTAGTTGAGGCTTCTCTGGGTGGTCGTACAATGAGAATTGGGCATTTCGCATGTTGGGCACAGTAATCACTCACACTCCCTAGAAAGGCCCTGCATATAACACCAAATACCACAAATTAACACATATGTTCAAAACCATTGATCAAAATATTCTCCTTTTCTCTTTGGTCACACTACAAAGATCAAAGTTGTATAACCTTTTGATCATGCCGAGTCCACGACTACCAACAACAAGAAGATCCACGTGAGTTTCCTCGATAGCTTGGCAGATCACCTCCTTAGGATCTCCTTCCAATATCATCGTTTCCGTCTTCACCTACAAACACAAAACCAAAGCTCGAAATAGACGTCACAATTCATCCAATGTGAGCTTATGAATATGTATAAAGGAAAATGTTATAAATAAAAGGCCACGTTGTATATTTTATTTTTAAGATACAGAAGTAAAACATTGTACAGAACACAAATCGTGAAATTTGAAAGATATACAAAACTTGAGGTTTATGAAGGGAAACATTCCTAAACATCTCAAGACGCATTATGTTACTCTGATATTTTGGGTATATATATATTTATCTTGTATATGCACATACACATGACGCACCATTTTGCCACGACATATCTCCAATGCTCGTGTGAACAATCTGGTCGTGCTCTCTTCTCGTGCTTTCTTCATTGGTTCCGGTACTGAATCTGTCGCATACACCGCCGCAGCTACTATTTTAAAATCCCCTTAATATGCATGTGAATCGATTCCCGCATACATAATTAAAAAAATATATAAATAAAGAGAGAAGCATTTTGATTCACCGGTTCCACCAGCAGGGTAGATATATTGAAGGTACGTTGGATGAACATGAACCAACGTAAGTAAACCGCCTTCTTGATCGTTTTCCGGTTCGGCTCTAATAACATCTCTCAGATGCTCCACTGCCCATTCCAACGCATAGAAACTGTTCTTGCTTTCATCGATCGCAACCATGACCCTTAACTTCTTATTTTGCTTCTTCTCTGCCGTCTCCGTCGTTGTGCCTGCCGTGTCCACACCAATTGCATCAACATATGTCTCCATGATCTGTCCGTACGTTTTTTCTGTTTGTTATTCAGCTTTAGACACTTGATGTATTCATCATAATGAATATGTGTCATAAATTGCGTTACTTTATATAGTGATTCTGAGTAGGTGGAAGCTGGAGAGTGTTAACAGATGTTTAAGATGGATCCTTGGATCGACACATCTCATTTGTGATGGTGACGTGTATCGTTTCTAACATAGACAACTGTTGAATTCACTGTGGACGGGGAAGTTCGCGTTTGAATATTCAATGCATCTACAAATCCTTAAATAGGTTGGTTTGGTTCGGCTGATTTATCAAAACTAAACCGACTTAATTTCGTCAATTTGGGTTAATTTGGTTTAGTTAGATTAATATATGGTTTGGTTTTCTCAGTCACGACATGTTCCAATCTCTCTCTCTCGCAAGGGTTTTTTTCTTTTTTCAATTTCAAATTTCCCTTTCCTTAAACCCTAGAACGCACATTATCCGCAAGCCTCTCACCGGAGAGTGCGTTTCAGTCAGAATATAGGGTTCTTCTTTTCGTGATCTGATCGGTATCAATGGAAGAGAAACTGTTGAAGAGAATCTCTTGGGTTTTCGAAAAATTCTCTTATTGGCAAGTTGGTGAGAGATACTACTCTAGCACCTTCGCCGTCGCCGGCTGCAGTTGGTAAAAGAGAGAAGCGATTTACTCTTTTTTTTTTTTTTTTTTTTGTGTGTGTGTGTGTGGAATTTAATTATAGATAGATTTTGTATGGTTACAGGCACATTTTTGCTTGTCGGGAGGGAGATAAGAAAGATGATCACTTGAGCTTGTACTTGGAACTTGTGGATGTTCCTCAATCTTTGCCACATGGTTGGAAAAGAGACGTGAAATTTAGCTTCACTCTTGTGAGCAAGGCTAAGGGCAAATCCAACAAAACATTGGGTAAGTGTTTTCATATAAGCGCTTTGTTCCCTAAATTATTGGGACAGTAATTGTGCTAAGTGTTAGCAATTCTTGGGTCAATTACACGTTTTTATGCAAAGTTTGAATATTTCTATGTAAATCGTTTGGTGCTCTTTATGATTTTGATCACTTGATGACAAGACATATTTCTCCTCTTCTATTTTTTTTTTTTTTTTGGTGACAGGAGGGCAGGTTTGTTTCGATGCAAATCATACAAGTTGGGGTCATACTAAGTTCGTGTCTCTTACCAAACTTCGTGCAGAGGATGAAAGATTTCTAGTGAATGACAAATTCATCGTCGTCGCTGAAGTACACGTTCTTCCAGCTAAAGTTGTACCAGCGGAAACCGTGAAGGTTAGTGAACCTGATGGTGCATCTAAAGACAATTTAGATGAAGATGATGATACATCTAAAGACGGTTCGGATGATGAAACTTGTGATGTCAATGGGTTTGAAGTTTCCTCTTCTCAGGTATGAAAGGGAATTTTCACCTTCTATTGTTATTAGAGAGAAAGCTGAATGTGATCGTATGCTGTTTTTGGCTAGCAGGTAGAGTCGGTGAGGCAAATCTTCAAAAGCCACCCGGACATAGCATCAGGCTTCCGTCCGAAGAACCAACAGATCAGAAGAGCTTACATGAATGAGCTCCTTAGCCTCATCGAGACGCTGTGCCAGTCACCGGAGAAGCTCTCTGAGGATGATCTGAGCAATGCTGATGACACACTGGCTGATCTGATTGATGTCGGCTTTAAATTGGATTGGCTGAAGACAAAGTTGAATGAGGTCTCTGAAAAGAAGAAGATGGAAAAGGGTAGTGTGGCCCGGATACAAAAGATGGAGGTACAGGTGCAGAAGCTGAAGCTGATTTTCTCGGATCTTGAAACTCGGCTGCAGAAGGAAAAGTCAGAGGCTTTAACCGCGAGAGCTCCTCTCTCTTTTGACGATGTTGTTTGCTGATTTGTGAGGATTCTTGTAGCCTTATGGTGTGAGTCTCATGTCTTTTGATGTCTAGTGGCTTAATTTTCTCTACATTTTTTAGATTTATGGATTGGTTTACGTGGAAGGATTCATAGGCAAGCAAACGTGGACTGAAATACAGATTAGAAACAGAGTCCTCTGTTTTCAGTTATGAGACCTAACTCCACCTCCGTCCTTGGATTTTTTAGTTAAAAAGAGGTTAAGAATGTTTATTTTATAATCTAATCCGTTTCTCGTCAATGCAGCTCATATTTTCCCACAAACTTTTAATCTTTTTTTTTATAAATTGTTAAACGTGATGGTATGTATAACCTCGCATGTGCAACCAATTAACTTCTTCTTGGGAACCAGCGATATGGATAGAAAACGATTCGCTTTCCTCCTAGACGTAGCCGTTAGCCAAAATGTTTTGCACTCCTGTTTCTCTTTAAAGTTGAACAGACGAACTTGCATGTTTATTTATCAGAGTGCTTCAGAGTGTCTTTCCTCTCTACGCACGCGACTTTGAAGGTAAACCTTAGACCACTACTGATCCTGTAGTATTTGACACAGACTTTGTTTGATTTGATATGTATTTGCATTTGGCTGTGAATATTATGTTATAAGGTTTTATTCTTGTCGTGGTTCTCTAGTTTCACTGTGAGAGATCTTCATGGCAAGTCAAGGTGATAACAAGTTCACTTGGGTGATGGAGCATCTCACCTCTCTGCTGTCTCATTTTCATTTATTTAACCCATTTACGATTGCTGACTGCGAATGGTAAACATAACTTTTCTTCTATTGTATTTGTTCATTTAAGTTCATTTGTTATAAATATATATATTTTTGTGTTTTTCTTCGGCAGGTGTTTTGGTTCCACTGCCAAAGGAAACTCAAATGATGGTGATGATTCAGATTCTAGTGATTTTCATGATGAAGCTTCGTCAGTAAAGGAAAGCATTGATGTCAATGGCTTTCACGTTCTTCCTTCACAGGTATGTATGACATTTGTCAATGATGAAAACTCTCTTGTTGGTCTACAAGGCACATGATCATTTGTTTTGTATCAGTGATCTTTTTTGTTCTAAGGGTCTCTCTTATACATGTACTGCATGCTTTGTTCGTACTTCTGTTTTTGGATTTGCAGGTAGAATCTGTGAGACAAATATTTGAAAGACATCCAGACATTGCAGAAGAGTTCCGTGCAAAGAACCAATATCTGAAGAAAGCATGCATGAACTTCCTGCTCAGCTTGATCGAAACGCTGTGCCAATCTCTTGAGGAGCTCTCCACTGAAGATCTTGTGGAAGCGGACGTTGCGCTCACATACTTGAAAGATGCTGGTTTTAAGGTTGATTGGCTGGAGAAGAAGCTGGACCAAGTTAAAGTGAAGAAGGCGAAAGAACAGTTTTGTTTGGCTCGGCTACAAGAAATGGAGGATAGTCTACTGAAACTGAAGGAAAAGTTCTCAGACCTAGATGCTCTATTGGAGAAGGAGGAGACAGAGTTGTCTGCCACAAGAACTCCTCTGTCATTTGATGATGTTGTTTGATCTTCTTGAGTTTCTACTGTTGAAGGAGGAGAGGCAGAGTTGTCTGCCATAAGAACTCCTCTGTCATTCGATAATGTTGTTTGATCTTTTTGACTTTTTAGGCATTTGGTGTTCTGTTATATTATTAGTTTATTGGTTTCTCCCTTGGTTTCAAAACTCTTGTAAGGTAATTGAACTTTGTGTTAGTCTGTTAAAAACTCTATTGCCGTTATGGTCTATCTAAGTTGTTTTGAAACCAAATTTGTTGCAAGTCTGAGTTTCTTGACGAAAAAGTAAATCACTTTGTGCCCTAAACAGAGAAGTACTTGAAGGTTTTGAAGTGAAAATCCTAATGTAAAGACATTATCAGATATTTTCAGCTAGTAATAAACAGAGAGTGGCACTTTAAGAGTCCCTTGTATAATGGTACTAGTTTCGTCTTGTATAAAACATAAATAGAGAGTGGCACTTGAAGAGTCATGGTCAAGCGATTAGAGTCCTTGAATATTCTTCGGTACTACCGTTTTATTAACTCGTAATGATGACATAATATCACGTCACGAGGAGCCAAGGGCCAAGGCTGCTCGTATTCTCTGCACGTAATTTTCTTCATATAAATACATAACTATTGCAAGAGTTAACTTCCATACAAGCCACAACGTCCTCGCCGATTTCTAGAGTAATATGCTCCAAACTTCCTAACAAGCTTCACTAAATTTGGGTCTGTGCTTTTATGTTCTTGACTTCTAAGTTTTTTTGTCCACTTTATGCGCTGTAGGTTGAGTTCGAGACACCTTCAACGAGAAAATGAGTCTGGATGATGATGTTGCTTCATTGGAAGCGGGAGTTCATTACGATGATGTTTCAGGGGAAGCTGAAAAGGCAACAGAAAAGCTGAACGAGACAAGTGAAAGCCTGGATGTCAAGAATGATGATGATAGTTATGGACTTTTAATCACATCCATGTATCATCAAGTTGGAAACAAGTTCCTCTGGGTGATAAACTATCCATCCTTGATGCTTTGTATTGCTGAGCAGTGTTATTCTAGTCCATTTGAGATCCGTGGCGTCAAATGGTAAAAGATAATTATAATTTCTGTCACAAAATTGTTTCCGTCCTTGTAATGTTTTGTGATTGATTTTTCAATTCTTTCGTGTTTTCTTTTTGGCAGGCATGTTGTTGTTTATTTTGACCCTGACTTTTTCAATCTGGACCTGCGCGTAGCTGAATCTCAACCATTGCCTTCTGAAGCTTTAAAAGTTCGCTTGAAGTTAGTAAATCAAATATCCAAAAAGCTATCCATATCCAAAGGTGATTCTCTTTACAGTCTGATTTGATTCTTTCTTGTATTACTGAGTGATTGCAAGAGGATGCCTTCTTGAAGTCGTATATTAAGTTTTTAAGATTCCTTACAAGATGTCATAAATGATTGTGATGTTCCAGATTCTGAGCATTGCTTTACTAAGAAATCTCCTACATGGGGTTTTCACATCCCTTCTGGAGTCTTCACTGAAGACAGTGGATTTCTGGTGGACGGAGAGCTAGTCATTGTTGCTGAGGTTTGTGGTGTATCAGATGTAGCTGACGAATCCACTCCTCAGAGAAAATTAGTAGAGGACAATGGGTTTTATGTTCTTCCCTCACAGGTAAGAAGTTAGGATGAGCTTCTCAGCGCTAGCTTTAGGAATCCAAACTTGTATGATATAGTTTAGACATTCTTTCTCTCGCAGGTACAATCTGTGAGGTTTATATTTGAAAGACAGCCTGACGTTGTAGAAGCATTCCGTTCAAAGAATCAACATCTGAGGACAACATATATGAATTTCCTGCTTGGCTTTAACGAGGCGCTGTACCAGCCAATTCAGGAGATCTCAAATGAAGATCTGGTGGAAGCGGACAAAGCAATATCATACTTCAAAGACGTGGGATTTAAGGTTGATTGGTTGGAGAAGAAGCTGGAACAAGTAAAAGAAAACAAGGAGAAAGAGCTGTCTTGTGAGGCTTCGAGTGCAAGAAGTGGAGGCACAGCTTGAAGGACAATTTCGTGTTGGATAAGGCAGAGTTGTCAGCCATTAGATCTCCTCTCTTTTTTTTATCATTTTGTTTGATTTTGTTTCTGCTTTGGTTTTGGCTTTAGAAATAAGTGTCTTATTTGTGTGGTAATGACGTTTATGCATTTCAGACTTTTGTCCCTTTTTGTTGAATTTAAAATATTACAAAAGAAAAGATCAGAACAAATCTTTGTCAGAATCAAAACATAAACCCTCCGAAAGTTTTAACAACACTAATCAACTAGTAGAATAAATGTTTTTTCTCTTCATGACTCAGAGTAGTTAGTTTTTAGATAAAACTGATGTTACACGCAGCCGAAGCCTTGGGAATCAGTTCAGAGCATTGATGATGCGTAACATTTCGCTAGTGGTAAAACGAATGATCAAAGACTCGAGATGTGACAGCTTCTGTAAAATGTGTTTGATTTGCTCTAGTTCACCAGGAGCTCCATCGAACCATAAAATGATAATGATCTCTAAAGCGGATACAAGACAAGAGTTGAGGCAATTGTATTCTTATACACACTTGCAAAGATAGTCACCCTCGTCCTCAAAGTGCAATAGACACATTTTTCTGAATGTGGTTTCCTTATGCTCTGGATCTGCACCACGGTGTTACAAATGGATGTGGATATGCTTGTAACTGCATCTCTTCTTGTAGGTTTTTTGAAATGAGAACACACTTATGTAGAAAGCTTGTCAGTTATTGTGAAATAGTAGTAAACAGAGAGTGCTACTTTAAGAATCACTTGTACATTAATAAAAGTCTTATTTTGTAGGTTTTGGACTTCGAACGGGTTCTTCGTTGCATAACAAACTCTGAAACTATTAATAGTAATCTGTCATTTTTTCTCACAGTAAAACTCATTCAATCAAGAAATATTCAAAGATGATACTAAAAATTTTAGGTTTTGCAAATCAACATTTCCGCCGCTAATTTAGTTGAGAATCTCTAACAAAATATTTCAAATGAAAAATAAAAGATTTATCCTTTTGTATTCAACAACAATGAGCAAAAAAAGTTAAAATGTGTATATATATACGCACAGAAACTCATGAAGGCTTCACGAAGAAAATAATATTTGCGTCCATTCTTCTCATTCTTGGGGTGTAAGTTTCTTTGTGTTCTCTCCCGTTTTGCTATATTGATACAATCTTTTGAAGTAACTTCTTTCGTTTTTAAACAGGAAATATGGCACGAGTCTGTCACAGATGTACAAGTACAACAGCCGTGATCCGTTGTGTTACCGAAACTCAGAACTTGTGCCTTACCTGTGACTACCTGCGGCATCGTGAAGGTGAGGCTGCAGGACACACTCGTTACCAAATTTGCGATGAATGCATGATCAATCCAGCTCTACTCCTCTGCTCGGATCACATGATGGTTCTTTGCCAATCCTGCTATTCAAATGATTACAACTGCGTCGCCTATGGCCATCACACTCAAGTCATCAATCGCTTTCCTCGACAAGACCATAACAACAAGAACAACAAGAACCACCAGCATAATCATCATGAAGGTCATCAAGTGGGTGAGAACCAGAGAAGAGAAGGCATGTTTGAGAAGAGCTGCAAGGGAAATAACAGCTGCGAGGGATGTATGTCTGCAGTGGACTGTGAGTCATGCCTAGCTTCAAACGCTGCCATTTACTGTCCCCAACACAATCAGCTTCTGTGCGATGAATGCGACCGAATGATTCACCTTCCCGAGGCCGTGCTGCCCCATTTGAGGTGTCAGCTTTGCGTGACATGCAAGAGACTCTCTCGCACTTTTCTCGTCAGATCTTCTTATTTCAATTTACCACCGCTACCTCCTGCGGCGGCGGCGGCGGGATCCGAATAGGTCATTTGGGCCAGTCAACATGATCGTTTTTCCTCCAACTTATTATTTTATCTAGTCTTGTGTTTTGTTTCAGGGGTGGTTCGTTCCGGTTTTATTCTACGTGGTATTGTTAATTTTCGATTTGGAAAGTTCTTTATAAAAAAAAATCGGAGTCTTGCTTTTTTGAGCAAGGCTTTTGGATTAGAGTCGAGGTTGGTTCAGTTACTATTTCGTTTGCCAAAGAGAAATTCACTTAAACCGACCTAATTTCGACAGATCAGCTTAATATGTTTGAAATATATTAAAAGATGGTTTGGTTTGGTTTGGTTTATCTCGGGTCTATCAATTATTCCTATTCCTATTTTATGTTTTTAGCATTATAAAGCGTTGCCATATTCCTTTAACCCTAAACCCTAACATAATTTCCCTTCTCTTCAACCCTAAACCTTACGATTCTGAATTAGGAAGCACATTGTTGCGTGCCATTCGTCGGAATCAGTTAATAGGTTTCTCTGTTCGTGCTCTGGCGATAACTTTGCATCATATTCAATGGATGGGCACATAACGAAGAAAGTCCATTGTGTTTTTGAAAACTTCCCTTCGTATAGTAACAACAAGCGCTACGATTCTGAATTAGGAAGCACATTGTTGCGTGCCATTCGTCGGAATCAGTTAATAGGTTTCTCTGTTCGTGCTCTGGCGATAACTTTGCATCATATTCAATGGATGGGCACATAACGAAGAAAGTCCATTGTGTTTTTGGAAACTTCCCTTTGTATGATACCAAAAAGCACTACTCTAGCCCCTTCAAACTCGCCGGCTGCAATTGGTAAATAGAGAAATTAACGATTACATGTATATATTGTCGTCCATTAATTTTCTTTGTGGAGTTTAAGTTTAGTTGGACTTTTGCTTTGTACAGGTGTCTTGTTGCTGTTAGCAACGGATATACGAAGGATAGCTACTTGTCCGTGTATCTAGAGCTTGCTCCTGGACCGTTGCCACCAAGATGGAGAAGAAACGTGAAATTTAGCCTCACACTTGAGCGTAATCCCGGTTTCGGTTTGTGTGTATCCAACAAAACATTAGGTGATTGTTTTCATATATATATATATATGATTTCAGTTTTATGTCCTGTCTTTTTCTCTATGTAGTAGAATCTCTGTATTTGCTGAGTAAGCTTATGCAAACTTTGAATCCATTTTCTTATTGCTCATGTTCTGTTCTTGGGACATGACAGGAAGGGGAGGCTGTTTCGATGCAGAGAACGACAGTTGGGGCTTTGAAAAGTTCTTGCCTCTTTCCGAACTTTGGGGATATCTGTTGGATTACGAACTCAGTTTCATCGCTGAGCTAGACGTTTATCCAGAGGAACCTGTGAAGATTATTGAACCTCTGAGCTGCAGAGAAAGAAACCAAGATGATGATGATGCATCTGTCACCAGATCTCAGGGTGACTCGTCTTGCCAAGTGGCGCAAAACACTGAGAACCCGTCAAACAAGATTTTAGATGAAACTTGTGGAACAGGGTTTAACACTGTGGCATCTGTTACACAGACTGGTAATGATGTACTTAAGGAGGAGATTCAACGTCTAAAGGAAACAATGAATGTCAATGGGTTTGAGGTTTCTTCTTCCCAGGTAAAGTACCGGATTGATGATTCATTCTCTTGTTAGAATGCTTCTGCTCTCTGTCTCTCTCATGTGCTTTGTGAATGTGTTTTCATTCGCAGGTAGAATCTGTGAGGCGTATATTCGAAAGACACCCAAACATTGCCATGGAGTTTCATGCAAAGAACCAACAACTAAGGAACACGTGTATGAATTTCCTGCTGAGCTTAATCCAGACGTTGTGCCAGTCTCTTGAGGAGCTCTCCAATGAAGATCTTGTGGAAGCAGACATTGCGCTTACATACTTGAAAGATGCAGGCTTTAAGGTTGATTGGCTGGAGAAGAAGTTAGACCAAATGAAGGACAAAAAGGAGAAAGAGCAGTCTGTCTTGGCTCGGCTCCAAGAAATTGAAGAAAATCTTAAGGAACTGAAGAAAAAGTGTTCAGACTTGGATGCTCTTGCGGAGGAGGGGAAGGCAGAGTTGTCAGCCACAAGATCTGCTCCGTCTTTTGATGATCTTGTTTGATTAATGACTTGATTTCTTAGGCATTTTTTGGTGTTCTGATATCTTAGTCTCTTATAAGGGTAAAATTGAACTTGTGATATTTTATGACAAATTTGTATAAGAATAATTGTCCTCTTCTTGAGTTTCCTTTAAAGAAACTAAAGCACTTTCCTAAGGGAAAATTCTTGCTGTTTGAAAGGTAGATGATATTGTGTCTAAATGTGGTCGTTTTCTGAAAATAAAAACAGCATTTTGAGGCTGATATTTACTCATTATTAAAACGTTTTCTTAAGGTCTATGAATCTAAGTTTCAGCTATCAAAATTTTAGTTTAAATTGTATTTCTTTGTACAATCCTTTGGTGCCAGGATTTTAAGTTTTTCATTCTCAGTTCAATAAAGGAAGTTCCTAGGAAGGATTACGCTGGTTACTTGACGAGAAAGTAACTGCCATGCATGTGTCTGAACAGAGCGATGGATAGAAGTACACACCCATATATGGAAAACTAGAATTAAAGTATGCTACATAAATAAACTGTTTAAAGAATTGACTAATATTAATCATTCAAATTGTGTAATGTATTATCTTCCAAAGATGTAAGTTATCCTGAATTCCGGATGAAAATTACGGGATTCAAGTTGTTAATCTACGTTTGTGTATTTACTATTTAGAAAGAAAATGTCTTTCCCTGATTTAGCAGAAGAAACCTCTAGATTCAGGTTTAAGAGAATCTCTGGTTCCATAAAGCATTTTTTTATGCCCTTTGATTATTGGTGATTTTCGTCTTTTGCTTCCAAGAATAAAAGTCTCTTTTGTGTTGACCAAAAACAGAGTCAAAATTGGTTCAATTAGATTTGGTTAAATTTGGTTGAGACCGGTTTATTTGCTTTGGTTTATTTTGTCTGGCCTGGATTACAGAGCTTTGCATTGATTAGTTTTGAAAGTTTTCAAAACTCATCTTTTTCCTTAGAAAACCTAATGACAACCACTGCGTGCCACTCTATGTGAGCTTGCACTAGAGAGTGCGATAGATTTACGAACCAGGGTTTAATCGTGCTCTCACAGTTCCGATTTCGATTCCATTTCACCGGATTTTAAGGGCGAGCAAGCTGAGAAGAGATTCACTTTGATTTTCTTCATAAAAATCTCAACTTTGCAAGACGAGGTTAGCTTCTCTCACCCCCTTTGGTGTTTTCGCCTGCTGGAAACCGGTACTGAGAGAAACTATTACAAAATTTACAACCGATTTCGTCCATTTCCGTTTTTGAATTCTGGGTATTGAGAGACGCATTCGAACTCGCCTTCGATTACGTATTTGGAAATCTCAATAATCAATTTTGGTTTTTTGCTTTGGTTACTCCGATTACACACTGCTTTAAAGTTTAGGTTTTTTTTGCTTCTACTCAATGTTGTGCTAGTTTGGCTGCAGAGTAATCATGAGGAGGATGCAAATTAGGAAGACGATCACTTGGGGAATCAAAAATTTCTCATCTTTGAAAGCGAATGGACTTTACTCTGATCAATTCGTTGCTGGTGGCTGCAAATGGTATGTTTTTTCGACGGAAAGTTTGCGTCTTTATTATCCTTGACAATGTTTGCTTTGCTGATTCTCTGACTCGTGTTTACTCTGCAAGGCGTCTCTATGCCTGTCCCAAAGGAAACAACGGTGACTACTTGTTTCTCTATCTCGAAGTCGCCGACTTTGCACAGCTGATCACAAGTGGTTTGAGGAGAAGTGTCCTCGAGTGGGTTATCTAACCATGTTTCCTACTAATGAGATCCATGCCGAAGAAAGCGGTTACTTGCTTAACGGAGAGCTCAAGATTGTTGCCGAGATTCAGGTTATGCAAGTGGTTGGGAAGCTAGATGTGACAGAGGAAACACCAACGATAACGGAATCCATGGATGTTAATGGTTTTCAACTTCTTCCTTCACAGGTTAGAATTGGTTAAGTGTTCTACTAAAATGTCTCTCTGAATATGGATTTTCTTGTTTTATACATTTGTGTTTCACTCTCTCTCTCAGGCGGAGTTTGTGAGGCCTTTGTTTGAAAGACACCCAACGATTGCATCTGAGTTCCGTGTGAAGAACCCAAATCTGAGGGCAGGTTACATGAGTTTGCTACTTAGTTTGATTGAGACTCTGCGCCAGCCGCGTCACGAGCTCTCCATGACTGATATGGCTGAGGCATATGCTGCATTGGGATCCATGACTAGCGCTGGGTTGAAACTGGATTGGTTGAAGAAGAAGCTTGATGAGATGTCGGAGAAGAAGCAGAAAGAGGAGGCTCGGGTGAAGGAAATTGAGCAAGAGATGGATGCTTTGTATCAGAGGTGCGAGGATCTCGTAGCTCAGCTTGAGAAGGAGAAAGCTGAGGTGGCGGCTGCAGAAGCTCCTCTCTCTTTCGGTGATTTCATTTAATGGTGGCAAAGTTCTTGGGAAGTAACTTGGAGTTTTTGTTATGCTTGGTGTTCTTGGTATGTTTGTTTGCCAACTTGTTTTTGTGATGTTGTGTGGATTATGACTTTAGGTAAAGCTCAGCTTTTCTTAGCATCTACATGACTGCATCGTTTGTATCCTATATGGTTTTTGTGAATTATCGGTTTTAAGCTAGGTTGCTTGATGAAAAAGTAATTAAACCTTATTTTGGAGAGCTGGAAATGGAAGAAGACGACCTAACAAAGATTAGAGGAAACAAGACTCGAGCGCTTGATCAATTCAGTGATAGAAAAGATTAGCATGAGCCCAACTTGTGAAACGGGCCCAATACTAGTAGGAGCCCAACTTGTGTAACACATTTATTGCTTGTTTCTGGATTAGGCTCAAAAGCCCAATCTTGAGCTACGGTTTGACATGAAGTCAACATCCCACGCAGCCAATAGAGTGGCTAGTCGTCTCTCTTAGCATTTATTAATTTCCGCCGAAGAGTTTCAAAGAAGTCAAGGCTGTTTGCATTCCTTGTGTACGGTAAATTATGTCTCGCATTAGTAAATGCTCGTTTCCATTTTTGTAATCTCAAAAGTTAAATCAATTTCGTTGTGCTGCTGCTCGAGATTGTTGTTTAATTATCCGATTTAAATATTTTGGGTGTGGCCCACCGTTAAAATGTGTATATATATACGCACAGAAACTCATGAAGGCTTCACGAAGAAAAAAACATTTGCGTCCATTCTTCTCATTCTTGGGGTGTAAGTTTCTTTGTGTTCTCTCCCGTTTTGCTATGTTGATAACAATCTTTCGATGCAACTTCTTTCGTTTTTAAACAGGAACCATGGCAAGAGTCTGTCACAGATGTACAAGTACAACAGCCGTGATCCGTTGTGTGACCGAAACACAGAACTTGTGCCTTACCTGTGACTACCTGCGGCATCGTGAAGGTGATGCTGCAGGACACACTCGCTACCAAATTTGCGATGAATGCATGATCAATCCAGCTTTACTCCTCTGCTCGGATCACATGATGGTTCTTTGCCAGTCCTGCTATTCAAATGATTACAACTGCGTCGCCTATGGCCATCACACTCAAGTCATCAATCGCTTTCCTCGACAAGACCATAACAACAAGAACAACAAGAACCACCAGCATAATCATCATGAAGGTCATCAAGTGGGTGAGAACCAGAGAAGAGAAGGCATGTTTGAGAAGAGCTGCAAGGGAAATAACAGCTGCGAGGGATGTATGTCTGCAGTGGACTGTGAGTCATGCCTAGCTTCAAACGCTGTCATTTACTGTCCCCAACACAATCAGCTTCTATGCGATGAATGCGACCGAATGATTCACCTTCCCGAGGCCGTGCTGCCCCATTTGAGGTGTCAGCTTTGCGTGACATGCAAGACCAACGGGAGAAGCTTGGTTCCTCCAAAGGAAAAGGATTCAATCCGGTCCCAAGCGTACCTGGGGCTAACCTGTTTTGAACGAGGAACGCCTAGTGACTCTAGAGACTCTCTCGCACTTTTCTCGTCAGATCTTCTTATTTCAATTTACCACCGCTACCTCCTGCGGCGGCGGCGGCGGCATCCGAATAGGTCATTTGGGCCAGTCAACATGATCGTTTTTCTTCCAACTCATTTATTTTATTTAGTCTTGTGATTTGTTTTAAGGGTGGTTTGATCCGGTTATTCTACGGGTATTGTTTTATTTTCGATTTGACAAGTTAAAGAAGAAAAAAAAGGTCAAAACATAGATATAACTACAACTTTTTCGGAGATGGAAGATCGATAGTAAATCTCAACGTCTATATTTATCTCTCTTTTTGTTTGACACAAGTCTATATTTATCTTAATTAAGAAAATTATATAATGTGAAAACATAATTACCAAATTATAGAAAATATTAGTTGGACGAATATCAAAACAACACTATAGGTCTAAGAAGTAAATAAAACCATTTGCACCAAAAAAGTAATTAAAACCAATTTTTTATAACTATAACTCGGATTTAGAAGAACCGGTCATGTCAAGAAATGAAGCACGTCTAGGACTAGGAGGCAGGGCCGGCTCAATAATGGGTTGATTATCACGCAAGGAAAGAAGAAGAACAAAAATGGTTTGGTTTTGGTAATTTTTTGTTTGGTTTGATTTTTATATAGACTTCATAAAGCTAGGGAGTCGAGCACTTTTATCCAAGCAACCGAAGGAAGTACCATCGTCCTCGTCGACCACAAAGGCACAAACTCATTACTAGCTCATACAACATTTGTCCTCATTTAAATCAAAGTATTTTCTTCGTCCGGTTGTTCTGCTAAACAAATGATTCCTACAATAATGACGACTTCAAATATTGAATGTAAACCATAGCAAAACAAAAAAAACATGAACTGAATCATAGAAATGGGCACACGTTCAACACATAACCGATGACAAAAGTCTCGTCCCCCCCCCAAAAGAAATCAAAAAGTAAAAAAATCCTGAGTTCAAAAGATGATAAACGTCTCCTCCCAAAAAAGAGAAACTGAAAAGTAAAGCAAACCTAAACAAAAACACCAAAGCAAGTTTTGTTTAATCCACGAGGAATTTCCATATGACCTCAACAGAGGACAGCATCTTTCAAGAGTCCCATACTGTCCTTCAACATCTCACTTTCTTGCTCGCCACCTGGCAGCATCCCCTCAACTCTTCTTCCACCGCCTCCAAGATCCACCACTTGCGAGAGAAACTCCGTCAGGAAGTGACTGCTGCTGAGAAGAACACTCAGCGAGAGTTGAATATCCATAAACATGCTATCCGTCAATCTCTGCAAGACGATAGGCCAGTACGAAGACATCTTCATCTTAACGCCAAAGGCCTTTTGAAGTAGATCAGCCTCATAATTTCTCAGATGGGAAACATCCACATCACCAAAACCGGTTAGCGAGAAGCACGCAGGTCCGTTACCCTCCTGCAAAACAGCATCGATGAAGGCTTGTTGCTCACTCATCTTCTGAGTCCACGAGCTCATGCAGGCTCTGTTGCAAGTGTAGTCAGTAAGCTTCTCCCTGGAAACAATCTCTGCAACTCGTTGCAACGATTGCTCCTTCATCCTGCGGATCAGACTTTTAGCAGCTCGTTTCACGGAAGATCGTACATCTGGGAACTCGTCACAATATCTGGTGAAGACACTCGAGAGAACTTCTTCAACGTAATCCCATACGCTACTGATGAGATCGGCAGGCTTCGGGTGCATTTCATCCATACGCTGCGAGAGGATCGCCAAAAACGCTGATCTGGCTACAGCTTCGGCCATGTCAACACACGCAAACTCTTCTACTATCTTGCACTCGTTCTTCAAAAACTCTGTCACATCCTCCGGCTGCGCTTGCACCTCATCCATATAATTGTCAAACATACCAGCCAAGCGCTCGGTGCAGTGCATTCTTCCGTCAAGAGGGTACTCGGAAAAATCTCCGCGGAGAAGGATCTTAACAAGAGACAACGTTGCACTCTGCATCAGTGCGAACAATGCTTCAGCACTAGATTTACTCAGCTGCAATGGTTCCGTCCTCGAAACCCTAGTGGATCCTACAACAACATGGTTTAGTCAGACACTAACTTCATCGCCTAGATTAACATTTTTCAGTCCAAATCTATATTCTCAACATTCGTACATGTTATCGCCGATATGTGGAAGAGAGAGAGAGACACTGCACTTACCAGCGATGACATCGGTGGCATGCTTCTCAATCAAACCGGCACTGGCACTGTATTCTACCATAGTCTCCGAATTATAGCTGGACATTTGTTGACCATCAATCACCACAGGAAGCCGAAATGATCCTGCCACACTAACTTTATTATCAGAAACTAAGTATCTTACTGCAGGACCTACGCATATAACACAGAGAGAGAGAGAGAGACATAACCTGTGATTTGCTCAGGTATGTAACTCCCGTAAAACCAGAGTAGGAGAGCAGCAGCTCCACCAGCAGCAGTAGGCTGACTAGGTCCGGCGCCTCCAGTATTGCCAAGAAGTTCCAGTGTTTCTGGGACACTATCACGATTTCTTTTCTGTCCTCCTCCTCTGCCATCTCCGCGTCCACTTCCTCTTCCATCAGAGCCACGTCCGCCTCCTCTGCCATCAGAGTGGCGTCCTCCTCCTCTGCTACCATAGGCTCCAGGTTGAAGAAGATAAGGAGCACAGAACTGTTGCATTTAATTTGGTAAGTACCATAGCATAAAAGACTCATACAATCAAGATCCATACAGCATACTCACGCATACTCACCGTATGGGTAGAAAACGGAATAACATGTACGGCATGACGGGCTTGTATGCAAACGTTAGCTAAGAAGCAGTCAGAGCACATCTTGGAGCTTTCCGTGTAACAAGCAATTAGGGCGGCTCGCTGTCTGCAAATCTGACAAACAGGAGAATGCAGGTGACCAACTTGGACGAAATCACCTAATTCACTCCCACGGCCAATGCAGAGCCTTGGCTGTTGATGTACCCAACAGAAATGAGGTCGAGTAGAAATTCTACATGAAACGCAAACTGAGTACGACGACATTCTGCAAAAAAGGACGAAAAAACGGATTAAGAAGAAGAAAACAGATGATGATGATGATAAGAACGAATACTTAGTCAAACAAGACTAAACAATGGTGGTGTTTCTGGTTACTAACAATTACCAAGTACGATTATCTTGAAGAAAGAGACCAGCAAAGAAGATAAACTATTTAGACTACGCATTATCTTCTGGGTACCAATTTTCCTTTTTTACAACTTACGAATTTGGAGAAGAACAGAGGAAACGAACAGAGGATATGCAGTCTAAAGGAAGCGGAAGATGAGAACTACGATATCTTTAACAATTACGAATTTGGGGAATAAGACCGATAAAGCTAGCGGAGATGAAAGAAGAACAGATGAAATGATCAACAACTTTGGAGACATAATAACAAAGAACAGATGAAGGAAGGTAGCGGAAGAGAAGAACTTACTCCAAAGAGGAGCGACGAAAGAGCTTCGTCTTCGTCTAACAATGGAGCCGAGCAATCTCAACGATGATGATCTTCTTTTGCTTCTCGTCTTCAAGAACAAAATGTAAACAGAGTTTTGGTCAAAAAAAAGAAATAAGAAACAGAGTACTCTGTAACGAACTCCTCGACAAAATCAGTTATAAGTATAACCGCTCGTCCTCGGAGCTTTACCTCTTAGAAAAGGCCCAGGCCCAGGCCCACTTACGCTTTGTACAGGCCCAAATATTAAACGAGTCAACTCACGGCCACCGCGAATCGAATCAGCTCAACATCAGGCGTCGATGTTTCTCCGGTTTACGGAGTCGCCACCAATTCGAACTGTGTAATAGCTCCGGGGATGACTCCTTCGCCTCGACAGGGTTCTCTCCTCCTCCGATTAGATCCAGATCCACCATCTCGCCCACAGACGACTGACGATCTCGTAGAGCTGCGAAATCCGATTTCCCGAACTCTAGGCATCTACGATGAAAAACGGCGAGTTAGCTCGCTGCCACCGAATCGAATCAGCTCAACCGTCGATGTTTCTCCGGTTTAAGGAGTCGCCACCAATTCGAACTCTGGACTCCCCCAGATTATAGCTCCGACGATGACTCCTTCGCCTCGACAGGGTTCTCTCCTCCTCCGATTAGATCCAGATCCACCATCTCGCCCACAGACGACGACGAAGACGACGATCTCGTAGAGCTGCGAAATCCGATTACCCGAATTCTAGGCATCTTAATAACGAGACGATGAAAACCGGCGGGTTGCGAAATCCCGATGAAACGCCGGAAGGAATGAAATCGTCGATGTAGGAATGAGATGGGGAAAAATACGGGAAAGCCTGCTTTGTATAACACTATAACCCATATTATTTCGTACCGGTACTAATTTCAATTTCGGTTTTCGTTTGATTTTCAATTTCACGGTTTTAAAAGGAATTTGACATAGAAATCGATTCTAGTTCGGTTAATTTCACATGAATTTTAAAGGATTCCATGTAATAAACTATTTTCTAAATTTTTAATTATTTTCCCGATTTTAGGTTTGAGCAAATGAGAGCTATCAACAGAATGAAGATGCGGTTCGATTCTCGGATTGACTTTCCAGTTCATTTCCGGATTATCTATGATGACCCAAAAGAAAAACGACTACATTTATAGTAGTCTAGGCCAAGTAGTAGCACCTTGGACATATAACACAAATAAGTTTTGTATCAACGAATTCACATTTAGTGAGCAGCTCTTGACTCGAACAATAATTTTAAAATACATTTGTACACTGATTTCATAAAAATAAATCTGGTGATTCACTAAGTATGAAGTAAAAAATGACTTTAACTAAACTGATGCTACATTTTAAACCATAGAATGTTGGTAAGAATTTCGTTTGGGTGATAAAGGACTTATCGTTACTCTGTTCCTGTCCTGATCGGTGACTGCAAATGGTAAAAAGACAAGTTGTTTTATCAAATGGTTTTTTCGACTTGTTTCTTATGGATTTCTTCAGGCGTCTTGTGGCATATCCCAAGGGAAACAACGTTGATTACTTGTCTCTTAATCTGGAAGTTGCTGATATTAAATCACTGCCTTCTGAATGGAGAAGATACGTAAAACTTCAGCTAACTGTAGTAAAACATGTTTCAGAAAAAGGCTCTGTAGTGAAAGGTGATTCTTACTTTCAGTCTGTTAACTTTTATTTTATTTTGTTGAGTGTCCCATTGTCAGGTTAAGATACTAAATTGTCAATAGCATATACACATATCATTGATTTCAGCAGTAGCATTGGTAGATATTTTTATTTCATTCTTCTTATAAAATCTAGACAGAGGTCATACTATGCTTTGAATTGATTTTCATCATGATCCCTACAAGGTTTGTCCCGTCTATCGCTTTGCCACCTTTATTTGATTTTGGTTTTGCTATTGGAATGAATTGCTACAGCAACACATCGCTGGTTTGATCAAAAGGTTTTAGGCTGGGGTTTCCGACACATGATTCCCCTTACCAAACTTCACAACGAAACAGAAGGGTTTCTGGTAAATGGAGAACTCATTGTTGCTGCTGAGGTAGAAGTTCTTGAAGTTATCAGTACATCAGTAGAATCAGAGATATCTGTAGAGGCATCTGAACCACTGAGCGAGATGAATCTTGATGATGGTTCGAAGTCTTGTGATTGTCTCAACAATGCTCAACAAGTGAACGAAAAAAGCATTGATGTCAATGGGTTCCAAGTTCTTCCTTCACAGTTAAGAAACTTATATAATGCTGCAAACTTCTCTTTCTCTCAAAAGAACAAGCGCTACTCTAGTAGCCCCTTCAAACTCGCCGGCTGAAATTGGTAAATAGAGAAATTAACGATTACATATATATTTTCGTCCATTAATTTTCTTTGTGGAGTTTAAACTTTAGACGGACTTTTTTTTTGTACAGGCGTCTTGTTGCTGTACGCAACGGATATATGGATGCAAATGTTTGCTACTTGTCTGTGTATCTTGAACTTGCTCCTGGATCGTTGCCACCAAGATGGAGAAGAAACGTGAAATTTAGCCTCACTCTTTTGCATAACTCCGGTTTGGATAGATACAACAAAACGTTAGGTGATTGTTTTCATATGTATGATTTGAGTTTCATGTCCTGTCTTTTCTCTATGTAGTAGAATCTCTGTATTTTGCTGAGTAAGCTTAACTTTGAATCATTTTCTTATTGCTCTTGTTCTGTTTCTGGGACATGACAGGAAGGGAAGGCTGTTTCGATTAATAAAAATCTGAAACTATTAAAAGTAAGCTGCCACATTTTTTTTATCTCACATAAAACTCGTTCAATCAAGAATTATTCAAAGATAGTAAAACGATAATACTAAAACTTTTGGGTTTTGCAACTCGACATCTCCGCCACTAATTTAGTTGAGAATCTCTATCAAGATATTTCAAATATGAAAAAAGAACTTTCAGTGTGTATATATATGCACAGAAACACAGAATTGGTTCACCAAGTAAAACGTTTAATTGCTTCATTTTCTTCTCATCCTTGGGGTGTAAGTTTCTTTTTGTTCTCTCCCGTTTTGCTATGTTGATACAATCTTTTATGTACTTTCTTTTGTTTTAAACAGGAAATATGGCACGAGTATGTCACAGATGTACAAGTACAACAGCCGTGATCCGTTGTGTTACCGAAACTAAGTTACCGTACTTGTCACAGATGTACAAGTACTCGCCAGTGCAATCTCACATAGAGTGACACACAGTGGTTGACAAATCAATGCAAAAGCTCTGTAATCCGGGCCAGACAGAAAAACCGAAGCAAATAAACCGGTCTCAACCAAATTTAACCAAAACTAACTGAGACAAGTTAAACCATGAGCTGATTTGACTCTGTTTTTGGTCAACACAAAGAGACTTACTTATAACTTTATAAGCAGTGATTTAGTTTCTTTAAAGGAAACTCAGTAAGAGAACAAATTTCTCATAATATATCACAAGTTCAATTAACCTTATAAGAGGACTTTCTATTTTCTAATTAAAACACCAAAATGCCTAAGAAAATCAAGTCATGAATCAAACAAGATCATCGAAAGACAGAGCAGTTCTTGTGGCTGACAACTCTGCCTTCCCCTCCCCCGCAAGAGCATCCAGGTCTGAACACTTTTGCTTCAGTTCCTTAAGATTTTCCTCAATTTCTTGGAGCCGAGCCAAGACAGACTGCTCGTTCTCCTTTTTGTCCTTCATTTGGTCTAGCTTCTTCTCCAGCCAATCAACCTTAAAGCCTGCTTCTTTCAAGTATGTAAGCGCAATGTCTGCTTCCACAAGATCTTCATTGGAGAGCTCCTCAAGAGACTGGCACAACGTCTGGATTAAGCTGAGCAGGAAGTTCATACATGTGTTCCTTAGTTGTTGGTTCTTTGCATGGAACTCCACGGCAATGTCTGGGTGTCTTTCGAATATACGCCTCACAGATTCTACCTGCGAATGAAAACACATTCACAAAGCACATGAGAGAGACAGAGAGCAATATTCTAACAAGAGAATGAATCATCAATCCGGTACTTTACCTGGGAAGAAGAAACCTCAAACCCATTGACATTCATTGTTTCCTTTAGACGTTGAATCTCCTCCTTAAGTACATCATTACCAGTCTGTGTAACAGATGCCACAGTGTTAAACCCTGTTCCACAAGTTTCATCTAAAATCTTGTTTGATGGGTTCTCAGTGTTTTGCGCCACTTGGCAAGACGTGTCAGTACCCTGAGATCTGGTGACAGATGCATCATCATCATCTTGGTTTCTTTCTCTGCAGCTCAGAGGTTCAATAATCTTCACAGGTTCCTCTGGGAAAACGTCTAGCTCAACAATGAAACTGAGTTCGAAATTCACCACATATCCCCAAAGTTCGGAAAGGGGCAAGAACTCTTCAAAGCCCCAACTGTCGTTCTCTGCATCGAAACAGCCTTCCCTTCCTGTCATGTCCCAAGAACAGAACAAGAGCAATAAGAAAATGGATTCAAAGTTTGCATAAGCTTACTCAGCAAATACAGAGATTCTACTACATAGAGAAAAAGACAGGACATAAAACTGAAATCATATATATATATATATGAAAACAATCACCTAATGTTTTGTTGGATACACACAAACCGAAACCGGGATTACGCTCAAGTGTGAGGCTAAATTTCACGTTTCTTCTCCATCTTGGTGGCAACGGTCCAGGAGCAAGCTCTAGATACACGGACAAGTAGCTATCCTTCGTATATCCGTTGCTAACAGCAACAAGACACCTGTACAAAGCAAAAGTCCAACTAAACTTAAACTCCACAAAGAAAATTAATGGACGACAATATATACATGTAATCGTTAATTTCTCTATTTACCAATTGCAGCCGGCGAGTTTGAAGGGGCTAGAGTAGTGCTTTTTGGTATCATACAAAGGGAAGTTTCCAAAAACACAAGTGACTTTCTTCTCCATTAATATGAAACTTCTCTCCTGAGCAAGGCTTTTGGATTAGAATTGAGTTTGGTTCAGTTACTATATCGTTTGGCAAAGAGAAATTCACTTAAACCGACTTATTTTGGATAGATCGTGTTTCAGCTTAAGATTGGTTGATTTATATCTCAATCTCGATTAAAAAAAAAGTGGTCAAAAAACAAAACCGACCTAATATCGACAATTCAGCTTAATATGTTTGAAATATTTTTCATTAAAAGATGGTTTGGTTTGGTTTGGTTGGTTTATCTCGGGTCTATCTATTATTCTTATTTTCTTTTCTTTTTTTGGGTGCAAAATTCCTAATTTCCTAGCATTATAGAGCGTTACCATATCTCTCGTTCCTTCAACCGTAAACCCTAACATAATTTCCCTTCTCTTCAACCCTAAACCCCACGATTCTGAATTAAGAAGCACATTGTTGCGTCGGAATCAGTTTATAGGTTTCTCTGTTCGTGCTCTGGCGATAATATTAAATGGATGGGCACATGAAGCAGACAGTCACTTGTGTTTTTGAAAACTTCCGTTTGTATGATACCAAAAAGCGCTACTCTCGCCCCTTCAACCTCGCCGGCTGCAATTGGTAGATTTATTCTCTGTATAGATTTACATGCACTAATAAAAACGATTAACTTTCCTCCTCGATGTAATAAAAACGATTTGAATTCCCTAGAAGGTAGAGTAAGCGTGCTCCGTTTGAAAAGTTAAAATCAATTATGGCTATATGCTGCTCCAGAGTCGAGACTAGTTACTGCTCTTACCTATGCAAGAAAACCCCTCGATTGTTGTTTAGTTGTCCTATTTAAAACTTTTGGGTGTGGTCCACTAGGGCTCTAGCGTTTTTCTTCACTTCAGGTTTGATAGGAGAGGAACTTCATCAGGTAGCAATGGAGAAGCAAGGTTCTAAGAAAATCACTTGGGTGATCAAGAATTTCTCCTCTTTGACAGCCGCTAAGATTTATTCCGATCAATTTGAACTCGGTGGCTGCAAATGGTTAGGTTTTGAAGTGTTTTCGTCCAAATATATATCATCCACAGTGTTTGCTGATTGTTTTATTCGTGTTTCCAGGCATCTTCTTGCCGATCCTAGTGGAAATAACGTTGATTGCTTGTCTCTGTTTCTGGAAGTTGTTGATTTCAATTCTTTGCCTACTGGGTGGAAAAGAAACGTAAAAGTTGGGCTAACTATAGTAAGACAGGTTTCTGTAGAACCCTCAGTACTGAAAGGTGATTCTTACTTCAGTGTCAGTATTGTTTCGATTTCACCCGTTTTCTTATTTGACTCATGGATAAAGTAAATTTCGTAAAAATTATGCATCTTCTACTCTCATGGGTCTTGTTATGCTGCTTATTAATTATCTATGATGTGTTGTAGAAATGTCCGTATGAGTCATTTACTTTACATTAGATTTTATTTAATCCACAGGAGGGTGCATATATTTCATGCAGTTGTTTCATTCGATTATTATTTTTTTAATGGGAGAAATTGATACAGAAATGCATCGCTGGTATGATCAGCATCAATCCTGCTGGGGATATCCATCTATGATTCCCCTTGCCACACTCCATGACACAAATGAAGGATTCCTTGTAAACGGAGAACTCATGATCGCTGCCGAGGTAGACATTCTTCAAGTTATTGGCACCTCAATGGAATCTGAAGAGACAGATCCTTCGAAAAAGTTGAAGGTAAGAGTAACGGATATTAGTGGGTTTTAATTTCTTGCTTCACAAGTAAGAACAGTGCAAGTTAACTTCTTCATGTCTTGAGGTTTTTGGATTTTAAATGTAAGCTGCAGAGATACTGTATTGTGATCTGTGTTTTCAGGTCTCTCTTATATGGTTGATCATACTTCTGTCTCTGTAGGTAGAACATGTGAGCTCGAACCAAGACAATTCAGTTGATTTCCGGGCAAAGATCCAACATCTGAAGACAGGATGCATGAATGTCTTGCTCAGCCTGACCCATATGCTGTGCCAAACACCTCAGGAGCTTTCCATTGACGATCTGGGAGAAGCAGAGAAAGCACTGGCTTACATGAAAGATTCAGGCTTGGAGGTGGATTGGTTGGAGAAGAAGCTTGAGGAAATAAAAGAAAAGAAGAAGAAAAATTAGGAGGTTTAAATGAAAAACAAATTTCACTTGGTTTAAGCTGGTTTGATTCGATTTAACTTGTTTAAATTCGGTTTGGTTTGGATATTGAAGCGATAATGGTTTTCAGATAGATTATGTTGCGATCTGTTTTCAGATTACCAAAAGACTCTCGATCGTTCGATGTTGTTGACTTGTTGACTGATGTCTTGAGTTCTAACCAAAATCCACGGCCTTAACTTAACACATTTCATTTATGTTGTCTTTGTAAAAATATTTGAATGTTCCCTGGGGCCCGTTGGGCCCAACAAATGCTATACATTTTATTGTTTAGTCTTGTGTACTTAAGTGGGTCCAGCCGAAAAATTAGGGTTCATGAAATAAATAAAAAGTATTTAAGTCTTGAGCTCTCTGATTCGTCCGCCGTTCGTGGGATTCTGTCTATTATCCACTGTCTCGTTTATGTAAGTTTTAGATCTGATCTTGATATTCTTCTTCACTTGCGAAAATTTCAGTAATATATTTGCAAGTATTACATATTTAATTATGATTCAGGTGGATATTTGTAGGTTTTACATTTTTAATTTTGTTTGAGGTTGACATGCTTTGCTATATCGGATATTAATTGAAAATTTATAACATATTCTGTGAGTAATTGACGTTGTTGAAAATGCTTTGACTTCATAGTGGAATCTTATCTAAACTAAGATTTGCTTAAGAGCACGTAATCTTCATGTTTGTGTAGTTTCTTTGCTAGCAATGTGCCGCATCGCATCAACGGAGAGGGAAAACAAGTTCGTCTGGGTGCTAAAGGATGCCAACTCTTTGTTGACAATAACTGAATCTGATCCCTTTGAGATTGGTCGATGTAAATGGTATAAAACTGAAATTTCATTTTTGTTTCTTATGTGTTTGCGTCCATTTATGTCACGGTGATTCAATTCTTTTACTTTTATTCTGCAGGCGTGTTACTGCACATCCCAAGGAAGATAACCTAGACTTCTACTTTCGGTATTGTGGTGTAGACGATTCTGTTCAACCATTGCCTTCTAGATGGAGAATGTATCTTAAACTTCGGTTGCAAGTTGTACATCGACAATGTGAAAGATTCTCTATTGTGACAGGTGATTCTATCTACAACTCTTGCGAGTATATCGTTTTCAGTATTCTTGATTAGACAAAAGAAAGCTAGCTTCTGTATATAGCTCTAGGGTGTTTGATTTTGAGTGACTGGTTTAGAGTAGGTTTTAAGTTTCTTGCTAAGCTGTGAACATCGTTGTTTAGTCCAAAACTGAATAGAATATATACTCAATGTAATATTTGCTTTATTCAAATAATATACATAGTAATTGATGGAATGCAATGTATATATTGAGGTGGTACAGATTCAGATGTTTACTTTGATGACAAGACTCCCGTGTGTTATTATCCATCCGCATTCTCTCCTTCCAAACTCTTGGACAGCGATGGCGGGTATTTGGAAAATCAAGAACTGATGATTGTGGCTGAGGAAATTGATTATGACGCATATGGCCTTGATGTCGACATTGATGAAGTTCCTTTACAGGTAAGAAACTTAAGATTTATACTTGATTCACTAGGTTATTGTTTATAGAAACACGCAAAACCTACTTAATTAAGTAGAAGATGTATGATCGCCTTTTTCTGAAACTTTTTTTTTTTTTGGGAATAGTATAAGGAGTTTTTTACTTTTGCCAACAAGCCTCGAGGAAAGAAGAAAAGCCTTGTTGATGTCAATGGGTTTTATGTTCTTCCTTCACAGGTAAAAAACTTAATATTTGTACTTCATTAACTATAGGGTATTATCTTTAGAACAACTCAAAACCTAATTAAGAAGAAGATGTATGATCTCGCCTTTTTCTGAATTTTATGTTTTTGGGAATAGTATGTGCTTTTTATTGTTTTGAAAATAATCTCTAATGTTTTCATTGAAACATTTTGCAAAACTACAGTGTTTCTCTATGTGTTGAGGGGCTTCTAAAAGCCGGTACGATATAGTTCATAATTATTTTCCTCCATTCACACAGGTGGAAACTCTGAAGGGTTTATTTCAAGAATACCCAGACTTTGCATCCGGATTCCGTTTTAATAATCGGCATATGAGGTCAACATACATGAATGTCCTCCTTAGACTGGTTGAAACACTCCGCCAGCCGCCTGAGGAGGTCTCCTATGATGATCTGGATGATGCATGGTACGAACTGTCGTACGCGGCATATGGAGGTTTTCAATATGATTGGTTGCAGGAGATGCTCAAGGAAGTAAAGGCAAAGAAGATGAAAGTGAGACTCTGGTAAGGCTCGGATGAGAGATATGGTGGAAGCAGACGTGTCAGCTACCCGTATTCCTCTCTCGTTCGATGATGTTGTTTGATGTTCTCCTCAATTTTTGGTTTGATACTTTGTTCATGGTTGTTTCTTGGCTCCGAATCTTTTTTAGTACTTTGCAACAACAGTCTTTTGGTTTCGTTGAACAATTACTTTCAAAGCTAAGCTAAGTAGCTTGATAAAATTAAAATAATTAATTTGTGTTGTGATAAAAATAATTATGGTCTTTAGGCAGCTGCTTGATTTCTTTAATGCATCTGAGTTTCTTGATGAAGAAGTAATATTTCATGTATGATGTTTCTTCGGAAATGAGAAAGTCGGGAGAATCTAGCGGAGATGAGAAAGTGGGAAGAGAAGAATCTTGGTGTGATGGAAAGGAGGAGAAAGAAAAACCCTCGAATCCAAAACTGGAATCAAGTATGAGAGTATGACCCATGTTCCAAGTAAACCCTAGGAGGAGCGAAAGTGATGCGTATTCGCCGTGTACGATTTATTCTATTTAGTAAATAAGAAACGTTTAACTGTGATATTAATAACCATCCTCTAAAACAAAACCTATATAAAGGCTTCGATTCCATATTTATTGGAATATTAATTTCCAGGCTCTTTGCATTCCTCGTCTTCGGTGATTTATGAACGTCTCGATTTTTGCTTTGCTGCTCGAGAGTCGAAACTAGCTAAACCCCTCGATTGTTGTTTATTTATCTGATTTAAAACTTTTGGGTTCTAGGGTTTTTCTTCAGGTCAAGTTTGATTGCAGAGGAATCTTCATCAGGATCAATGGAGAAGCAAGGCTCTAAGAAAATCACTTGGGTGATCAAGAATTTCTCCTCTTTGCCACCTGCCCAGATTTATTCTGATCAATTCGAACTCGGTGGCTGCAAATGGTTAGGTTTTCAAGTGTTTTTGTTCATATATATTAATATATATATAGGTGATATATATCCTCCATATATAGTGTTTGCTGATTCTTTTATTCGTGTATCCAGGAGCCTTGCTGTATATCCTAAGGGAAATCTCGTTGCTAATTACTTGTCTTTGTTTCTGGAAATTGTTGATTTTCAATCATTGCCTTCTGGATGGAAAAGAAACGTTAAAGTTGGGCTAACTATAGTAAGACAGGTTTCGGTAGAACCCTCAGTACTGAAAGGTGATTCTTTATGTGCACAAGTGTTTTTTTAGATATTCCATTTCGTAAAGTTGATGCATCTTCTATGGGTCTTTTTATGCTGCTAGTTAGTGTTGTACAATGTTTTCTAAAAGATGTATGTTTGTATGAATCATTTAGTTTTCAGTAAAGTTTGTATAATCCACATGAGGAGGGTGCGTAAGCGTTTAGCTCATGCACATTCGATTATGATTATATTAACGGGATAAAATGATACAGAAACACATCGATCGTATGATCAGCATCACATCCTTTGGGGTTTTCCATCTATGATTCCTCTGGCCAAACTCCATGAAGAAAATGGCGGATTCCTTGTAAACGGAGAACTCATAATCGCTGCCGAAGTAGACATTCTTGAAGTTATTGGCACCTCAATGGATTCTGAAGAGACAAATCCTTTGAAAAAGTCAAAGGTAAGAAAACGGATATCAGTGTGTTTTAATTTCTTGCTTCACAAGTAAGAACAGAGCAAGTTAACTTCTTTATTTATGACTTAAGTTTTTGGATTTTAAAATGTAAGTTGCAGAGATATCGTGGTCTGCGTTTTCAGGTCTCTCTCATATGCTTTACCAAACTTCTGTCTCTGTCTGTACTAGCAGGTGGAACCTATGAGCTCGAACAAAGACAATGCAGTTGATTTCCGCGCAAAGATCCAACATCTGAAGACAGGATGCATGAATGTCTTGCTCAGCTTAACACAGACGCTGTGCCAAACACCTCAGGAGCTTTCCATTGATGATCTGGGAGAAGCAGAGAAAGCACTTGCTTACATGAAAGATTCAGGCTTGGAGTTGGATTGGCTGGAGAAGAAGCTTGAGGAAGTAAAAGAAAAGAAGAACAAAGAGCAGTCCGGTTGAAATTAGCAGGAGCTGAGGACAAATTGTGCAACTCATAAACTGAAACACTAATTTCATATGAATTGGTTTAAGCTGGTTTGATTAAATCTAACTTGTTTAAATTCGGTTTGGTTTGGATATTGAAGCGATAATGGTTTTCAGATAGATTATGTTGCGATCTGTTGACTTGTTGACTGATGTCTTGAGTGTTAACCAAAATTCACGGCCTTAATTAAACACATTTTCATTTATGTTGTCTTTGTAAAAATATTTAAATGCTCCCTGGGGCCCGTTGGGCCCAACAAATGTTATACATTTTACTGATTAGACTTGTGTACTTAAGTGGCAGCCGATAAATTAGGGTTCATGAAATAAAAAAAAAGTATTTAAGTCTTGAGCTCTGATTCGTCCGCCGTTCGTGGGATTCTGTCTATTATCCACTGTCTCGTTTATGTAAGTTTTAGATATGATCTTGATACTCTTCTTCACTCGCGAGAATTTCTGTAACATATTTGCAAGTATTACATATTTTATTTAGATTCAGGTGGATATTTGTAGGTTTTACATTTTTAATTTTGTTTGAGGTTGACATGCTTTGCTATATCGGATATTAATTGATGATTTATAAAATATCGGAAATTGTTGAAAATGCTTTGACTTCATAGTGGAATCTTATCTAGACTAAGATTTCCTTAAGAGTACGTAATCAATCTTCATGTTTGTGTAGCTTCTTTGCTCGTAATTTTCATCATCGCATCAATGGAGAGGCAAGTCGAAAACAAGTTCGTCTGGGTGATAAAGCATGCCGTCTCTTTGTTGTCAATAATTGAATCTGCCACCTTTGTGATTGCTGGATTTAAATGGTATACCTATTGAACCTTTTTTTCTTATGTTATTTCGTCCATTTATGTCACGGTGATTCAATTCTTTTACTTTTATTCTGTAGGCGTCTTAGTGCACATCCCAAGGAAGGTAACATAGATTTCTACTTTCGGTATTGTGGTGTAGCCGATGATCCTAATCATCCATTGCCTGCTTGTTGGAGAGCATATGAGAAACTTCGCATGAAAATCATCAATCGACTATCTGAAACACTCTCTATTGTGTCAGGTGATTCTATCTACAACTCTTGTCGCTCTTTGATTTGATCCATATTGAAAAGGGTTCTTGCCACTAAATCATTTTCAGTGTCATCACACATTATTCTTTTTCACCTCATCTAATTAACTACTTGATTAGACAAAAAGAAACTAGATTCTGTTTACGCATTTTTCAAAACATGTATACAACTCTAGGATGTTTCATCTGAGTGACTGGTTTAGATTAGGTTTTAACTTTCTTGCTAAGCTGTGAACATCGCTGTTTAGTCCTAATTAAAGATAATATATAAGTGTAGTGTTTGCTTTATTCAAATAATAATATATAGTAACTGATGGAATGCAATGTATGTCGAGGTGCGACAGACACAGAGATTTACTTTAATGAGAAGTCTCCCCTGTGGTCTTACCCATGCGTACTCTCTCCTTCCAAACTCTTGGACAGAGATGGCGGATTTTTGGAAAATCGAGAACTGATGATTGTGGTTGAGGAAGTTGCTCATGTAGTACATGGAGCTTCAGGTCCATCAGATGATTATCAGCTTTTGAGCAAATTTCAGGAAAGTCAAGGTGCCGACGAGAATCGACCAGCGAAGAGAATCATTGATATCAATGGGTTTCGTGTTCCTCCTACAAAGGTATTTATACTTAATTAACTAGGTTATTAATTATAGAAACACTCAAGACCTAATTAAGTAGAAGATGTATGATCGCTTTTTTCTGAATTAATTTTTTTTTTTTGTTGGGAATAGAATAAGTCTTTTATGCTTGCCAGCCGAAAGAAGAAATTCGTTGCGGTCAATGGGTTTCATGTTCTTCTTTCACAGGTACGAAACTTAAGATTTGTACTTAACTAACTAGGTTACTAGTTATTTATTGAAAAACTCAAAACCTAATTAAGTAGAAGATGTATGATGATCGCCTTTTTCTGAATTTTGTTTTGGTTGGAAAATAGTATGTGCTTTAATTTTTATTGTTTTGAAAATGATCTCTGATGTTTCAGTGAAACATTTTGCAAAACTACTGTGTGCGCGGTATGTGTTTATTATTTTTTTTTTTCCATTTACAAAGGTAAACACTGTGAAGGGGATATTTCAAAAATACCCAGACTTTGCGTCCAGATTCCGTTTTAAGAATCGGCATCTGAGGACAAAATACATCAGTGGCGTCCTTGTACTGATTAAAACACTCTGCAAGCCGCCTGTGCAGCTCACTTATGATGCTCTGGATGAAGCATCGTATGCACTGTCGCACGCAGAAAAGGGAGGTTTTGACTTGGATTGGTTGGAGAGGATGCTGGATGAAGTAAGGGCAAAGAAGATGAAATTGGACTCTGGTAAGGCTCGGATTAGAGAAATTATGGAAGAGTTAGAGGCTTCTGTTGATAGATGGAATGTCTTGAAAGAAAATCTGGCCAAGGAGAAAGAAGACATGTCAGCTGCCCGTGCTCCTCTCTCGTTCGATGATGTCGTTTGATGTTCTCATCAACTTTGAAACTTTGATCATGTTTGGTTATTTGGTGCCGTGGTTGTTTCTTGGCTCCGAACCTTTTTAGTACTTTTCAAAACAGTCTTTTGTTTTTTGTTGAACAAATATTTTCAAAAGCTAAAACTAAGTAGCTTATAAAAGTAATTTATTTGTGTTGTGGTAGAATGGAAAAACCCTTTTTTATGCTGTTACTTGTAAAACAAATTAATGTTTTTCATGCTCGGTTGCAAGAAATGAAAGACACGTCTGCATGACATGAAGCAGTAAGTGCTCAGACTTGGATTTTGGTTCTCTTTGTCTACATCTTTGTTTTGAAACGAGTCGTCCTATTATAGTCTTCGGAAGCTAAAGAGACTTTTGTTCGAAGTTTCCACATCTTGTGGTGGAATATTCTGCTTGATTTCTTTAATGCATCTGAGTTTCTTGATGAAGAAGTAATATATTCATGTCTGAGTTTCTTCGGAAATGAGATTCGGAACTGAGAAAGTCAAGAGAATCTAGCGGAAATGAGAAAGAGGGAAGAGAAGCATGGAAAGGAGGAGAAAGAAAAAACCCTCGAATCTAATAATAGAATCATGAATGACCACACTCCAAGTAAACCCTAGGAGGAGCGAAAGTGATACGCATTTGCCGTGTACGTTTCATTCTATTTAGTAATTAAAGAAACGTTTAACTGTGACATTAATTAGAACCTACAAAAAGGCTTCGATTCCATATTTATTGGAATCTTAATTTCAGTTCTGGTTATTCTGTTCGAGATTGTTGTTTGATTCTCCCATTCTAGACCAATCGGGTTCTAGGGTTTTTCTTCTTTTCAAGTCTGCTAGTTTGAGGAATCTTCATCAGGGTCAATGGGGAAGAAAATTGCTAAGAAAATCACTTGGACGATCAAGAATTTCTCCTCTTTACCACCTGCCAAAATTTATTCTGATCAATTCGAAGTCGGTGGCTGCAAATGGTAAAGTTTACAAGTGTTTTGGTTCATATATTGATTTAGGTGATATATATTCTCCACCGTGTTTGCTTCTGATTCTTTTATTCGTGTTTCCAGGTGTCTTCTTGCCTATCCTAAGGGAAATAGCGTTGATTTCTTGTCTTTGTATCTGGAAGTCGCCAGTTATGGATCATTGCCTTCTGGATGGAGAAGACACACCCGATTTATCCTAACTATAGTTAACCAAATTTCGGAAATATCTTCCCATCCAAAAAAAGGTGATTATTTATTCCCACTGCTCGCTTTGCAAGACTTCCTTCCGGTCTCCAAATTGTTTTTAGCTACATGTTTAATGTTAATCAGTGTAGAAATTGTTAATACGTTTCATCCCTTCTCATATTTACCGACAAATCAAGGATAGTTAAAATTTATTGAATTTTTCAGTAGTGGGTCTTGTTGTTCTGCGATATATTATATTAAATATTTCGTTTGAGCTTGAGTTCTATGTTTCTCAAGGATGTTTGAGTTTGGTGGTTTTCGATTATTTCTTTTCATTTTTTGGGGTCAAGTTTTGAACATTGATGTTCATTCCACAGAAACACAACACTGGTTGGATGAGAATTCCCCCAACTGGGGTTTTCCATCCATGCTTCCACTTAATGAACTTCATGCCAAAGATAACGGATTTATGGTAAACGGAGAACTCAAGATTGTTGCCGAGATACATCTTCTTGAAGTCATTGGCAAATTAGATGTAACAGAGGAAACTTCAACAGTCACGGAAACCATGGATGTTAATGGTTTTCAACTTCTTCCTTCGCAGGTAAGTAAATTAAGAATTTTACTAACTTCCGTGCACATAATTAAGCCCAAGAGAGACATCAAGATGTGTTCTATGATATGTATGTGTGCTGTCTCTGAAATCTGCTCTTTATTCACCCTTTATTTTCAAACGCAGGCAAAAGCTGTGATCTGTATGTTTGAGAGACATCCAGAGATTGCAACTGAATTCCGTCCAAAGAACCCAAATCTTAGGAAAGGTTACATGAGTTTGCTACTTAGTCTGATTGAGACTATGTGCCAGTTACCTCAGGAAATATCCAAGGATGATCTGTGTGAAGCTTATGCTGCACTGGGCCTCATGAGAGATGCTGGATTTAAGTTGGATTGGTTGGAGAAGAAACTTGATGAAGTATCAGAAAAGAGCGAAAATGAGGAGGCTCGTGAGACTCAGATGAAAGAAATGGAGGAAGAGCTGAAGAACTTGAAGCAGAAGTGGTTAGACATGGAAGCTCTGGTGGAGAAGGAGAAGGCGAAGGTGTCGGCTGCAAAAGCTCCTCTCTCATTTGATGATGTTGTTTAATGTTCTTATCTTTTAGAAGGTGCTTGAAGTTTGGTTCTGCTTGCATGGTGTTCTTGTCTGTCCTTGGTTTCATAATTAGAGTTATGTATATAAGATTTAATCAACTAGAAACAGTTTGAGTTATTTATTATGAACAAATTCGTTTGAGTGAGTACTATGTATACACAAAGCGCTGACGTGTGAGTCAAGTTACAAGCAAAAATTCAGGAAATGTTCTGCAATACGAGTGATTCAGTTTAAAGTTTTGTGTCCATTTCCTCCATGGCTTGATGAAAAATCAACGTTCTCTGTATGAACATAGTTTAGTTAACGAAGAATCGCTGCCAAACAAGACTCAACTGAATGAACACCATTTTTTTAAAAACGCCATTTAATTAAACATCCATCGCTATTTAAGTCGGTCAAACATTGACTTTTTCATCGGCCCTTCCCTTGCCGCAGGTACCAAGTCTCAACTCCGAACCCTACTCTCGTGTCCGTTACATCTAAAATCAACCGAATTTATGTAAGATACCCCAAGAAAATTTTGTTTTGACATAATTCTACAGTTTAAGTGACTAGAGAAGCCAAAGCTATAAAAATCCCACGAGTCTCTAACTTCATTTTTTTTAAACCTTCCTCCGAGATCAAAAATCGAAAACAATGTATTCATCCTCCGCACCAAAACGCATCGTTTCAATCCGTTACTTGGCGATGATGGCCATTCAACTCCTCATTATACGCAGCGTCTCGTCAATGAACCAGACCAACGCGTATCTAAACCACAAATGCTCCGACATCGAAGGGAAATACAAACCCAAGAGTCCGTACGAGCAAAACCTCAACTTCCTCATCACTGATATGTCTAAAGACAATTTTATAAGAGGTTTCGCCTACGCATACCATGGAGACGATCCCAACACCATCTACATCTTACTCCAATGCCGCGGCGACTCATATGGCTCCAAGTGTGGCTCCTGCCTTTCCACCGCCATCTCCGAGGTATGGCTATAATATTTATCTATTAACTATATATTATACGTAAATTAGCCCGTGCGATATTTGTTGTTGATTGTGGTGTTGTTACAGCTACGTAAAAGATGTCCGATGAACAAGGCGGGAATCGTATGGTTTGATCAATGTCTTCTCAAGATATCTCCGACCGCTTTCTTTGAGAAAATAGATGACAAGAACAAGTTCTATATGTACAGCACGAAGAAAGTGACCGATCCGGCGTCGTTCAACGCGAAGACTAAGGCTCTTCTCACCGAGCTGACCGCGAAAGCCACTCGTAGATCAGACAAGCTATTGTTGTACGAGACGGGAGAGGTGAAGTTAGTGAAGATGAATCTGTACGGAATGGTGCAGTGTACGAGGGATTTATGGTTTACGGTTTGTTAGACGTGTTTGGATAAGATTATTGGAGAGCTTCCTAAATGCTGCGATGGTAGAGAAGGAGGGAGAGTTGTGAGTGGGAGTTGTAACTTTAGGTATGAGATTTACCCTTTCCTTAACACTGTTCGATGAGATCTCCAACTTTTGTTTGTTTGTCAACATGAGAGAGCTCCATATCAATTGATGACCGGCCATATGATTAAGTAATTGTTGGAAGATTTAGGGTTGTTAATGGACAAATATGTACTTTTTTGGACAGCGAATTTAAATATCAACGCGTAGAGAATATTGTTTTACGGACTTGACGTAAAATATTTTAATTCAATTTTCTCTCCTTCTCGATTTCGTTAAATTCTATCTTGGCGTTATTTTTTTGTTTGTTTATGGTGTGTTTCTTTGAGTTAATACATTGAAATGAGAGTACTCTACTGAATGTTTTGTCTCTCTGCTTTTAAAATTATGATTAGATCGAGTATCAAGTCACAGATGGATACATTTGATCTCCATTTCTTTCGGCAACACTAAGGTTATCTTCAATTTTGACTTTTGAATGCGAGTGATTCTCTCGGTATCAATGATGAAGAGAACAGAGTGTAGTGAACCTAGCCGTGACATGAAGCACCATTCCTTTATGGGAAATGAAAGTCCAGGTAAGTGAGTAATACGATGAGTCGACTTCTCTTCTTATACCGGGTTTTCATTCTCTCTTTCTCTGTTTCCACCGATGTGGGACTTTTAATAAGCTCCACTTATCAAACACGCCGCGTTTTTATTATAACACTGCGTGTCGGTTTAACAAAACGTGAACGCTTTAAGCTTTTTAAGATTTCTCAACTGGGCCGAATCAAATCAATTTTACTCATCAAATGTTTTTTGGTATGAATGTTAAGATACTCATCATTCCGAACGATGATTCCCCTTTTCAAGCGTTTTTTAATCAGAAGGTAAACCCTTAACAACTTGTGTTTCTACTCAGTGATGTGTCTGCAACTCTGTGGCCAGAGCTCCTTTGTCGTTTGATAGTGTTGTTTGATGGCTTTAATTTTTTGAGTTCTTTAGTCATTTGGATTTTAGTTAAGTTTGGTGTTCTAGTCTCTGCTCATTTGTGTCTTGGTTTCGAATTGGGTATCGTCTTAAGACTCTGGAAGATAAGTGATTTATCTTGAGGTGGAAGTTTCCGCATCTTGTAAAGAAGTATATTGTGCTGGTCCTGCTGGAACCTGGAGGACTCGTTAAGGTTTCTTTAACGCATGTGTGTTTCTTGATCAGCAAAGGTTATTGGTGCGTGAGAAACAGCGAGTGGCACTCGAAGAGTCGCCGAGATTCAACCTCTTCATATAGTTAGGTTGTAAACGGAAATTCTCTCACTATAACTGAAGGTTAATTCCTCAACTTCCTTTGATTTGTCTTCTTCATGTTCTTGCAATTTTGATTGAGTAAAGCTTTTTTTGACTTTTGAGTAACGATCTTCTTCTTCTTCTTCTCTTTTTTACTAAGCGAAGAGATGTGATATGTTAAACGTGTGAATCAAGCCTATGGCTATCATAAATACTTAATGGAAATATTTTAAATTAGCAAAATCTAATTGAGTGTGTATATCTAAATATGTTAAATTACCATTACCATTTTTTCGGGATTAAATTATTAAATAATATATATACGGAAGATACAATCTTGAAGTTTTTCTCTAATTTGGTTTTATTGCTCGAAATTAATTATTCGACTTAGGAATTTGCGACTCGGGCTCTAGGGTTTCACGTTGTCTGCGTATCCTGGTAATATTAGGATCGCGAAGAGTCTTCATCAAGAATCAAAGTCAATGGAGAAGCCAGTTGAGAAGAATTCATGTGGGTGACGAATAAAGATTTCGTCTCTTTGAAACCTGAGGAGAAAATCTATTCTAGTCAATTCTTGTTCGGTAGCGGCAATTGGTAAGAAGATAATTAGTCTTTTAATGTATTGGTCAAAAAAAATTGACTGGATTGTCTTGTTCGTTTTGTTGATTATTTTTATTTCCTGCAGCCGTTTTTTTGTCCAACACAAGCGAAATAACGATGTTGTTTTCAACGACTTTGTTTTCAATGCAAGAAAGAAAATGAAGAAAAATAAGGATGATTACTTGTTTCTGTGTCTGGAATTTGACCCTTGTTGTATCCTCCCAAACGCTTTGGAAGGGAAAAGAGACACAAATTTTCATTTTACTATAGTGAATCAAAGTTCGGAAAAACTCTCCAAACTGGGAGGTAATTATTTCTACGTTTTCTAAAGTTTATTCGTTGAGATTATATGTATATGTTTGCGGTGTGTGCAATGTATGTTTGACAAGTTCAGTATCTATGTTGCGTGACTTAACAGAGTCACAACACTCCCGGATTCATGATGATGAGAATCCCATGTTTGGTTATCGACCCGTGTGTCACCTTGGCCAATTCAAGGCCAAGAATGGTGAATTGTTGGTGAGTGGAGAAGTCAGTTTTGGATTCAAACATAACATGTTTGGTGGTCGTCTAGTTACTGGAAAATTATACGAATCAAAAGAGTCTGAAGAGACAACCAATCCTGCCAAAAAGACAAAGCTAAATGTGGATGTCGATGGGGTTCAAGTTCTTCGTTCACAGGTAAGAAACACTAAAGACAAAGATGCATTACAAGAGCTTTAGTTTTTGGATACCTTTATTTATCGTTTTTCACTTGCAGGTGGGATTTGTGAGGCGTTTATTTGAAAAACATCCAGATGTTGCATTAGAGTTCCGTTCGAAGAACCAGCATTTGAGGACAGGGTACATTAGTGTTCTCATCAGCTTAACTCAGAAACTCGGCCAATCGCCGAAGGAACTTTCCAACGATGACCTGTCAGGTGTAGTTGCTGCACTGACATACATGAAAGATGCAGGATTCAAGTTGGATTGGTTGGAGAAGAAACTTGATCAAGTAAAGGAAAAGAAGAAGAAACAAGAGGCTTGTTTGGCCCAGCTGCAAGAAATGGAGAAAGAGCTTAACCCAATAAAGCAGAAGTGCTTAGACCTTGAAGCTCAGATGGATAAGAAGAAGGCTGAGCTTTTGGAAGCATGTGCCCCTGATCTCTCTTTTGATTAGTACCCTGAGTTCTTAGGCTGAGTGTTTTGTAGCTGAAGACTCGGGGTGTCTAAGAAATTAGTTTCTTGATGGAAAAGTAACGTTCTTGGTGATGAAACAGAGTGGTCGTTTTAGCAAACATGAGTGGATTCAGCTTCTTGATCTTGATTATTATTTTAGGCGTTGTGCTTGTACCTTTCTCATGATTGAGTTCTCCATTTAGTGCATTAAAAAAAACAGAATTAATTAAATAAGTAAATGTTGAGAGATATACTCATTAATTACAATTAATGCGGACTGATATAATAAACTCAAAAAAAATATACACTTCACCGTTTGGGTATATAGTATATATCTAGATATGTTAAACTAGCATCACCATTTTTAGGGAGTTTAGATTTTTCAAAAAAATATATAAGGAAAGTATCTATAACGAAGTCTTCGACTCCAAAGTCCAAATTATAGTCTTAACCCCTAATTTGGTTTTTACTGCTCGAGATTGTTGGTTTCTTGTTTCGACTATCGAATTTGGGTGTGTGCCATTCGGGTTCTAGGGTTTCACATTCTCCTAATATTCTGGTATATTTGATTGCAAAGAGTCTTCATCAAGAATACTCAATGGAGAAGCAAGTTGAGAAGAAGTTCATGTGGGTGACTAAAAATCTCCTCTCTTTGCAATCTGAGAAAATCTATTCTGATCAATTCTTGTTCGCTGGCGGAAAATGGTATATAACTTGTCTTCTAATCAAATTTTAGGGTTGACAACAAGGAAAAAGAAAAAAATCAAAATCAAAATCAAATTTTTAGGTTTGACTGAATTATTCTTTTACTTTTATTTCTTGTACAGCCGTTTTGTTGTCCATCACAAGGGAAAGAACGATGATTACTTGTCTCTGTTTCTGGAAGTCGCCAATTTTGGATCACTGCTTTCGCCTCTTGGAAGACAAGCAAGGTTTTCTTTTACATTAGTAAATGCAACAACTCAAAGTTCAGAAAAAAACGCCAAACTAGGTGATTGTTTCTATATTCTTATAATTCTTCTTGTTCGCGAGACTTGTGTTGCAGCAAGACCCTATGTGTGTCTTGCAATGATTGTGTTGACAAGTTCAGTTCTATGTTTGTGACGTTGCAGATCAGTCACATAACTGGTGTATTGGTGATGATCAGAATCCCAAGATGGATTTTCACTCCATACATCCCATTGGCAGATTCAAGGCCAAAAATGGTGGGTTCCTGGTGAATGGAGAAGTCAGTTTCGTTGCCAGAAGTGGTGCTCTTGAAGTTACTGGTTTTATATTAGACGTACCAGAGGAGTTTGAAGAGACATTAACCAATCATGTGAAAAAATTAAATCTAATTGATAATGGTGCGGTGTCTAGTGATTTTCACAAGGAAACAATGGATGTGAATGGGATTCAAGTTCTTCGTTCACAGGTAAGAAACTTATATGAAAGATATATGAATTTTTTTCCAATATTTTCTGATTCAATAGATAAAAGCACTTCTAAAAATATAAAATTCCTAATATATATATATATACCCCTTTTAGGTTCTGGGTACTTTTTATTCATATTTTTTTCACTTATAGGTGGGATTTGTGAGCCGTTTATTTGAAAAACATCCAGACGTTGCATTAGAGTTCCGTTCGAAGAACCCACATCTGAGGACAGGGTACATTAATGTTCTCATCAGCTTAACTCAGAAGCTCGGCCAATCGCCCCAGGAACTTTCCAACGATGACCTGTCAGATGTAGGCGTTGCACTGACATACATGACAAATGCAGGATTTAAGATGGGTTGGTTGGAGAAGACAATGGAGGAAGTAAAAGAAAAGAAGAAGAAAGAGGAGGCCTGTTTGGCTAAGCTGCACGAAATGGAGGAAAATCTTGAGCAATTGAAACTGAAGTGCTTAGACCTTGAAGCTCAAGTGGAAAAGGAGAAGGCGGAGCTTTTGGAAGCAAGAGCTCCTCTCTCTTTTGATCAGTACTTGAGTTCTTAGGCTGTGTTGGACTTTTGGTTATGATTGCTTTTGTGGTTTGTTCGTTTGTGTTTTTGGTTTCAAATTGAGAAGCCTATCTAAACTTGTAGGAAGTTTTCAGATTTTGTGTCTTTAAAGAAATTGGTTTCTTGATGGAAAAGTAATGTTTTTGGCTATAATATGTAAAATTAGTTTTACTTTCATTTTTATTTTATTGAAGAAAGTAAAACTAATTTTAAACATTATAATAAATATATTATTAATAATTAAAAAGGAAAATTAAATACGTCTACGTAATGCATTAAAAAATAAAATAAAAAGGATTAAAAGTCACCCTGTATTTAGGTGTGCTTCCAGAAACACGCCTGATCCAATAATAGAGCCCTAAGATTAATTCCAAACCTATTCGAATTCCTCGTGTGCGTACTTGAAATCAGTCTTCTCCGAGTGGTAAATCCTGAACCTTTGATCTCTGTAGTCTTTAATTTTCTTACCAGACCTTGTTCGTTATGTCGAGTGTATGGTAACTTTATAAAATTGATGTTAAGAGTGTTCGCTACGATTCCATAGCGGACTTGTAAAAAACTCTGCTTTGGTAATGTTGCTCTAGATACGTTGTTGGATTGTATGATTTGCTAAAAAAAAAATCTAGGGTTTTAATTCTCTTTCATGTTTTGGTAGGTTTTTTATTTGCTAGGAGTCTTCAATGGTGAATCAAACTGATAACAAATTCACTTGGGTGATTAAGAATTTCTCCTCTTTGCCATCCGAGAAAATCTACTCGGATCCGTTCGTCATCGGCGGCTGTAAATGGTAAGAAGACAACGTGAATGTCTAATATGTTTTCGTCCAATCAATAAGAGTTTCTTCTTATTAGTTTTGGTGCTTTCTGTGTTTCCTCCAGGAATCTTCTTGCCTATCCCAAGGGAAACAAGGTTGATTGCTTGTAACTGTTTCTGATAGTCGCCGATCATGAATCGTTGCCATCTGGATGGAGTAGACACGCACTCTTCCGCATATCTATAGTAAACCAAAAATCGGATAAACACTCCCGACGGCAAGGTGATAGTTTCTTCACTCTTGTGTTTGCTTAGTTTCTTCACTCTTGTGTTTGCTTAGTTTAGTGCAATGCTTGTTCTGAAATAGATGAGTTCTATGTTTCGTGACATTACAGTAGGACAGCACAGGTTTGACCAGAAGACTCCCAACTGGGGCTTTACATCCATGATTCCCCTTGACATGCTTCATGCAGACAATGGTGGATTTTTGAGGAATGGACAAGTCAAGATTGTTGCAGAGATTGATGTTCGTGAAGTTGTACCTGAAGAAGATACCAAACCTCTGAAAAAGATAAAGCAAGAAGATGATGCTGCTATGATTGCTGATTTACTGAATAACAAGACTCTCCAACTGAATGAAAACGAGGTAAGAAATCTCAACCGATCAAGATACTGTTGTTACATTGACTTAAAGTTACTCACTAAGTTTTTGGAAACTTGTTATTCATATTCTTTTTCACTTGCAGATGGAATTTATGAGACTTATGTTTGAGAAACATCCAGACGTTGCATTAGGGTTTCGTTCGAAGAATACGATTTTGAGGACTGCGTACATGAATGTCCTGCTCAGCTTAACCCAGAAGCTATGCAAACCGACTCAAGAACTATCAAATAGTGACATGTCTGATGTAGTGGCTGCACTGGCATACATGGCAGATGGAGGGTTCAAGTTGGATTGGTTGGAGAAGAAACTTGGTGAAGTAAAGGAAAAGAAGAAGAAAGAAGAGGCTTGTATGGCCCAGCTGCAAGAAATGGAGGAAGAGCTAAAGCCATTGAAGAAGAAGTGCTTAGACCTTGAAGCTCAGATGGATAAGAAGAAGGCTGAGCTTTTGGAAGCAAGAGCTCCTCTCACGTTTCATCACTTGAATTCTTAGGTTGGCTTGGACTGTTTGTTCTGTTTGGTGTTTTGATCTGTTCGTTATTGTTTAGGTTTCAAAGTGAGAGTCCTCTTAAAACTTATGGAAAAGTAATGTCTTGGTGTTAGAACAGAGTTGTCCACGAATAGTTGCGGCCAAAAATGAAATTATTTATAGGTTACTTGCACCTTGAGCCAAATATATGAAGAAAGGAAAACTTTGTTAATTTGAAACAACTAAACAACCGATGTCCTTTGCTGAAAATATTTTTTACATTCCGATATGCCTAATGTGTTTCGTCTAATAGAGAGCCAAGTGAGATCATTAAAATTTTCAATTTAGTGTAAAAATTAAAAAGTATTGAAATCTGCGAAAAGAAACAATGAAACGCTGCGTTTCATTCATTAATGGTCACATTGGGTTTCTTGATAAAAAAGTACTATTGCCAGCCTATGGCAAACGAAGAGTCTTTTTTGGGGTTTTTTTATAAGAATTGAAGCCAAACGAATTTAATGCCAATCTTATTCCATAGGTGTTATCATTCATTAACTCGTAATTACTGAAACGTATCAAGTCAGGAAGATCTAAGGCTTTTCGCATTCGTCAATTCACATGTTCATGCATTTCTTCATATATACTCTCTCTCTTGCAAGAACACAAAGAGAAGTAGAGAACTTCCTTGCCTGCTCTGTAAGTATGGCTTCTCTCTGTCTCCGTTTTTTTTATGCAAAAGTGAAGTGTGGTTCCTCAAATAAGATCTGTTTTCTCTTTCTTCATGGTCTAGCAGTTTGAATGCAAGCAAAATCAACAAGGACAGAAAGAAAGAGAGTCAATTAACGTTATCTCTTGCCGATGATGCATATGAAGTGGATTGGAGATAGTGATGATGAAACAGTGGAAGTTATTAATGGGTTTCAGGTTCCTTCTTCACAGGTAACTAACCAAATTCTGATTCTGAATCTCCGATCATGTACTTCGTTTCTGTTTTACATCGTTTTTTTTACTAGGTCAAACAGGTAAGGCGAATATTTGAAAAACACCCATCCACTGCATCAGATTTCCGTCCAAAAAGTCAACAGCTGAAGAAAGCTTACATTGATATTCTCCTTGATCTTATTGGTACGTTGTGTCGTTGGCCTCATGAGCTAACTGATGAGGACCTAGACGAAGCACACAACTCGATTTCTGACCTGGAAGATGTTGGGTTTAAGTTATACTGGCTCAAGATGAAGCTTTGGAAGGTTTACGTGAAGAAGAAGCAAGAGAAAGAAAGTAGCGTTCGGATCAGAAAACTCCAAGAAGAGGTGGAGAAGCAGAAACTGGTGTTGCTCTACTTTGAGAACGAACTTAAGATTGAGAAGGACGTGATTGCGGATACTCGTGCTCCACTTTATTTCAGCGATGTTGTTTGAAATGAAATCACCTTTTATTTTAGTGAAGCTCAGATTCTTTAGCTTTTTTTGAATACTTTTCTGTGCAACACTGAGCATTAAAACGTTATGGATAGTTGTGTGAATATAATTTTTGGAATACCTCCGATTTAATCGAGTATTTATTTAATTGGATGATTAATCGATAACTCAAACAATTCAATGAAATATAGATGTGACAAAGTAGATCCTCTGGTAATTTAAAGCATCTCCTTCTTCCTTGTGCTAATCTTACAAGTGGTTTATTGCACACCCAGAGACTACATTAGAATGCCGTACGAAAAACCAAGAGCTGAGAACATCTTACATGAATGGCCTCCTCAGCCTAATCAAGTTGCTCTACAAACGGCCTCAGGGACACTCGGAGGATGATCTGACTGACGCAGAAGATGCTCTGACATACATGAAAAGCGTAGGGTTTAAGGTGGATTGGCTGGAGAAGAAGTTTGATAAGGTGAAAGAAATCGAGAAGAAGTGTGCCCGTGTGTGTGAAATGGAGCAGCAGCTGCATGACTTGGAGAAGAAGTGTGAAGACCTAAAAACTCAGCTGATCAAGGAGAAAGCAGAGATTTTGGAAGCCACAGCCCCTGATCTCTCTTTCAATGATGCTGTTTGATGACTTTTAAGTTCTTATAGTTTGATTCCGTTGGATCGTTTGCGTCTTGGTTTTGAAAGAGAGCGTCTTCTGCTTGAGACTTTTGTTTTTTGTTTACTTGAGACTTTTGTTAGTCAAATATATTTCCAGATTTTTATGAATAAAGTATCGTGTGGTTGAGGACTCTTCAGGCTAATTTTGACTGCGTTCTGTTTCTTGATTTTGACTGCATTCTCTCGCACGTTGACCCCGCGTGAGAGAACTCGACAGAATGATCGTGGAACAGATAAAAGTTTTGCTTGCGCTTGAAGCCGAACTTAAGAACGAAGAGAACAGAACAGTGCTCGACTTGGTTTTGATGACGTTGTTTGATTTGAATGAAACTCACCAACTTTTTTACCAAAAAATAAATAAATAAAAAATCTCACGTATTGGGTTACTCAGCAATGCCTCCCTTTCCATAATCAAAATTATGTAACCGGATTGGTTAAATAAATTTCGGTTTAGCAATTAACTGTTAAACTAGGTTAAATGATAAACCAAAACAATTAGCAGGTGGATTAGCCAACCAAATCCCTATAAATACGATAAAAACATGTCTCCTTAGAAGGAGCGCCGTAAAAATGGGTGTCCATGCTCTCTCACCTACCCCCACTAAGACCATATCTATCTAGGATCCCTAAGCGATTCGAATTTCTCGTGATACCTGATACGTACTCGGAATCAGTCAGGTAACTCCCTGATTCATTGATTTTTCTAGTCTTTGATTTTTGTTTTCTAGAGCCTATTGTAACTTTGAGAAAAATGATGTTAAGAGTGTTAATGCGTTAGTTTTACAAGGTGAGATTTTGTTTGTCTGGTTTGTTGTTTATTATTAATAAAAAATTATGTGATTTGTTTAACGATGGTTGACATGCAGCTGTAGTGTATTTGTTTTTTAACCTATGTGACTCCATTTTGTATTTATGCTATTGAATCAATGATTTGAGAAGATTTAGATGTCTAAAGAAATTAAGGAACTTCATTTTTCATTTTTCAGATTTGAACAGATTTGCAAATTCTCTGTTAAAATTTCTAAAGTGATTAGGTGGGATTTCATGGTATTTAAAAAACAAAAATAAATTTTAATATTTTTCTCTATAAAAAATGTGATATTATAAAAGAACCAAGAAAAACTAACTTAATTATTTATTTATTCAAATATCCTTTCATTATGTGGGATTTTAAAGAATTTGTATAAATCATTAGTCCAATAACCTTGGATTTTGAATGATTTTTATAAATACTAAATCCAGTAACAGGTGATTTAGAAAAAAATTGAAATCCTCCCAAACCATTAGTTCAATAAGCCCCTAGTAACAAGAACAACATAACAAAGAGAGATCTAGAGATTAAAAAAAAAACATGTCTGGTAGAAAGACTAACATCGCAAGGCAATGCAAGCAACTTTCACCAGCTGCTTACTTGGTGTGATCGAAAGTGCTGATGTACAAGAAAATGTTAAATTGCCTCTCTGGTTTGAATCTCCAGTTGGATAACCGTGTACAAAATTCCGGGCTTCAACACCGTGTGTAGGCGTTATCGAAGTAGATTATGGCAATTCGATAACGCCTAGACACAGTGTTGAAGCCCGAACGTTTTTACACGTACGGTTGTCCAGCTGGAGATTTGAGCCAGCAAAGAGCCAATTCAACGTTTTGTTGACTCACAAATGCATCAGCTTCTTCGATCACACCATGTAGGCAGTTGGTGAATGTTGCTTGCCTTGCGATGTTAGTATTTCTACCAGCCATTTTTTTTTAATCTCTAGATCTCTCTCTTTGTTATGTTGTTCTTGTTACTTACCCAAATTCCAAATCTTACCCAAACATTTTCTTTCATTGCACGAGATTTTGTTGTTTATTTCATTGTTTCAATTTACTCGGGTTTTCTAGGGTTTCGGCTCTCGTCAGTCTTCGATGAGGAATCTAGTTGATAAGACGTTCACTTGGGTGATTAAGGACTTCCCCTGTCTGGAAATAGCTGAGAAAATCTATTCTGATGAGTTCGTGATAGATGGCTGCAAATGGTAATAAGACAACTTGTCTTCTGTATATACTGAATTTAGGTTTAATGAATGTGACACAAACACAATAATTGTTTTGCATGGTACTTTTTGCTTGCAGGCGTCTTAAGGCCATTCCCCATGCAAATGAAGCTTACTGTCTGTCTCTCTACCTGGAAGTTGCTGATTTTGAATCCTTGCCATCTGGATGGATAATATTCGCATCATTTTCTTTAGCTGTAGAAAATCATTTTGCACACAGAAACCCAGTATACAGAGGTGAGTACTTTTTATACGTCCCCTACTTATTTTATAAGATGAAGTAAAGAAAATTTGTGCTTTTCTTTTTCTATTGGTGTGGGACTTGTGCTATTGCGAGATTCTTCTATCTATGTGTTTTGTGAAATGCCTGTTTTGACTATTGTTCTATCTTTCGGGGCTTTACAGCAACAGATAACTGTTTTGACCACATGGAACCAGACTTTGGTTGTAAGTACATGCTTCCCCTTAGCAGACTTGAGGCCATAAGAGAAGGGTTTCTGATTAACGGAGAAGTCAGGATTGTTGCGGTGGTAGAGTTTACTGATCCTGTTGGGATATTAGATGTACCAAATGAATCCGAGGAGGTAACCCAAACTCTGAGAAACCTACAGATCAATGATGATGGTGCAGCGTCGAGTGGTGTGCTTAAGGAAAATCCAGCAGGTTGGGTGGATGTTCATGGATTTCTAGTTTTTTCTGCACAGGTAAGAAAAACCATCGTCGAGTGGTTTTCTTGTTTTCAGTTTCTGGCTACGTATATATATGGTTTTTACTTTATTAATTCATCCTTTTTTTTTACTCGCAGGCGGATTTGGCAAGGCGTGTCTTTGAAGCACACCCAGAGATTGCATTAGAGTGCCGTACGAAGAACCAAGAGATGAGAACATCTTACATGAATGTCCTCCTCGGCCTTATCAGGATGCTCGAAAAATGGCCTCAGGAACACTCCGAGGATGATTTGTCTTATGCAGAAGCTACTCTGGCATACATGAAAAGCGTAGGGTTTAAGGTGGATTGGCTGGAGAAGAAGTTTGATAAAGTAAAAGGAAAAAGAAAGGAAGGTGACCGTTCGTGTGAAATGCGACAACAGCTGAATGACTTGGAGAAGAAGTGCAACGACCTGAAAACTCTGGTGATTCAGGCGAAAGAAGAGGTTTCGGAAGTCAAGAATGATGGTTGATGACTTGAGTTCTTAGGGATTTCTGTTTGGTTGTCGTGGAACGATTGCGTCTTTGTTTCGAAATAAAGAGTCTTCTGCTTTAACTTTCGAAGCTAAAGAGAGAAGAGACTTGAGTTTTTCTTTTTTAAAATTTTGAGACTTGTGTTTGTTAGTCAGATATTTGATATTTCCAGATTTTTTTATCTATAAAGTATTTTGTGGTTGAGGATTCTTTAGGCTGATTTTGACTGCATTCTATGTTTCTTGATTTAAAAGTAATTATCTTTAGGTGTCTAAACAGAGTATTGAGTCTTAGCCCAAACGAGTAGCTTGACGTGTGATAATATGTTATTAATTGTGACCATAGTATTAGTAAGTTACTATTAGCTCACGTTTGTTTAAGATTCATGCATCTTCTTCATTATATACTTCAGTTACATGAAGAAACTCCTCAAACACACAAAATTCTCTTTGCCGAATCTGTAAGTGTCTACGAGAAACTCAGATCGTATCAATGTGGAACGGCGATGGAACCGTGGAGGTCAATGGCTTTCGAGTTTTCTATTCAGAGGTAAGCACAACTATCTCTTCATTTAACAGTGATCTCTTTGGTTTATAATTTTTACATCAAACCTTGTTCTCAGGTGGATTTTGTGAGGAAAATCTTTGAGAGACAGCCTGAAACCGCAACGAACATTCGTCCGAAGAACCAATTGGTGAAGAATGCTTACATGAACAACCTCCTCGACCTCATCGACATAATTTGCTTAGCTCCTCAGGAGCTCACAGAGGAGGAACTAAGAGATGCAGAGAAGACGCTTTTGGAACTGGCAGAGGTAGGTTTCGAGTTGGACTGGTTGAAGAGGAAGCTTGAGGAGCTTTGCGTGAAGAAGAAGAAAATGGAAACACGTGGGGCCCGCGTGAGAGAACTCGACCGAATGATCGTGGCACAGAGACAGGTGTTGCTTGCGCTTGAAGCCGAACTTAAGAATGAAGAGAACGAGGCTGTTTCCCATATTGCTCGACTTTGTTTTGATGACGTTGTTTGAATGAAACTAGCCTAACGTTCTTCTCACGTACTTGAATACGGCGTTATCTAATTACTTGTATGGTCGAATAAAAGGCCTTTTAAACAAACAAACAAAAACAAAAAGAGCTTTTAATCTCAAAAGTCTTTCTTTACATTCAATGTCAAAAGTCTTTTCCGTGTAATTTCTTCTCCGATAAGGAGCTTCTATTTCGGACTTACGTACCTTCATCTCTTTCGATTTACAAAATGATTTAAAATATTACTTTTTGCCTTTTAATAGATTACTTGCTTAGCAGGCAAAAGAGAAATCAACAACCAAACAAAAAATATTTATTTATTAATATGAAAAACATTTGGTTTGTTATGAACTGTATCACAGGAAAAAAGGAAGGTAATGTTGTGTGATGCATCAGCGATTCCTGATTTCCTGTGTCAATCAAGAGATCCCTTTTACACGAGACATCCATTTTAATACGAAACTTGTTAAAACTTTAAAGACTTTGTATTTATTAACTCATCGGACATTCACTTGTCCTCGGGAATGAAGAAACAATGAAACACGACATGCTTTTTAAGTTGTGTGGCTCCACATTGTCCGTGTCTCTCATTTCTTTCGACGTGACTCAAACGCAGAGAGGTAAAATACTTCGCCAGTTTTAGCCTTCCACTCTTTCATTTCCTTGACTATGCTCGTTTACTAGTTTTGTTTGTCGAGATTGCTGTTTGATTATTCGATTTACAAAATTTGAGTCTGTAGGATTCATCTACAAGATCAATGGGGAGTGAAGCTGATAAGAAGTTCACTTGGATGATTAAGAATTTCTCCTCTTTTCAGTCTGAGCATATCTTTTCTGATCCATTCGTCGTTGGTGGCTGTAAATGGTAAGAACACAACTTTTTCATTCCTCTTTTCATTCCTAATGTTATTCATCCGCTTAAGCTAGGGTTTATGTAAGACATACATAATTTGTTGTTTATTTGTGGTTTTTGCTTGCAGGCGTCTTAAGGCCTTTCCCAAGGGGAATAATAACGCTGATCATTTGTCTTTGTATCTTGATGTTGCTGGATCTAAATCTTTGCCTTGTGGTTGGAGAAGACACGCAAAACTTTCTTTTACTATAGTTAATCAAATTCCACATGAACTCTCTGTACTGCGAGGTGATTATTAATTTAATTCAAGATGTGGACATTGATATTCAGGTCAATGAATTTGATTAAAACGATTATGAGTTATGAAAGGAAACATGTCTTGTGGTTTTTCAGAAACACAACACTGGTTTGACCAGAAGGCACCAGACTGGGGTTTTAAATGGATGTTTCCCCTTGGAAAACTTAAGGCCAAAAAAGATGGGTTTCTGGTGAACGGAGAAGTCAAGATTGTTGCGGAAATAGAGGTTCTTGAAGTTATTGGTAAATTAGATGTACCAGAGGAAGCAACGGATCCTCTGAAAACGTTAAAGCGGAATGAAGATGGTGCAGTGTCTAGCGCTTTGCTTGAGGAAACTCCAAAAGATTTGGTCTTTATCAATGGGTTTCAAGTTCTTTCTTCACAGGTATGAAACTAAGAAAGATGCAATTTTGTATAACTTTTAAAAAATTTCTACCTCAAGAGACTTTATCACAGCTACTTTTTGTTGATTTTAGGGCAAGATATGTTTTATTTATTTATTAAATCACTTCTGATTTAACAGTGAAACACTTCTACATACAGAGAAAAATCTACATCTTAAAAGTCACTCATTATAGCTTCTTGAAAATTCATCCTTTTTTTTTTCACTCGCAGGTGGATCTTGCGAGGCGTGTCTTTGAAGCACACCCAGAGACCGCATTAGAATGTTGTACGAAGAACCAAGAGCTGAGAACATCAAACATGAATGTCCTCCTCAGCCTAATCAAGATGCTCTTCAAATGGCCTCAGGAACACTCCGAGGACGATCTGTATGATGCAGAAGCTGCTCTGACTTACATGAAAAGCGTAGGGTTTAAGTTGGACTGGTTGGAGAAGAAACTTGATGAGTTAAAAGAAAACAAGAAGAAATGTGCCCATGTGTGTGAAATAGAACAACAGCTGCATGACTTGGAGCTGAAGTGCAAAGACCTAAAAAATCAGCTGAATAAGGAGATCAAGGCAGAGATTTTGGAAGCCACAGCTCCTGATCTCTCTTTCAATCATGTTGTCTGATGACTTGATATCTCTCTTAGGGACTTCAGTTTGGTTCTGTTTGATAGATTGCGTCTCGGTTTCAAAATAGAGAGTCTGGCCTTTGCTTGAGACTTGTGTATTCAGATACTTCCACATTTTCATAAATAAAGTATTTTGTGGCTGCGGACTCTTTAGGCTAATTTTGACTGCATTCTATGTTTCTTGATAAAAAGTAAATATCTTTAGGTGTCTAACAGAGTATTTAGTCTTTGCCCAAACGAGTAGCTTGACGTGTGACGCCATTAATATTCATAAGTTATTAATTATTAAGTTACGATTAGCTCACTTTATTTAAGATTCATGCATCTTCTTCATTTATATACTTCAGTTACAAGAAGAAACTCCACAGAACACAAAATTCTCATTGCCGAATCTGTAAAGTGTATACCTTCTCTTCTCTGTACGAATCATATCATATCATTATCAATGTGGAACGGTGATGGAACCGTGGAGGTCAATGGCTTTCGAGTTTTCTATTCAGAGGTAAGCAGAACTCTCTCTTCATTTAACAGTGATCTCTTTGGTTTATAATTGTTACATTAAACCCTGTTCTCAGGTGGATATTGTGAGGAAAATCTTTGAGAGACACCCAGAAACCGCAACGAATATTCGTCCAAAGAACCAATTGGTGAAGAATGCTTACATGAACAACCTCCTCGACCTCATCGACACAATTTGCTTAGCTCCTCAGGAGCTCACAGAGGAGGAACTAAGAGATGCAGAGAAGACGCTTTTGGAACTGGAAGAGGTAGGTTTCGAGTTGGACTGGTTGAAGAGGAAGCTTAAGGAGCTTTGCGTGAAGAAGAAGAAACTGGAATCACGTGGGGCCCGCGTGAGAGAACTCGACAGAATGATCGTGGAACAGAGACAAGTGTTGCTTGCGCTTGAAGCCGAACTTAAGAATGAAGAGAACGAGGCTGTTTTCGACAGTGCTCGACTTGGTTTTGATGACGTTGTTTGAATGAAACTCACCCACCAGTGACTCAGTGACGCCTAACGTGCTTCTCAGGTTTCCTCTCACGTAGTACGTGGCGTTATCTGATCACAACTATAATTGACCAGATCGATCTTGATCTAATTCCTTGATTGTCAAAAAGATTCCAAGTACTTACTTTTACTTCATCCATTGAATTTATAAAATGTTTTAACGATTTCAATAATAAATGATGTTTTGTATTTTCAGAATAAACATTACGTTCTACACAAATTTGTAGCGAGTGAATAATAAACTATTAAATTAAATATTTGAGGAGTTAGAATAATTTTATATATTGTTCATTTAAGTCTAGGTTAAAAAAATTAGAGCAAAATAAAAAATATAAGGTCGAGGACTCGAAGTTGAACATTGGGCCTTAATGGCTCATTGGGCCAAAGTCCAGAAGTGAAGGACAGCAACACAAACCCATGTAGAGAAACGTGGTTGATTATATATTTGCCTATCTGGGTGTGTTGTGCCACTCTCTTAGCGTCTTCGTCTTCTGGGTAGTTTCAAGTTTGGTTCTTTAATGGCAAACGAAGCTGATAACAAGTTCACATGGCTCATTAAGAATTTCTCCTCTTCGGATGCTGACCATATCTATTCTAGTCAATTCGTGATCGGTGACTGCAAATGGTGAGAAATTTAAAACGTTTTCGCCTAATATTTTTTTTGTTTTTGGGTGCAAATCCCAATATTTTAAGGGGGACATTTAATAATCAGCAATTGTTTCGCCTTGCAGGCGTCTTCTCGCATACCCCAAAGGAGATAAGAAGGATAGAGCCTGTTTGGCTCTGTATCTTGTGGTTGCTGATTCCAAAACTTTGCCTTTAGGATGGAGAAGACACACCAAATTCTCCATCACTTTAGTGAATCAAACCTCAGAAAACCTCTCCCTACTCAAAAGTACTAATCGATTATTTTCTCTACGCTTTTCTGTTTTATGATTCTCTTTTATAAGGCTGCGAGGTTCTATAGTGATGTATTGTTTGTATGTTTTTCACAGAAGCGCAACACTGGTTTGATGAGAAATCTCACGCATTGGGCTACTCAGCAATGCTTCCCCTTGCCAAACTCCATGACAAAGATGGCGGCTTTGTGGTCAACGGACAAGTCAAAATCGTTGCCGAGATTGACGTGCTTGAGGTTATTGGCAAACCAGTTGAATCTGAAGACTCGAACCAACAACAGCCTGTGAAGAAGGTGAAGCGAGAGGATGATACTGATTTGCTCAACATGACTCCACCAACAGTCACCGAAAGCATTGACGTCAATGGCTTTCAAGTTTTCCCTTCACAGGTAACACAAAGATGCAAACTTTGTTAGAAATTTGAATCATTTGGTTTCTTTTTGCTTGATTTTGGGACAAAGGGTGGACGAAAAGTTGATAAAGATTCAAACTTTGTTAGGAATTTCAATCATTTTGTTGATTTTGGGACAAAGGATGAACAAACCGTTGATAAAAATGCAAACTTTGTAGAAATTTCAATCATTTCAACAGTTTTTCCTTCAGTTTGTGGATTGGCGTACATGTGGGATTGAACTTTATTCATGTGCAGGTGGAATTGGTGAGCCGTGTGTTTAGAAAGTACCCAGAGATTGCAACAGATCTTCGAGCAAAGAACGAACCTTTGAGGACAGCATGCATGTATGTCCTCCTAAGCCTGATCGAGATACTGTGCAAGTCGATGGAAGAGTTCTCCGAGGATAACATGGTGGAAGCTGAGGATGCACTAACGTACCTGAAACATTCGGGGATTAAGGTGGATCGTTTGGAGCAGAAACTGGATGAAGTAAAGGCAAAGAAGAAGGGAGAGATAGATAGTGAGATTCGGATTCAAGAATTGGAGGAAGAGCTAGAGGTTTTCAAGCAGAAATGCTCAGACATAGAAGCTCAGATGGAGATTGAGAAGTCCAAGGTGTTGGCCAACAGAGCTCCTGCTCTAACGCTTGATGAAGCTGCCTGATGATTTAGGTTTTGCTTGTGCGTTATGTTTGTTTGTGTCTAGGTTTTTAAGTTTAGAGACTTAACTTATCGGAAGGTAAAGGGTGAGACTTCTATTGGAAATGGAACTTACCATTTTTGTAAGGAATTGACTTTTTTGGCAAACAGAATGCTCGCTAGGATTTTGCAAAGCTGTTTTCTAAGCTCCATTTGTAGAGCCATTTCAGGTTTAATTTTGTTCTTTTGTTCATAGTCATGGTCTCATGGAGCATATATGTTCTCTGTTTCCAAGAGACTGCCTCCACATTACTACTATTTGATGATCTAGTGACCCCGAATCAGAGTTTATATTACATTCTTGGGAGAATCTCAAGTTGCAAAAAAGCTTATGGAAAATTACAATAAGCGTAGAAATGGAACACTGAAGAAGACAAGACGTCACGTGAGGATGGATTATAGAAAACATGTATCTTGCAAGTCACGGCTGTAAAAACAGTGACAAAGCAGAACATGGGCCGAGATGGTAAATTGGGCCCATGTCCAGAAGTGAAGACGGTAAACACAAACCATGGTAGATTGATTTGAGAATTGTGTGACACTCAATCTCAGTCTCACTTTCTAGGGTTTCAGTTCTCGTCTTCGTGTTCCGGTAGTTTCGTTGCGAGGAGTGTTCAAATGGAGAATGATGCTGACAAGATGTTCACTTGGGTCATTAAGAGTTTCTCCTCTCAGCAGAAGAAAATTGTATCTTCTCAATTCGTGATCGGTGGCTGCAAATGGTAAGAAGCATAACTTAAATCTTTGAATGCTTTTGTCCAATTTAGGTTTTCGAGGAATAGAGACATTCATTGCCTGTTTCCTTTTCAGGCAACTTGTGGGCGCACCCAACGGAGACTTGAAGGCTAATTATTTATCTCTGTGTCTGATGGTTGCTGATTTCAAAGCGATGCCTAATGGATGGAGAAGACACATCAAATTTCGACTAACTGTTGTAAATCAACTTTCGGATAAACTCTCCCTACGGCGAGGTTTGTTTCGTTTGCTCGCGCTCGCTACTTTTAGAATTTATTCTTCGTTGTTTGGTGTTGTGTGTTTGTTTTGACTTAGAGATCAGTTCTGTCTTTGGTGATTAACAGAGAAACAGCTCTGGTTTGACGAAAAGAGTCCTCTCGTGGGATATGTAAATATGATTCCCCTGAGCAAACTCCATGCCAAAAATGGTGGATTTCTTGTGAACAATGAAGTCAAGATTGTGGCGGAGGTGCAAGTTCTTGAAGTTGTTGGCGAATTAGATGTATCTCAAGAGGTCTGTACCCAACCTCTGAAGAGGACCAAGCTAAATGATGTTGGTGCGGTGTCTGGTCATTTCCTCAACGAGACTCCACCACCAGTAAAGGAAATCATTCAAGTCAATGGGTTTCAAGTTCTTCCTTCACAGGTACATACACAAAGTCAATAAAGATTCAAACTTTTTAGAATGTCTTTGCCATTTCATCAAATATTAAATATTGATAAACTCTCTGTTATTCATTTCCATTTTTGACATTGATTTTGGGACAAGATTTTCTGTCTATATATATATGCATATGGGTTTATCATACTTGATAATCCATGCTTTTTGCAACTGCAGGCGGAATCAGTGAAACGTATATTCGAAAGACACCCAGACATGGCATTAGAGTTCCGAGCAAAGAACCAAAACCTGAGGACATCATGCATCAATGTCCTCCTCAACCTAATCGAGACGATGTGCCAATCACTGCAAGACCTTTCCATTGATGATTTGGGCCAAGCAGAGAAAGCAGTCACATACCTGAAAGATTCGGGATTTAAGGTGGATTGGTTGGAGCATAAACTTGAGCAAGTGAAGAAGAAGAAGATGGAAGAACAGAACAGTAAGACTCGGATGCAAGAACTAGAGGAACACTTGAAGTTTTTAAAGAACAAGTGCTCAGACATAGAAGCCCTGCTTGAGAAGGAGAAGGAACAACTGAAAGACTCTAAAAACAAGTGCTGGGAAATAGAAGCTCTGCTAGAGAAAGAGAGAGCAAAGGTATTGGCAGCCAAAGCTCCTCCTCTAACGTTGGATGATCTTGTCGGATGACTTAGGTGTTGTTCGCGTACTGTGTATGTTCCTCTTGAGTGTAGGTTTCAAAAGTAGCTCCATAACATAGGAAGCTAGAGACTTGTCTTGATACTGGAAGCTCAAGTTAGGATTTTGTTAGTCGTCTCACTCATGAATCATCTATAAAAGAAGAACTATGTTATAAGCATCTGATTTTTTATTTTCAAAAGAACAAGTTATTCGAAAAGAAATGTAAAGAGAAAATAAAAGCAGGGAGACGGAAATTGTACTTCTTTTGGAGCAATCTAGATTTTAGTGGTTTTTTCTTTTTTTGAGCAAAGATTTTATGGATTTCAACCAAACTTGGAAGCTAATTTTTTTCTGTAAATGAACTTGGAAGATAATTCAACATAAATGGCCGACTTCTAACAAAATCATCTTGTTAAAAACTGCATTATGTGTTATAGAGTCTCTGGGGATTTGAAAAGAGTAAAAGTGGAGTGGTTTCTATCGAGATCAAGTTGACTTGTGCTCTGATCAGAGTCTCCTTACTAGATCTTCATATGAGAGAAAGAAAGTTGATGAAGTCTCTATGGAAGATGAACTAAATCTACTCGTTAAAGGAGATGACATCTCCTTCAAATATGAGCTGCGACTCATGGAAGAAGAAGAAGTAAAAAACTGCAAATTTAAGAGGTAATGTACCCAAAATAATCATCTAGGTGCTAGCAATGCTATTGAAATGGAGTTTCTATATTGCTAGTGTTTGAGTTGGTTGGTTAGTTTTGGTGATGAGATGTATGGCTTAAATCAATAATGATGAGATGTAGCCTATTTCGATTTTTTACTCGACACACAACACTTGTTTGATGCAAGGTCGACATTCATTTTACATCAATGCTAGCTTACATTTTGAGAAATTCTATGCAATCTCAAAAAATGTACATTTTTTTGTGAATGAATTTTTTAGTCTGTGGTTTTCCCTAACCCTAAACCCTATCTTATATTTTCATCATCTTCGATGATTTGTAAACCCTATGAAGAGCAAGTTATTCAGAAAGACATGTAATGAGAAAATAAAAACTGAGGTGTAGAGCTGAGGCTTTCTGGAAGAAAATGGATGCAAAGATTGAGAAATGTTGGGCTGAAGCTGCTTTCTGGAAATACCTTGAAGCATCAGTGATTGCTACTACTTCAAAATTAGCTGAGAGGTTTGTATGTTGAAACCACCAGTTTTAGTTGTTTTGCTTTGATACGCAAAAGGATCGCATCTTTGACTTACAGAGCAAGTTATTTAAAAGGACTCCCAAATAAAAACATGACAGCTTATTTCTTTGAAAGAAATATTCAAAATCAAGAACTGAAAAAGTTGAAGCAGAAGTGCTCAAAGATAGAAGAAAGACATGGCAAAGTTATAAGCGGCTGTTTTTTTGTTTGGACATGTAAAAAAGGATCGGATCTTTAACTAACAAGAACAAGTTATATATTCAAAAAGAGTAAAAGACATGTAAAGAGAAAATAAATAAAAAGACGCTTCTTTGTAAAAAAAAAAAAAAAAAAAAAAAATCAAATTATTCAGAAAGACATGTAAAGTATAAAAACAGGGAGAAGTAAATTGTATTTGACATTCTTCTTTTTTGGTTCTAGGTTTTAGTGGATTTGAACCAAACTTGGAAGATAATTAAACATAAGTGGCCGAACTCTAAAATCAAATTTTCCAAGATGGACTTTTCTCACTCCATTCTCTTCCTCTCCAATAACGTAAGCTTTGTAGTAGCTAAGATATCTTCTTGTACAGCAACAAACAAGGGTTTTCTTCTTTTCCTCCATGATGAAGAAACTTGTATAATGGAACAAGGAAATATTATGAGAGTATAAATCCACGGTCAAGTACTTGCTCCATGAAAAGACTTTAGTCTTCTTCTTGTCCATCTTATTGTTGGTCGTAACCCATATTTCCGTCTTCAGTGTATCATATCCCTGATTTAACAACAAAAGCTCTTCTTCTCTATGAACTGATAGAGCCATCAAAATGCCCTCACTTTGATGATTAGGAAGAAACTGCCTCTGAAGTTTCTCTACTGAAAAATCAAAACTTATTAGCATGGGCACATCTTTGTCTGACTCATCATAACCAATCCAGTAAGAATCTCCATTCAAAGACGCGCCACGTGCCAATATACCCCAATCATCTCTAGTTACGTCTTCATCCAAAGACTTCCATGAGTTAACTTTACAATCATAGATTTCCAACCCTCTTTTGTAGCTACTATCACCATAAAAAATCCTCAAAATTTTGTAATTCTTGTTGCCATCGTGTCCCAGAGTAAAAATGTCGTATACACGGTACCTATTTGTCAGGTCGATCCACTTGGTCTGCCCTAAAATTGGGTTCCAAACCACAAGCCTAGACACAAATTGTTCGTCGTCGTTGCGTATCTTGTTTACGATGGTGCATAATAATAAACCATCGCAATAATAGATATCATATATATAGAACTTATCTGAATCGTATAACCGATCCTTTAGTTTAACAAGTTTACTTGTTAAGAACTCATAAACCCCAACTTGCTTCAACAAGACGATCATAGACTGTTTCTCTCCTGCTGCTGAGTTACGAGATTGATTCGTGATGATGAATTCCGGATCTTTGATTAAGTTGTTCCACTGTTTGCAAGTAGATCGTAATCGTACCAAACATGTCACCGGAACCCTAGAGAGAATCTCCCTTACCAAGTCTTCTGGAAGAACGTCCAACATCACATATCCTTGTTTCAACAAAAAAGTCAACAAGGCTCTTTAAACAAATCTTTGCTCACAATCCTTTATATAACCGACATAAAGCACCAGTTTCTTACGGATTTAGGGCACCAGAAAAATTGCAGCGTACAGCGGTAATGTATTACTACTATTGAGTTAAGGCCTTGGTTCGAATTTTGGTTGACTTTATAGAAAATTTGTATCTTAAATGGGCTTCGAAACTCTTTTGGCTTTAAGCAAAATCAAATTGGGCCGCACATACCAAAAGGCTTATTGTTTATACAAGACTAGCTCCAACCTTGGATAGACTGGAGTCTTAAACATACATCGTTATCTAAATCTAGCGAAACGGACTATCGACGGCTTAAGATAAGTTAATCAAGCGTATTGTCGAAGGAAAGGCTAGTATATTCCTACACTGAATTTTCTTAATTTAAAAAACTGATCAAGTTTATGTCTTTAACTGAAAGAGTTCTCCAAGATTTAGGCCCAGTTTTATGTGTTCTTGGTGTTCTGGTACAATATGTTCGTCGCGTAATCCAATTTTGTTAACAAAAAGTGTATTATTCAATTTAAAGTACTCAACAATGAAAACAACATCACAGACACAGGCAAAAGCCATTTCTAAGATTTAATTGTACAAACATTAAGCTTGTCTAATTATTTAAACCTTGAATTCTATGACAACCCAGCCATCTCTTTTGATTAAGACGAATAAGAGTTTAATCTTTCCAAGATTTACGAATTAGAAACAAACCTATACTAAACGAGAAATCAAATCAAAAACAGAGAAATGAAGTGAAGAGAATGATCAGATAGAGCTAATACGTAAGATGCCATCATTTCGGCGATCAAACCAATAGGGAAACAATGTTCAATCATCATTCCATTCTCTTCTCACCTACTCTTTTTACGAGTCAACAATCAGATAAGAAAAAAAAAAAATCGAAAAACGTTTAGATTTTAAAATTTGGAGAGGAAGAAAGATCAGATAGAGCTAATACATAAGATGCCATCATCTCGGCGATCAAACCAATAGGGAAACAATGTTCAAATCATCATATCTCCTTCACCTCTCCAAATTCTCCTTTTTCAAAAAAAAAAACCTGTAAAAAATCAACCCTTTTCTATTCCCTACACTAATATTTTTTCTGAAAGCAGAGAAACTTTGAAAAGGAAATACGAAGAAACGAAACATGCACAGAAAACTCGGAATTCTAAGAACTCAACGGAGACTGAAACAGAGATGGCGAGATTTTGAGTGACTCGATGAAACCAGTAATGAGATGGAGGCGTATATATACATATCTACAGACGCATTAGGGCTTCCTTGGAATTTCCTCACTAAAAAGACGTAAATACCCAGTTAACCGACTTATAATGGGCCAACTAAGTCCAGAGTGTTTAGTACCGGTAGCTAATAATAGGTCGAAAATGGGCCCAATAACCGTGAGCTATATGCAAAGACTTCAGATTCTCTTACAAGATTTAGCAATGAAGGCCAATTGGTAAGTTAGTTTCTAACATTAACTAATGCATGCGGAATTTCGATCAAGGAAACATTCCTAGGCAATTCCGTTTCCACGTTCAACGTTGTCTAAAAGTTAAGCTTCTCTGAGATTAATTGCTTTCAGTCGACACATCATAAAGTTACCTTAGGGTTTTCAAACCTAATCTCACACCACACACTGACTCATCCAATCATAATACATTAGTTAAACATCATTAGAGTTTTCTGTAAAGGAGAACATATAAAAACAATAATTATAAGTTGGATTGAATATTGGTTCTTCTTTTAAAGAAATATAACATATGAATCATGTTGATTTGTGCTAACTAACTGCTAAGCATTATGTCCCATATCAATCTATAATTTTAAAGGAATTCTCCAACTTGTGTGCATCACATTACATAAAGTCGTTTTCTTTTATCAGACATTATTAAGTGTATCATTGTGATATATATATTATAAAGTTTTTCTTTATAGCCACAATTCTCATATTTGTCGGGCTTAATTAATAGTCACATATATTTATTTAAGTTATCCCTTTTTTCCCCACCCAAAAAGGAAAAAAATAAAGTATTAGACGTATATTTGTAGTTTTATTGGGTTGTATTAGTGTCTTTTTCTTGATAAAAAGTTTTGTATTAGTGTTGTCACTTGTCACCCTAAGTGTAGTTAGAAATCAATTGGATTTGTCATCCCAAATGTAATGTATAGTGTTCTAGTCGAGTCACCCGATGTTAGTTCATTCCAAACTCTATGCATCTAGGTAGTTCAATTAAAACCTTTTTGTCAACATTAATGTTCTACTTGCGGTAAAAAAAAAACAAATTAAAAGATTATTATTTGCTTCTTAACTCTTTCTAGCAATGCATTATATATGCATGTCTAGTATGGTTAAATCAATTGGATTTGTTTTTACCCTAGCTTTAATTGTTTTTCTCCACTCAAGGTTAATTTAATGGTGAAAAAGGATCGAAAAGTGAGATTAATGATTTGATGAAAAGTGGTTTAAATTCACTGATTGATGGTGGCTAATGGCAGTAGGGTTATAGCTACCGGTTGCAAGTAGAGCTGGTTTTATTAGAGGGTTATCATCTAGAAGATAAAAAGTAAAAACTATAAGGCATGCAATTATAGATGGCACATAGGAAAACAACCTCTTCGTGTTCCAGATACATATTTTTCGTCGATCGATTAGAAAAGACTACTATTCATCAGAGAACATTCTTATTTTAACTACATATAATTTTGTACTTAATTAATTCATAGCATACCACATACAATAGATGATTATCGAAAATAATGATATTGTCGTCGTTATATAAGTGTGACAGTATATCACCATTCAAATTTAAACATAATATAATAATACATATTGTCGAAAAAAGAAGTTAGCACAAAGTCACATACTAAGCAACGATGAAGTATCGTATATATGGGGAAATGGAACTCATAAGGAGCAATGATATTTCATACAATATGCAAATATTCAGGTGTTGACGTCGAACCATCTAATCTAAAATTTAATCTGTATCGAATAACACTCTTTTAGGTTACGCATCTTTAAGAAAACAATTTGGAAGGTACAGTACATAGCGTTTGCACCGATTTATTTTCACACTAGTTTATTTATCTTTGAAAAGACAACTTTGTTTGTCACTACTCTCGCTAACTCAATTGATTATATTAAACCATTCCCTTATATCGTGGATTAGACTTTGAATTACTACCTTTTCGTCAAAGTACATAGTCATACCCCTTTTCACTTAGTTAATCCCTTTAATTTTCAGAAAATATAAGCTTAGTCTAAAACTATGTGCTAAAACTCATGTATAGTAATCTCTACCAGGCTAACACGTAGAAAATTAAGCATCGTTTATAACGTTTACAACGGTAAAAAGAGAATCACCACAAGTTTCGTTAATGATTTATTTCGCTGGTATGTCGTAATTAAATTTTAAAGACTCGATAGTATATAAACCAGCGAAATTCCAAACACGTGTGATGGACCCACGTGAGGTCATATGTTGTCGGGTTGACCGTCGTCAGGGCCAGATAGGTCAGCATCATTTTCCAACAATTTTATTTCTCTACTCAAACAAAAACAAAAAACAGAAACGTATACAATTTTAAGTGTAAAATTAATCTCACCAACAAGTCATATCACATATCCATATTAAGCTCAAACGGACGACGCGCTCTTTGTATTATTTGCATTACGAGGTTAAGCAATTCGTAATTTATTTTTCATATTTTTTCGTATGATTGTATCCTGGCTGTACCTCAGTGTTGCAATATGAAGCTACCGTAGAAATTGAATATATCTGACTATTTTTAACGTCAAAACTGAACAATAATTACTGAAAAACTAATATCTTTGATTATTGTAACCAATTTTTCTGTTTAGGAATTTCATCGAGACAAAAATAAAATTTTAAAAATCTGACTAATAATAAAAACTGTTGAAATACTAAAAAGCGTTCCGTGTAGTTTTGATTGGCTTACATGATCAATTTTAAAAACTTTAGACAGTACTATAAATCTATGTTTTTTTTCCTGTCATCAAATCTCTGATTTTATTAAGGCATAAATGCTGAGTAATGATGATAATAAAAGTGAAAATTAGGTGTAAGAGAAAATGCATGACGTGGACAAATAGTCAAAGTAGGACCCACAAGATATAAACAACATAGAAAGAAAAGAACTAAACATCCGTGCGGCGATATGTTTGGCCTTTCTCGTCGACGCGTACTTATTTTTGTCCTCCAAAAAAAAATTCTTTATGCTTAAGGACTTTTGTGCATATTCTTGATTTTGTTTTCTTCATTTTCTCAATTTCCAAATTTCAAATTGGCGTACTTTTATATAAGAATATTTTACTTAGTGAAATATCGACTATAGTACTCTGATTTGACTGTGCAGAGTGCAGTGAAAAGCAATCACATGTCGGTGAGCTAATAGTATCTTCACCATCTTTTTGCGATTTGACCTAAGAACAAGCAAGGCATAGCGAGTTGGACACCTGACGACAATAAAATACTCTTACTTTGACAAAGAACACAACACGATTTATTAGGGGGAGAACTATTATGTACATAACCTGTTATCTTCTAAACATTGCAATATTCCACTACTAAGAAATTAAACCGTAAAATTTCCTCAAATTTGGGCACTTTAGCCATAATATACAATTACGCATGGATCACCTGGTTTTCTTCCAAACATTTCAAATACGTTATATTTAATTCACCGGCATTTACATATAAGAAATATATTACTGCACTACCGGTGGTTATTTAATAGAGAAGAGCTAATTATTCTACGCGTTTATACACAATTACGCACACGCGTATTTGGCCAGTCTTTTCAGGTTTTAGGTCCCAAGCAGCTTAGTGAAAGGTGACCGAGATTTTAGAATTTAGTTTACCGAATCTGTTAATCCGTTCAAAAGGTCAAATCGATTCGCTAATCTAGAGTCGCTGTTTAATAGTTTAATCGCCATTTGTTAATTATACATTCATCGACCGTTCAACTAGTGTCTTGCATAAAACCAAAAAAAAACTAGTGTCTTGCAATTCTTAAAACTTGAAGTACTCATTAGCAAACGCAAACATGTAATATATATCATGTATGTATAAACATATTCTATTGAATTAAAAAGGATATTATAATCCTTTTCCCTTATGAGTTCCTAAAACATATTTGTCAGAGATAGTACGTAGGCGTAGCCACTCGAATATGGATCCGCTTATGACACTAGTATTTAATCGCGCGCCAAGGATTAGTACTCGATCAAATTCAAGTTGGTTAGATGTATTCTATTAATAGTTTACTAAGAAAAGATTGCAAATGATCATTAACTTAATCAGAATAGGATAATCATAAATAAATAAGACATGGAGAAAGAGTAGAGAAGGCGAATGTTGCGCGAGAACATGAAAAGTTGTCTGCTTAAACATATAATGCTGACAAAAGCCCATTTAATTAAATTGGAAGATGACTTCGTCAGGTTTTTGTTCTGTCTAATTGTTTCCTGAAAATATAAACAACGAACGATACATACATAAGATCGAAGGAAAAAACAAAATTAAGTCCTTTCGTTACACCAAGAGGCCTCACTAGTCACTATATACATGTACATATAATATATACGCCAAAAGAATACCAATCAAGCATTTTCTTTTTCTTTTTTTTGCTCTTGCTGAAATTTAGCGTGTAAGTAGTTTAGAACTGTGTGAGCTTACTTACTTTTTGATTTTACAAAATGACGATGCTTCTAGAAAAAACAAAAGTATAGAGAAAAATATAGGGTCATAAACCATACTTTAAGAGAAGAATTGTTTAATATCGCAGTGCAAAAAGAGTTTAAGAAATCGACCTAACCAACTTTTTTTAACACATCCCCACCCACGTTTGGTTATATCTATAATTTAATGCATACTAGCTATTGTTTATTCGCGGTTACAACAACTAACAAGGTTATATACTTCGGAGGGAAATATTACTGATAGTATTTTTCTTATTCTTCTTATTATGCTCACCGGAGAAAGGTCTACATGTTGGTTTCTATGTCTGTCACAAATAAATTCATTTTAAGTATATAGATCTATTAACTTAATCACAAATTAATTTTTAGTATAAATTGTTTTAGTATCTTAAAGTTTAGATTATAATTTTCAATATTGCTCGACAACCCTGACCCTCATGGTTAAATATATCATATACGACATGTTGTGGCCATTGTCTTTTTTTTTCTCTATTCTTTTGGTTAATACGATTGTCTCTATTGTTGGCACATTTTCTTTTCTATATTTTAATATACAAAATCAAGTCTTTATTTTTCTTTCTATAACACGTATTGTGTTTTTTTGGCACTCACTCTCTTCTCCGAGAATTCAAAATGACAACCAATCGAATCAGATTTACGCGGGCATCGTTTGTAAAGTTAAATTAGCAGCTCAGTTTACTTGGCAACAAAACTAATTATAGATCAACAAGAAAATAGAAAAACACATTACGATTTATTTGATAGAAGATGTATATGTTGTCTCACAATATGCAAACATATAAACTATATATATAAAAAACACGAGTGTTCGACGCAGGTGTATACACATGATCTAGCATAGTTCTTATTAGTTAGATAATGGATCCCTAGAAAATTTAAGGGATCGTACCTAGATCGATAAGACTGAGGAATAAACAATATATATTATATGTAAGAATGTGGGAGGATTGGAGCAGGTCCACAATTAGAGTATGTATATGTAGTCCTTCACATACAGATACAATACTATATTCTTCACTAATGGAGTCCTTACTGGTAATGGGGATTTTTTTTCTTTTTTTCAACATTTCAATAAGCCTCTTGGATTTGGAAGTATAAGTCATCCTTACTATATTGGGCGCTCCAACCACTGTACTACGATTGAAGGAGCATGGAGAAAATGTTCAAATGCAATTAGGACGTACGTTAATAGATAGTCACTATTCTAAAGTCTAAACGATAAAAAAACATATATATAATACAATTTTACATCACTCACTATATATATTTGACTAATATTTCCAATGATAACATTCATAAATATATTATAGTATAATACAATTTTATATCGATGTTTACGCTGGAAAAAAATCATTGAGCTATCTTCTTTTGGAGTGTTAAGGTTTGGTTAGAGGGACACGATCTTGACCAGCAACAGACATATATCAGTCACACTATATATTTGACTAATATTTCCTTGGAAGTATAGATATATTTTCTCAAATGTTAATTGTGAGGGTTGGTTAGAAGGTCCAATTGTGTGGAGCCGAACTAAGAAGGTCTATTATGTAATTAATTTGTTCTTTATATTTGTTTTGCTTTAGGTTTGATCAAATCAGTTTAGAAGAGATGTACACGTCCACTCTGATAAGCAATATCTATTTAGTATTAAAACAAAAATTCAAGCCTGTTTTCCTTTTAATTTTATAATTATACTGACCTTCATTTTTATGCATACAAAAATCCAAAAGGATTGTCAATTTTCTTAACAAGAAAAACAAAATTGTACTAATGCAAAAGGAATGAATAAAAATAATTATGAATACTGTAGGCCATTAAGCAGACAAAATATGATTAAACAAACGCAATATTATATGTAACCCACCTTCATCTTCACCTTTGCCTTGTTTATAAAATCTCTCTCCTTAAAGCTATACTGGAGATTAAATCAAAAACCTAATTAGAATAGCAACAAACACAATTAATCCCAAAATTAAATTTAACCTTCGATATCAAGAATCGCCATCAACACCATCATCATGAGTAGTTCTAGCTCTAGCTCTGGCTCTGGTTCTGGCTCTCCTTGTGGAGCTTGTAAGTTCCTTAGGAGGAAATGTGCAAAGGGATGCGTGTTTGCTCCATACTTTTGTCATGAACAAGGAGCTTCACACTTTGCAGCCATTCACAAGGTCTTTGGAGCTAGCAATGCTTCTAAATTGCTTTCTCAGCTTCCCACTAGCGATCGCTGTGAAGCCGCCATTACCATCTCTTATGAAGCTCAAGCTAGGCTTCAGGATCCTATCTATGGCTGCGTCTCTCATATCTTTGCTCTCCAACAACAGGTACTTCCTTTCAAAACCCTAATCTTGATATTCTCTATCTAGAATCTAGACAAACATATATATGCACTATAATAAAATCTAGCCGACGACTTTTTTGTAATTGTTTATTTTTGTTGGGTTATAGGTTGTGAATCTACAAGCACAGCTTGAGATTCTAAAGCAGCAAGCTGCACAGAGCATGATGTTTGCTGATTCACCTTCATCAGAAAACCCTAATAGTTACTATGCAGACACTGCTAAGACTCCTTCAAATTATCAGCATGATTATCATCAAGAACATCAGAATCTTTATCATCATCATCATCATCATCATGCTGATCAGACCCATTTGGTTTACCAAAGCGGAAGTTCCGGGATGGTTCACCTCGGGGATGCCACGGCGGATAGTTACCACACCGAAAACCCTTCAGGCGGCTTCTCCAGCTACTCCGACTTGGAACAACACTTGAACACTTTCAATCAAGATCATCTCAAAGAGCTTCAACCAGGAGCTTTGGGCTTCATCTCCTTCTCGTGATGTATCAGACGTGGGTGGTTTCTTATTAATATCTCATATATGTAGAATATATAAATAGCTTATATATGTGTCGAGACTTTTTGATGGTTTTATTCTAGATTGATGATGTTGCCTAGCTCAAAGAACCGGCTTTGTATTCATAAATAAATAAAAATGTTAGTGCCCTAGATATATATAAAGATCACATATATGTTCATATCCTCAAGATCTTCTTAGAGTATATTTCGATCTTTGCGTGTAATATTTTCACAGAAATCTTTCTAATCTTCTCAATATTGTTCCACTTTTCCACGATCTTTATTTAAACAACAAACTTCCCTAGCAAACTAAACTGTGCTTGTCTTGATTCTCTAGTTTTTTGCTAGTACTATCTATATAGGTACAGTCTAGTACACTCATCCTTGTTGTGGTACCTTCATTAGACAAAGCGGTTCTTGGATCATTTTAAGGTGAATTATGATCTCGGATTTATTTTTATATACATGTCGAAAATTTACAGTCTTGAGTATATAGAAAAGTCTAAGCGTACCACAAGCTCTTTCTATTTTTTTCTTGAAATGATCAAACTACATATATTTCAACATATTAATTAGTTGGATACTCTCCAAACTGTTGGCAGATAATCTGTTATATACGTATAGTCCTCGGTATAACTAATGCTAAGGATAGATTAGTCGGTGATATCTATAAAAAAAGATTCTTATCAAACTACACGTACTGATATGTTTTTTTCTTGCTGTTCTTGTTCGAATACATACATTCATTGGTGTTCTTAGATGATATATAATCATCAAGATCAATCACCTAGTACATCAATATATTAGTTTAGTTGTTTTTTTGTTTCGTAATTATTGCGGTTTTCATTTGATCATTTTGTTTATGAATAAGTTCTATGAAAGTATATTGGTCATGTTTGGTTGTTGAGATATTTTTTTTTTCAAACTTTTGTCTTGTCTCATGTACATAAAATGTGATCCTAGGATAAACTAATTGCTTCCAAACATAAAGATGCGATTCCATTTTATAAGAGATGGGTGGTAGTAGCTATATTTAAACGCGAAAAGAGCCACTGGATATATGAAACCACACTTGTTTCGTACTAGTAAGCTACAAGCTAATATCTGAACATGGATCTAATTCAAACATATATTTTGTTATGAAAAAGTAGTATATGAGAGCATACAATCCACTTAGCAACTAGCTAGTTTTTTTGAACTAGTTGATAAAAAAAATGATGATACAGCAGTATATACGCATATGTTGCTAAGAAACTCCTTTATTTGGATCGGGTTTACATAATCAAATGCACAACATAAACTGATAAACATGCTTGTGCAGATAAGTCACTTTGACAATGGAAGGCTTCCATAACCATCAAACAATGTATCTTAAATCTTAATCTCAATGAAGAGAATTATAAAAATCGTACATAATAAGAAGTTAAGTAGCATTGTAACAGTTTCTTCTCTCTGTAGAAAAAATGTTTGCTTTCTGTAAATGTTTGTGTTCCTTTCTTGGTAAATGGTAGAAGAAGGATGGTTAAGACCCTTAGTGAACAAGCGGGTCTTGTGTGAAGAAGAACTGCAAAACGGTTTTTGATATGGATCGTAAAAGATTCAATGTTATAATATTACGAGGACCAGAGTTTGAGATCAAAGAATTTACCTCGAAAGATTTCCCGGAATTTTCAAATTCCAACATGCTCAATGCAACTTCACAGCTTTGTGAAACAATGGGCTCAGGGTCACTTGAGAATTCCTGTAGCAATGCAATGCTCTGTTCATCTGAAAAAGAGCCGAGTAATGTGAAGCGAGTAAGTGAAGAGAATAGAATTGTGATCGTTTCAAGCGATGAATTTGCATTTCAGAGAAGATACCTGCGATAGAACCAAGTGCTTCTGCAGCCTCATGCCTAACCATTGGGTGCTCATTCACATCTCTCAGTATTTTGCTTAGAGTATCTAAAGCAGCTTTGTTTTGCAACTGGCCCAACACATAAGCAACCTATAAAGATTGTATCAACAACAATAATGTCAATGACAATGCAGCATTATGGAGAGCAATAAAGCATCAGTTCAAATGATCAAAGTGAAAGTCATGAAATGAAGGAAAGTTGACAAACCTCGTGACGTAGAAGAGCACTATTAGCACTCAAAGAATCAACAATGGCAGAAACAGCTTCCTCTCCACCATGATTCCTTAAAGCGAAAAGTGCAGCATATCTCTCATACATGCCTTTTGTTTCATCTAGAAGAATTTGCCTGTAGTTTCAATGTTCATAATCAATAACCTGTCACAAAACTGATAAATCATCTAAAGTGTTTCTAGTTGGTAAAGTGTAGAAGAACCTGAGTTGCTTGACAGAAGAGAAAGCAGCGGCTGGAGCCGCTGGATCAACAGACATGAAAGGTGATTTCTCTGTCGTGGACGACTGTTTCTCGGCATCAACATTGCTCAACTCTTCAATCCTTTTGAGAGCTAACTCGCATGTTTCCCGAACCTCCTGAGCTGGATCCAAGGTCAGGCTTTTCTTTAAAATGTCAACATTACCGGCTAAACCAATGGCTCCAAGAGCTTCTGCTGCCTGTTATATCAACAAACGTATCAGCCATTTGCAACGATCAAAAAGCGTATACTGATACAGAGGACACTGAGATTAACTCCAACACAAGGATCAAGTATACTTAACTCATGCCGTACTATTGGATGCAAAGACATATCATTAAGAACTGACTCCAGAGCAGGTATTGCTTCAGCATCTTGCATCTGACCCAATGCAAATGCAGCTTCATGTGCTAGCAAATTAGAGGAGTCTCTTGATGCTGCAGGACAAGTAAAAAAAAAGTTACATTCCAAGTTAATGAGACAGGTGGCACAAAAAATGAATACATGGCCATCACATCCTGATGAGCCAAGCCAAACTTTGAACCAACTAAAGGAAACACACACAAATCCTGGAGAAGTATTGTCCAATCATTAACTAGAAGAGAAATCCGGAAATTGTAGTTTATTTAGATACATCAAGCAAGTAGCTTTACACAGTGGAGATAATCAAAGTTTCCACATTTAGCATATTCATCAAGTGCGAGGATTTTTTTCTACCAGTTGTTTGCAAATTCAATTCAAGCTAATGCACACCACCACTAACAAATCCTCCTAAAATTTGATATCAGCTAAAAGGGGAAAGTTCGAAAGCTAAAAAAATGTATTTTTCTTCTCAAAGTGACAATTTTTTTTTGTTCTCTCTTGCAAATGAAATTAAAAACGAGAAAAGAAGATCGATAGCAGCAGAGATTGAACAAACCGAGGATTAGAGCGTTTCTAGGACCCGGTCCTTTCAGGTTGCGAAGAGAGAAGAGAGCTCTGAATCGCTCCGAGATCGGCTGCGACTGGTCAACCAATCGCTCGCAGAGAAACTTCTCCACGCTGCTTACGCCGCCGTTTTCCGTCGATGAAACTGATTCATTAGGCTCCATCACTAAGTCAATTACGTTGGCCGTCTGAAAAATCTGGGTTTCCGACAAGAGGACGACGGAGTAACAGAGCCGACGAATAGGGTTTTTGACTTTTTGTATACAAAGAGGAATTCGTGAAAAAGCGGGGAAAACGCGGGACCTATTTTGCTAATAACCAAATTTATTGTTTGATCCAGTAACAATCTTATAAATTTTAATTCGGCCCTATAGTTTTTTAATTTCTTTTATCTTGCATCGAGTCTTAGATTACTTACACGTGGGGGGGAAACATTTTCGTCTGTCTGTTGAGTGTTGATTCGCTTAATTGGATAATCACAGCTTTTTCTATCGACATTTCAACCGTTTTATTCCTCAATTTCACGTTCGGAAACCGTAGATCCAGGTGATCTCTGGAATCATCTGAGAAATCACCAGAAGCGAAATCGAGAATCGTATCGCTAATTCCGTTGATCGATGAATCCTAGAAGGTTAGATCCATAAACTCCAAGCGCGCGCCAGTTTTTTCTTCTCCTTTACACTCGATCTCTATCCGACTTTCTTTGGAAATAAGAATGATCTAGATTGTATATGTTCTCATGAGCTGTGTAATTTGTAGATTAGGGTTCATCGGGCGGATCTGAAGAAGCAGTGAATAGAGAATTTGATAGAGTAGGACTGTTGCTCTGTTTTTCTGGGAGATGTAGATCAGTCCCAATTCGTCTAGTTTTAGAATTCGCTTGAATATTCAAAAATCTGGATCTGAAATTCGCTAAATCAGTGTCCAGTGCGATTGAAGAACACACATATCATCTCTTAGTTTCATACTTGCGAGCGAGTCATGGTGTTTAGCATAAAGCTTTTGGCTTTTAGAGATTAGTTGCTTTGAGTTATTTATTTGTCCATCTCGTGGAAGATTCTAATTTTTTGTTTTTTTATTCAGGGAGGTTCGTGGTGGAAGAAGTGCGCTCTTTGATGGCATTGAAGAGGGAGGAATCAGAGCTGCTCCTTCTTACTCTCATGAAATCAATGAACATGAGAACGAGCGTGCCTTGGAAGGATTGCAAGACAGAGTCATTCTCTTAAAACGAGTAAGCCCTGCCTCTTCTGATTCTTCTTTCATCTTCAAATCTCTAATGCAGCGTGAGCATAACATCGTCACATTAGGAATGGGTAACATTTAGTAGATGAATAGCCATAAACGTAGTAGGAACCAACTTCAGTTACAAACGAGTTTTTTTCTTATATGAACAATTAGATTCGAATCCGGAATCTGATGAAAACTGTAATTCGAATTCTTGGTTCAAATGTTGATACTTGGAGCTGGACTCTTATATATGCACAACTAGATTTGAAACGGATTCTGATTTGTGTCTATTTCATGAACAGCTATCTGGCGATATAAATGAAGAGGTTGATACTCATAACCGCATGCTTGACAGAATGGTGATTCCTCTACCTTTTGTCTTACTTTCTTTTACCTTTTTTTTTACTCGCAGACGCCATTGTTACTGAACATTCTGTAAGGTTTCTTGTATGTAGGGAAATGACATGGATTCATCAAGGGGATTTCTCTCAGGAACTATGGACCGGTTTAAAACGGTAAATCCGAGTTGAGATACTACTCTTTTAAGAGCCTTTAGCCTAGCTACAATATGTGTTGTAAAGTATCTCTGATCTGTTGGTTTCACTCCTTTGCAGGTGTTTGAGACGAAATCAAGCCGAAGAATGCTGACGCTCGTGGCATCGTTCGTCGGTTTATTTCTAGTCATATACTATCTTACTCGTTTAATTTAGCAAACCCGAGTATTTTGAACATCCTTTTATGATCTTATGATATTTTCATTCTCTTTGTTGGCTCCTACAGTCTTATTATCCACATCAGTGTAATGAATGATATGCCTCCAGTCTTATAGTGTGATCCAGTGCTTGGGATGAAGAACAGATATTCACAAAATTTATATAAAAAGTTTCTTGTGATGGATTTTATAGACCATTTTACTCCTTTTAATGAATAAAATAGCGACGGTTGGTGGCAATGAAAAAAAAGCACAAATGGACTGACTAACTTGATCAAGGCTAAAAGAATTAAAAAAGAATCATGCACCAGCCGGGAATCGAACCCGGGTCTGTACCGTGGCAGGGTACTATTCTACCACTAGACCACTGGTGCTTGTTGTGTTATAGACCTATCGTTTATGTAGAAATTAAGAAAGGATTTCAAACTAGTAAACTGCAAATTTAGTAATCCTTGAATAGCAATTTTATTAGTTAAAGAAACACACATGGCTTTTGTATGAATTCACCACACAGAACCTTACACATCTTGATATGACCCTACACATGGTTATTGCAGCATCTACTACTCCTGATGAAACTACAACTGAAGTTTGAACTAACAGTAAAACACTAAAAAAGAGATATTTGCCCTTGTGGCAACAACAATGGAGAGTTGACCAAATCTCAACTGAGAATATCAGCAATCCAAATATCTGGTGAAGAGATGAAATCGGCGGTAGCTTCATCTTCAAAAGTAATCTTCAAATCCCCCTTCCTTCTCACTCTCATAGTTCTCTGTTCCTGCAATATTATTGTTCTACAAGATGAGAAGAAGGATGATTCCATTAACAAATGTATATACTTTGTGAAAAAAATGTTTATATTAAGGTGGATTTAGAGGCTCATGTAACAACAACAAAAACGAATATATTCCTAGGTGAATGAACTAACCAAGTGTTTTGAATAAAGTTTTTTTTTGTTTGTTTCATAGACAAATGATTTGCATTATTTCATGGGATTTTAGTGCTATTACCACTGACCTTTGGCTTCTGTGGTTGATAGATCCTGAACAATGACTTGCAGCTGATTCGGGTTATATGCTGACTGGCCGTCTTCGGAAGGAAATGGAGCAGGGAAAGTGAAATCTGAATCACTTGATGAAGCTTCAGAGTTCTCAGAGCTGTCAGCAAGATCATCACGCACAACTGGCCCTGAAGGCAACGTTGAAGACATAGAAGGGGATCTCAAGATGGACTTCAATTGCGAGAATTGGTCTGACATAGAATACAACAACCTGGAATACACTAAACATGACTTAGCATCAGTAAATGTACCAAATTTTCAATATTTAAACTACTGCAGCTTGATTTTTATTTACTGAACCACCAAAATCAGATATTAAAGTTTTTCACTAGTCAGTCAAATATTACGAATCAATAATACCTGTTCAAAGAGTCTTGGAGTTGGTAAACTCTTCTTTCTGTTTCTTCTAGTCTTTTGCGTCTTCTCTCACCCAGTTCTCTGGCTTCGGCGCATTTCCTTTCGGATATGTCAGCTCTTTGTTTCTCAACTTGCAACAAGGCCTGCAACATATTGTAAAATTTTCAATTTACTTTCCAGATGATCGCCACAATCCATTTTGCGCAGGATATATGGTCGTCATAGTGTATGCTGTGTATAGAAGAATCTGTTCACAACGTTGGTGGATATCGAAACATTACCTTCAGCATATCAACTTCGGCAGTGAGGGACTCGAGTTCTGTATCACGAACAGGATCCGTTATATGGCTAACAACAGAAAAATTGTTGTAAGGCTTCTCTGAATCGTCAAGAAAGGGATTTCCAGTTTCATCATCTCGTTGGATGGAATGTTTTGTCTGTCTTGCATGTTCTGTATCTTCGTCATCGCTGTGCTCTGAATGCACTACAAAGGTCTTATCAAGTTCATCTTCTACTTCGATGGAAAGTTTTGGCTTTTGTTCATCTCCACTCTCTGAATCATCGCTTTTCTCTGAATGCACTACAAAGGACTTATCAAGTTCATCTTCTGCTTCAATGGGAAGTTTTGGCTTTTGTTCATCTCCACTCTCTGAATCATCGCTTTTCTCTGAATGCACTGCAAAGGTCTTATCAAGTTCATCTTCTGATTGTATGGAAACTTCCACCTTTCTTTCATTTTCCGTCTCTTCTTTTCTTTCAACCTACACCCATGATTTCGACATCAATTAAAACCAAATACTTCTTCCTCTAGTGAGATTGAGCCATGCTCGAGTTGTCATTACATACTGCATAGGTTTAAACACTTGATACAAAAACAAGCGGCATGGTTTGAATCTGCAATACCTGACATGCTGGTCCTAACTGTTTCCTGGCAATTCTTCCTCTGAGTTTACTTTGATAAACAAGAGAAGCTCTTTTCAATTTCTTGTAGTCAGATATAGCACTGTAACCACGCCAATACGCCTGCAAGTTTCTTAGAGTTAAGAGTCATTTCTGATTCTTGAGATAGAACGGTTCCATGAGAATTTGTCAAGTATCGAAAAAGAGTAATGAGAAAAGGACCTGAATCTTGGTTGCTGCCCTAGTCTTCAATTTATGACGGAACTCATGACGTGCAGCCATTGTTCGGACTCCACTTTGCAAGGTGAGTGCGGAAGATTTGGTCCTTCCATAATCTTTCTTTGCAATCTGTCTACGTAAGTTTTTCTGAATTTTTATGGCAGCTTCCTCCCTTTTCATGTACCTTGATATCTTCCGTGCAATATTTGCTAAAATGTGAAAGAGGGACTTTAATCAGCATTCTTTACTTCCTGAGCATATCAATGAACCCATGACGCCAAAAGAGCTAAAGGCATTTACCTCTCCAAGTAGCCTGTATATTAACTGAAGCCTTTCGCATGAGGACATATCGTTCTCTTGTCAGGCGAGCTCTAACTTTCTCTTGAATCATTCTCGCTGCTTCGCCATGCACTCTTGTTCTGTGTGCATCTAGCTCAGCCATCTGACCAGCTCTTAGGAAAACTTTACTTTTTCCAATCTGCAAATTATATATTATATCAACACCCACCAAAGGGAGATTATGCAAAACTGAGATTCCTTTTACATGCACACATGAACAAAAGTGGAGTTCCTAGAACCTTACCTGGTAACCAGTAAGCCCCTTTTTCTCCAAAATCCACTTGCATGCAACATCTGCTTCGTACCTGATTACACAGTAAGGTAAGGAAACTGAGATGACAGACTCAAGAAGCATTAAGGCAGACAAGAATGGAATGGAGCTTAATGGGTCGAACTGATACATACTCTCCTTTCAGAATTTCCGGCGCAAGAATCACAAATCGATTTAAGAACTCAATGAAAGTCCTATTTGTTGGATATCCAGCGCATTTCACTCTGATGGCCTCAAGAACACCCTGCATAAGACAAAGATCATATAAAACCCCAAGACATCAAGACATGATTATATGAACAGTTAGAAGAAAACACTGACCCCAGAGCGTAACTGATGCAAGACATTGGAATTGTCAAACACTGTTGGTTGCAACAGATTGTTTGGCTTAACACATCTGATGTAGTGGGGTTCCGTAGAGTTTAGTGTCTCCATCAGCTGTTGCAGTTGTAGCTGCACCAATTACTTGAACATGTCAGGCCACACAGAGAATGAGAGTGGCATCAAAAGTTCAACAATTTCAGTCCTATTAGTTAAAAACAAAAAATTAATGGCTTTTCAGGCACCTTGAAACGAGCGCCAATTGAGGAAAACTTAGATTTGCTACTCTCTTTAGAAAGAGGAGGAAAGAGGCCTGCCACAAAAGAACATTTGGAGGCATGTAACAAATCCTGATGCTCGGCAACAACATAATCTTTGTTTTTGTCTAAAAATTGATCGGACTGGTATCGAACCTGAAAAGAATAACATGGCAAAGAGACCTCAAAAAATCGTAATTATATCTAATTTTAACTCCGAAAACAATAGAGAGTGAAGTGAAACTTACATCCCCTGCATAATGAATTAATGTGAAATCTGATCGAGTCAGTTTTGGTTTTATGAAACGCTTATGATCCCTGAATGTTTGATACAGCTTCTCAGAAAATGTTTCAGGAGTTGATCTTGGTAGCATGCTGCAGAGAGAATAATATTTAATTGATAACACATAGTTATGGTGCTGGAGAAGATGTTACTGTATAAGAAAACAATAAACTACAGATGCAGGTAGAGAGAATATTATTATACCATGCTTCATCTAGAAGGGCAATAATACCACCTGGCTTCTGCGAAAGATTGAAGTAAAGCATTTCACGAAAAGAAAAAAACAGCATGAAAATAACAGATAAATGGATAAAACAAACCTTTTCAATCAAATCCACGACATCTTGATTATCAATAAACTCCACATAGCTCCAATCTATTTCTTCTTTCTGATATTCACCTTGCTCCATTTTAAATACATGCTGTACAATATCAATGAGTTCACATTAACTAACATAATCCTGCGCCAACACAGCAGCCATAACCTAAGACTGACCTCATACCTGGTTGAAATGCTGTTGCAACTTTTCATTCGTGTAATTGATACAAAATTGCTCAAAACTGCACAGAAAATAGAAACAAGACAGTTAAAATCTCAAGTAGACGTTAGATTAGGTGATGTTATGAATATCTCTTTAGTCCTGAAGACTTCTATTAAGACTTCCGAAGATCATCACCTGTTGGTTTTAAAGCTCTCAAAACCATAAATGTCAAGGACACCGATCAAGCGCGTAGACTGAGAATCCTGCCCGATAGAGATATTTATCTTGTTTACCAACCTGGAAAATAATAACGAGTATTGACTTAGCAGATGTCACCACTCAGTGGCATGAGAAAAAAAGAAAGATAATTGGAACATTGACATAGTAAATTACCAATCAAAGAGTCTAGAGTATATTGTCTTTGCTAAACCATCCCTGCTAACAGCAGCACCAAGAGGATCAAGACTTCTCTTGATAACTTCTTCTGGGGTGACCATCATACGCTTACACAAAGCATCTTCTAAGGAATGAGGATCACACCTAAAATAACAAATTGTAATTACACGCAGTTCAAGAATCAGTATTTAGTTGGAAAAGTAGAAGAGCCATATAATAGTACATGAGCAGTTCTGATGTCATTTGGAGATGAAACGTTGACTGTTCATCTTTTAGAGACGATGAGTCAGCATCTTCTCCCTTTGAAAATTCAATATTTCCAAGATGGAGAATGGCAGCCACAACTCTGAAAATTGCATCCTGAGGAGACAAAAGACAAAAGAAGAAGATGAGTCGTTTCCTTCCTATATAGCCATCAACAGGTGATCGGAAAATTGCAAACCTGTTCTTTTTCACTTATTCCAACTACATCCATAGCTCTTCTAGTAGCAAGATACTCCTCTGCATCATTTACACCATCAAGTTCGTAGCAGCTGGATTGGTTGAGATAGCGAAATGACTTAGGATCCCCCAATTTAAACCTCTCAACATCCTGCAAGATTTAAAAATAATTCATCACTTCAAAGATTCATCCGTTTATAGGTGTGGACAACTTAGACAAGTAGACAACTTACCTCTGGAGGAGCAGCACACAGGAGATAAAAGCAGTGATAGTTACGTTCAGGATCTGAAACTTGACAAACACGAGACCTCTCCAACAGGTAGGTTCTTATGGCTGCCCCTGATATTCGGCCCGCTTCATCAAATTGGATCTCCACAAACTTCCCAAAACGACTGCAACAAGAAAAAGCATTAAGCTTGAGTCAGGAGGATAAGCAAAATAGCGAAAGAAAGAGAAAATGGAAGCACTCGACGATAAAAGCTTTCAAATTACCTGGAATTGTTGTTTTTAACAGTCTTTGCATTTCCAAATGCCTCCAGAACTGGATTTGACTGTCACATAATCCAATTGGCATAGAGAATTAGATTCAAAACCAACAGAAGAGGCAAGTGTTGTTACATAATGAGCAAGCTCCAATGTAAGGATGTCAACACAGGGAAATAAGACCATCACTTACTTCCAAAACTTGATTTTCAACTGTCCTTCCTTCAGCTGCACTATGCCCTCCAAAGTATGCAAGGTAACGCATGAGCATCTTGGTCGTTTCTGTCTTTCCAGACCCACTTTCACCACTCACCAATATACATTTATTCCTGCCCTCGTTAATCATCTCCCTGTTGCAAAATTTTCTCAAACTAATGAGCAAAACCCACTTTTATACAAAACAATGATAGAAATTCCACAGATAAAGAGCTCATAACTCACCTATATGCAATGCCACCAATTGCAAAAACATGAGGACTCAGCTCTTTGAACGAGGCGTCCTTGTACTTTTCCATAACCTCAGCATCATAGAGATGCGGGAGTCCTTGAAAAGGATTGACAGCAATAAGAATGTTTCCTGTATAAGTCTGTCATGATGTCAAAATATTATAACAGACTCGCCTAATCACACTGCATCAACTAATAATGGTTTCCACCAAGGACCAAGATGAAAAAACATTTGGTCAGCAACCAGAAATGAAATATTCTTACATAAATTTCATTGAGCTCATATCTGGTTGCCAAGTTGTCGAGAACCGCAGGCTCGTGCAAATAAGACAATCTCGTCATGTCCTCCACTCCCTCTGAAGGAGCTTCAGCGTCTTTTGGATGAAGTTTTGATAAGTTAGCAATAACCTGACCACAGTAGAAGGAAATGAAGCATATATGAGCTATAAGGGTATTAGAGAAGTGGAGGAAAAAACAAATCTTTTTACCTCTCTGCCATCATTGGTTTTAACCTCTGCTTCGTCTCCCTTTATGTTCAGTACAACACCATCAATCCATGCCACTTCTGGGTCTTCCACCCAAACATGAGAATCCACCAATATATTCTCAGCCATTCCGTCAGAAATCTTCCTAACAATTCAGTAAAAAAAACACAAACTTTCAGCGGATAATAACCAACACATAATCAAACTATGGATTCCAAAAGTTATTGCCCAGGATCGAAACCCATTCTCGAATTGCGATAAATCTAATGAAATAGAATCGACGTAGACGAAAAACGAACACCTGTGGCTTTTGTAGCTCCCTCAATCGCACTGAGAAACGCGTAAAGCTTCAATTAATTCCGATCAACGGAGCTATAAGATTTTCTAAAAAGATGAATCTCAGAAGAAATTCGGATTCTGGGCAAGCAGATGGTGACTCGATATTCGTAAAACACCAAACCGGCGAGGCTCGAATTTCATGGACGTGATCGCTTGTTCTTCTGGATTCAAACGCAGAGGTGAGAGAAATGAATTGATTTTTTCTCATGGCGTGTGTTCGATTTCTGCAGAGAGTGACGCAGAAACTCCCCTTGGATTTCGCCATTCCTGTGGACGCCATTGTCTCTGTCTCTCTCTCTCTTTCCCTCCCATTTTTAGCTCAAGAGACTTTCAATCTCACTTGCAGACCCGGAATTCAGCCTGACCCGACCCGTCAAGTAAACCCGACCCAGGGTTCGAATTTAATTATATAAAATTTCCAAAATTCCTTGCCGTACAAGTTCTGATTGGGTCTTAAATAAAAGGAAAACCTAAAGAAAAAAACCCAATTTAAAGTTAAAACCTTTCTTCTCTCTCTCTCTCTCATATGAGCAGCAACAGGTCAAACACTGTGCTGCAGCAGACCATGGTATTTCCGCTTCTGAAGCTAGGATCCCTAGCTTTGCGAACTATCTGCAAACCCATCGCTAATCGCCTCAAAAAAGAAGCTGGCGTTAACCCTAGATTCCGTCAATTCATCATCAACATTGCACAGGTGTGAACTCTCTCTCTCTCTCTTTCCCGATCTTCGGGTTCGATCGATTATCCAGGAAAATTAGAGAATTTCGTTATCGAATCGAGTGATCATGTGTCTGTAGCATCGCAAGATTCCTGATTTCGGGGGGAAGAATCAAGGGTTTAGGGAAATCTCTAGTTTTGATGTAATTGGGTTTGCTCAAAATTGTGAATTTTTCGACAGGCCAATCACAGATTCACGACGAAATTACAAAGACGCGCTTCTGGTCGTATAACCGATGCAGTTATTCGCCCTTTGAACGAAGAGAGAGCTGTTCAAGCCGCTGCAGATCTTCTCGGTGAAATCTTCGCCTTCACGGTATCTTAAATTCCATCTCTTTGAGTGCTTTTGATCTTTAAAGGTTCCATCTTTAAGACCTTAAAAGGAGAAATTTTTATAGCCAATAGTCTGTTCCAATGGAAGTTGTTCTGCAGCTGAAGATCATTTTATTAACTAGACTTGTTTTCATCGATTGAATTGGTTCTGAAACCGACAAACATGTTCTTCTTCTTCTCTGAAAGGTTGCAGGAGCGGCTCTTGTCTATGAGTATCATAGAAACGCAAGAGGAGAAGCTAGAAAAGAAGAGAAGCGACAAGAGGAACTACAGGTGAGCTCTTCTTCATTGCATCTCCTCTGTTTATAAGAGTCTCTCTCTCTCTCTCAATCTCTTTGGTCATATTTGTTTTAACAGGTAATCAGACTCAATCATGAGAAGATGGAGAGTGAGCTGGAAGAGATGAAACAAAGAATTGGCAGGTTTGCTGAAGAGCTTTCTAAACCAAGAGAAGAGCAGCATTCTAAACCAAGAGAGTTCGCTGAAGAGCTTCATAAACCAAGAGGACTCGCTCGGCTCTTCAACTACATTTGTCCTCAGAAAATACAGCAGGAGAGCTAAAAATAACCAAAAGCTTCAGAGATGGGTCTGTTCTTTGCTAGCTATTTTAGCTTTGCTTGTACATAGTTTCAGATATAACCAGTTAACTGAAGAAGAGAAGTGTTGTGTTCGTTCGTTAAAGGCTTCAAATTCAAACTCTAGAGGTTGTTCTTGATTTTTGACTAATTGGTCAATAACTTCACAAGACTTTCATATATGATTTTACTACGACACTATTTCACTACTTATATGATTTGTACTTTGTTTAGATCTTTACACCGAAACTATTGTGACTTCTTTTCTTTTCCTCATCAAGATTATGCAATTTGATAAAATTTAGATCGTATAAAATCATCAAGGTTCAATACGTGATTTATGAAAACATAAAGAGGTTAAATTGCAATTTTGTAGAGGTTAATAGAGAAGGGTTTATTAGTAAATTACCAAATTCAATCCATCATATTCCAAACCTACTGCTACTTACGACACGTCATCTCTCACTCAAATCGGCGATTTTCTTCTCTTCCCGTCTCTCTTCTCTCTGCAGCCGCCAGTCGCCGCCGCGATTTTCGTCATCGGAGGCTTGTCTTGGTTTTTTGTTGTTTAGTATTCACAGGATTGGCTGCGTCTACCTAAACTCCAGACGCCATGACCATTTTCTCAGCTCAGTCCACTATCTTCAGCCGAGCTTCCGTAGCTCTTCTCTCTAGCAATGGATTCAAACGCTTTTCTTTCGCTTCTTCGTTTTCCTCAAACGCAGTTTACTCTTCACCTCTCCCCAAAATGAAGAAACGGCGGCACCCCATCGTCTCTGCTGTTGATATCGGCGGCGTCACAATCGCTCGAAATGGTTCGTACTTCTAAATTTTTTGAATTTGATTTGAATTCGCTGGTTCGATTTTAGTGTAAGCTCGCTAGTTTATTAGAATTGGCCGAGAAGAAGTTGAATTTCGACATTGATTCATACTTTAGCGTTGTTTTTGAATTCGTCAAAATGGTGGAGTTTTGCAGATGTGGTGAGAGATGATGATCCTACAAACAACGTACCAGACTCGATTTTCTCGAAACTGGGAATGCAGCTACACAGAAGAGATAAGCATCCGATTGGGATTATAAAGAATGCAATTTACGACTACTTCGATTCCAATTACGCCAAAAAGTTTGATAAGATCGAAGACCTTTCCCCGATTGTTACCACAAAGCAAGTAAGTTAGTTCTCCATTACTCTCAAGCTTGTATTTTTCTGGAAAAAAAAAGGTGTAACTTTACTTCGTTTTTCTTATTTCCGTACCAGAACTTTGATGATGTGCTAGTCCCAGCTGATCATGTAAGCAGAAGCCTTAATGACACGTACTATGTAGACTCGGAAACTGTATTGAGATGCCACACAAGTGCTCACCAAGCTGAGCTCTTGAGGAAAGGTCACAGACGTTTCCTTGTAACCGGAGATGTTTACCGTAGAGATTCCATCGACGCTACTCATTATCCTGTTTTCCATCAGGTGTGTTCTATTCTTGAGGTCTCTGTGTTTTTGTTCGACTTCCATGTCTTTCTTATTCTATGATGTTTATGTTTTTCGTTTTGTATATGATACAGATGGAAGGCTTTTGTGTCTTTTCTCCTGAGGACTGGAAGGAGTCTGGCAAGGATGCTACGTTATATGCTGCTGAGGATTTAAAGAAATGTCTCGAGGGATTGGCACGTCACTTGTTTGGTAAATTAAGATCAATCCAATAGAAGTAATCTTCAACTGTGTATATTCTTCAGTTGTTTAAGATGATCATAATATCAACTTTAAAATGAGGATGAAACAATTTAGCATAGTACAAGCTTGTGAGTCTGTGACTCTTTAATGTGAACTTTGTTTTGGGTCTGCCAGGTGCTGTGGAGATGAGATGGGTTGATACATATTTCCCATTTACAAATCCATCTTTCGAGCTTGAGATATATTTTAAGGTAGACTTCTCCTATATGAAATTTCGGATAATTATGCTTGCTTTGTTTTGAAGGAGACGTATATCTATTTTTGTGTTCTGGCTAGAAACTTTAAGCATCTAACACAAAATGCAGTTTCTCATGTATCAAGCTTTTATCTGGTTATTGGTTCAGGAAGACTGGTTGGAGGTTTTGGGATGTGGTGTGACAGAGCAAGGAATCTTGAAGCAGAGTGGATTAGAAAATAATGTTGCTTGGGCCTTTGGACTTGGATTGGAGCGACTCGCTATGGTTTTGTTTGACATCTCTGACATCAGACTTTTCTGGTCATCCGATGAACGGTTCACGTCACAGGTGATTGCTTTCTTGACAGCTTGCAAAATTGGGATGATGAAACTGATCCTTTCATAATTTTGAGTTCTTTGTATTTGAATGTTACATACAGTTTGCAAAAGGAGAGCTTGGAGTCAAGTTCAAGCCATTTTCAAAGGTTAGAACATTTGTTTCCCATCTTTATGTTCATGTCTTGTAGACTTTTAACGAGATTCAGTTTTTTAACTGTGGCAAACAAAATCTTGTTCTGCAGTATCCACCTTGTTACAAGGACATAAGTTTCTGGATCAGTGAGTCATTCACAGAGAATAACTTTTGTGAAGTTGTGAGAGGAATTGCTGGGGATCTTGTTGAGGAGGTACACAAACTAAACAATCAGCTTTCGTTGTACTTGTATCATCATGTTCTTTAGAGTGACTATTTATTAGCCTTTACTATCGATTCACAGGTGAAGTTAATTGACAATTTCACCAACAAGAAAGGGATGACGAGTCATTGTTACAGAATTGTGTTCCGTTCCATGGAGCGCTCTCTTACAGACGAGGAGGTCAATGATCTACAGGTACATAATTTTTGCTTCTCCTTTCGTCATTGATACAGAAAACAACATTGGTGTCAGGAAGGTTGCAGTTGGATTTTATTGTGCTTGAGTTTTGAAATGTTTTTTAAATGGTGATTGCAGAGTAAGGTGCGCGATGAGGTGCAGAGGAAGCTAAATGTTGAATTAAGGTGAGAATTTTGAATAGTGGAGTTGTTGAAGACGGTGATGAACATTTCAGGCTTAAAATTGTAATTCCTATATAATTTTGTTTACTTTTCCGGAGAATTGCATCACACTCGAATAAAAATATATGTACATTGTCTTTTTTCATTCCAAAGGAAATAACAAAAGTCGTGTTTCTGTTCACAATATCTGTTTGTAAAGTACTTTCACACTTGTTTGAACAAAAAAAAAATGGTTTTTCACACTGTTACACACAAAAATTCAAAACATTTCACTCTTTTAAAACTATTCATGCAAAATGCCAAATCAATGAATTGACTCAATATGATCCAAAACCTATGTTCAAAAATATGCTAGGCTGTACTCGGGCGGTGAACGACCTTCTAGCGCCTAATCAATTAGGCGGAAAATTAAACGGGAGTACTCGGAGATTAATTTCTCATCATTTTATCTAGTAATATGATTATATATTAAATAATTTAAGATATACCGTAAAAACTATTTTAGTCTAGTGGTTTCCTATTATAACTATAGTGTTACTTGTCTCTAATTCAAGACTTGTCAGTGTAATTGCCTTATTTTTCTTCTTTTTCATTTAACAAAAAAAGAAAACTACCGAATTGATCTTGTCTTCATCCTTTCCTCTGCGACACCAAACCTAATTTCCGCAGTCTGTAATTTTTTTTCGCGATTGTTGTATATTTTGCTTGTTTTCCATGCAATTTCCACACTAAAATGATAGATCTACAACCCAAAACTCGATTGCAACTTCGATTCTTACAGAAATTGGTTTCAGCCTAAATGATTTTCTTATAAATCGACTTTTTCCACAGTTAGTCTGAGTACTCAGTTAAAGAACGGTTTTTGTCCAACTCGGGACGGTGACCCTCCTTCCAACGATTTTCGACCCGATTACTCGCCTGGAAGGCCGAGTTTTCGAACACAGTCCAAAACTACAAGATACAACTTTTCAAAAAAGATTTTCACTTTTGCCTCGACAAAGATTTCATCTAATGTTTTAATGTTTTTGACAAGTGACATTAGACGAAGATCTTTTTAACTTTCCCTATTTTTGGTTAATTTGCATTATATAATTTTGGATGGTCTTGGAGAAGAATCTTCGATGTTACTGATTAACACGTAGAAATAAAAACACTCAGTTCCTTTTATTAATTTTTCTGTGATAATATGAACCTCTAGCCAAATTCTTATTGTATTAGTATTAGATTATTGGAGAAATTAAGCAACGGTACAACAACAATTTTTTTGACCAGTAAGACGATTGGGCACACATAGACCTTTAAGTCCTCGTGGGAACTCAGGCGCGTCACATCTAACTTTACAATCCGCATCGGTATTGCACGTTCCTCTGATGTTACACTCTTTTGTTTTGAATTCCGCCACTAATGAGGAAATAAAAAATCAGCAAGAATCATTAGTTTTCTGTATTTTACATATAAAAATATGAATATATTTTGTTTTATAAACACTATATTTTCTTGGGAACGTGTGTAGACAAGAATTCAAGTGAAAACCATAATTTATAACCAAAACAAATAAAAGAAAGAAGAATTATAAGAAAATATTTACCCATTGATTGGGCAGCAAAAAGGAAAGAAAATGTGATGAGAAGCACTGCAAGTTGAAACTTTGACAAAGCCATTTTCGTTTGAATGATAATCAAGTTTTCTTTAGGGGTTTGGTGTGTGAAGATATTACAAAAAGGGGGAAGAGCATGTCTATATATACATACAACATGCATGTGGAATAGTCAAAGTTCCATGACTTAACATATTGAGATTTGGTATCAAAATTCTCCCACGAAGAAAGGTTTTGTAAAATGATAAAGATTAAAAATGAAAACTTTCCATGAAAATTTGATGGTCAAGTCTTCGTCATGGCATGGATTGATTTGTCTTTTTGGTCAAAGAATTTGACTTCACTTTACGAATACATAATTAACATAAAATACAGTTAAGAAGATGAAAAAACCTTAGTGTGGATAAGATGATGTCATTAACATTTATAATTACACATTCTCTATCTTACAATCTTTTGATAAAACCAAAAATGTTTCCATGCGTGATGCTAAACAAACAATGCATCATAACGTCGAACCTTGATTTGGAATTTTAAGTGATTTTCGATAAGTTTGACTAGTAATTCTGATGTGAGGAGATTAGGAAAATACCCCACATCGAGCCACAGTTTCTTGTTTAGTTTCCCGCATGTGTTACTATTTTTATTAACTTTGCAATAAGCATAAATCACCTTGGTAAACGCATTCGCTTGCTTCGGTTATTCACTCATGGGAGACCACACTTTATTTCCTAAAATGCCACATTTCATTTGTAACTACTGCAGCTATTTGCATAGATCATTAACTGACTGGTTTATCATACGTCGATCGAGAAATTTGATTGAGAAATCTGAAATCTGCATATAGGATCTTCTTATGACGCAATTTGATTCACAATTCTTTATGTAGGCCATTATTAAAGCCAGGAATGCCATTTTGTTTAATTTGCATTATATAATTTTGGATGGTCTTGGAGAATCTTCGATGTTTACTGATTAACACGTAGAAATAAAAACACTCACTTCCTTTTATTAATTTTTGTGTGATAATATGAATCTCTAGCCAAATTCTTATTGTATTAGTATTAAATTACTGGAAAAATTAAGCAACGGTACAACAACAATTTTTTTGATCAGTAAGACGATTGGGCACACATAAACCTTTAAGCCCTCGTGGGAACTCAGGCGCGTCACATCTAACTTTACAATCCGCGTCGGTATTGCACGTACCTCTGATGTTACACTCTCTTGTTTTGAATTCCGCCACTGATGAGGAAATACAAAAATCAGCAAGATAATTAGTTTACTGTATTTTACATCCAACAATATGTTGTATTCTATATAACAATGTCTAGCAACTTTTAGTTGAGTGATCTTTTGTTTTATTAACAACGTATATTTTTAGGGACTGTAATTTCTAAAAACAAATAAAAGAGAGAAGAATTATAAGGGAAATATTTACCCGTTGATTGGGCAGCAAAAAGGAGAGAAAATGTGATGAGAAGCATTGAAAGTTGGAACTTTGACAAAGCCATTTTCGTTTGAGTGATAATCAAGTTTTCTTTGGGGGTGTGGGTGGTGGGTGTGAAGAAGATATTACAAAAAGGGGGAAGAGCATGCCTATATATACATACCACATGCATGAGGAATAGTCAAATTTTCATGACTTAACATATTGAGATTTGGTATCAAAATTCTCCCACGAAGAAAAGCTTTGTAAAATGATAAAGATTAAAAATGAAAACTTTCCATGAAAAACTATAGATGGTCAAGTCTTCTTCATGGCATGGATTGATTTGTCTTTTTGGTCAAAGAATTTGACTTCACTAAAGAATACATAACTAACATAAAATACAGTTAAGAAGATGAAAAAACCTTTGTGTGCATAAGATTATGTCATTAACATTTGTAATTACATATCTACATACTCTCTATCTTACAATCTTTTGATAAATCAAAAAATGTTTCCATGCGTGATGCTAAACAAACATTGCATCATAACGTCGACCGATGATTTGGAATTTTAAGTGATTTTTGCTGAGTTTGTCTAGTAATTCTGATGTGAGGAGAATACCCCACATCGAGAGTTTCACATTTTCTCGTTTAGTTTCCACTTTCCCGCATGTGTTGATAATGTCATTAAATTTGCAATAAGCATAAATTACATTGGTATAACATTCGCTTGCTTCAGTTATTTCCTAAAAGGTCAAATTATTTCGGCATTGTTCATTTTATATTTAAGGCTTATCGACCCAACAACATACATCAGATTTTCGGCAAGTAAAAGGTCAATGGGAGAAAAGTTTAACTATTAGATTGGCGGGTTGAGCCGGCCCGTGCAGTAGTGCAACGCATGGTCGACTCGCTAAGGCCCAGACAGCAAGCTATCTTGGCGGGCCTTCTCCCTTAAAAAATAGAGTTAATATCGTGTGGGCCGATGACCCACATATCAGATATTAAACTGATAAGAACAGATACTACACTTGATCTTAGCCAAAAGGCCGAGAAAGGTATGAATTGAAGGTGAGGCCTCGCTTCTTATTTTATAGTGCCAAGCTTATGACCAACTTTCTTTACCTTACCGATGTGGGACTTTAGAAATACCATTTTTCTTCCCTCATCTTTCTCTTTATTCAAACAATACAGCCATATGTTCTCTTCAAACGATCAAGTATTCCTCTGTGATTATTGAATCTCAGAGAAATATGTGCACAGAAGATCTTATATATAAATATATAATGGAGCTTATAAAATATAAATGCAAAATCTGGATATTCATTATAAAAAATGTTTTCGTAAGTTTTAGAGGTTAGGGTGGAAATTTCTTCGCCTGAGAGGGAGAAAAACTGAAACTGTAATGGTTCTTCAAAAGAAAACGTGACTCACGGTTTGGTTGTCATCTAATCAAGTTCACCAGCAAGGAGCCCTCTCAAATTCCGACTCAAGCTTTGATTCTTTGAAGTGTATTCACGTATGTATAGCTTGAAAACGAAACAAAAAGCTTTCGGAACCTGCACATTCACACACACAGAAAGAACACAGCGGAGGAGATTCATGTTTCAGTTCCTATCATGCTTCAGAGATAAGAAGATAGATCATATTTAGGGAAGGAGAGATATATATATACCAAACCCATTGGCTTGAATGTTGTGCCATTGCTTCAAAGCTTTTCAGAGGCTGCTCGTTTATGATGACTGCCCTGCTCGTATCTCCCTTGGTTGATAAAATCGACATCCAAATGTCGATAGGTCCTAAGTACTTGCGGAAAATAGTAAGGCTTGCCTGATGTACAAAAACGAGTAGCTGAATCAAGTTCACAATCGATAGATGCTTATTAGTTCGAAACACAAACAAAGAAAAGACTTACGAGTTCCCAAGCTTTGACATTTCTTCCTGAATCAGTCTGCAAGAACTTTCTGCATGTACAACACAGTGAATGATGAAGAGGGATTTTTGCGGTTTTATGACTTAAGGATTATAAGTAGTCTAAACGTACAATACTCCATGATGCACATCTCTGTGATTGCAATGACCCGAAACACCATAGCCATCGAATGTTATGATCTGAAAAGAAGCACACAGAGAATCAGATGCATAAATATTTCTGAGTATAGTCTTTAACTAGGCCTTATGTGCCAATAGTAACAATACCATGTGAATGTTGTGATTAGTGACTTCTTCGTCAATGATTTTCGTAAGCAAATTTTGGCTCCATTCTTGCCCAAAACCATCCTGAGAAAGAGCATATAACGAATTACTCAGTGCCCTCAAATGAGGTGGTGAATAAAAAAATACAAGCGTATTAAGAAGATGTAAAAAAAACAAAAAAAACCTGTAAATTTGGATGGTCCAGAATCTTTAATTGTTTAAGCGGAACCTGAATCACGTTCGATAAACAGATTAGCAAACATTATCTTCACTGCGATGACAAGAAGAAACATGATCTCACAGATCCCTTGTTTGTCAAAAACTGGATTACCTTAAGCACTGCACAAGCCCTATGTAGCTCATCACTCCTAATCCTTCCCATGCCATCAGCGTTACCTGGAAATTTGGATAATCTTCTTTTACCAATTCCACAATTTGACAAGGAAAGTAAAAAACCAACTTAGAAAGTATATTACCAGTGGACAAGCATAATACGTGAAGATTGTAGCCATTGGAACTTAAGTGGTTTATTGTCGGAGAAAAGAACCTGTCCAAGACTTATATCTCTTAGCATAATATGAAAAAAGAAAATCTCATAAATTCCAATAACAGCCAAAGAGAAACATTCTCAGATGTTATCTTACATTGACTCATCATCAGGATGTGCGATAACGAACATCACATTCTTCTTTTTACCTGAATGTCCAAGACAATTAGATAATCAAATTTCTCCATGTACAAAAAAACAAGTAAATCAAAGAAAGAAGTTGTTGATCGGTGAAAACCAGATTCCAGCTACTTGCCATCATCAAGAATTGAAGCTTTGGAACTCGATGTTGCTCCGAAGAAGATTTTACAAAGAGAAGCGATCCAGATTACAATCACCGAAAGAGTAACCACAAGCCATGCCATCTAACAAAATCAAACGATACTGAAATCAAATACAGAAAAAAATAGAAAGTTATAAAACAAGACTGATCAAGTCCAACAGTTACTTGATGGATCCGAGTCATCCAAATAAAGAAATGTCAATTGCAGAGCAAACAGATAACAAAAAAGTTTCAAAATTTGAAAGCAATCGAGCTATAACTATCAGAAGAGTTTCCGGGTAAACAAAAGGAACAGAGTAATCAGTTTACAAAAGACTCTTTTTGCCCAAATTCTAGGATCATAGGTTCACATTGAAGAAAAAAATCATTACAGAACCATTCTCATATTAAGGAAAGTCAAGGAGTGAAATGGTAAAAACAACGAACGAACCTTTTGAAGATGAGAACTTGATGTAAGGGAAGACGGTGGAGACTGATCGACTGCGATGCGGCGGCGTTTGAAGCTGGCCGACGGCGAGGATGAGGAGGAGGAGGAGGAAGGAAGCCGATCGCTGTAACCCGACGGAGTGTTTTCTCATTTGAAATCACACTTACCATTGGGCCTTTTTAAAGGCCCAATTATGGCCCAAACTTCTGGATCGGTCGGATCGTATTGATTTCCCAATGTAGTTTGCGATTGCGTTTCAGTTCAGAAACCGGAATTTTGTAGAAATGATGAGTGAGTGTCACGAGTTAAGCTAAAACTACTTTACCATATGATCTAATCGAATTTTCCATTAGGAGCATAAAGTATAAAAGTTTTGCCGACAGATCAAACTGCCTTCACGTTACTTATGCTCCCCCACCTTATTCTGTTTATACAAACTGCCTTTTCTTATTATTTTTTTTGGGATCAAAGCTTTTCTAATTCACCAAAACACGGTAACATGCATAATGATTAGTCACAAGTTGAACTATTTTAAAAATCCATGCTTTTCTTCTCATTTTTATGGGATGGAAATGATTTCCACATATCAATTTTCAATTATACCATACAAATTTATCTATATATTCTTAATTCACTTCTGATCATTTCTCTTTAGATGAAAGATCCGCTAGAAATGTAATTCTCTAGAAAATGAGCTATTGAAATTGGTCTGCTAAAATTTAGTTACTCTGCCAACTAGAACCCGTGTCCTGAAAGACTTAAGCCTGCATTAACTACTTTATCTAATAATCTGTCACATTTGATTTGTCCTGTCAGATATTCCGATTCTCAATGCTCAATCATTTTGTTCGTCTCAAGATATTGTTAAGCTAAACGCGATTTTTGAAATTTGTGTACTTGTATTTCCATTTCTCCATATACAACAACGATTCTCATCCAAACATTTGATTTTAAAAACTTGGTGTTAGCTTCTCTTTGTCTAAATGCATGTGAATAACTCACTTGATCTATTGACTGTATATCGTCTTGCCATATTTAACAAACTTCATTGGAAAAATAATTTATATCATCGCAAAATCATAAACTATGTAGAGAGATATTTTAAACGAAAAAAACAAAAACATTACGGACCACTGTATGCATTTACAAATACACGGAGAGTATAACAAATAGATATGTGTGTATATGTATTATTCCTTCCACATTATAAATATTATATAGACACACATATATAACAGAGATGTGCATATATGCACATGTGAAGCAGAATTGGGTGGATTGAGAATGAGAGGAGAAGCACATGGAAGCACACTTGCATGAACATGTTTGTATTCACAGGCAAACCACTTTCAATTCTTAAAAGTTAATGAAGAAGTTGCAAACATTGATACTCTGCATTATTTATTTTACGGGAAAATTATAACTTTTTTTTGTTGAAACTTTTTTTTGGAACCAAAAGAGGGTTTTGTAAGGAGTTTCCTCTTCGAGTGGAATCTGAATTGGGTATGGAAAAACTAAAAAGTTTCTTCATGGTCAAATTACCCACACTCTTTACTTATGTTTTTTCTTTTCATTTTACCTTTTTAACATAATTTTAATCTGATCAACACACTTAGGTATATGTCTCTCTCTCTAACTAATTATCATATGATTAGCCAGTGTCGTATATATATACACTTTTCGACTAGTACTATATAGTAACTGTTTTTTTAGAAAATACAAAAAAAAAAAGTTTTTGTTTTCGTTGGCCAAATTAAGGATCCTATATAAACCACTGTCTGTCCAATACTTTGATTAAGTTGTTGTTTCAGTTTTCTACAAATTATCGATCAATTCCACTGGCCCTCAATAAGTTTTCAATTTCTTTATTGTTGTTGTTGCCGGGCTTGTTGTAGAAGTTTGAAGATTGGTCTTATGGAGAAAATTGAAGAGAATATTCCTAGGATACTTTGTTAGAAGACAACCACTAATGTTTGGGTTGTTTTGAGTAAAAGAGAATACTATAGATAAATATATTGAATTGCATAAGATAATAGCAGCAATATGTTTTTAGTCGAACCATGTTTTTTACATATTTTTTTTTTCTTTTTGGTATATCATCAACAATCAACAATCTGTTTTATAAGAGTATACATTTCAATATTTATATATTTGTTATCAATTTACTGAAGCCAATCCAAGAAATCCTCTTCTCTGATTTAAAACAATGAATACAATGGATTGGCCTACATGGGGCTTTGGTTTGGGGACAAAGCAAATAGAGAGTGAGAGACCTCACAAGTCACAATATATTATAGCAAAACTAAAAACAAAGCACATGTTCTGACACATGAACATGGTTCCCTTCTTCACTTCTCCTTTTCTTTTGCTCTCTCAACAGCTCATCTCTCTTTCTCTCTCTCCACTCTTCCACTACTCTCAGCCTCCCACTATATTCATCCTTCACTTTCCTCTGTATTTTATTATTAGTTCTCTCTTAAATTAGCATTGCAATGTCATAAATTTCTATAGTGATGATTGGTTTCTCTTGTTATTTGATTGTTTATAGTAAAAGGCAAGTAATTTATGTATACATGCTTTCACTATATAAACTAAATGGTACATGTGAAGGACAGAAAGAGAAATGTATTAATTGTATTGGACTATTCCTCTTTGTCAATTGATAAAGTGGCCACTCTTGTTCTATCAACCCATTAATGTCCATACATAAACCTTATGTATTATGATCTTTGCACTAGGTGTTATTGTGCGTTAAACTAAACAACAATAGATTATGGAAAATGCACTTGCTAACATCCAAATGATACACAATATGCATCGTCTGTATTACAAGCGTGCCATTTAGAAAATGGACACCAGACTTTAGATGCAATTAGTGTTAATTCAGTGGTATACATACATCATTTATGTTCCATTCATATAACTAAAGAGAGAAATGCGAGCATATCCGGTAGCATAAGGCCAAGTGTCAGCTCGTCGGACGGCCAGGAACCAAGGCGGAGGAAATGATCAAACGGCGGAGGAAGGAGGAGAGGAAAGCGGGAGCATGTGGAAGAGAGAAACATGAGAATGTTTCCAAAGGATAATGATTATAATTATACAATTTGACAGAAAAATAATTAAGCAAACAAATTAAGGGAGAGGAGGGGTTCACTGAGAGCACGTGTTGCCTGATTCTCCATCTTCTCTAAAGAACTCAAAGCTTTTTTCTTCCCAAACAGCTGTTTCATAGCTGTCCGATCTCTCTCTCGGCACCATGTGACCCCACTCAGAGATACAACCCTTTGAGATCGAATCCATATATATTTAATTTAGCTTTTTTCTATTATAATTTTTATCTTATCTCATGCATCCCTCTCTTTCTCTCTCTATATCTCTTACTTCTGTTTTGCATAACTACTCTTTGTTATACATAGCCATTATAGTTGCTCTGAGTTTGTTTCTCATCCCTTCTCTTTCTCTCTCTCTCTCTAATGTCTCTTCCTCTGTTTTAGGACTTTGATCATCTAAATTCCAATTCCTCACTCATAATTCAATTCTTTCCTTTGGTTCTCATCTTGATTTCTCCTTTGCTCTTGATCTTGTAATTCAAGATTTTTTTTTTGTCTTTCTTTTTCTTAAAACCCCGAAAAAAAAAAGTTGTTTTTTCTTGTTTTGTTGGTGTGCCATTAAGTCTCATTAATGGCACAACTCCCTCCAAAAATCCCAACCATGACGACGACGGCGACGCCACATTGGCCTGACTTCTCCTCCCAGAAACTTCCTTCCATCGCCGCAACCGCCGCGGCCACAGCGGCAACCGCCGGACAGCAAAATCCTTCATGGATGGATGAGTTTCTCGATTTCTCGGCGACTCGCCGTGGGACACACCGTCGTTCGATCAGCGACTCGATCGCTTTCCTCGAAGCACCTTCCTCCGGTGTCGGAAACCATCACTTCGACAGGTTCGACGACGAGCAATTCATGTCCATGTTCAACGACGACGTTCACCAAAACCACAACAACAGCAACAACAGCCACAACCATCACAGCAATGTGGGTCCCACGCGTTCTTCTTCCAACACCTCTACGCCGTCTGATCACAACAGCCTCACCGACGACGACGACAACAAAGAACAACCACCGTCCGATCATAATAACCACATGGACACCACAGCCAATCACAACAACAACAACGCCGCCGGTAACAATTACAATGAAACTGACGAGGTTCAAAGTCAATGCAAGACGGAGCCACAGGATGGTCCGTCCGCAAATCAAAACTCCGGTGGAAGCTCCGGTAATCGGATTCACGATCCCAAAAGGGTAAAAAGGTAATTCAACCATTCATGACATCTGAGATCACGATACACCAAAATTTTTTTATAACTGTTTACAAAAACCCAAGAAGGTCATGCATGCACGTACGCTTATCATATTTGAGGATTCGGTATTTTTGAATACTTAAATTAGAGTCACATCGATAAAAATAAGTTTAGTTTAAAAAATTCTGTAGTCACTTCGATAACAAAATATTATGATTTTTTTTGCTGAATTTTTCCTTTTTCTACAGAATTTTAGCAAATAGGCAATCAGCACAGAGATCAAGGGTGAGGAAGCTGCAATACATATCAGAGCTCGAACGGAGCGTTACTTCATTGCAGGTAAATATTTACACTCGTAGATAATGAGATACATCGTTACATATATACAGATTAGTGCATGACATATCAAAATCAAATAAGAGACTAATGAATCACTTTATTTTGTGGAATGAAGACGGAAGTGTCAGTGTTATCGCCAAGAGTTGCGTTTTTGGATCATCAACGATTGCTTCTCAACGTCGACAATAGTGCGATCAAGCAACGAATCGCCGCTTTAGCTCAAGACAAGATTTTCAAAGACGGTAAATTTCTATTTTTGATTTTATTTTGTTACTTCATTTTCTTACATGAATTTCCTCTTAAAATTACCAAAATTGTAAAAAATGTGTGTTTCATTAATATTTTCACCATTATTCCCCCCTCCATGTATTTAATGATCACTGACAATATATATAGGCTCGACCAATAATTATTCTTTAGCATTACGCTTCATAATTCATTCAATTACAAATTTTAGTAGAATTTATTTCTATATTATAATTCGAGTCTAGCTAGTGATCATGAATCACAAGCTCAATAAATAATAGCCTGCTTGATAAGCTAGAACAACTGTCCATGTGTGCCATATATGACATAAGTATAGAGATATAACACATAAACATGTGAGTGTTCGAAGAGAGAAATGTACATTTAATATGTGCTAATATTTTCAGGTTTATTGACAATATTAACTATTGTACATTTAATATTTCAGCTCATCAAGAAGCATTGAAGAGAGAAATAGAGAGACTTCGACAGGTATATCATCAGCAAAGCCTCAAGAAGATGGAGAATAATAATGTCTCCGATCAATCTCCGGCCGATATCAAGCCGTCTGTTGAGAAAGAGCAGCTCCTCAATGCATAAAGCAGTTTCACTCGTTAAGATCTTAATCATCTCTTGATGGCGAAAAGATTCTTGACTATAAAACCTCTTTGTGTCAAGAAATTAATTTATCAAAAGAAGAAGACCTTTTTATTTAATCTAATCACATTTTTTTTAAGTTGTGATGAATTTGCTTTGATGTATCTGATTTTTTTGTTTTTTTTTTCTTTTTTTTCTTATGGAGTGGGAGGGAGAAAGTGCGAATGATATGTAAAAAGAATTTAGTTGATTTGTTGTTTATTCGATTTTTTTGTTGGAGTGTCTAAGCATTGTGACTAATTGATATTGTTCCCGAATAGTTTTTTCCCAATCAAATTATCGCCAAATTTTGGGTAATCGAATAGTTAAAGATTCCTTTTTTCACATGGATCAAATACTGATGTGTGACATGCACCATATAATAAAAATCTATTGACAAAAAGAACAATATTTTTGAACCATGAAAAATTTACACAGTTTCAAGATTGGTTTTATTTGAAGTGACTGAAAGCGATTTCCCATTCCTTAAAAACAACGCATACAAACTTATTTCGTTATAGTGAAAAATAAAACAATTAATTTATCAGTTTATAAAGATTTTGACCAAAAAAGACAAGTAAACCTACTTTCTTACGATTACGAGGTGGTTCAGTTGAATATGAAATTCAATGTAAAATTATACTATTTCCTTACGTAGGGCCTGGAGATGTAGATGTAGGTGATGTCATATAGAATCTAGATGGTATATATAACCCATATACAATCAATACACATAACGAATAGTAGTATTAATGGCGGAATTACAGAGTAAAACTGTAAAAGGATTGATGAACTTTTTTACCAAAATCTTTATGAGAAATCAGGGTCAAAGTGGGTCAAATCTGAAAATGTTGGGTGAAAAAAGGGGAAAAAAAGGGAGAACGTGGAGCCATCTGAAGGCTAAGCTGTAAGTTCACGTGCTATGTTCCTTGCGCTGGACCACTACGGTCTCGCTGCATGATTGGCTTTGTTTCCTTTTTTATTTATTTTTCCCTTAATTTCTTTAGTCTAAATAAAAATTTTCTTTAGTCTAAATAATGTTCAATCAAAGTCGAAGAGGACTGAGACGGTCAAAAAGTAAGAGGAAATGATAAAGTTACAGATGAAAGCTCCAAAGATAGAAAGATTAATTTAACAGGATTATAAAAAAAATACAAAAACGAAGAGGATAAGTTTTGAAAGACAGAGGTTAGTGGTATTGTCTTGGGATATGTACGAAAGCGAGATATTGTCAGTTTCAGTGTTTGAACTTATGTCAGTGCCAATACCAATTCGTTCCTCTCATTGGGTCTTACATACACTTTATACTTTTATATATTTCTATACACTACAAAAAAATAAAATAACATTTTGTTACAGTTTTCTTCTCGTCGTTTTTCTTATCATGCTATCCTTCCAATAAAGGGTTACTCCTTAAAAATTGAAATGAAACTCGATTTGTTGTATAGAACCAATACCATTTATATCAAAAGTGAACCAGACCGGTTTTCAAAAAATTTCTTCTTTGAATTTGATGGTTAGCTACAAATTGGCTTGCATTACAATTTACAAGCACAGGACCAGACTAGAACTCCGAAATACCAAGGCTCTGTTAATTATACAAGGCACGAGTAAAGTTTATCAAGAAATTCCGAATGCTTTTCATCACTAGTTTACTAACCCATTTCAAAGATGATATAAAATGTAGATACACAAGGAATTGCTAATTAAGACTAGCTTTGATCACAACCGTTGGTTACAGTTCCTAGAAAGAAAAAAAAGATTAAACAAGAGACTAGACTCATTCATACAACATGAGGATGTTCAAATGAGCTTTCAGGTTTCCTGATGCTTCACTGATGTGCAGAAACCTGCACGGAAAATAAACAACAGACATTTTGACAAATGAGCCAACGAAGGCATCCATAGTGAAGACAGAGGAATTAAAAGAGTTATCACACTTTCTGAGTAAAAGAAGACAAAGTTATGGGGTTGAGTAAAAGAGAGTACCTTTAAGAGCCTCTCAGATTTCTTCTGTAGCAGCAGCAACTTCAGAAGTCTCATGATTCTTCCTTTCGGAAAGTGTTTCTCTAGCGATCTTCACTTCATTTTCAGCCTCGGTCAGTCGATCGTTCAGCAGCTCTAGTTCCTCCATATGTTCTTGAAATCCTTGAAGCCACTCACTTTCAAACTCTCCAATCTGTTTCTCTACTAGAGCTCGTGTCATCTTGTCCTCGGCCTCTTGCTTCAATCTCAGCTTTTCAACTTCAGTAGTGCACAGAACTAATCCTCCAGAACCTTTGACATCCATGTAGACTGCTTTATCATCACGCAAAGGGCAACGTTTCCTGTGCTCTCTGGATGCCTTTTTTGTTTCTTTCAAAGCCTTCCTATAACCCTCTAGTACACTTGCCATCATACGAAGCTCACTCTCAAGCCTATAGATCATTACGTCTTTCCTCTGTTGCTCCTCAAACTTGCTTCTTTCCAAGTCCTGAATCACTTCTTCCTTATTTTGCAGTTCCCTCATCAGATACTGCTGGTTCATAGCAGACTGTGCACGCTCTTGATCTCTTTCAGTACATGACAGCCTAGCTTTTTCCACCCAGCTCTGAATGTGATCCATGCACATCTCAAACGGAGGTGGCTTTTCTTCCCAAGAGGGTTCTTCTGTCCTCAATCTCTTATTGGCGGGGTTATGAATATGATAAGAGATATCATTCTCGTGATCCATCTCCCTCTTGTTGTTGCCATTCCCGAACAGAGAAGAACTACCTGAACCCATGCCCATATGCATGTCAACCCTAGAAGCAAGGAAATCACCACCACTCGAGTTGCCATGAATTTGTAACCCAGAGTTGTAACCTCCTAAGGGAGGTGCTTCTAACATGAGATTCTCTTCGGAAACTCCATGAAGGGAATTGCCATTTGGGAAAAAGGGAAACCCTCCTTCATACTTCTCATCATCTTCCTCAGTTTCTTCTTCCCCAACATCTTCAATTGGTTCGTCTTCTCCCATTTCCATAGATCCTTCTATTGTATTATCTTCGTCTCCTTCCCTAGCACTAGCACTACTAAGATGGCAACGGCGAAGGAAATGAGAACCAGCATGAGTGTCTTCATTCCATGGCAACCTTTCCTCCTCTTCTTTCTTATTTTCCTCAGCATCCATTGCCCCCTCAGGATCTTGCTCCTCCACAAGGACCATTTCTGACCCAATCTCTTGCCCGAGATTCAATTCGATCATATGTTCCGCCACATACTTCTCCTCTTTTGATTCAGTGGCGCCATCATCATCTCTTGAATCTGCAGCACCAACATTTTCCTCCTCAACCTCCAAACACTCTTCTTTTGGAGATTTTACCAATAAATCAACCTCCTTTACATCATCATCATCGTCTTCTTCCTCTTCAGGTTTTTTCCTCAGCAAATCTTCCTTCTGTGTTTTAATCAACAGCTGCAGATGCGAAGCAAAAAAGCAATCACCAAGCGGAGGCTCCGCTTTCAGTTCTTTCTCAACCATGAACCAGATCAACCCAGCCCAATCTAACTTTTCCAATTGCTTTTGCTTTATATCCTTTCCCCATTCAACTACCTCTACCGGCATAATCCACATATCATCACTTTGCAGTAGAACCCAAGTTGAAAGAATCTCCTCGATAAACTTGGCTGATTCATCCCTATCCAGAATCTCTCTCTCCTCATCTGTGATGCTAAGGTTAAGGTCTTTCTTCTTTGGCAATTTCAAAGCTCGAGCCAAATCAGCACGACTAACATTGATCCTAGACTCATTTACATAGCTGCATCTACTCTCTGGAACATAGAAAGCGATAAGCTTGGCTACCAAATCCTGACGGATATTTTGGTCAAACTCCAAGTGCAGAAATTCCCAGATACCTAGCGTCTTCAAGAGCTTTTCGTGCCGAGAAAAATCTAGGGTTTTACCTGGAACGAAAGGAATGGGCTTCAAGGTTTTCAGATGTATCTCGAGCTTTGCCTTCGCCTTCTCTTGCCCCTTGCGTCTCTTCTGTTTCAATTTATTTCGCTTCGGCCCACCTCCACGGCGAGAAACCAAAGAGGTGACGGCTTGCCTTGCGTCCATGTCGTCCTCTTCGTTCCTACTTTCTTCAATCGACGCCTCTGGTTGCTGATCTATGGCGTCGGACTCCTCGGGATCTTCCTGGTTCTGCGTTTCCTCCTGTGCTGATTCTAGATTTAGGGCTTTGTTAGCGACAGAATTGTCATCCTCCACGGTAACATTTCCTTGCTCTACGCTCGGTTTCTCGATTAAGCTAGGGTTCCCCGAAAGAGTTTCCGACTCTGTAACTGGATCTCGACAAGAGTCGTCGGCGAGATCTGACGGAGAAGCCATAGCTGATTTTTCCTCGGGAAAGCTAAACCGAGTCAATTTCACCGTCGCGAGTCCTAACTCCTAAGCTTCAACGCCTTTCAAAAGTAAACTAGCCAGCCAATCACAAAGAGCCACGTCATTAATCCGAGCAACTAATTTATATTCCTCGAGAGTTCAAGAGTCTGTGGGCCCAACTCACACTCCTTTACCTCTATCAATGGGCTTAAAGATCCTGAGAGAGGCCCATAACATACGTGGTCAAATAATTAACCGCTAAAATCCAAAAATTACATAATGCACCCAAATCTTTCGTCTCTTCGGATTCTCTCTCTCTCATCGTGTCACTGACTCACTGTTGGATCTTCCGTTCTCCCGATACCTTTAACGGTAACTTTCTGATTGCGACTGAGAATCAGAGGCTAATTAAACCAGAAACCTTCTTCGTAACTGTCCTTTGCTCGACCTTCTCTATCCCATTCTCTGCGGAAATAGCCATGATTCTCTCTCAGTGTTTTCATCTGCATCTCTCTCTCCTCGCCGCGACGGCGGCAATGTTAATGGTGGTTGCGGCTGCGCAGATCGGCGGTCAAGTATTGCAGGTGGAGCTATGGTGCGTAGCGAAGAACAACGCCGAAGATTCTTCTCTCCAGACGGCGATTGACTGGGCTTGTGGTCAAGGAGGCGCCGATTGCGGCCCGATCCAGCAGGATGGACCCTGCAACGACCCGGCGGATATCCAGAAGATGGCGTCGTACGTTTTCAACAATTACTACCTGAAGAATGGCCTCGCCGACGACGCTTGCAATTTCGACAACAACGCTGCTCTCACTTCCATCAATCCCAGTAAAGCCTCCTTTTAACATTCTTCTGAAATCGAAATCGAAATCTGTTAGGGTAGTGAAATTTCGGGATCGTTTTGATCTCCTTTTCGGAGATTTCGATATCCAGATTCCAATTGGTACATTTGTGCAGCTTTTGTTGAAGTCGTTTCTCATGTGTGTTTTTCAGGTCAAGGAACTTGCAAATACCCTTCGAGGTAACAAATCTATACTGTTTGAGTGATGTATCATACTGATTCTGAGCAAGTTATATTGATATGAAAGTTCTTATCGAAATCTGAAGTTTAATGATATGGAAGATGGTTTTGTCAATATCCCTCTATGCTTATTAGTTTCCTTAATAAGAGCAATCATGTTTTGAAAAGGAAGAAGTTAGTTCGTTTCCATGGAGGATTGATTTGGTACTTAAATTGTTACATAAACGATGAAAGACTTGATGACCACGAATGTCTTGGATTTTCTTGTGTGACTGCTTTGTTCTTTGATGATTCACATCGATAATCACTCATCTCGTTTGTTCTGTATTCTTTTGTATCTCAACATTAGTCTGTAAATCTCATGATGTGCAGCAAGAGAGTGAGCAATGGTCGAGTCGCGGATGACACTTCAATGGATGCAGGACAAGCAGATTTGAGCCATGGCAGACAGATTTCCAGCAGTTGGATCTTGGCCTTCATTGGTTATATCAGCATATTGACGATGACACTGATAATTCATCTTTAGGCCACGAGCACAGAGGCTCATTGATGATGAGAAAGGTGGTGCCATTTTGATCTCTCCCGAATTTACCTATGAAGAAGATAGGTCTAATCTCTAATTTTCTGTCATTATAATTCTGTATCCTTTCAATTCATGCCATTGCGAGTGTGTTTCAACGTGTATTGATAGCTTCAATGGGGGATTTGTAGTGATGTTTCTTTGTCAACGACTATATAATGATGTAATCTTATCAACCAAAATTAGTATATAGATTTAATGCGAATTCGTAATACTGTCATGCAAAAAATATGAGAATACGACGAAAAGAAACTTCATTAAGAGCATTTTGTTTTCAACTCTACTAATTTGAAAAGGGATCATCAAAAGAACTAACAATTTAAAAAAAAAAAAAAAAAAAAAAAAAAACAGAAAAGACAGAAATGTGAAGGTTTATTATTTGGATTTTTACACCAACGTCGGCAAGATACGCTTCATGTGCTGTGATACTGCTGGGCTAGAAATAGATGATGATAGTATAAGTTTTGCATACTAGTAAGTGTATTCTTTAAATACCTTTTTTTTTTTTCATAATCCCTGGATGATGCCTGATGGTGAACTTTTTAAATATGTTATTTGTATGTTGTTAGAGTATAATCTCGTACCATCAGGTTGGTTTAGTATTTAATCTTTGTGAGATATAACCTTTATTTATTGTTTTGCAACCTCGATGCTCACTGTGCCATCATTATGTTTGATGTTACAGCAAGGCTCACATACAAACACGTTTCACATGGCACCGTTATTCTATCACTTTTGATAGTCTATGTTTTATCCTGAAATAAAAGTTAAAAGGTACAATGATTAGACAAAAGATAATTCCGATATCAAGGGACTTCTCAGCAAGTGCATGGCAAGTGCAATGTAATTAGAACATTGCCTCATCGGGCAGGGTTTCTTCGCCAACATCCATAACCTACTCTTGACTTCAAGTAATGCAAAAGTACATATTCAAGTAAGGGAGACCAATGATTACTCTTGACTTCTATGAATGCAACCTTTCCAACAAGGCTTCACCAACAAGGTTGGGGAGATAATAGTGCAGTTTCCAACAAGGCTTCACCAATCGAAGTCTTAGCTCCTTCCTCTAGAGACGACCAGACTCTGCTGAGAGTTTTGCTAAGCTGTTGAGCAGCTGATACTCTGATACCATCTCCTTTCTTTTCGTCTCTAAACTCCTTTACTAAGGTAGACAAATAATCATCCAGATTTGTTTCTTCGTATTCAGCCAGTTTTTCTTTTGCCAACTCATGGACGAAATCATCCTCCATAGACACAACATCGATCAACAACTCAGTCAAGTCTAACAAGTTATTATCTGTAAACAAAAAAACTAGAAAAACATAATTATAATCTTTAATCGCAAAATGCATAACCTAAATAATCAAAACTTTGCCACACAAAACAAATTTTTTTTCTTCGTCAAGATCAGCGCACAAGTTGATACAGATAAAGTTGATGATCACCGATACACGAGCAGATACAATACGGGCAGGATACGATTACCTTTCACATTCATCTTTTTAAATGACTCCATTTGGAGTCAATAAACCATGCTGATAGGTTAAACCTTGATATGTTAAAGAATGAGAATGAATGAGAGAATGAGAATGAGAATTGATAAGTATTGGGTAAAAGAAATTAAAGAACGAGAATTAATAGCATTTATACTCTGATTTCCGGTTTTTGAAGATTTATCACTCCGGTTTGGTTTGTAGCAAACCAGTTTCTGATTTCCTTGGTTTAATCAAATTAAACCAAGGAGAGTTGTTTGCGTTGCCAAACAAAGTGCCTGGCTTTATCTCCCGCCTCCCGTCGCCGCCGAACACTCAACGGGCTTCGTACGCCGGTGGGCAAATCTTTGCGATCTTCTCCGTCAAGGGACTATCTCCGGCTAACATTGTGAGACTCTTCTTTCGTGCTTTGACTTATCTCCCGCCTCCCGTCGCCGCCGATCACTCGACGGACTTCGTACGCCGGTAGCCAAATCTTTGCGATCTTCTCCGTCAAGCGACTATCTCCGGCTGACATTGTGAGCCTCTTCTTTCATGATTTGACTTTCGGTGTGTCGTTTATGTGTACAACTGGAATTGCCGACGTTGTCCCAATTAGGGTTTGTGATACTAAACAAATGCTGATTGTTGAGGAAAATTTCACCATTCTAGGATAAGATTGAAGGATTGGATTTAGGATTTGGGGATTCCTATCGCATATCAAGAGAAATCGATTCGTTTTCGTTCAAGTTTGTTTCCGATTCTCGTATCTGCTGTGAACGAATTTCCTCGATTCTGGTTTTGTTTCTGTTACATTTTCTCGGGAAAATAATCATTCACTTTCTTAGTAGCAACTATAATCCAAGTTCTCTATGAATGTTAACGCCTGATGTAGAAGGAACAATCGTTAGCTTAATGATCTCTTCTTCGTTACCACATTATAGCAAATGTATGAAGCTTTTCAGAATTCATCAAATTGACATCTTCACAGGCAATTTGATATCGTTGCTGCTACTGTTTAAGCATTTGTTGCAGTTGAGATCACCATGATGCACTTGGTTTTAACTCTTTAAGCATTTTTCTCTATGTTCTTGCAGAAGCTAACTCAAAAATGGAGAACACCGAGAGCGTTAAGCAAGAAGCAACACCTCTTCCTCTAGGGATCTTTGAGATACCAGGAGAGCCTGCGGTTGTAATCAATGGTGTGCCTGACGAACCTGAAACAGATTGTATGGTTACAAAAGACGAACCACTATCATCAAGTGCCACCGTAGGAAGCGGCGAGTGGCTTGAAGGTAGACAAGTTCGGAAATTCTTCTTGGGTCAGTACTATTCTGGTACGGTGACGAAGTTCGACAAAGAATCTGGTTGGTACATGGTTGAATATGAAGATGGTGATTCTGAAGAACTTGACTGGTCTGAGCTTGAAGAGGTGCTTTTACCTTTGGATGTTACTGTCCCACTGAGGTCAGTCTCTTTGTGGATCATCAAGAACCGACAAAGACGGCTCCAGACTTATTGAAGGCACACACCAAAACGTGAGACCAAAAGAGCTGCAACATAGAAGGTGTGGTCCTTGGTGAATACTGAATAGTCCTTTTGAAAATCTCATCACTTGAATATATTAAACGAGTGGTCGAACATTGTACTTGTGGAATCATGGAATAAGTTTTTGTCAATAGTCATGAAATCTGAAGAAATAAGTTTTTTTTTTCTTCTTCTTAACAGCAAATTAGACGTGATTGATGATGATGGATGAAGTTTGTTTATTATAGTTTGTTTATTTTAGTTATATTTTCAATATGCGTTTTATACATGTCTCCAAGTTTTCCTAATTTTTTTTTTTTTATAAAAACATATCCCTGTCTTGACTTTGTTCAATTATTTGTGTCTTGACTTAATTATTTCAAACATTTACAGAATAATAATTCAACGATTTTGAGCAACATCAAGGGGGATTTGCTTGTTATCACGTCGCCAGCTGGCTTTCGATGATCATGAAGCAACTATATTTATTTATATACATTTTTGCTTTCAATAATTACTCTGTTTTGTGTATAAATTCTGCAAGCACTTCCATAAAAAACCTCATCACATAATCTGAAACAACGACCACCATCTTCGTCATGGATAGACTTCTTCTTCTTTCTTTGTTCTCAGCTCTTATTCTCGCAACCATCGTTACAGAATCAGAAGCTTTCTCAAAAACAGTCAAGGCACCACATCGGATGCATAGGCCAAAGAAGCTAACCCACCTCCACTTCTACTTCCACGACATTGTCACCGCAGACAAACCAACCGCCGTCATAGTCGCTACGGCTCCGACCACAAACTCCTCTATGTCCGCTTTCGGTATGGTTGTAGTCATCGACGACCCGTTGACTGTTGGGCCCGAAGTCACCTCGGAGGAAGTTGGGAGAGCCCAAGGAATGTACTCATCGGCTGACCAGAAAACGTTTGGTCTGCTTATGAATATTAACTTTGTGTTCACGAAGGGTGAGTTTTCAGGCAGCACCGTCGCGATGTATGGTCGGAATCCGACAATGTCGAAGGTGAGAGAGATACCGATCATCGGAGGCACGGGAGCTTTCAGGTTCGGAAGAGGATATGCAGAAGCCAGGACTGTTGTGTTCGATACTACTAATGGAAACGCTGTCGTTGAGTATAATGTCTATATTTGGCATTAATTAAGTATCGGCTTCTTTGGTTCTTTTCCATTTTTTTTTGTGAAAAGATGAAAAATTTGGTTGAATACCAAAAGAAATAAAAGTTGGTGGAATAAATGTTTTCATTTCTGTTTCTGAATATGGTGATTTTTATGATATTATTGCAGATATGCAATAATTTGTTGTAAGAACTAAGAAGTTGCATTTTGTTGAAAATTTATCGTTCATTTATTTATTGTTTTTCAAAATGATTAACTCCCGCTTAGTATTAAGAGAATAACTTGGTACCATATTTTATGTGTTATTAACATTTTTAAAATACATAAAAACAAAGAGGCAACTTAATTGGTAACATTTTATAGATAATATTTAAAAACGACCAACTCATAATATGTAACTTGTACCATTTTATACTATACAGAAGTTGACTCTTTAACAATCTTACTCATCAACGAGTAACATTTTCGTGTCGGAAACGTAAGTGTTTTGTCACCTCCTTCGAATTGACGAATTGTGGCCGTGGTCGATGGTTTTGCGTTTTGGAAATGTGGATGGATCATCATTTGATCTAACTGGGCCTAAGCCCAAAATGGATCTGATCACATTTAAAGTCCATTTCCCAAAACTAAACTATAAACCCTGTAAATTATTTGATCAGACAGGGTTAAATTAAAAACATTACTTTTATGTGGAGGAAAAGACTGTATTTGACCGTAATCTACTTGTATAATATTATGATTTTCTTTTGATAAGTATTTATAATAAATTTTATTAATTTTTTCCTTATCGAATATTTAAAATCAACAAGGGAGGTAATGTTTGGATTAGAAATTGACAAGAGGTCGGGAGACATATATGACATACATAATCTAGAGAAAGCTCCCCCACATATTGTTAATGCAATATCTGAAAAGATGCTCTCCCCATTTATGATTCTATAAACTGTGGTCCATACGAACAAAATTCATATCAAATCAAACCCATCCATCATTTTCTAGGATCTAAAACATCGTGACAAAAAATATTTATTGTTTTCATCAATCCCATATAAGTATGCATTATATTAGAGTCTAAGTGTAATTTTCGAAAACGGTCTCTAACAAAAACTAAGAGCTTCTTTATAGGTATTGACATTGATGATTGATACGGTCGATGAATCTAGAGTGTCTAACTTCGAAAAAGACTGATGGGCTCATCTTCTTTAACTTCACTTGCATTCATTTGTTGTATACGAATTTTTTGTCTGTTTCTAATTATCTGCTAACAAATTTCAAAATTTACTACCATATATAAGTTGATGTATATTATGTAGGTTGTGAGATTACATGTTAGAAAACGTACAAGAGATATGGTTGTCTTTCTTTCACTTCATCTTCCATGTATTATACCAAAAAAAATCGTTATTTATCAACGCTTTAATGTATTGTGCATATAAGCTAACTCGGCCCGGTCCGTTTATGATAGCTAACCAATCCTCATTTGACTCTGGTTATTTATAACTCAGGCCTCGTCCAATTTGATCATATGGGATCGTGCGTACCACCATTAATTAGACGTGTTAGACCGGGTCCGGTTTCACATGATTTGTTTTATATGGATCGAGCTAGAAAATGGTATACCATTTTGACATGATATACGTATAATACTGAAGGAATTTTGACTCACCGCAATTTATTTATGTGTAACCAAAACGTCTAAACATTTCATGTGCCTGATCACGAATCATAACATTCAAAATTTGTATTGCTTGATTAGCACATATTATTTTTAAAAGTTGTTAATTTTTTTTGGGATTAAAGCGTCAGTCATATCTTGTATGATTACTACTATACTCAAAAGTGAGATTCGAATTTGAGACTTCAGACAAGAAATAACCTGGAAATGTATATAAAAGTTTATAGGATTATACCATTTTAATACCATTGACATATTTTTGCATGAAGTACAAACTTAAATCGCACCACTACTTAAACGCATGTTTTTTTTTAAAAGAAACTAAAAAGGACAAGTCGATTATGAAAACGTATAGAGAGAAAGATACATGGATGGATAGAAGAGTAGTGGAGGAGTTGCATCGAAGAAAAGGAGGAGATGAAGCAGAGAAAGTGAGAGATAATGGTCCCTTCACCAAAAGCCATTATATCTCTGAAGCATATGACTATGACTTTAATGGCAAAGCAAAGGTGTTTGTAACCAAGTGTCGCTGTTAGGGTTTCGGAGACTTTGTGGGATTTTAAGGCTATGTGGGGTTCGACTTCACTCTAATGGCCCACCAATATTTTGTGTGATTTGGTTGGTTTGTAAAGCAGATGTTTTTTTTTTCATTCGGTTTGTCAACAGAAAGTTACCAAGTTTTAAGATTGCGGTATATCATGACCTAATCATGACTGACAAGCTAATTTAGTGCCATAAATTTAAAAATTAAACAAACAAACTAACTGAGAAGGATTATTACATATGGTTCTCATATGATTACATGTTGTGATTAATTACCACACACAAAGGCTTTCAGTTTTATTGATGACATGAACAAGTTGATTAGCGACATTGAATGATCAGCATGTAAGGACCACTTATCTTTCTGTCTCTAAGTACTCTCTACAGAACACATCTTTGCAGTTGCATGAGAGAGATGCAAGAAGTAAAAGCTGGTCCTCGAGAGAGAAGACTAATTCTTTTTCTCTCTTAGATCTATAAATAGTAACATCCCGCGTACGTATACACATATAGAAAATTAATAAGCAAGTATGTGATCAAAGAGAAGACCTACAAAGTTTTAATTCGGTTAAGATGTTTGTACATCCGGTTTAAAATACGTCACTTTTCTCTCAAAGTCGAAAAACTGGAAAACTTACTGAAATTCGAATTGAATTTTCATAGTCGTATATGTGTCCCAACCCCCATCATTCGGAGAACCACTTCTGAGAAATTAGTGAGAAACAGAAAGTAGATAACATTGGAATTTGGAACCAAGCGGACCAATGATTTTGAAGAAGCTGTGTTTGTTGGGTAAATGAATATAAAAGCTAATTTAATGTATCTACTTCCAAGTCTTTTCTAAATTTATATGTAGATTCTCAGTAACAAAAATATGAGAAAAACCAGAGATGTATACAGTATATTTGGAGAAAACTAGTAGTAATCACTATTATAACAAATAAATAGTCAAATATATTTTGTCCAATTTAAAACTAAAATATTCTTTTATCAGATGCTTTTTTCATCACTCTTAAAAACAACATAGTTAAAAAAGGTAAAAAATTAATGAATTACCAAAACAACATAGTTAAAAAAGGTAAAAAATTAATGAATTACCATAAAAATGGGAACCAGCCCAGTTCTATATAAACGTTGTCTTTCTATCTGGAACAGTCAGCCTCACAACTCAATACTCACTCATTGTATCTCTCTCTCTCTATGGACGAAGCTAGTGGAGAAACAGAAACTCAAGATTTCATGAACGTCGAATCTTTCTCTCAGCTTCCATTCTTCCGCCGTCCTCCCTCCAAAGATAAGATCCCTAAACCCATTCGTCTCTTCGGCCAAGAGTTCACTGGCGGAGATTACTCCGGCACCACCGTTCAAGAAGACTACTTCCATTCCTCCGAGATCAAAGACAAGGACGACGAAGAAGAAGTAAAAAACGAAGAAGAAGACCAAGCCGAAGACAACGGTTATAAAGACAACAGCATCATCAACAGCCGGAGATTCGAGTGTCACTATTGCTTTAGAAACTTCCCTACCTCACAAGCCCTAGGTGGACACCAAAACGCTCATAAACGCGAACGCCAGCTCGCCAAACGCGGTGCTTCCTCTTACTTCCATCATCCAGAAACTAGCCTCTACGGTTACCGTCATTACCCGTCGTGGAACAGCGGTCCATTACAAGCGTCTAGGTTCTATGGAGGACAAACCTCTGGTCCATCATCGCCGTATCAAACACGACCGATCAATAGGAGTCTGTTAGGTTTATGGAGTGTACCACCTTCTTCTGGCGCTCATGGCGTTTATAACTCAAACGCAGCGTTTACTAGGCAAGAATTTTCTTCTTCTAACTCGGCTTTACCGTTGTTGGCCGGCTCTCAGCCGCAGCCACCAGCTCAGAACCAAATGTCGTATCGGTACGGTTTGAGTCCTAACGTGCAAGATCATGTGAGTCTCGATCTTCATCTTTAACGATTATAAACAAAATAATAAAATATATTATATTCCTCTATCGAGTGATATGCATGCATCTAAGAGAAAGAGAAAGAAAAAGAAACGACGAGTTTGGTTTCTAAATGAGCAATGTTACGATGTGTAGATTTCACGTTTCCTATATTTTTGTTTTGAGCAATAATTTCACAGTTTCCTAATGACATAGTTCGTTTAGAGTTCGATCTATATGTCCCTCTTTTTAAAACGTGCGTAAATGAAGGATTGGAATTTATCATTCCACATGGCTTTTAAGTTTGAGCTTCGAACATTATTGTTTTGGTTAAAATTCACAGAAGTGGTCAGTCATACGAATGAGTATTTAATTTAAATCACACAGCGACTCAAATACCATTTCTCAGCAATAGGATCACAGAATATTACTGCATGCATGAAAAAAGAAGAAGTAAACCTTTAAAATACAAATCTCTTACGAGGTAATTTGAAAATTTGAAACAAATCTAATGGACAATGGCCTCATCACCATGTCCTGGTAGTAGTAAAAATAAGCTTACATGATGATAATGATGATGATAATTTGGTACGTGTGGGTAAGTGAAGACAATGGACAAGACAAAAGGGTAGAGAGAGACAAAGAGAGTGAAGTGGTCCATCATTAAACACAAATGTAGTGTATGTGATAGAGCTTTCTCATCCGTCCATAATGTTACTATTCTCTTAACTTTGCAATTTCGAGTAAAAAACATAAAGAAGAAGCAAAAGCAGAGCCATATTCCTCCAGCTTTCTACTTTTGTGTTTTTTTCTTCCCTTAGATTTTCTTTTTGGCAATCCAAACGAATCAACAACCTCTCTCTTTATCTTTATATCACACAATCAATGAACTCGAAGAGTTGTGATTCACATACCGTACTCAACTTAACAGATGCCAACGGGAATGAGTATGATTGGTTAGTCTTGTTGCACAGATTTTGATTTCTAGCCATTAAAATACATACCCTACAATATATCAGAGAATGGCAATGACCCAAAATGGTTTCCAAGACAAAAAAAACATTGGAGAAAAAGAAAAGCCTTGTACCTAATTATTTAATGTGGTTTTGTTAAGTTAAACTATCAAATCAAAACATTAATTTATATACGATTTTCCACATTTGGGAAGCATTGATTCGCACCCTCCACCGGTATAATGCAAATATCCATGCAACAACTTGTGATGGTACATTACATTATATGCTTTCTTATAGAAGTCAGCTAATCTGCTTCAATCAAGTCTTCTAGTAAAGGAAATGGAAAAAGGATATGCCAAAAACAACATATTTGGACTCTATCAGAAAAATGCTGGTAGATGCAACATCGCAAAACCTTCTTCCTTGTACTTTTTCTCTAACCATGATGGTTATTGTCTAACTACCATTAGCAATACAAGTGACACCAACCTATTGCGATTTTGCTGACCTGAAGACTTGAGTCGCGTGCGGAGCAGTTTCCATCGGTTCTACAGGGAAGGGACCAGATGCTGCAACCTACCTCAGCCTTTAGATCAAAAGGGAAGTGATAAGGTTTTTTCAGACAAAACTTTTGCAATAAGGATGTTTCAATTGTCACCAAGAGAAGTTACAAAACAAAAAACCACAGAAAGAAGAGTTAAAAAGACTTATATGCCCTCCCGGAACAGTTCCTAGCTCAACTACAAAACAGTTATAGGAGTATTTTACCATGGAACAGAGGAAGTTTAAGGAAACTGGAAACTATCTACTAGGAGAGCACTGTCAAAAGAGTTAACATCAGTTGCAGCTACCAAGTGGACCCACAAGTTACTGCAATTGAGAAAGAAGCATGTGATGAGTGAGTGTACAAGGTGATGAAAAGAGACGCAAGTAATAAAAGACATTGCATAAAATCTTATAGGACCACTTTTGTGCTCAGTTGTTTTTTTTACAAAGAACTTGGTAGAATCTGAGGAACAGTGGCCCATACCCCTAGGAGAGAAAAAGTTGCAAAAATTAAGGATGCTATATAGTTCGAACAGTACACATCTCAGAGCACTAACTGATGGTTTTGGGGTAAAGTTAAAGGTTATAAAGCAAAAGACCATGTGGTTGGATATAATTGAGATATGACTGTTTTCTTCTGATTCCTAAGTTTCAACGTCTCCATGCTTTCTAATTTTTATGCTCTTCTTTTGGTGATGTTGCATCACTCGTAAGAAAGTCATATACTGTAGTAAATCAAAGTATCAAGGCCTAGACATGGTAAAGAAACAGTGTTAAGGACAATAAACCTAGTTCTCAATAATGCAGCTTGCACGAAACAAATAGATGTCAAGATCTTGAAATCTTTAAAAGCTGGATAGGAAAATTATGCTGGCACAGAGAGAATGCAGTGCAGGTACATATATTATTGTTTACTTGGCAACTCCATATATATATGACTTTACTTTAGATAGTCTTATGTGAGGTGAAGAAAGGTGCGTGCCTCTTTGACATGACTAATCAACAGAGAAGTCCATTATTGTGAAGCACTTGGAGATGCATTGATATGAGGTGATTGTTAGCTGAGAAAGCTTTTCAAGTGCCTAACCTACAAATGTCAATATTCAGAAAAAGTCATATTATTCAGGTGCTTTCTGAGAAAAAAAAAAAAAGTGGCAGATGTCCACAGAAAACGAAAACACACACATGTAACGCAAGCAGCTAATATCAAGGAATATTTTATTATGTATAGACATGAGTGCACAAGCCTATAATGAACACGGAGAGAAATGTAATTAATAGTAATGTGAGTAATTTACCTTATCACTTTTTGTGTACGAAAGGGTAACAGGTTGAGTTCTACAGTGAGATTGTGGAAAAAGGACAGGGCTCTTCAGTTTTATCATTAAAAGTGAACATGGCCCAGAAAATTTCAGTGGAAGAAGAAGAAGTCAGTCTCTCTATCAGACTGATAATCATAAATCTGATGATGCTTATACTGACGTTTTATATATCAAAGCATATGATCATATCCTTCGTACGTTTGTGTTTCTTACACAAGAAAATGTCGTATATGATATCCTCCCTTACCACGAACCGCTCGGTTCGTGAATTTTAAATCTGGGTCGAATCGAGCGGTTCTATCCGGGTTTAACTCGAAAACTGAATTCGTCGTGCTCGCCATGCTTATAATAATAGAGATCCCATGAAGGCCCATAAAGCCCAACTAACAGGTCTAGTTCGTGATTGTACGGATTGAAAACGAAAAGCCCAATTAAATGGTCCTGCTTTCCCATTTTGGCTCACATAACTCATGAAGTACTACCTTTTTTGTTCAAAATTTTCTTTTTAGGTTTGAAGCTAATTTGCTTTCACGAGTAAGCACTTTTTCTCAGGAACATTTACATGTTATGCTGATTCCACTATCACTATTTATCGCATTTGATACGAAACATTGACCACTCTATACATAAAACGAAATTACGCTGACTAATCAGTAATCAATACACATCTCATTTATCTATGTAAATCAATACACAAGCATCATGCCCATCATTTATGCATGTAAGTTTCAACTTTCACATGTCAAAGTGAAGGACACTACCATCACGGCTTGGTTTATCAATACCGCTAGCTAGGTGTGCTATCAAAATAACTTGGTGAACAAAAGAAAGACAGACTCACGTAAGGCCAATAAGCCCTCTTTGTTGATAAAGGGGAATGGCTTCTGCATGACGATGAAGCCATCAATATCATCAATTTGGATCCATTTGAACCAAGTATCTTTGAATTTTGTCTTTTGCAATATGCTGTTAATTAGAAAACTACGTTACCTATCCTAATGTCCCTACAAATATTTGTCGAAATTTCATTAAAAACCAAAAGACACCCGAAACTGTGTGAACTTTACGAACTACGAAACACGCACACCCATATTTTTACGTTACCGTTATAAATTCCATTTTCGATGGACCGTGTTTTATAGGGTTTATCCTTTTTCTCTCCCGTAGCTTATTGCTTAACCACTACTGTACGTACGTCGCTTATATTTGTACAAAATTATACATTTGCTATTTTGTATAACTCAAGCTTGTCCATTATGTAACAAAAACATCATTTTCAATATTTTCTTTCACAGCATTTTAGACGAAATTACATGTATACAATACACTATCTAATTTTCAACCGTTTTATATTGAAATGTTAATATGTTATTGTATTCATTGTCAGGTGATCATTATAGTTATGAATCTGAAATGGTCATGTTTTCAATGATTGTATCAGTCACCACAACCATGGTCCATGTCTTAGTAAGTATAAACAAGGATATTCATTTATGCAAATTCTAGCTTTTGCTGCATGTTAAAAGATTCTCGAGTCATATCCATGGTCCGTGGATTTTGGTTTCTTATGACAGTATGGATCCCGCGGATTTCAGATTGACAACGAATCATGCTTTCAATTTATGAATAAATAAGAAAAAATCTAAATTGAATTGTATGGCACACATCGCAACGTTTTTGAACATTATCTACAAGAGATTTTTGGCGGACTATTGGGTGCAGACAAGCATTCACCGATAGCCTAAGCCATCTGTGTCTTCCCTGTAATCGGCTCAAATCCATTGATATTAGTTTGGTATTTTATTCCAGTTTAACTGATCATTCAAGGCACATAAACTGTCGAACGTTTTTCAACTCTATATATTATACTTCATATTCGTTTGACGAACGTACGAAAGCCGAAGATTGGACTTTTTGGCAGAGTTTATAATTTAGCATTCGTCTATAAAGGAAATTATCAATTACATGTGATTTATTTGTATATAACAAGTATATCGTCCGTACATATTATCGATCAAGTGTGAATCACTTTCGCATCATCATGATTCATCACTTAAGTTAACAAATGTCCTGAGCTATATAGACTATTTTTTTTCTCTTTGATATATACTTAGAACTCAAAGTTAACTTGATTTACCTAAACAATGGTGAGAAATTGACTTGGTTGTAGTTTAAATAGAAAGTTCTAATCATGTTTGTAATTGTATATATATTTTTGAAACAGTTTATATGCAGGTTATGTACGGTATGATGCATTATTGTATATATTTTTGAAAAAGTCAAAGAGAAAGAAATCGTAATTCAAAAGGGTTAAGCTTCTGCGAATGTTCCTAAAGTCTACTGATGCGATATAAATTAATCGGCAATATTCTATTTCTAGGAGATATTATAACTTGTTATTATTGCACTAACTCGTACGTGGTTCAATCACGCATGAGGTCATTTTACCTGAATAAGAGACAGGTATTTAATATGTCATAGAATTTGAACATAGTACGGTCCCTAATAGGCAATAGCTAATATTTATAATTAACTATAAACTTCTTAAATCAAAGGACTCATAAATAATATTATAACCCATAGTTTCTGTATACTTCAAATTTCGTCTCATTTTTGGATTCAAGAAGTTTCAAGTCTTAATTTATTTTGGAAGTTCATGTCACGTAAGTGTATGTATTGTCGAATATCTATACATGAATACTAGTCAAACATGAATAGAATATATGTGATTTGTAGTTATAAACAACACGTAACTATCAGCAAAAGAAAAAGTATATTTAGTATATGGTATTAAGTATTAACTAATAGATTTTCACAGATCTCAATGTGTTATATCATCAGTTGTTCATGTATTAATTTATACATATTTAGTTCTGAAGATAGACATAGCTTGATAAATATTTCTAAAGATTGTTGACTTGTTATTTTCACATAACTTGTCAAAATTCTGTTTTGTATCGTATCTGAATTAGTAATAATAATACCTAGTAATGATAATTATCAAGAAGTTTCACTTTCTTGTATCTAAATTCTAATGTATTATTGTTGAGACAATCATGTGAGCATGGTCCAAAGATTAGGGTTCCGAGAGTTGGTTCGTTTGTCTTTGTCCTTTGCAATTACAACCATGTAAATTACACGTGTCGTTTAGTAAATGAGAAACTGACACTTTTTCATTTACCCAAAAGACAAATTCGCCACGGAACAAGAAGCTCCAGATTAAGGCGTGGATCAGACAAGCGTTGTTGATGCTTACTAGCTTAGGCATGTGGGCAAGTACCAGGGCTTGTCTCTATCTTCATCAGTTCATCACCATTATTTTTTCCTTAAAAACAATAATTTCTTAATTAATCCTAAAAAATTCAACGGAACTCCATAGACAATCTTATATCTATAAAAACCGATATTTGTGTACTATCCTTTATCCCTTTCTTCTGTTCATCTGCAAGCATCACATTCCTCTCGATATCATCCGAAGTAAATATATTTCTTTCTTTTATTTATTGTAAAAGTTTTTTATCCCCTTCAAATTCAACTAGTTAATTTTCCATGCCTTTATGCTATACTTTTTTTCTTACGATGATTTGATTAATAATTTTCCAGAAATGGAAGTCAATTCTATGGAAACACCGTTGCTTTCGTCAAACCATCATGAGGCTGAGGCTAATAAACCAAATCTAACCAGCTTGGTTTCTACAATGAAATCGAATTTCTTCACGGATTTGCCTCAAAAACTTCGATCCAAAGTCGATCCAGAGAGCCCTTTTGACCTTGATGTCTCCAAAGCCGGCCTCAAAAGAGGTATGAAGTGTCTTATTAATTATTTATATAATATTGTCACAAATACTAACAAGAATGCTGTATAAAACTTTTGATCTTTTAAGACGAGAAGGAGTACTATGAACAACAATTGGCGACACTAAAATCCTTTGAGGAAGTAGAAATTTGCTTAGCTCGATCAGATGATTATATCATCGATGAGAAAACCCAAGAAGAAGATCGAGCTGAGAGAGCTGCACAAGAGATTGCCATGCAAATCTCCAATTGGGCTAACATCTTCTTACTTGCTCTCAAGGTGTGACTTTCTATATACTGAAATATTGTATGCATTAATTTGAGCACTATGTGATGCATATATATTTATCAAAATGCTCAATAATGTGTAGATATATGCTACGATAAAGAGTGGATCGATAGCGATTGCAGCATCGACACTTGACTCTTTGCTTGATCTAATGGCTGGAGGAATACTTTGGTTCACACATTTGTCAATGAAGAACATAAATATCTACAAATATCCCATTGGAAAGCTTAGGGTGCAACCTGTCGGTATCATCATTTTCGCCGCTGTTATGGCCACTCTTGGTAAATATATTAATTATATTCTAAAATTTTATAACTATATTATAGTTTCATGATGAGAAATGTAATGTGCTACATTAACACACATATACATTTGTGTAGGGTTCCAAGTGCTTCTTGTGGCAGCTGAACAATTGATTAAAAATGAACCTTCAGAGAAAATGAGTCATGACCAACTGGTTTGGTTATATTCAATCATGCTAAGCGCAACCGCTATTAAACTCGTCTTATGGTTCTACTGCAAAAGCTCAAGAAATCATATCGTCCGTGCATACGCAAAGGTAATATTCGTGTGTATATATATTTTTATAATTTCATGTGAAAATGGGGATTAATTGACGAGTTTTGATATAGGATCATCACTTTGATGTGGTGACAAACGTTCTTGGATTAGTTGCGGCCGTTCTTGGGAATGCCTACTATTGGTGGATTGATCCGGCTGGTGCTATCCTCTTAGCCATCTACACTATTGTCAATTGGTCCGGGACCGTTATGGAAAATGCAGGTAATTTTTTGTATTATTCTTCAATTTATTAACATCAATATCACTGAGATTTTCACTATAATTTTTTTTTGTATATATTTAGTCTCATTGATCGGACAATCAGCTCCTCCAGAAGTACTACAGAAACTGACATACCTAGTGTTGCGACAAGGCGCAAATAACATCAAACGAGTTGATACTGTCCGAGCATATACCTTTGGTGTTCTTTATTTTGTCGAAGTATGTTTTTTAATATCTCATAATTAATCTTACATTTGACCATTCATAAATTCATCATTACATCATAAATCTGTAAGATCTTGTTAGCTATATAGTTAGGCTTAAAGATTGATATGTGTGTGTTGCACTTGGCAGGTGGATATAGAACTCCCAGAGGATCTGCCATTGAAGGAAGCTCATGCAATTGGTGAGTCATTGCAAATAAAGCTCGAAGAACTTCCAGAAGTGGAAAGAGCTTTTGTTCATCTGGATTTTGAGTGCCATCACAAACCCGAACACTCTGTTCTTTCTACAATCCCAAACGATTTATGAGGATTATATGCATATATCTATGTATATGTGTTTTTGCTTCTTCTTTTTTCGCTTTAATGTTTTTTTGTGCTATATGACATCTGCAACTTCATATATTGCAGTTTTTTTAGTTTCTTATGAATTTTTGCTATAACCATCGTCCGATTCGTTCTTTTCTTCAACTCATAATATATTTTACACATCTAAGACGACATTTTGGTTAATTTGTAACCAAAGCACGTTCCCTTTTCATTTGTAGTTTGAGAAACTGTACCGACAGTTTATAACACACTAGATGATCAGAGAACTTCTCATTATCATAAGAGCAAATTATTCGGTGAGAGAACACAGGAGATCTCGCAGATCTGAACATTGCTCTCTACATCAAATGAAACAATGAAGCAAGAAAAAGAAGGAAAGGAGACAGAGGAAAATCCAAAGAAAAGTGTAAGAAACTAAATAAAAAGTTTGAAACGCAAAGTTTGTTTTTGTTCTCCAGACGAATGATAATAACGTTCCGGATGATACAAAGTCACGAAACCCCCACTCACACTTCAACAATTCTTTCAAATCAACAGCAATACCCCCAAAACTGTTAATCAGAATAACGAAAACCGCAGGCCATTGCTCGTTGCGAATAAGTTATACTCTTCAACCTCTCTGCCCTCTTTGGCTTTTGTATCTCCATTTCCAACAAGGTCTCGCAAAACCCCGTCTTTGGAGTGAGCAGGCTTCGATTTATTCCCAGTAGACAGACCCACCGGTCCACTGAAATGGAATAAGGAGAAGCTGTCTTCACTTACTGTCTGTGTTACCGGTTGAGACAAAGAGTTCACTTCCATTGGCGGCTGAGCTTGGTCCTCAGTGTTGGCTTTGGAATACGGATGAAAAACCGGAACTGGCCCAGGGCTGAAGAAAGGTGTCGCGGCATGATTCAGCGGGTTACCGTACTGCAAGCATAGCGGTGAATCTCCGTTCATGCTATATCCGAGCGGACCTGTGTATAGATAAGGGTTAGGGTGGGGAAACGGAACTAATCCGTTGGCTGGAGCCGCGGACCAAGAGACTGGTTGTGCTTGATGGAAGTAGCCCATTGGTGAAGCAGCCTGGAAAACCGGGAACTGTAGATTGTGGTTTAGCATCTGTGGAAACATGCCTCCTTGTAGCTGTGCATTAACAACACCATGTGGCATGTTACTGTTACTGTTAGTATCCGTGATGTTTCCAGTTACTGCGATAGGAGCTTCCGAGATTTTACACTTCCCAGTAGTATCTGTTATGAGGATATCGTTCTGAGTACCACCAACAGCTGTATTCTCTCTTCCTTCAGATTGCTGACTGGTGTCTTCAGAATCAGATGTGGAGGAGGATTCAGTGTTTCCGTTGTTTGAAGAAACCGTATTGCTCTCTCCCTCGCTCAGGCACGACGAGCAATTGTCTGAACTCGACGTACTGCTCATCATAGGATCTTTCAAATGCCAACCATTCTTTGTTTCCCCTGATTCCATGCTGTTCTTGTCTTTAAGCTTGGCATTATCCAACTTCTCCGGAGCCTTACATTGAGTCAAAAGGTCAGATGAGTTTTCAGCAATACCAGTGTCTTCTATCTCTGAACATCTGACTGTTACTTCAGAGTCAGAGTTGCTTCGTGGGTACTTCTTTGGCTCCATGGGCTCCCAAACTTGTTTTGAATGTGGCGAATCTCTAGTAGAAGAAGGATTAGGAACCTTGCTTTTAAGTCTTAACTCACGGGTATGGTCAGGTTGATTATACCTGTTGCCACGGAACACTGGCTTGGAGGCATCAGGAGCAGAGTCCGAACTGGGCAAGGTTTTGGGGTCTCGCGTGCTTCTGGTTGCAGAGATGCTAGGTTCTACTTTTGCCCGGTATTCACTACTCGGTTTGCAACTGCAAGAATCATAGTCAAACCTCTCACTGATCTGAGATTTGGTGCCATTAACGCCACTAGTCTTTGAAGCTTTCACTCTTAACTGTCTGTTTGACCCATTGAAACCCCTTGAAGTCACTTCTAATCTATCATTACGGTGTCTTGCCTCTGATCTACTCGCAAAAGAGGGATTCTCTGAATATCTGCGTTTATCTGACCACCGCAAAGAAGGATCAGATTGCATTTCTTTCCAATATCTTGCATTCTGGTGAACAGGTCTTTGGTGATCATTTGTACAGTAGTCGTTCTCATCTTCAAGGTCTATAATCTCTCTGTCAGGGCTGTCACAGTAGTGGTCTTCAATTCCTGGAGAAGGGCAACCATCCAAACACTGTCCTTCTTGATCATTGGGAGAACCAGGTGGAGACAAATCTGCATCCCCGGTTTCAATTTCTGACTCCTCGCAGTTTATGGTATTGTTTATCTCGTCATCAATGTTTGGAAGCTCTTCTTCTTCTTCCCTTGATGAAACCAGCAGCGTTTCAGGATTTTTTTTCTCCTTGCCTTTTTCTTTTTCCTTCAATCTCTCCTTTCTGCGCAGTTTTTTCTCCCTTTCTTTTGTTCTTTTCTTCTCCTTTCGCTCCTCTTCTTCACGCTTTTCCTTCTCTTCTTCCTCGAGAAGTTTAACCTGCAGGAGTTAAGAAGATGGAACCGTTGGCGACAGCGAAAGCCACACGTTCTTCGTCGAATTTCTCTGAGTATTTTAGGACAGAAGACCTACCTGTTTCTCCAAGGTAATGATTTCCTTGCAGGCAACATGTACACGTTGTTCTAATAGTTTCAATGTAAGACACACAAAGATGCTGTGTGCATTTTGACGAGCAGTTCCTTCCCTGAATGCTTTTTCAACCTAAGATATAATCAATAAGAGATAGAAATAAGTACCTAATAGATCACAAAATAAGAATCAAGAAACTGTGACCTTGAGGGAACCTATGTCTGACAAACCTGTTCCTTAAAAATAACTGTTGCAGCATCTAGAAGAAACTCTCGAGCAAGTTCTGGACTCTTTGCATGCTTTTGCGGACGGGAGCATTCCCCATCAAGATCATTCCCATCTCTGTCCATCATGTCTTCATCCTTTTATAGCATAAGAAGCACATAGATGTCTTTTAACACAAGGAGATAATAGTATTTGCGGGATCTTATACATTTGAAAACTTTTGAGTTGAGAGAAGCTTATGAGTCTGGAAGCTACCTCTTCTTCCTCAGCCTCTTCAGCATGCTCAAAAAACCTTCTGATGCTTTCCCCTCTCTTGATTGAAACAAAGCCATCCCCAACAACTAGCCTACCGTGTACACAGTGTTGACCTTTTTGTACGTGGGCTTTGACAATTACGTCAGAAAACCGGCCATCTACTTTATAAGCTCTAAGGGTAATGTAGCATGAATTTAAACCACGAAGGTCTAGGCCGTTGGCTTGAACTCTCCCTTTCATGCCAACATTTTCAAATTTGCGGATATCGCCTTTTCCTCTTTCGGTTCCAATCGCCCACTCAAAATGTTGGTATAATCCAGGGTTCTCAGCAAAAGTTTCCCGCCAATCTGCTTGCACCGAGTCAATGGAAACCTGAAATATTGCAATTACATTTGTGATCCGATCTTACAATATAATCCTCTCAAGAAATATAACAATAAACTCTTGATAACAAGAACACTGGAGTAGGAACCCACAGAGATAAAAAAAGGTTAACATAGATAAAGCACCTCATACTGGAAGGCTGTATCGGCAACACAAAACCAAGTGGTACACCGAGGTTCTCTCCGCATTCGTTTCAGTTCCTTCAGCTCTTTAAACTCACGAATAACATTCCGTCTGCAGTCTCTACAAAACCTCTTGCTGTCGAATCTGTAATTGAAAGGATCATTCATCAATCGAGGTCAAAGGACTCCACATGACCAGACAAAGAAGATTGTTGTATTGCCTGACTTGGCAGGAATATCAAATCAGTTGGTCACATACCTGTACCTCAGTCTCTCCATAAAATCCTCTTCTTTCATCCTTAAAAGAGATTGTCGAGTTTCCTCACTAAGTGCGGACCAGAAATCCACCAATGTATCACAAGAAAGCCTCGCAGTATGTAGAGCACACGTTTCCCTTGTTCCATGCCCTCTACCATAACCAGCCATCCCTTGACTTATCCATCCCCGGCCACCACCACCACAAGCATCGGGATAGAGCAACTCACGTTCTCTTTCTCGAGCAGGAGCGCTGTCAAAAACCTGCTACAACCAATAGATTAACTAGTCGAACTGGAGGGACTCCAAATAGGTAAACCTTGGAAGAACTTACATTTTGAAGTCCTTTGAGAGACTTTGCGTACAAATAGCAATCAAGAAGTGTGAGTGATCCATCACGTGTCGTGGTGAGACCTCCCCATGGATGAACAGACGGATCTTGCATCTCATCCCCACATCCGTTACTAACAACTGAGTTATACTTGGAGCCCCCTGATTTATTGCCAGGAGAGTTTCCTATTGATCCCTCCGGATGCAAGGACTTCCCATGCATAACAATCTGCAAGAAACCTTCAAGTAGCAGGCCATTGCATCTGGAACAATACATGTTCTTGCGAGCTTGCTCAAATAGAGTCTGCTTGTCAATCTTGAGGAGCTCCTGCCTAGCTTTCGGCGACAGTTCACTCCAGAACTGCAAACAAATTCAGAGAAATAGTTTTTGAGTAAATTACTTCTCATCTATTAGTTGAAGATAGAAAACAAAAAAGGAGGACGAGAGCAATTTGCAGTGTTCACAGTGCCAGAGAATACTGCAAAACATAGAAATGGATTCGTCTTGCGACCATAACAAATATAAATAAGATCTGAGCAAAAACTTTGGTTGACAGAATCAAAGCAAAACATTTCTAGCTAATAAAAACATTTCATAGACACCCATTAAACAATAAATCACAGGCACATAGCCAATATGAGCTAATTTAACGTCCAAAATGCGGAGAATCCAATCTCTAGAGGACTCGTGGAAATGGATAAGTACCTTCTGCAGCTGATTGTAGCTGACTCCATCGATTTCCTTTGACCAGAAGCCAAAAGAGTATTGGTCATTCCTCTGCGCTAAACCCGGCATCATTTATTTACAGTCTCTTCTTCTGTTCATCAACAAATGTTCTCATTATCGTCGGTACGCAAAGGGCCCCAGGAGTGTGAAACAAAACCCAATCAGGAACCGATCCTATCCGATTCAATTCCGTCGAATCGGACTACGAAAACACCAAATCCAATCGGAAAATAAAACAACGCAATCGATCGCTGTGAATCGGGAGACGACGATTCCGAAAACAAATAGATAAAAGAGAGAGTCCGATAATGAAAAATTCCGGGAAAATCTCTTTGCAGATCCTTAACAGAAAGAAAATGAATCGAATTGGATTGAAATGGAGAAAGCCGAAAATCAGGGTTCCTCGGTCGATGACGATGACGATGAGATTCGCGGCTGCGTCAATATATTCTAGAGAGAGAGAGAGATGAGATGTAACTTATAAGGAAGGCTGGCCTTGGTAGAAATTTTAGACGCGGCGGTTAAAATGAGAGAGCAGACGATAACAAATTCATGACATCATTGTTTTATTTTTCTTTCCCTAATTTGCAGAACAAAGGAAAAAATTTACAAATTACAATACAACAAAATGGATTATTATTTTTTGTCAACAAAATGATGTATACATTTGAATATCAGAATGGTGAAAATGATGTTTTGTAACTTGGTTTTCATATGTTTGTTACCTTTCCTCTAATGGATACATGTGTGTGTGTGGGTATAGTGTTGTCATCATGCTGTAATGGCTAAATTGTGTGTTGTTTATTATTTATGGGAGCATTACAGTCCAAATAATCATATAATTGACGGGATTTATTGTGTTTCTCAATTATTTACGGGGATCATAGAGTCGAATTCTCGTAATCAAAGATCCTAAAATCCCAACAAAATCTTCACATTTATTTGAATGCCTTGAATGAAAAACACGTTAGAATTATATACACACTGTGAATTTACATTTCTGTTCGTTACACACTTCTTTGACTCTTGTATGAGACATGGAACCAGCAAGATGTTGTGGTGACATAGAAGATTAAACCATTAGGCTAATTAACTCGGATCCAAGTAAACATTCTCAAGAATTTCAATAAAACTTAAATACTGCTTAAAGTCTTAACCGAATCAAAATCACCATTGTGGAAAAGAAAAAAAGAGTTGCACGAACCTGTTCGGACATGGTTTTACAACAAAGAACATAACCAAAATCATGTCTTAAACTTTTTCCTACATTCCCTGTCTGAAACCACAAAATCCAAAAATTACAGAGATTATCATAATATAATTCTTGCAGCCATTAAATAGTAACAATGACTCCCTCCAAACTGATTCATCATAGAAGATTATCATCATCATCATAACCCCATCTCCATTCCCATTGGAGAAGAGTCCATTATAACCTACTAAAACCAAGACAACAAACGTTCAAATCTTCCATATGACCATAAGCTCTCCATGAGGTTTCTTATGTACATTCACTTTTCAATCAATTCCTTCTTTTCTTCTTCTTCTTCTTCTTCGGTTACTCCTCTTTCCAGATTCGGCCAGTCACTCTCAACTTGAGTTCTTGCCTATCACCTCCAGAGAAGTAGAGCGCGAGGTTTCTTGGGATGATGAGACCGTCTTGACTGTCCCTGACTTTCCTGTGACTGTCACGAATGCTTCTTGGGATCCCTTGCCATGTCAGTTTGCGTCCGTGAGCTCCTACTTCCAAGCTGTAACTGAACTTCTTCGCCTCGTTCTCGTCTCCCATGAAACGAAGGAACGCCATGTACACTGGAGCCATCCCCAGCTGGAACGCCTCAAAGTGTAAACAGAACTGTCTCCCAAAACAATTGAACACCTGAAAAACAAAATTTAAGAAACTATAGATGTGAGTTAAAGTGAAGATTGAGGATGAAAATGAGACTGACAAAACCCTATCAGATGGTACTTAACTAGCCAGCAAAATCAAAAGATCAGAAGCTGAAAGATGTAACAGAAAAACTTGAGCAACATAAGAATGACACAAAGCTTCCACTAAAAAAACAGAAGCTGAAGAGAGCTTAAGCTAGGAAAAGTTCATGGTTGAGGTTAGAGAAGTGAAAAAATGAATGGAATGTGAAGCTCAGTCATATGATGATAAGAGAAGCAATAACCAATAGTGATATAGAATCACAACCTATGTAAAGAACTAATTTGAGGCCTTTGAAGATAAGAATATTGTACCGTGAGCATCCATGTAGCGTTTTCGACTTCATGTGGATTTGATTTGACATAACGGTGGTTGAAGGTGCAACCATCATGCATATCAACTTTATGATCATCTTTGAGATGAACAACAAGCGTAGGGATATCACCTGTAACCGAACACTCGGAGCCAGCGTAAGGGCAAGTGTAAGGTCTAAACCTGCAATGCTGCTCGTGCTTAAGCTTGCTGTAGTAAGGGAAAATGTCATGACACCCCAAGTTTTGGTACCGGCATGGGACTTCCAAAGACTCTGCAACTTTCTCAAGAGCTAAGCATCTTATGTTACCAAGCTCGTAGCGACATGTAGGGCACGTGTTCTGCACTCTCACTTTGCAGTTTGAACATAAGGTGTGGCCGTTTGGACACTGTAAGAAGAATTTAAACAGCGTTAAAGAACATGAAGATTGCAAAATTACAAAATCTCTTTAAGAAAGCTCATATGTTTCTCACCTGATGAATCGGAGGGTACATTAAGTTTGTACAAACAGGACATTCAAGAAGCTCGTAGACACCATTGTTTGAATGCATTCCATATTTTCCAATTCCTCCACTACCTGATTTAGTAGGTTTGTTGCTGTTATTCACTTCCACTTTTGCCATTTTAACCTCGTAATCCATCCCCGTCGAGTTCGATTCCAGGACTTCTTTCAAAGCACTGCCTCCAGGAGCCATGGCTTGTTAAAAAGTTAATTTGCCCTTTGTTTTCACTTGTAGACAGATAATTTACTCCTTATGGATCTATTTGTTATTCTGCAGGAGGAGAAAGAAACCATAACAGATATAAGCTTCTATGATTCGTAACACTCACATCAATTTATAAATAATGTAGATAAATAATTGTGAAGAAGCAAAATGTAGATTCAAAGGGGAAGATACTTGGTTCAGATGATCAAGTCTTTTTTACTTTATTTCTGGGATCTGTTAGCTTCCTAAGGAACAAAAGAATAAAATAAAGATAATTCAAAAAGTAAAAACACAATTGGAGCAAAACATTAAATGCACTTTCAGATAGGTAAGCAATAGGCTTCAAAGCTATGAACAATGCTAAAAGCTAGACCTTTGCACATTCCAATGACTTTTAACAGTAACAGTAATCAATCGCAGAACTATCAAACATCAAAAGAGGAAAAACAAAACAAATCTTTTCTCTATTTACAATCTAACTACAAAGAGAAACATGAAAATGGGTCTAAACTAGAACAAGAACCAACACAAAGTCAAAATGCCGAAACCAATGAACCAAGAATCAGCAAAATCTAACCTCAGACAGCTAACAAAGATCGTGCAAGCAAGGTCTCATATTTCTGCAACTTAAAAAGAAAGTTTTACATTCAATTCAAACCAGGTTTAAGCAGAAATCTATGGAGAACGGTGTTCAAAATGCAAACCCCAATATCATAAATCTCAACATTACCTTTACCCTATGAAACAATTTCAAACAATCCATCCCTGAGAACCAAAAGATTCAAAGACAACAAAATCCAGAGAGGTTTTTCCCAAATAATCGATTTTTCCCCAAAAATGAAAAAGCAAGCTAGATTGTTCATACGATGCCTCCTGATATTAAGACAAAACAGTGACCCGAAAATCCAATTTCGGAATTCGGTGATTCTCGATCTTCTAACCCGATTTCAAAATGAAAAAAAACCCCCAAATTCAAAAGAAGGATAAGAAAGTTTTTTACCCGGAAGAAAAATTTCCAGGCTTGGCTTCAGATTGTTTGTTTACGGATTGTTTTGTTTGCTTCAGATTCAAATTAAGAAGAGAAATGGACGGATTTTGTGGGGAATACCCAGAAACGAAAAGAGACGAGAGGAGACGGAGGAGGATGGTTGTGTCCTGTCTTGTTCGTATCGGTGAAAGCCCATTAATGGTGGTCTCTGCTTTGTCTTTATTCCACTTTTAAAAAACACCGAATCACAATTCACGAAGGTGGTTCCTTTTTTTAAGAAATAAATTATCTCTCTTAATCACAATTATTTATATTTTTAGGATTTTGTACTATCTTCTTAATTATTACTATTTCTTTCCCTGTATGAGTTTATTTTTTCCACTATAGTGGTTGGTGCGATACAACTTACAACGCTCGATACAATTGGTATTGTTTTCAGATATTTCATGTTTGTAAATCCAAACAAGGGACAAAAAAAAGTCACAAACACACACAAACAAAGGAAAAATATTTCCTCGTTTAAAAAATTTAGCTGCACCACATTCAACTACGCAATCCCAATTATACGTTTACGACTTATGAAAACAAAAGTCTCTAGTTCTCGTCTCCAAAAGTCAATTCTTTAGAGAAAAAAACGACCAATTAAAGAAAAGATCTATAATAACAAGTTAATTAAATCTCTCTAATTGGCTCGAGTTCGTGCATCGAGTTACGAGACGACGCTCTTTTCCCTCACACACCACCATTTGAGTTTTTTAATTCTTTTTTTCATCTCTCTTTTTGAAATTTCTCTTTAACCGTTTAAAGTTCTATACATACCTGCCGTTGACGTAATTTTCTTCACGAAATTTAGACATGTTTAACTTGTCAATCGTTTTCTAATTAAACAGACAATTTATAAAAAAGGTACAATAATTTCACGATTATAAATGCTGGAAGTCTGAAAATGGTTGAAAATGTGAAAATGGTTGAAAATGTCGGTTTTTACTGGGATATATAGGTTTCCTGTTTCCTCTTGTGGGATTGAATTTATCCGGTGATTTTTTAAATAGCAAGAAGAAAAAAAACAATACGATAATAGCATAAGCAAAGGATTAAAGGAATAAGATTTTGTTCATATTAGAAGAAGTGAAACAACTGAAATAAACACATATGAAACAGATCATTCAAAATAATAAATTACGTGTCGGATGTCGCTGTACGCATGTGACATGTACACTGCTCAGAGAATTTTGGATTTTTTTCGAGAATCACATAATCATAGTTCTGTAAGACTGTAACATACTTGTCGAAACGTAAAATGCACTACACTAATGAAAGGGAGAGTATAATGTTTATTCTGATATTAAAAATGAAAAAAATTACAAAATGACGTCGCCTGAGAGATTCGAACTCTCGCGGGGAAACCCCATGTACTTAGCAGGCACACGCCTTAACCACTCGGCCAAAGCGACTTGTTGACTTATTTCTTTACACATATTTAAATAACCTAATGAAATATGTTTGTTGCTAACACGAATCAAGTAAAGAACACCTTCCATGGGATTTGATCATTTGAGTGACTGGCGAGCAGGTTTAATCAGAGATGAATATATTCCTGAAAAATATAAAGTTTTGATTAAAATAGCAGTCCCTATCGCCAGAAATACATAACAAAATACAACAATCCAACAAACAACAAAAGAAAAATAAAGTTACAACAAGCTTCTTCTTCTCTCCTTCATAATCATCATTATCATCATCTTCCACAGATTGAAGGCTCTTTTTATTATTTTTGTTTCAAGCAAGTCTCCTTCTCCTAGGTGGACGAGAATCTGCACTGTCTACATCAGAAACCCTTGACCCATTCTCATTCCTCCTCCTCGAAGAAGACGTCGAAAGAGTGACCATAGAATCAATCTCAACCGCAGTATCCACTTGACTCTCAGAGTTTATAACCGCTGCAATGCTCGAGAACGAGTCTCTATCATCAACCACAACAGGAGCATGATGGTTTTGCTCCTGGTGGTTCCTCCCCAACGGATGAGTTCTAAAATACGCATCCACAAGCCTCTCAGCAGAGCTCAACGCAGAGGTGAATGTCGAGATCCTCGCGACTCTGTGTGACTGCAACTGCCTCCTGATCAACAGAGGATGGAACCTCGTCGTAGTTTCTCCATCAAGATCAGGAGAAATGTTCGGGTTTAGATCCAAATCCTCCGATGCTGCTGCAAGAGCTGCTGCAGCAGCAGCACTGGCCTGGCTCTGCTCTGATCTAACTCCCCTGGAGGTCATCAACCGGTTCAGAATCGAATTGGCTCGATCGTTCACTCTCTCTGACGCCTCCCGGTGGTGACTAAAATCAGGAACCGGAGTTGAATCCCTGTCGAACCGGTTCTGCAAACGTCTGATCATTTCTTCCATCGGTATTGTAAAAGGTGACCTCTGAATCGTATTCCTCAAACTCTCAATGCGTCTCGCGTGGGGTCTCATTGGGATCTTAGTATCCAAACTCTCTTCAACTTCTCTTTTATGGTTTCCACGCCCATAGATCGGCGTCACGGTTTTGGTGGTCACTTCTCCTTTGCAAACCGGACATTCCTTTGCGTCAGAGATTTGTAACCATTGGTACAAGCAAGGCCAACAGTAGAGATGGCCACAACAGGTGAGAACCGGCTCCTTCGACAAATCCAAACATATATTACAATCGAAGAAGTTACCATCGCAGCCACTGCTCTTCTCCAAATCTCCTTTCTTATCCAACACACCGTCGCCAACACCTCCTTCACCATTCTCACACATTTTCAGATCCTCGTTGCCTCTCTCACTGCCTTCACCAGTCTGTAAAGAAGCTCCATTTACAGAGCTCCCCATCAGCTGGTTCAGCTCTATAGCCATGGTGTGGGTTTCAGATAGAACCGGGATGGGGAGATTAAGCTGCCTGAACCTCGTCCTGTGTCGAGTCCTGATCCTCGTCACAGCTTCAGAGGATCTCTCAGATGAGTCATTAGTCCAATCAGCCAAATTCACAGTTTCATTTGCCTGGAGATCTGACTCAGGACCAGGGCCTAGATTCAAATCCAGGTTCATTGTGTCAGCTAACTCCTCACCCATCAATAAACCAAAAAAGGCTCTTGCTTTCAGTTTCCGTAAAGCAGTGAACTCTGTGGTATCTTTATTATTCTGCATGGAAGAGAAACAATGACCCAAACAAAGAAAGTAAATATCAAACAGAAGCAAATAGGTAGATCTCATATAAGCAAATCAACCTAACTTTCTGAGAAGATATGATTTTGCACAACGACGACTAACTTAAAACTAAGAGATCGTGCACAAGAAATGAATTAACAAACGGAGAGACAAAGATGTAGCTAAAGAAAAAAGGTTGAATGTAAATTCAAGCAAACAAAAATAGCTACTAACCGGCGTGAGAGGTTGGTAAATTCTCAGATTTGCTTCAGATTCAAATGGTAACGATGGATTAACGAAGAGAAGATGAAGAAACCGAGACTCTCTGTTGGAACAAAAACGCGCTAATTACAAATAGAGATGGCTAAAGGAGAGCCATCATTCCATTATTGAGGATCTCCAAAAACAAATTGGGGATACCATAATCAGAGAAATCCCCAATTGATAAAACCCTAATTCTCAAATCCCGGCCAGAGAAATCCGAAACCTTTTTAAGAAAAAAAAAGAAACCCAGATTGTGGAAACAAAGCTCTTGACTCTCGATCCAGCAAAACCCAGCTAAGGAAAACCCGAAAGCGATGCAAATCTCACGAAAAAAAAATGAAAAATGAGAAAATCTGGAGCTGGAAAGAGAACAATCAACGACCTGGAGCTACTGGATTAGGGACGGCGAATTCATAAGACCATGGTTGACTGAATCAGCTAAGCTCAGAGCTCGTTGAAGCGAGCTGAAGCTTCCGACAAGGCCATGGAAATTCGCCCCTTTTGCTTTAGACACAGAAACGTCCAAATCTTGTCAATTTGGGCTAAGTGGGAAAACGAACCGAAACCTCTAAGCAGAGAGAGAGAAAGAGAGAGAAGAGAGAGAGGAGAAAGGGAGAGGAATCTGGTACGCTCCGGTTTAGGCAATAGGCGTTTCTAAAGTTCCACGCGATGATCACGCTTAACTCTGATCGGACGGCTAGGGATTTATTATAATCAATTTGTGAGACGAGTTTATTTTCTGATTATTATTATAGAGAAAAAGGATCCACTAATGTGCACCTCTCTATTGTTTTAATATAAACACACTAGATTACTAGAAGAGGACGAAAGTCGAAAGATACCGAATGATTTCTATAAATGTATACCAAATCTCATTAGGTGTCCTTCGTTTTTGGTGTGAAAAACCCTTGTTTAGATGCTAACCTTTTTCTTAATATATATTCTTCGTTTTAATAGAAAGCTACACAATTCACTTTTTCTTTACAATGGTCTAATACAGAAGAAAGTATAGCTTCGTCTTCCTACTAGGTCATGGCTAGCTTTTCGCATAAAGATTGATATGCCACGGTGCAGAGCTTGAATTTTTCCTCAGCTGCATTCTGTATTAACATCATACCAATCTGTTGTCAGTGCCAAGATACACTTTCAGGACTCTACACATAAAGTTGCACAAAAACACAACAATGAAGGGTGTATAGGTTACCTTGGTAGAGTCTTGGTGACGATCTGGATGCCATTTTAATGCACAAACTCGGTATCTGAGAGGAAGAAAAAGTTGGTTGTGTAGATTATTACAACATCACCTAAAATGTAAATTATATAGGTATGAAGTGACTAAATTACTTACGCATTTTTGACATCTTGAAGATTTAAGGGACCCGAGGAGCTCAGACCAAGTGCCTGTCTATGAGACTCCTGGCTTGAGTCTGGCTCCCTAAACTTATATTTGTCGTCTTGGTATTGTTCTTGTTTTTCTTCTTCATCTGATCGTTGCCTCGAGCCCCAAGAGTTGTTATAATACCTCCACGAGCGAGCTTCCTCCTCTTTATAAGTGAATGTTTTCCCCAATGCAGTCCGCAAAAAGTATTCAATTTCAAATCCCTCATCAATTCCGTAGAAATCAAAACACCCTACACAAATTGAAAAAGGCATTGTTGGAGACTAAAATAATAAACATCCCAAACTGAATACAAAAAAGAAAAAGAAAACAACAACACATTTGATACTCATTAGACTGCCTCTACTCAAAAGCATTAACGTTAGGAAGCAAAACAGTCTATAGAAGAAACAAAGAAAAGAAGTCACTATAAATAGTTTTTGGTCAAAGAAAGCGTTTAATTTGTCTTACTTTTATCCAAAGTTTGAGGAATGTGTCTCCTCCTACCATTCCGATTTCTTTTGCAAACCCTAGAGTACTGTTTCTCGAACCACGAGGTACGCTTGCCAGAGAATTCAAACCCATCACTCCAAATCTGGTAAACAAAATAGAACCTAGCTAATTGCATCAAGTTCAAAAGAAAAAAAAAAGTTCATTCCCGAAAAAAAAATTCACAGCATTTGAAAATATTACCCCAAATAAGTGATCTGCAAAGTCATTCACATTACGACGGAAATCTTGCTTTGCCCTCTCTTTTCCGAACTTTTTGTTTGGAGCTTTTGAATTCTGTAAAAGGTGTCAAGAGGCGGAAAATCAGAACGATACTTATCCATAGAATCAGACTCTCAACACTCACCATATTTTCAAAAGCTACACAAGAAGAACAGTAAAAGAGAGAGACTGACGGATTGATGTTTGCGTTGTAGGACGGGAGTAGAATGGAAAAAGACAGCTTTGAGGTGAAAAAAATAGCACTGCGGCTTAAGAAACGCTGCCTTAACGGCGGCGATCATCTCCGGCGGCGAAAAGCTCCAAGGCGTTGCGGACAAGGAGACTTAAACATTTCCAGGGCTAAACTAATCTAAATTAATGGTTTTTTATATTTTCAGTATATTATAAAACGTATCGTAATTGGTATGTTTCTAAGGGATTCAGTTTGTATGGATTTGGAAACGAAATATTTCGAATCATGAAAACGATTTTTCTGAAAAATATAACTATATATGGATCGTCGATATGTTCACACTTCATAAAATGCTATGTGCTATATAGGAAGAGACCATTAGTCTTTGTATATGTATGGATTGACGAGTTTTGTGGTTTTATTCTGACTTAAACATTGAGAGAATGGTAGAGAATAAGCATCGGTACTTGGTAGTTTCCGTTAGTTATCTCGGTTAATGGTAGAGACGAAGTGAAAAATAATAAAGCATTGGTAGAGTGACTTACACGCAAAATATAACAATCTCATAAGTCTAAAGTAATGTATATTCTTAAAAAAAACATAAGTTTTGAAAAACTTCATGATATTTAGAACAACATAAACAAAACAAAAGACAACAGACATGTCATCGTCAAACCCATATTTGAGCCGCCAACGGAAACGCTGTTACCATGATTCTTATGACGATGATGATGAGAGCCGCCGCCGAACCAAAAGAAACCACCGCGTCCACCTCCATCTACACCGCGACCACCCCCTCCACCGTGACCACCACCACCTTTTGCGGCGACGGAAGCTAAGTTATCAACAAGGTTAAGATTAGACAGGCGGTCACGAATTTCACCACCATCATCGTCTTCTTTGAGGAACAAGACTTCATCATCACCTCTTCAGTATATATAAGATCCACTGCAGTTTATAATTTCCGAATTTAGATTTGAGTATCGATCGTTCTTTTATAGTTTTCATTGGCTCGACTCTTTCCTTTCTGTTTTCTCGATAAAACTAGTTAAATGGAGACATGATGAAATATCAAATATGTTAAAAATCCAATTGATACTAGCAAGTTTTTTACCCAATTATTAAAGGAAACAATTTCCTTTTCTAGTCTTTAAAGTATACAAGATCTTCACACAGTATTTCTAGTTTTCCATTTTATCAAATGTTTCTAAAAATAAGCTTTATATGTTTTAGCAAATTATAATGAAAAATAAACATTTTATTTATTTTTTTCCTTTTAAATTAATTTTCCTCTCTAAACCAATTAGCTTCGTTTGATTGCGAGGAGAAAGAAAAAAAAACGGTAAAAACAAAATACTCGACTCTGCTGCTCTCTCGTCAGTTTCGTCTTCCTTCCTCAGATTTTCTACGCAGCGAAACACAAACCAATCTTCGATTTTTCTCTTCTTCTTCAATGGCACTGATCCAACACGGTTCAGTTTCTGTTACCTCCGCGGTTCGATTGAGCTTCTCCTCACCACCGTCGTCGTCGTCTTCTCCTCCGTTGACGACGGGAGTTTCTCTCAATTTTCAGCCGGAGAAGAAGGGTTGGTGGAGGAGGAGAAGTTGCTGCCGGAGAATGATATGCAGAGCTATGGTACAAGAGTCGGCTCAAGGAATTCCATCGGTTTACGCCAGGGAAATGGAGCGTCTCTCCGCTAAGGAATCGCTGATTCTCGCCGTAATTTTTTTCATCCTCAATACCTATTTTTCGAAATCCAAATCTGAAATCGATACTTTGATTCGTTAAATTTCTGAGAATTAGGTTGAATTTAGTATTCGACACTGGAAATCCTTAAATTACTTAATTGGATTCACTGGTTGCAATTGCGAGCTACTGAAACCAATTTAGATTTACAGTTCAATGATGCTGGAGGATTTGAGGCATTAGTCACAGGGAAGATCACTGATCTGCAGAAGATCGATGTGAATGAGAGGATAACCAGTCTTGAGCGGCTTAACCCGACTCCTAGACCAACCACGTAGGTTCTTGATTCTCTCAGCTTCAGGTTTTTAAAGTTTTCAAGAAGCCATTTTGTATGAAACAATTGACTTCAACTGGTTTCCTAATAGCTTTCCAGGTCTCCTTATCTTGAAGGCAGATGGAGTTTCGAGTGGTTTGGATCCAACAGTCCTGGCTCACTCGCAGCTCGCGTTATATCCGAGTCAGTCTTCTTAAACACAGAAACATCTTGAAATGTTTTGAAGCATTTCTCTTATCTGTGTTTGGAATTTGTGTGGCAGGAGGTTTCCTTCGACATTTGTGAGCCTATCCAATATGGAGATATTCATTAAGGATGCTAGTGCAAAGGCGACTGCAAACATCAAGCTGCTAAACATGGTAAACATTGTATACTTGTCCATGCTACGACTTATGAAGACTATATATAAGTTGACTCACTTAGGAAACGGTGCAGATAGAGAACAAAGTCATAGTGTCGTCGAAATTGACAGTGGAAGGACCTTTAAGGATGAAAGAAGAGTATTTAGAAGGAATGCTGGAGTCGCCGACGGTTATTGAAGAAGCAGTACCTGAACAGCTGAGAGGTGTATTGGCTCAAGCTACCACCACGTTGCAGCAGCTTCCTGCACCTGTCAAGGACACTTTTGCCAATGGTCTTAGAATCCCACTTGGTAAGCCCTATAAGCAACATTTTTAACGTTTTGCTCCTCGTCGCTCACATATAACATTGTGAATTTGTGTGATCATGTGGTGTTGTTGTTATGGGGATTTTTCAGGTGGAACTTACCAGAGATTCTTCATGATATCTTATCTAGACGACGAGATTCTTGTAAGTTCATGACATGTTAATGTTTAATAGAAGTTGAAGCTTGCGAGATATGAAAACGAGTCTCTTTGTTGTTGTTGTGTAGATTGTAAGAGACACCACGGGAGTGCCTGAAGTTCTAACGAGGGTGGAAACATCGTCTTCATCGAGCGTTGTAGAGAATCTTGAATACAACAGTTAAAGATTAAACAGGTCCTTATGTTTACTCTGTTTCTGTCTGTATATGTAAAAGATAAAAAATGAATACAACTTACCAATGTTGAAACACCATATATTGTATATGACACAAGACAATTTCTTCTGTCTTTTTCGATTGCCAAAAAATTGTCTTGTTGATTTCATTAGCGAATATTTTGGACTACATATATATGTTCATTTATAACATTATAAACTTCCCATCATTTTTCACTTTCAAAAAGTTTACAAATCCTCCTTGAAAGACCATCCTTTTTCTGAACTGGGTTTCAAACACAGTTGATACTTGTGAAAATAAAAATTCAAAGAAATCCCAATTTAATTATTAGGGAAACAAAAATTGGATACAATAATGTGTAAATAACATGTTCGACACGACGAACAAATCACAGGACATTAAGAAAGAAAGAAAATTGGCCTAAGCAAAAAAAAAAAAAAAGTCTACTAAATGAAATGATAATAAATTAAATTTATTTCCACAAAATCCTAATAAACAAAATAAAACACCACTAAAATGAAAAAAAGGACGTTACTGCGTTTGAGAAACATAGTTACGCGAAATGGTGGTGAGAATCTGAGAAAACTGAGCCACCATGTAAATGAGAGGAAGACGACGAATTAGAAGAAGCAGAAGCGTCAATGGAGGACAAGGGCAGATACGGAAATTCACCAAGTTCTTGGATAAACCCTTCGAAATCTCCCAAACCATTCAAGAACCCTCCGGAGCTCTCACCAACGCCGCTGTTACCGTTCCAAGTCATCGAGATCTCCTCCATTTGCGAGTTTAAGGAGAACCCTTGATCGCAATGCTCGAGTTCTCTTAGTTTATCTGTGTTGAACATGTCTTGGACTTGACGATGAATATCCCTTGATCTTGGTTTTGTTTTGGAAACGCTACGGTCGTCGTCTGGTTTGCCGGTGAGGCTTTGGACGAGCTCACGGAAGTTGGCAACGTCGGTCTTGATGATCTCAGGAGCGTATATGTGAATGATACGGATCTTTGGCTTCGATTTGGTTATTGAGTAGGACTGTTTGTGCATCGCTAGGGTTGATGTTGAGCTTCTTCTTTTCTCGAAGATCGTGGCTTCCATTTTTGGAATTATTAGGGTTTGTTGTAGAAGAGAGAAAGATAGAGTTGGTGGATTTGATAGTAAGTGGAGATATGTGAAGGTTATATAGGAGAAAAGGAAATGATAGCTAAGAACAAAATACATGTATTTTAAAACAATTCCTCTTCAACTTATAAATCATTTTATATATGTGGAAGTATATATTAAGTATGTATATATGAGCTAGACATAGGCAAATAATTTAACGGGAACTTTGTTGATATTATTTATGACCCACGTCGTTGTCAAAACACTTATCCAAATTTATAGCCAACATGTAAGTTTAACTAATAAAATTAGTTTTGTTGATTTTTAATACTAAGAAACTAGTTGGATTAATTAGTTACATGTAGGTTTTATGAGAAAGATGTGTATGTATGTATGTCTCCCAATACATGAAATAGATGGACAAGAAGCGCGTTGGTCCCCTCCCACTAACCAAATTATCGTGTTGTACTTTCTTTAATATCTTAATTTTATATTTTTACGTAATATTGAAATACTTGTGTTCAGTGTATGCTTGTGCTTGTGTATAATAGATAAATGCAGGTGGTACTATTTAACTGATTAAGTAGGATTTCACAAACTTGGCCCCATGTAATGCAAACAAACTCAACAAACTTATGATTGTTTTTCTTTTTTCAAGAATATAATACTCGCTTACAGTTTCTTGTTTATTAGACGACAGAGATCAATTTCTGCAGAGACTGGCCTGGACTTTTAATTTACTTCAGTTTCATGTTTGGCCTAAGCATATCCTAATCATTCGCATGACTTTGCATTAAAGAAAGGATTTTAGAGCAAGAAGACAGTTAATCAGCAAACGAAGATAATTAAGGAATGTAGGAAAATTGGAGGTAAATGATAAAGTGAAATGCGAAGACATGGAGATGGCATGACTCTGCGGTGACTCTCACTACCTTTTTACCTTTGGCTGTCTCACACACGTCCTTCTTATCTTATTGCACGAGGCAGTTTCAATTCCTGACGTCTATTTTTCACTATTTTCTTGTTTTCATTATTGTTAAACAAAAACTAACACGCTTATTTTTTTAAAAAAAACTAACACATGTTAGTAATTTTAATACTTATAGTTATATGCTTTTTATGCACTATCTAAAACAGATCAAACTAGACAAAAAAATATGCAATCTACTGTACTTAAAATATATATAAGTGATCAACCACAAAAAAAATAAACTAGGAAAAAAATAAAAGAATATACCAATAGGCATAGTTTATTATCATTGACATCTCTACATTTATATGACAACTTTGCAAAAAATAAAAAATAATAACGAAGACAACTAGCGTCCTATATATATATATATATTCCTAATTAAAATACCTTAACAAAATATATTTTTCTGTTCTTATTAATCTTAACAAAAATGCTAATAACATACACCTGGAACGTTAATCTTTATCATAACATGTTAAACCTTAATTTAAACCCCTATGTTTTTGTTGCACGATCTACATTTGGCTCGGCATATATTTCGGAACTAAATTAAATTATGGTATGACTTTTATACTAGCTAAGCTATATAATTACAGGGAAATGGAGACGAAATGAGGTTCGATCACTTGTTCTCTCTAAGAAAAAAAGAATGATTCCATTACTATAAGATTCAACGAATAATAGCCGTTGGATGTAGACGTGAAATGCAGAGATAAAGATCTAACGGCTAGAATAAAAAGAGAGAGAAGTGTGAAACTGAAAGCTTTTGTTGTACAAATGCGTGCGTCAGAGACTCAGAGTCGGAAACACACACACGAGTCTTGTGCTCGCTTTTTAGATTCGGCCCACATGCGGGCAACTAACTCACTGGTTATTAGACACGTGTCCATATCTAAATCGTACATACTGTGGTTCTTCCCGTATTTGTTTGACGTGGTTCCCAGTTTCCATTTTTGTACATCTCTCTGCTTAGCTGGAAATGTGGACCCCTCCGGGACCTAAAAACCTTTTTTACTTTTGGTTGCAGATACGTTTTATTTATTTTTTTTATTTATTATTTTCGTCAACAAATTAAAAATGATTATCCGCATGTGTGAGGCAGCCCAGCGTACAGGCCTCAATAGTTATCACTAGGCTTTTTGGCCCAATTCAGCCCATGTAAGGTTTACGAGCTTGATGCATCATCAATAGAGGTTTTAAAAAACAGAACAGATAAACAAAACACTAGGGGACTTGTCCACCTTTCATTTTAAGCATTCATCGACCTTATCTTTTCGCCATGGGACTTTCACATAATTACAAACAGACAACTAGGCATCAACGGTAAATATTTTCATATCACGAGGATAAAAACGGAAAATATTTGACTCTATCCTTTATTTCCAACCAGAATTCGGAAAGAGTACAAAAATTCTCAATTTCCATTCTTTAGAAAATGGAAAATTTCCTTTACATTATGAAAAGGAGTCCCTGAAACTCGTATAAATCCTTCTACTGGATCATTGTACTCTGCGTAGTAACTTATTGAGCTTGATCAGATTCTCTCTCGACTTTGATTTTAGGGATCTGTGACGGAGAAGAAGATGAAGGCGTCGATGAAGTTTCGCGAGGAGCAAAAGCCTCTCATTAGGGCTAAGGTTCCTCTGAGCATCTTAGGTTTGCCGTTTCAATCTGGAATCGTCGCCGGAGAATCGAAGGAGCTCAGCCTCAACCTCTCCACCTTCTTCGAATCCTGGCCTTCTCTCAAGCTCGCTTACCGTCCAAACGACTCGTCGAACCCTTTCTCACTCATCGTCAAAACCGGGACTGGATCTTTCGGCTCTCCGATTTCAAGCTCCATGCACATGAGCGCCGAATTCAACCTCCTCGGTAAAGGAAACCCTAGCTTCATGCTTCACTTCAAACCCCAATTCGGCGACTTCTCAATAAAAAAATCTCACTCTTCGACTGGCCTCGAGATGAATCTGATCAAATCGATGAATGGATCCGTTTCGGAAGAGGATTCGTCGATCGAGGTGGTTGATTCCCCGCCGATGAACGGATTAGGCGGAGGATTCAGAAAAGTCACGGTTCTCCCATCAACCTCCGCCGGAGACATCGCCGGATTGCTAACCGGGGTGGAGGTCGCGGCGAGAACGTCTCTGCCTGTGAGAGGAAAAGCCGTTTTGAATTTCCGGTGGGGCGTTAGGGTTCCTACGGAGATCAGGCGCGATTTCGATCCAACGTCTGCGGTTTCGCTGAGGAGAATCCCGTTTCTCGTGATGAACAAAATTGGGATCGAGCACGTGAATGGCTCAGATGCTAAAGAGGCCAAATCAACGAGCAATCCGGGTAAAGTTTCGGGTCCGGGTCAACCCAAAACAAGTACCGACGTGTCGGATGTGTATTTGGCTGTGGAGGAGCTTCGATCGGAGAACAGACAGTTGAAGAGAGCCGTCGAAGATCTCCAGGGAGTAGTATCAAGCGCCCGTTCATTCACGCCGGCGACAATTGATTACGGATCGCACTCAAAGTACCATGAGTCCCAGAGGAGCAGCAACAAGAACAACAACAACGGGAGATCGTCAGATTACGGAGGGAAGAAAAGCAAGGAAGAGGGTGACGTGGCGGAGGAGCTGAAGAAAGCCTTGAAAGGAGCTGCTTGAAGCTTTAATGGTATTTGGTTACTCATCCATGATCTGAGCTTTAATAAAGCTTGAATCGAATTGCTCTTCATTCGTCTTCTTAATTTAGCTACATTGCGTTTGTATATAAGCTTTAAATTTCTGGATTTTGGAAGATTTGCAGAACTTGTTTTGGATCTTTTAGTGGAATTGCAAGAGTTTATTATGAGATTATGTTTTGAACTCGAAATGACTTGATTTGATTCAGTATTATATAGCTCATTCAACGTAAAGCTTGATGGGTTATTCTTGTTCGCAGTAAGCTATGAGCTTTAGTGTACTTGCAGTCTTGTTGATTAAACAGAGCATAAGAGATTTGCCTATCTCTGTAAGTAGCTGCAAAACTATCTTCTCTGTCAGTAGCAAATAACAAAGGAACAGAGTAATCAATTGTGATGCGTATAACTCTTGACATAACAAAAGAACAGAGGATTCAGCGAGTTTGAGATTTGAGAGTTTTAAGTTAGTAGCACTCGTCTCTTACCCCAATTTCAAAATACTATGGTAAACACTTGATTGGGCGTTCGTTTTTTCAAATCGGTAGTGGGTCGGTCTGGGTCAAGTGTAATAGATTGGGCCCAGTAAATGAAACGACAGATGAGAGCAAAGTTGTCCAACATTTTCTCAATTGGTGCGCTTTTGTACGAACCTATAGATTAATACACAACTTTTATCAACGAACATTTATATGTCCCTCGAACCAAAAACAAATAATCAAAGTATAAATCTCTTAGTGGAGGCCAAGACCAACGATTTTGCAGGAGACTATCATTTCTATTTTTACAATCTGGACCACCAGTAATCAAATTCTCACTCTGTTCTTTTTATTGTCTCTCTCGTCTCAATGGCAAAACCAGAAAACGGTGAAAATTATCCAGAGAAGCAAACGTGGAGCACATGGGAGGAGCTCCTCCTCGCCTGCGCCGTTCACCGCTACGGTACTGATTCATGGGATTCCGTTGCCGCTGAAATCCAGAAACAGAACTCCACTCCTCGTACCCTCACCGCCTTCGACTGTCGACACAAGTACCATGATCTCAAGGGTCGATTCTCCCGGAAATTGGGGTCGCCGGGATCCGGTGAGGAGGAGACCGTCGCTGAGATCTCTTCCGTTCCATGGCTTGAGGAGCTGAGAAAGCTTCGTGTCGATGAGCTCCGGCGCGAAGTCGAACGTTACGATCTATCCATCTCGTAATCTCCATCACCCATGCTTTTTCTCTTTCTGTTTCGATTCCAGATTTGCATTACCTTGGTTATTGAATTGGGTTTTTTTTACGCAGGTCCTTACAGTTGAAGGTGAAGAGACTGGAGGATGAGAGAGAGAAGAGCTTAACGGAGACGGAAACTGAAGCTTTAGATCTAGATAAAATCGCGGAGACGACGGAAAGCCAACTTGAATCGGTTCACAACTCCGATGGTCGGGTACCCGAGACGCCTGCTTCTCCAGATCCGAAAGACAATAGTCCCGGAACCGGATCGGAGGACACGAACATAGATCGGAAAATCACCGAATCAGTGGACGTAACGCCGAACCGGATCGGCGGAGAAGACAACGACGAGAAGCCGGATTCGTGCAGAGGAAGCTGCGAGAGCGAACCGAAGGAGTCGCCGGCGAACTCGGGTCGACCCGACCCGGTAAGAGATGGAAATGACTCGCCCGAGTTTGTTGAGCCAATTGACGAGTCGAAGGGAGAGGAAGAGGCCAAAGAAACGAGTGACGTGCAGAGTTCGGCGAGTTTGCCGAGAAAAGACACTGTAGAACAAGACGAACTGGATAACGTGGACCAATCTCTGACCGTCAATAGGATCCCCGTTGAATCTCAGCCGTTGATTGATTTCATCGAGAGTGTTCAGTCTCACCCCATTGGCTTCCACTTTTCTAGCCAGGTAAAAACTATAGACTAAATCTCTCTCTTTTTTTGTCAACAATTTAATAGGATCGAAAATTGAAAAACATAAATTCTGCTGAATTTAATATTCCTAATGAAATATTCTGCTGTCTTTATTTTATCATACTCACTCTTTAAAGCATGAGTCTGACTTGGTTGATTCTGAAGCTGCAGGAAACGCCCGAGTACGATAAGATAATAAGGCAACACATAGACTTGGAGATGATTCGAAACCGTGTGGAGGAGAATTACTACACAGCCTCGAGGAGCAAGTTTTTTAGAGATTTACTGCTACTAATCAACAATGCAAGAGTTTTTTACGGCGAGCGATCCTCTGAGTTCGATGCCGCAACGCAGCTTAGCCAACTCATCCAAAAACAGATGATGATGACACTCCAGATTCCTGAACCAATCTCACCACCAAAAGAGGAAACTTTGGTGACGTCTAAGGAGGAAGTCACAGTCTCTTCTCTAAAACCAACAATGTCAGTGCCTATTATAGCTTGTCGGAAACGCAGCTCTTTGACTGTTAGATCTTCAGCGTCAGCCACTGAGCCGTTCAGCAAAAAGACTACAGTCGATGAGAAGCCAGTTTCAGAAGAGGAAGAAGATGAAACCTCCGAAAAAGATGAGGAGCCTATAGCTTCCAATAAGATGGCTAGAGGGAAAACAACTTCAGCAGCTAAGAAGATAGGAAGCAAAAACGTGAAGACTAGTTTGAATGTCTCTGAGCCGAAGAAAAGTGATCAAGAAAAGAAGGGTAACAACTCAAAAAAGCAAAGTGCTGCTAGTTTTCTTAAGAGAATGAAAGGGGTTTCTTCGTCTGAAACTGTGCCAGAGACAGTGAAGGCTGATTCCTCTATCGGAAAGAGAGGAGCTGAACAGAGGAGAAGTAACAGTAAGAATGACAAAGTTGTTGTTAGTCAGAAACGATCAAGTGGGAAGAAGCCAGCTATTGAAAAGGTTAGTCCTGCAAAGAAGAACACTAGCTCTGCCACAAAAAGAGGTGTTTCTCAATCATCTCCTATGGTAACAAAGAGGGACAGCGAAGAAGCAGGTTCTTCTACTCGCCCGAAGAAGCGCTCAAAGAGGTGATGAATTATAACAAAGCTTAACTATCTTCAATAGAATCAAGAATCTACCAACAAGTTTGTAAGGCAGTCATTTACAAAGAAGTATTGGAATCCTGATTACAAAGGAAGAATTTGCATAATATGTGTTCAGTGAATTGTATAAGAGCTGAAGATCTCAAACAAGGCTACAAGAGTGTTCATGCGTCTGGATTGTTGTCATGCGTCTGTCATCTGAATTGGAGATTATGGTAAGGCAATACCCTTTCCCTTGTCAACTTTGCGGATAATAGGAATCCCACCGGCAGTTTTTCCAACCTATCAGAGGGATTATTGAGAAATTGTGTCAATTAAGGGTTTGGCATTTCAATAAAAAATGGTTGGAGCTTGTTTGAAAGATACCTCCTTAAGCTGCTTCTTCTCTCGAACTGTACTGGTTTCGTTCAAGATAGTTTCGCCTGGTTTAAGAAAGCAGCTCCGTGTTGGGAAGCCGGGATGTCCCTCTTGCCATACCATATCTTCTGCCGGAATCTGCAATGAGTTTTGAGCTTCTGTGAAAAGGGAGGAGAAATAGAAAAATTTGAAGGAGAGAGGTAACAATTTGAGTCTTACATGTCTGAGATCAATCCAATCGCACGGGTCACTGAAGTTCTTTTGGCTTAGAGATTCCACCAGGTGGTGCATTTCCTGTTGATTGGAAACTATATATCTTAAGATGTCCTGAGAGACCTGAGCTGATGAACAACACACAAGGAAGCATGAAAAGAGAGTTTACCGTTTCTGCGTCATACGCTTTGATGAGGAGTGCAACGTACTTGTCTTCACCAGGCATTCTTAAATTGACCCATTTGTCAACAAGAGACGCAGGAGAAACTTTGCCCCAGCCTGGGATTGTTGAAGCTTTAGAAGGAGAACTCGGTTTTGGCATCTTTGCAGGAGCTGCATTAAGCCTTTCTTGCTAAGCAAAACAGAAAAGAAGAAGACGATGTAAGTTAAAGCCAAATAAATCTGAGTTTGTCAGCTTTAGGATTTGGGAAGAGATGATGTTAAGAAAACCTACGTAGCGGAGTAAGTCTTCCTTGCTCACTATCGTACGGCTGAGTAAGTCTTTCAATTGATTGCCTTTTACGCCAGCAACTTCCTGCTTTCCCTTCTCATCAGAAGCCACTGAAATTTCACTGAGAAACAGAGAGGTTTTGACAAAAGGTTAAAGACGAAGGGAGAGAGAGAAGATCACATAGTAAAAGCTTGGATTAGAAGATACCTCAACTGTTGGATCAGTGGATCAGTTTGTTGCTTCTTAACAAGGACGTTGTGAGTTTCTTTGGTGATGTTCCATGCTTTCTTCAGGTCGTCGAGTATCGTAATCCTTGACTGAAGAACAGAAAAACGGCATGAGCATTACCTTCGAGAGCACCGAATCAATGCATATCGAATCGCGAAAGGGTTTAAACTGGTGTTACGCTGGATATTGAAGAAGATTCTGCTGTAAAGGCTCCGAGAACATTGGAGTAAGCCTGTGTCTTGAGTTCGTAATCGTTCAAATTCTCGTTCATTTGGAAGAAGGAAGCGTCGTTGTTGCTGTTGCTCGACGTAGGAGGCGTTTTCCCTGCAAAACCTCTCTTCTTGAAAGGGAGAGCAGTTGCTTCTTGTGCAAACGGAATCAAAATCAACAGAAAATCACAACCGATCAGTCAATTGAATTCCATCAATGGTTGAAGACGGGAAAACAGAGGATTCCGAAGCTTTAAACCCTAATTGATCAGAAAGCTTTGAACAGACTTACGGGATGGAGAATCGGAGGCTTTATCTTTATCCTTCTGGTTCGACATTTTAGAGAGCCAAGCGAACAGAGAAATCCGAGAATGGTGATTGTGCGTCTTCGTCTCTTGTTGATGAAGCTTGTGCGTCTTTGAGAGAAACAATCCCCAACGAAATTGCAGGTATCGAAGAGAGAAGAGTAACGAGATTTTGGGGTTTGGGAGCGAAATGTTGTGAAACTATATATGCTTCTTGTGGAAGAAGGTAAAGCTTGTTGTTGGGGCATTTGATAAACTTGACGTAATCCAGATTAAGTACTGACACGTCAGCAGTTTCTTTACTCCGTAGTTTAAAAGAAAATTAAAAAATGGAGAATTACGGACTAAATTGCAAATACTCTCAACTTCAACTTGCTGTACTGGATTAATCTGATGGACACGGATAAATAGCAAATCAAGTAAATCTACTAATTATCAATTTCTCATTCATTTTAGTATTGAAAATACTGTTATTTTATCCTAAAATGGTAAAAAAAGTTTTGTTAGTAAATGATAAATGTGACTTGACTATATCTCTCTCCGTGACTAAAAAAGAAGTAATATTTCGATTCTGTAGAACCAATTTTTTTTTCGCCTAACAACGTAATAAAGCAGTCATTTACAAAAAGAAGTTATTGTAATCTTGTTTACACTTTACACTGACCCATTTCTTCTCTAAATCCCATAAAACCAACACCAAAAACAATATCCTTCACAGTGGATTGTACTAAAGATCTCAAACAAGTGGCATAAGAGGGTTTTAATCAGTAGGAAGGTCCGGCTTCTCTCCAGCTTTCCACTTAATATCTTCAGGCGGAATCTGCAAATTATAAATCAGTTTAAAAGATCAGATTTTTTTTTCAGCTTCTTTCTGATTTAGAGAGTTTGATTTGAAATCTAAAAGAAAGGGAAAGGTTTTGAAGTAATTACCTCTCTGACATCCATCCAACTCATCATCTCATCCATCTCCATTGCATTCGGGTCTATGTTCTCAAAGCGATGCAGTCCCTGAATAAAATACAAAAATAAATTTCTTACAAGAAAAGCAACCGATGGAACAAGGCTTGAGAGAGAAGAAAGGGTTTATTTACTTGTTCTGCGTCATACTCTTTGATCTCGAAGTCCTCGAATTGACCTGTATCAGGCATATTCACACTGACGAATTTACCAACAAGAGACTCTGGATTAACATTGCCCCATCCTGAGCCAGATGTAGAAGCAGAAGAAACCGGAACTGAAGCTGCCGTTTTTGGATTCTTCTCCTAAAAGTAAAAACAGAGAGTCAAAGTTAAAAAACTCTGCTGTAAAAACCTAATTCCAAGAGTTTTCAAACTTCTCTGCCTTACGTGCATGGTCAATAGCTTCCCTGTTAACATCTCCATTTCCTTGTTCAGCCTGAGGAAACAAAAATGGGATTTTTAGGTTTTCACACATGTTCCAAGTCGAATGCTTTGATTAAAGTGTATACCTTTGTTGTTGGGCAAGAAGATTTTGCTCCAAGTTAGCCGCTCTTTGTTGCTGGGCAATGAGGGTTTTCTGAATGTTAGACGCAAAAGAGAAGTGGGTTTCTTGAGAAATGTTGAACTCGTTCCTCAGATTCTCTATGATCTCATTCCTCTTCTGGAAAAACAACAAAAGCAAGAACAAGCGAGTGAGATTTTAGAAGAAGGAAAGATTTTGAAGAAGAAGAAGAAGAATGTGAGAGTAGAGGAAGAGAAGTGTTTACGGTTGCTGTTATCGAGTCTGATGCTTTATTGAAAGTGTAGAGAACAGAGAAGAAAGCTTTCCTCTGGAGCTGTTCGAGTTTCTTCTTCTTGTACTCTTGTGCGAAGATCTCCACCGTCTCTTCAATGTCAGACTCGGACCCGGACTCGGAGTCAGACTCGGACCCGGACTCGGACTCGGGGTCAGACTCGGGCTCGGACTCGGTTGCTCTGCTAGAACCAGGGAGTGATTTTTCAGCGATTGCGCTCCTCTCTAATGGGAGATGCGTTGGATCTTCTGCATCACGAGGAGAAAACAGAATCAAGATCACTCTGTTTCAGTCGTTTCCATCAATGGGAGAGACGCAAGGAACAAAGAAAAACAGAGGAATCGCAAAATCTAGCTAGTCCTATTCGAAAACCCTAACTAATGAAGATCGTCGTGATCGAGAAGTTACAAGAATTTCAATAGGGGAAATGCAATCGGAATGTTGATCGGACGTACCGGCGGGAGATTCTGGTTGGATTGAATCCGGCGGGGGATCTTTCTCGTCAGCCATTAGTGGGATTGAAGAAAAACCGTCGAACAATCTGCAGAGATGAATGAGAGAGATTTTGTGCAAGACGCGAGATTATACGACTTGTGGAAGAAGGTATCGGTTGTGTAGTGTAACAATATACTTTTACATTAAATGAGTCGGTTATAGAAAACAACTGTTTAACAGAAAAGTAAATTAGTTGCCTCAATTGATGACAGTTGACTAGTCTAATAGTAATACTGCTACTGTATTTACTTTTTTTTTTTTAATATTTGATTCCATTGGATGTGATCGACATTTTTTCTCATGAACGATTGGATTAGTCGGTCCTTAATTCAAAACGATTTATAAAGACCATAACTAAAATATGATTATATGAACAAATCTCGAGAGAAAAAAATGTTTTGGCCCAAAGTACCTCATCATTTGCATTTTACGTATCCGTTGATGTAACCATATTGTGTTCAAACTTCAAACCTACAAGTCTACAACTTTACTTATAATTTAGATAGTCAAAATTATAATTTTTTCAAATCTTTGTATACTAGGCTTAATTAGCTAAACAATTTCCATTATATATTTTTTTGGGTCTCGAGCAGACTACGTAAAGTTATAAAACTGCAAAGGTCAACGAAATAACACTTAAGATTTGGAAAGTTGACTCTAGTCTAGTTAGATCATGTATATTTAGGCAACTAAATGCTTTGCTTTTTGACTCTTTCCAATAAAAAAAGCCAAAAGGTTTTAATCAAACGCATAATGTCTGGTACTTTAATATTTTGAAATTTTGGGGAAAAAGTAATTACTAAAACTAGGCTTAAAATATAGAATTTTTGAAGAAAGAAAAACTAGTGGTATGTCCATTAGAATTCATATTTTAGTTAAAATATAAAACCACAAGCACAAATTCTTAATTACGGAATAGCGTTTAAAGTTTATATATAAGCATGTACTGATGTACAATATATTTAGTTGAAACTTGAAACAGAATCACAACTCACAAGCCCGTTTTTTCTGTTAAACAATAGGGAATGTTTTTTACAGTACATTTTATATAATGCAATTGCAACTTTGCAAGTACGCTATATTTGCAAGATTTGTAACCAATCAACACCCGATATACTGAAGCTGTGTGTGTGTTGCATCCAATAAGTGGTATAAGACAAAAAGAGTGTTGGCAAACTTGAACACTGTGATATTCTTTGAGTAATTACTAACCTCTCGTCTAATTTTATGATAAACTTGAAAAATGTGATTATATGGAAAAACTTTTACTTCTCCGACTCTTTTTCTATATTATAGGTAAAGACTCCAATCATTTCGAGAAGTGACTATTGTAATTACACGACGAGGATACCACAATTATAGTCCTTTAAAGTCCAAAATTAGGTGAAATTTTGATCTATGGTAGTTGAGAATGTACAGTGAATTGTACTTTAGATATTTGTTTGATCCTTTTAATCTCCTTTAGCTATATTATGATCACGACATTACTACTCCCTAAATTTAAGAGAATAAAGTAATAAATTCCACTTAGTATTGTTTAATTAGCTTATTATATACTCCCTCCGTTTCAAATTAGTTGTCGTTTTGGGAAAATGTATCTGCAATTATTTGGATGTATCTGCAATGCAAAACACGTCCAGATACGTCCAAATATTTGCAGATACATTTTGCCAAAACGACAACTAATTTGAAACGGAGGGAATAATATCTGTCCACGGAATCTGCATTACATTTGCGGAAGAAAACGTAATTAAGTGCGAAACATATTTAAGACAAAAGACATTACAATAAAACATTCACTAATTCTGAGTAAAATTGTGTATGTTAGTAGTAAAGTTTTTTAACTCAGTAATTTCTCATTTTAGGAATTCTGTTCTTTTCCTTGTCTTTTGATTTATTTTTTGTCATTCTTTATTAAATCCTCATTTAATTAATTTCCTCAGACTTTCTCAAGATTGAGCGTAATTAAAGAAACGGATTAGGCAAGTTGGACGTAATTTACCAAACACTAATCACAACTTCAACAAGATGTGCCCAATTAGATGGACAACAGTAATTATTGTTTTTACAATATCAAATGTTTCACTGATTACCCCCAAAAGTTTCAACTTCTCGCACACTAACCCCAAAACTTTGAAGATACGCGCATTTCATCACATTGTGGTATATTATCAAATCAAACTAGCTAAGATTTTACAACATGATTATTAATAAGACAAAATGTCAAAATCTATGTTTCACCTCTGACAATTCACAAACCCCTTTCTAACATTTCTTGAAATTTCCTGTAAGATTCGACTTTCTCGAGCAAGAACTTCTCATGGCAATTAGCGATGAACATATCCGCCAAATGATCAATATCCTCATCATAATCATCTGCAACATCTTTGATCTCCTCCACAGAATCGACTTTCTTGTGTTCGAGCCACTCGAGATAGCCAGAGAGTTGAGAGTCATCATCTTCTTGACCATTCATGTCGAAATGGAATGGTTGAGGAACAGGGACGACATCAGAGGAACACCAGTTGTAATGCAACCTGAAAGATCCGAAGAAGATTTTGCGTTGAGTTTTTGAAGCTTTTGTTGGAAAAAACATCATGAGTTTTCGTTTCTTGTTGTTGTTATGTTTAGCTATCTCTAAGAAGATTGATTTGGCTCTTGAGAGAGCTCTTAAGAAACGGTAAAGAGGGTGAGCGAGGAGGTTTTGGATTAGGGTTTTGAGTTTCATGGATGATGATGATGAAGAAGAAGATGATGATTTGAGCTGCATGACTTAATGATTCAAGAGAGAGAGAGACTTGTTTGTTTCTCTTTCTCACACTTGTTTTGTGTTTTCTTTTTCTCTCTATGCGTTAAAGTGATCAACACTCGCGGGACTTTATAAAGGATTTTCTTGACCTTTTTGCCACTCATTTCCTCGTAATATTCTGAATTGAAGTTTTTGGACTAGTGGGCGTTTTTGTAATTTGGTTTTCTCCGAGAATGATTGTTGTGTATGTGAATGGTCTTAATTTTGCCTTTTTTTATGTAGTGTGAATGTAAATTTCGTAGAATTTTCCTCGAAGTTAAAGTACGAAGAATTTTATTGATGCATTGTTGTTGTAATGAATTGTTTAATTACAATGTTATTTCCTAGCGAGAAATGTTGTTATGGACGACGAAAAATATTTAAATTAGACGAAGGATCTTGTCATCTTGATAAGCTAATTTTAGGTGTGATTTTGTTAAGTTATCGATTAGGGTAGAGGTAGACACACAAAATATATTGTGATTGTGAACCACAATAATTTCTTTCTTTCTTTCAATTAGCATATATATTGAAACAAACACGTTACCTTCTTATAGATACGACACAGATTGCTCTGCCTTCTTTGTATATACACTTTATATAATGTAAGAAATCATATACCTTGTGGTTTTCATATGACCACAAACATAATTACATGAAAAAAAAAAAAAAACATAATTACATGTCTCTAGATAGATAGCATTCCATTTAACTTTCACTCATGAAATGTTAAACATTTAAAAAACAAAAAACTTGAAACTAGAAAAAAAGAAAGATTCAGTTTCAATGATTAACCAATTAATCAAAATATTCAAACTGAAACTGAACAAAAACTTGATTGGCTATGCCGCTTATTCCTTCTTCAAACTGAAAATATTCAAAGCATTCCTTCTTATAAACTCGTAACGACTTTCTATAATTACTTATGTTAAATTGATTTTCCTAAGTTTATACTTTTTTTTTGTTACAGAAAAACAAATTATGTATATGTGTGGCGCAACACAAGAAGTAGAGTGAGCCACAAACGAGTTTGGCTGAGGACTGAATTTTTCAACTCCCAATTAGGTATCGGGAAGAGATCAAGCTAATTAAAACATTGCGTAAGGTTAAAGAAACCAAACACTTCCTATGTTTTATTTGTCGTTACATTAATATTGTTTTGTAATCTCAGATTCGCCACTTCATGTTTCACTTCTGTCAGTTTAATTAAATTTACTACAAACACAGACAACCTTCTGAAGAATCTATGTAATATTTTATAGACTTTTTTTTTTTGGACGAACTAACAATTTTCATTGACGATTACTCTCCATTAAAGGAGGAATTGTTCCAAGAACAGGACAACAGAGCCAAACCGGCTAAAAACACCGCATTGCAAGCGGGAATGAAAACAAAGACAACATGGATAAGGGCAAAAGCAACACTTAAACTAACAAGAAGAAGTGATGTTGTGCCTTGGGAATACTTGGATACCTTCATTGATCCTAAACCCGGGGTTGAAAACGCAGCTACTGCAAATTTAGCAACCAAAGAAACGGCTTGAAACTCTATGGCGACAAAGCACCAAGTTACTGAGCCTACACGAAGCGAAGTGTTTGAAACTTTCGAACTCCAACTCCCTGCAATAAAATCACTCAAAACAAGCAGAAATTTTGGGAGACAACTAAACTCCATCAAGGAGTATTCAACCAAGATCACAAATGGATTAGACATATCCAGAAAGTTCAAACCAAATTGCCACAAATCTGGTACAGAAGACTTCACAATATCCACCACTAAAGTGAACCTAGGAACAAGACTGCATATAACAGTAAGGAATTGCATAAACGCGATAAGGACCGAATAAATCGGTAAAGTTGGGTGCATATTGGAACTTTCCAAGATCAATTAGTGCATTACATACTTAAATCAGTGAATAATCGACAATCTAGCTTGTGGAGTGTGTTGTTGATTTGAATAAGACCAAACCCCTACCCTACAACTTCTCTTAAATCCTAGTTTATACACTCTTCTTAACTTCTACCAAATTCCCACATTTCCCAAACTTAGATCGGATCAACAACACTCATATATTATTTAGAATATCTAACATTTTCATTTTCACCAAAATTCGCTCTCTTCTTTTATCTTTCTAATTAATGGAACACATGAAAATAAAATCGGGATTTTTGAGTTCCGTCTTCGCAATAGATTGGTTAAGATAATTTGTATGTACAGGTTCGTTTAGTTTTATTTAGTACTAAAGCGAAAATAACAATACTAATGGTTGTAATTAATTGGAATTTAATTATGGACTAATTATTTTTGTTGGCTGGTGTTCATTTGGATCTACGAAGGGATTAAATTTAGGCAATCGGATCAATATAAATTAGGCTAAAGGTCCTTGTCTTCGTGGAATCTTGGACCAGTTTCAGGAATTTTTAGGGGTTCTTGAAGCCAAACAAATCCCAATAAGCACATGTCTTCTACACACAATCGTATCGTTAATTACGTATGCATGTTTTAGAGTGAGTAATTACATATCCTAAATTAAAATCAAGTTATTCTTTGATTCTAATAATACGCAAAGTTTCCAACCAAGTTTAATCAAAATTTTAACTCGTTCATTTTTATGTGTTACTATGATTTTTTCAATAATACGTATGAAACTTTTAAGGTTGAATAGGATAAACCATGTATTAAAAATATAGCTTCATATTTTTTCAAATTACGTATACGGGAATATGGCTAAACTATGTCTTAAAAATATAGCATTATATGTTAGTGGATAAAAAAAATTATATTTGTCTGATATTCATTTTTCAAATAGCCGCGAACGGCGCTTAAGGCTTAAGCTTCGCTGAAAACCTCAAAGACCGAGGATATATAAAACAAATCGAACGTAGCCCTGGTCTAAAGATAACAGTAAAATATATTCTTTTTAAGAAATTAGACAGATGATTGGATATTTTTTTTCTAGATTTGAGAAAACAAAGTAGACAAGAAACCAAAGTGGCTGATTTCCAGTTGATCGGCCACCTGAATCCCTGGAGCTCTTGTCTTTCTTTACACGAAGAGACAAACCAAAATACACATGCAGAGCACGTCTGCTGTATATACGCATATGTCAAATATGACTTATACAGTTATACTTAGTTTTTGATCTGCCTTTTTTTGTGGTGAAAATGCCAAATAAAGATGAAAAAAAATCTGAAACTTAATGAGATACAAACCACTATTTTATCGTTAATTATATTTTATCTTCTTTTGGTTTTGTTTCCTCTTTGCAATTTTTGTTTGTTTGTTATCGTATTGACTTCTTATCTCTATGTCAAGTTTGTAAAGTAAGGTAGGATTGTTATATTTCTAACAGTAATGCTTATTGTAAGACATTTGTGATTTGACAGCACATATGTTGATTCGGCTAAGAAAAGTAACTTTCATGCAAACTTACGCGTAAATTTCCGATTTTCTTTTGGAATTGTTAAATACCGATAGTTGAACTTCTTGATTTCCTAAGAAACTTGCTTTCACTAAAAATTTGTTTAAATTCGATTGACGAAGTTAGCTCTTTAAGTTTCGTGGCAGTATAAAGGTCCATCAAAGTTACAGTTTTAATAATTCAAACTAGGGATGCTATAAGAGTATAAGTACATATATGACCATAACATATATTCGAATTTGAGACTAAACGTAACTATCATTCAATACCGACATGCAGTTTTCACTGAATCTTGTGGATCCAAGAATGTATTTAAAGTGACTAAGTGGCCATGAATATTAATATTTTTTGGTTAAAAGTTAAAATAAGTGGGAAAAAGCAGAGAAAAGAAGAGATGGTGGAGAAGAAGGGCAAGGTAAGAAAGAGGTGTCTCCAAAGTGCATCAGCAAATGCGTGAAGAGAATCCATAGATGACACAGAATATGTAAGAGTTGGTATCTCTCTTTTAACCACTTGCAACTACTCCTTTGCTAATTTCTCTCTTCTTCTTTTACTATTCATTCGTTTCCACCTTTTGTTTTAGGTTCCATGCTTATGTTACATGTGTAATAAATATCCATCTCAAGTAAGGTTTGAGTATACCGGAAGTTTCACAATTTGACATGAAAAATTACTGAATTATTGAATTACTGAATACATGTATTTTTATTTGGGTCATATACATTTTTTAAGTCGGTAATAACTTTTTTTGGCAGCTAGGTAATAATTTCGTAAAAGAATCAAAATCAGATATTAGTACAACTTTCTCTGCATATACCCAAGATTTGGGTTATCCAACATATTCGAATCAGAATATTTATCTCCGTTCAAAACGGGACGGATAAAAAACACATATATTTTCTTGATTAATTATCGACTTATCGTCATCTCTAGTTAATCTTGTTTGTGGATTGTGAGATGTTTTGATGGGACAGAGTAACTCAACATGCATGTGGAAATCAAATTCATAGTATTTTAGTAAAATTTGCGACTCAGCATCATCAATCCGGGGCTTGTGTATAAAGTTAATGCTTTTTGGGAAATTTTGGTCATATTGAGGAACAAAAATCACAAAAACCATTTTATATATATATATATATATATCATCATGAATCTCAAAAGCGACATTAGTAATATACTAATATTATACCGTCATGCACTCAAAGCTAAATACGTGAAGTTTTGGTCTATTAAAACTGTTACGTAATAAGTTGATGTTTGAGAGCTAAGAAAGGCATATTATATTGATAGAGAGAGTTGGTTATCAAAAAAAAAAAAAAAAATTGATAAAGAGTTTGCCAAGTCTTAGAAGAAAATGAATTAAAAGTGATCATAATCATTGAACATCTTTCAATTCATTACATCATATCTCTTCCAAATTTTCAATCATTTGCACATGTTCACCATCATCAATTGTATCCACCTCCTCTGACTGCATCTTGAGTTATACACACTCAACAGGCTTAATTTGGAGATTTTGTATTGGTTTAACATGATATGTGATCTCTCTTTAATGAAGACACTCGAATATACCGATCCATTTACTAGTTAAACCGGTTTAACAGAATCGTGAACATCTACAAATAATTGAGCTTCGAATAAAAACTTGATTATCTTTAACCTTTTAGTCATTTCTGATTATAAAATCAAGATTACAACAAACATAACCAAAATTTATGATATAACAAAATTCATCTCATGCTCAAAACTGTTTTGATCGTAGTTTACTCCTCAGGCTCTTCTCTTCTTAGAAGATTTGGATTTGGAGGAAGAAGAATGCTTATCATTGCTTCTCTTTTTGGTGGATTTATCCAAATTGGTGGACTTAACACTGACAATACCACTTGAAAAGATCTTTGAATGTTGCAGAGCTTCTGCTTCTTCGTCCCCAATTACATATTGCTCAAGCTCAGAATCGATCGATCCTTTTTTCTTCTTCTTCTTATTCATTTGTTCCTTTTAAAGACACGAGAAGAAACAAGTTCAATGACATTATAACAGAAACAAAACATATAATACTTTTACACTGGCACGGAGAAGGTTGGAGAATTACCTCGACTTGTTTAGCTCCTTCCCTGAGATCATCATCGACCGATACATTGTGAGGTTCAAGAACTCTCTGCAACCAAAATTCACCATGGATTAGCGTTTTACAAAGATTCATCTCTCGAAATCAAAACAGATGACACTATGAAATCACGAGAGAACCAAATGTTGCACACAAAGCAATGGCATCAAAGATCCAAACTCTATCCTTGGGTTTTGTAAAATGTATATTCTTGTGATCATAGTTACCTCTTTCAAAAGAGGCAAGGACGGTTCAATCTCCTCTGAAGCAACTTCGTTCAGATATCTGTATAGCTCTTGTGTGACTTTCAAGAGAAGAGAGTGAATCTGTCCTCTCTCCAACTGCATTTGTCTCTGCAAAAGTCCAACATTCAAATGTGTTTGCAAGTTTCCTAAAACACAATGAAGCATCAGCAATCATCGAACTTAGAGTAAATCACGTTACCTCGATGCTAGAGAATTCCAACTCCTGCAGTCCCAAGCATAGTAGTATAGATGCCTGAACATATGACAGTGATACAGGGAGCTTCTCTTGAAAATACTGATGGGCCAGTGTTTTGCAGATGTCATAAACCTTTTCAACAATAAGACAGTGAAACTTGGTTACAAACAGAAGGAGAAACTGAAAGCAAAAAGTTAAAACCATATTCGGAAAAGAATTCTTACCAGATTGAAGTCTATCAGATTGTTGGTATATGCTTTGAGCCTCTCCATGTCAAATGGAGAAACTATACCGTCGAGCGTCTTCAAAAATCCGTCTGATGAGTTTCCTGAAGAACCAGCCTCCTTGAAGTTGATCTTGGGGTTTAAGACACTGGACAAAGAATGATATGACAAAAATAAATATCTACATGAACATGTTCTTACTACGAAATAATGACAAGAAATTGTTAGTGTTTACCTCATTACAAGTTTGTAGTCCATCTTCTTGAATTTATCACTCAGAAGCTTAGAGAACCTCATCCTGAAGTCTGAACAAAGCAAATTAAGTTATTTAAGTAGAAGATGGAGAAAGTTCTCAGTTCTTGATCAAAGAATCAACAAACCTTTATAGAAGGGAGCAAAGAATCCCAACTCATCGGACCCGCTGACTTCTAGTTCATCATTCTTTAAAGGTTTTAGGAGCATACAAGTGTGCTCACCAGTCACAGCACTCTGATCCAAGCACAGGGAATATTCAATGTTACAAAACCACTATTAGAAATGGTACTCATAAGCAGTTAAGGGGAAGGCTGGAAATATTCTCAACTGGCACTTGGCTGACGTAGAATGGAGCAAAATTATGTTTTCTCCAGAACCGGAAGAGGTCCAAAGTAAGCCCAAAGGAGACACCAATGTA